TTTGTTACTATTATCTTCTATTTTTGATACCCTACCGAGAGTATTGATATAATCAAATGTTATGAGCTGTGTCATTATTCCTTTGTCATCACTAAAGATGTCAAATGTAACGGTTTTGTCGATTTCATAGTTTAATCCAGTCGAGACAGGTTCAAGCCAAACCTCTGTGATGATTTTCTTATTGGGAGCATCTCTCCATATATAGTACTGAACTGCAGATACTGTATTTCCTGTCTGGATTTCTTTGTAAAAATGACACGCTTGTTGTTGAGATGTCACAAGGATGTATTTCTTTAAAATAAAGGGCCTTAATATTTCTTGTATTTTAATTCGTTAAAGGAATAGCCTACCTGGTCCAAACGTGCTTTACACAAGTACTCAAACACCAGACTTTGAAGTCCCATCAAGTTGGCTTGGGAATAGGTTTCAGGTTGAAAATCTTGCACTTCCCAGTGCCACGCGCGATGATATAGGTAGTTGCGCACAATAAATTCTCCCGTGAGCCAAAACGTAGAATTGATGTACCACATCTTGTTTATTTGTATCTGTTGTTGTTCAATCTTTTCTTCTGATGCCATGTAGTGTACACTGTCTCTCATCAGCAGAGTAGACAGAGGTCGATTGACAGCTGTAATTGTCATATGTTTTTGATTGTTGAATCTAGTTGATGCTAAACGCCTAATTTCTATATTCTCCATCATATCCTCTTGATCTTTGGGCGGTGTTGCAAGAAGTTTTTTCAGTTCTTCAACAACAGCTTGTCTTTTGGATACATTCGTATTGAAAAATAACAATCTCACACTAATAACTCGATCTTTGTCCTGGCTGACACGCACTTCACAGAATTCCATGCATTTGTTAATAATACAAGCATTTGGAATAGGTTCCCTTTCTTCTTGCAGAAGAATTTCGTCTGTATTTTTGGGCATGGGTTCCCATTCTTGCCGTGGGGGTTCAGGGCTTAGTATCTTAATACAAACATAGTCCTTTTTTGTAATGGTTGCCCACTGAGACAGGCGGGTGTTCACTTGTAAAACAGCATTTTCCATATATTCTGGAGTATCCCCTACTGATTTTTGTGCACGTCCATATATAGCAGGACATACTGCTACCAAATCAAAGCAGCAGTCATCGTACCAATAACGACTATATGGCCGATAATCTGATCCATTGAGTTTATCCCATGTGGTGTCGAATTGTTGAACATATTTCTCATGCGAGGTGTAAAGAGTATCACTTGCATAAGAGTTCATGCTTACAAGGGTTTTCATCATCGTATCTGTTTCTGACATGCGTACCAAAAGCTTCTTCAATTTTCCAACCTTTAGAAATCCAGGAGAGCCCGAAAAATCTCCACCAACACTACCAGTAACAACTCCCATCATCTGACTCCTTCTTTGGAAAGCATCCCAGTTTTGAAGCATGTGTGCAAAAGTGCTGTTAGCACGAACAAGAATTTCAACCTTTGGTGCCTTCATGCAGCCTAGCATGCCTTCTTTCTCATTTGTAGACTCATCTTCAAGCAGAACTGATGATAGAGAACGTTCGTGGATTGAAGAGAATCCCTTTAGATATTTTGCCCATGTAGATGACCAGTTTGCTTGAATCCTGTATTCAACAGTAATATTTGGCTGCCAATGTAAAACTAGAGTAATCATCACTCGTTCTTTCTTTGACAGGAAATCCTCAGGACCATTTGCTGTTCGTCTGTGTCTATTGTCATCAAAAACAATAGAAGACATGTAGAATCCTTGTCGAATACGAGCATTGATGGCGTGCCAGAATTCAGTTGGAAGGTAGTATTCATGGTATTTTAATAGTTTTGTTTCTACAGCCATAGGCTCTGAATATGGATCCCATGGAAACCCAATAGCAGATATCATTGCCCGGTTGATTTGGTCATCATAATGCATTGCCCTGTTATCCATCCCAAGTTCTGGCAAAGGATGTGGTAGATGGTCACGGGACAGCTCCAAAGATATATCGTTTGCTCTTCCTGAAGCTGTCATTCTTCTGTTGTCTGATCTCAATTTATCAAAGCAAATTTCTTTCAAAAGGAATCGAAGGTGGTATATGTTGGGTGCTGGTATATCAAGAAGATCTTCTTTTGGGTTTAGGTATGTGGGCTGATGTGATGTATATCCTCCAGTAAAAACGTTATATGTAGCTGGAAGACAGTTTTCTGCATATATAAAGTGCCCATTTGTTGCCTTTGCTGTAAACCTTAAGATTTCATTGTCTGGAACGAACCCGAAATTGCACCCTGGTGCGAATTTATGGTTTGAGCCAAGCTGAATGATGCTGCAGGAGATATCGTCGCTAGATAGTTGTTGAATGATTGATTCGTCTTGTAAGTTAGATTTAACAACACCGTCCGTAATCAGTATCAATGATGGTTTTCCCATTCTAGGCTGAAGATTAAGAATAAATGCTCCTGCACGCAATATGTATGCCAGGCTACTCCCTGACTTTCCAACTCCCCACACATCCTTTTTTGTCCCTGCCATATTTTTGAGAGGTCTCTGGTGTATATTTGTAGACATTGAACTAGTACGATGATGTAGATGAGGACGATTGTGGGTCGTTTGAGCTGGCTGTTGAGGTTGTTTAGTACTTGCAGAATCGAGCTTTTCAACAATACTGTGACGAGGTGATTGAGATTTGTGGCCCATTCTTAAACTTTTTCTCTTGTCAGTTTTTTTAATAGGTTCCTTTTCTGCAATGGTTCTTGTTACAAGGTAAGGTGGATCGACTGTATCAACTTCGAATTCGGCTGGGCCTCCCTCTTCAACGGCAGAAGAATGATCTCCTCGTACATCGAGGGCATATCCAAGCTTAGCTCTTTTCTCTTTCAACTGTTTTCTAAAAGTTGCCAAGTCTGATTGGAAAGTCCTTACAGCTACGTCTAGTGTCTCAAGGACTGATACTACATTGTTCAGAGTTATACGGGTATCTTGCAACAAAACGCGCATAGTAGGAAATTTAGCCAGGATGGGTATAACATTCATGTTGGATCCAAATTGTGAGCATTCTGCTATGACTGTGATATAAATGACTGGTTCAAACTAAGAAATTCGATATATACCAAGAAGATATTATGATTATTAAAATTACTGGGACAAGAATACTCATAATTTTACCATTAAATTTTGAGATGATGAGTATTGACCAAGAGAGAATGGAAGGACAAGACCATGGATAATGTTTTCAAGTCTGGTCAGACGAAGATGAGATACGATTTGAAGTTTTGTAATCAATTTACAGCGATACATACGTCTTATAAGCACTTCCGATCATCACCCGACTACTACCAGCATCTATTGTTGCTAGACTCGAACTTAGATCCAGCATAAACACTTTTCGGTATTCTTGTGCAATTGATAAGATCCTGGTTCTAGGTGTAATTATATACATTTTTTCCGCGCTTTGTGGATTTGGGATTCGTGGCGAACTTGCAGAAGTGAGGCCTCTGTCTGATTGTGATACTTTTGCTGGAACAGTATTAGGTAACGGCGTATTCGGAGATGTTAGTGTCGATGGATCATATATTGATGTTTCTGTCTGAAATGTATTAAAATTGGGGCTTGTGTCTTTACGTTGGCTTTTTTGGTGCTGGTTCTGTTGAGATGGTTCCCAGATACCCTTGGGACTACCAGAAATATGCAACAATTGGAAGTCCTGAGAATGGTTGTAATGATTATGAAAAAAGAGAGAGAGCGAAAGACAAAAAAAAACCATAAGAGTTCTAATCAATTACTACCCACCAATAATTACTTATTTCTCACCCTATCTTCACTTTCTGTAACAGGCTGAAACATGTGTTTTAATAACCATATGTCGAGTTCATTTCTTTTGATTGCGCTTGTTTTTCTTAATAAGATCGCAGTATGTGCCTCGACAACCTAGAATATTAGGCTGAGGTCAGTCGTATGAATTTCTGTGAACAGATTCCCTCTCAATCGATTATTTTTTTTCGGACCTTTGTGTCTTTGTTGAGAATGCATGTGTTTGGCATCTTGTCTAGGACTGACACAGTCAAGTAATGTTATTCGGTATTATTGAGCGGGGTATGGGTCAGCAGCACTATACACTACACTATTAAAGAAACCCAAAACCAAGAATAAAGAAATAATTGAAAGAAAAAAAAAGAATGTGTAATATTGAAACATTAATATCAGGAATCTGGATCAAATGCGATTCATTTGAAAATATACATTTGCCGAGAGATTCTCTATATTAGCATCAGCACGCTGCTGTAGAAAGCGAGAGAGAAAAAAAAATGGTTGTTCGTCCCTGGTGCACTCGTTTCAAGGAAAGAGAGGTTTACTAATCAAACACCGATTTATACAGCTTGCCACTCGATGCGCTCTTTAAAACTCAAAAGAAATAAAAAAATATAATCATTACAATCATCTTGTTATCTTTAATTTCACAAAGACGCAATTAGACACAAGATATTTGTCACTCACCGAACTATAGCTAGTAAATTATCCTTATTGACTGATTGTTTTGAATTGACAAATATATAAGCTTATAATGGATATTCTACATAATCTAGAATGCTCACAAAAAAAAAGAATTCATTGGATATTTTATGTACCAATTGAAGTTTCAAATATCTATAACGAAAATAATAATAAAAAAGCATGTTATTTACTTGATGAAATTTAATCCTCGGTATTCAATTTTTATTTTTTATTTTTTGAATATATTATATAGACAGCTTATAAATCTATTGACAATAGCTAGCCAAATAATATGTATCTACTTAATGTATGTATACTATTGTGTATTTTCATCTCTACCAGCAATACAAGTAATTTTAATTCATCAGAAATAAAGGAAAAAGAGAGAGAAAGAGGGTGTAAAAGACGTCATGTTTAATATGACGTCGCGTTCACGGAATTTTTATAATTGTGTTAATCATTTATTTTTCAAAAAGATGTCAAAAACCCAGGAACGCGCCTGTTGTTTGCATTACGATTCATTTGTAAAGCATTATGGCAGATCCAAGACGGGTTGAAAGACCATTGGCCTTTCCACAGGATCCAATCCCACCTTCTCACCTACTCGCGCGTATACATCCATCAATTATAGATTTCCCAACACAACGCTACTATGCAGTATCTGCTTTTATTTTGCTACAAGCACTAAAAGCCTATAGTGCCTGGAAAGACGCTCATTATTTTGAACATGACCCATCTTATAACACGGCATGGATGTGGTGCTATGCTGATATATTCTACATGACGATGCTCTGGTACATCCGAATTCCATGGTTGCAATTCACTAAATTCAAGACTATCTTTATTTTACTGGTTTTATTTTCTTTAAACTTCCTTATGTTTGTCATACCAGTGGTAGGTGATTTTTCTTTTTATATACATATATTAAAAAAAAATTAATTAATCTTTTAAACTAACTGTTTTTTATCATTCTTTTTTACAAGACTGCTGTCAGCATTGCTTTGTTCAAAAATACCTTCGGTATGATTTCATTTGATCTAACCTAATCTATTTTCATTACTGATACATTGTTTCATCTGTAGGAGACTTATTTACTCGTAGAATTGGCGCCTCTCGAGCAAAGAAGGTTAACGTAAATGGTATTATAAATGACCCATCTCATATTCTCGGAAGACATACCCTTCATATCCTTCCTCACGGGTAAGAAAACAAATAAGCATATTGTTTTGAAGATAATCTTAGGATATTCAATATACTTATCATTCTTATATACTAATTTACAAATATATACATATTTGTATACTTGCATATTTGTGTACGCACAAACACACACACATATATATATATATATATACATATACATACATAGATCTGCTGAACTTAATCCCTTTAATGAGTTCTATTGTCTGCCTGCAAGATCCAAGGGGAAGAAAGAAATTTTTATTCCAATTTCGATGAACAACACAATTCCATACAGTCTCACTATGGAGCATTTTGATTTCGACACAAAATTGAATACAACAAAGGGTCTCTCTCGAAACGATTTAAAACGTACAATTGAATTGAACTCTAAGGACGACGGAGCAGAAATATATTATGTTCGAATCAAAGCACCTGGACTTTATACCTTAAAAGACGTGAAGAGCAGAAATAATATCGATGTCAGAACTAAACACAAGGCTGTCTACGTTTTCACCTGTCCAACTGCCGAGTTCGAATCCTCAGCCACAACTGATCTTTGCACAGGAGATGATGGACCGGTTGGAATCAAAGTCAGTGGTGTACCTCCTTTCTCTTTGGGATACATTCAACGAGTAGGAGACTGGGAGTTTCCGTCAAAGATTAGCCAAATTAGACCCCAAGATGTCAATGTTCTTCCCGCTGAAAAGATTCACGACATGGACAATGTTGATCCTGAGTTTTTCCGCCCAAACCCAACCCAGTTTTACTCGTGGGCAGCTACCCATCACCAAACAGTTTACTTGAAGCCAACTCTTGAGCACCCGACTTTGTACGAATATCAGCTCTTGAACGTCACAGATGGATTTGGCAACACTGTTTTTCTCGATCAGTCGAGCGTTATAAACTTTAGAGTGCACGAACATCCATCAGCAAAATTTGCTTGCAATGACGTCGATCCTCCAAAACTTTTGGTCAACGAAGATGTTGCACATATTCCTTTCGAACTTCAGGGATCTGGTCCCTGGAAGGTCGGCTATCGACATATCCAAGAATCAAATGATAAAACGACTGAATTTAACGTTTCTTTGAGTGTTCCAATGGCAAGTCTCCAAGTACGATCCCCCGGAATTTATGAGTTATTGGAAGTCAGCGATAGCTATTGCAAAGGAAATATCCTCACACCTTCTACCTGCCGTGTCGTCCAACCCCCGCTCCCTTCGATCGAAATACGCGAAACACCTATTCCATCTGAATGCTCGGGAACTGACTTTATCGGAATGAAATTCTTTACAGAATTGAAGGGTAACATATTATACTTTGTGAACAGTAGTACAAAGGGCATGTGAGACTTATTATTTGATGATTATTTATTAGGAACTCCTCCATTTAATCTAAAATACAACGTATATAAAAAGACCGGAAGATCAAAGACTATTGTAGGAAGCTGGAATGAGACAATCGATCGATCCCGCTACATAATTTCTTACATGCCAACAACAAGCGGGTACAGTCTATAGATTCTTTGTACAGCTTACCTATCCTTGTTTTTTGTCTGTTTGTTTGATTGTTTACTTACCGATTGAAACTTTATTAGAGATTACATTTATGAATTCGAGAGTTTGAGTGATAAGAATTACAGGGATCAGGATATCAGTAAATACGCATTCTCGCATACCGTTTACCCTCAGCCTGATGCATCATTTGATGAGAGCTTGACAACTCTCAAAACAATCCGTACTTGCGTCGGAGAATCGATCTCTTTGGATGTCAAATTGACAGGTGCTCGACCATTAACCCTCTTCTGGTCTATATCCGGCCAACTGTACTCTGAAGAGATACAAGACGACAAGTATCGTCTTAAAATCCCCAATCTTGAAAAGCCTGGCCCTCATGTTGTTTCTCTTGTTATGGTACGTGAAATTTCTGTATTACACATTTGTTTTGTACTAACGTTAACCATAACACTTTATTACAATTATGTTGTAGATCAAGGATGCAAATGGATGTTCAATCGATTTAGAGGCACGTGATGTGGTCATTGACGTTAGACGTGAGCGTCCTACTGCTGGATTTTATACCAACAATCAATTCAATGGTTCTGTCGAGATCACTCAAGGATCCACTGCAACTCTTCCCCTCCGTTTGGCTGGAAAGGGTCCATGGATGGTTGGATACAAGAACACAGAAAAGGAAAATGCAGAGACCAATATGGTTGTTACCGAAGATCCCAATGCTACATTGGAAACTAAGGAACCTGGAACATATGAAGTAGTATCTGTTCAGGATGAATTTTGTAGAGGAAATGTTATTCCATCACCATATACAGTGCGTTGGATCGATAAGCCTGTGATGACAATTGACGACGAAACAGCCATTCTGAAACAAGAAGATGCTTATGAGAAACCTGGTGTCTGCCAAGGAGCAAGTGCTAGTGTTGGTATCAAATTTCAAGGTAAGTTAACCTTTTAATCCGGAACATGGGTGTGGGTATGAACATGGACATTTTAGTAACAATTTTGGATAAATGTATTTGTAGGCCATGGATCATTCTATTGCTCCTATGATAAGTACCAGGTTGGATCCTGGAAACTCAATCCAGTTCATCTTGGAACTGAAGAAATCAATTCTGTATATCCTAATGCTCAAGTTAATCTGGATACAAATACAAGCGGAAAGTTCCGATACCTGTTCAACAAAATCGCAGACCAGAGATACAGCGATCCTTTTGTTACTTTCCACAGGCAAACTGTTGAATACACCGTCCATCCTCTGCCAACTGTTGCCTTTTCCGGAAGAACAAAAAAGCAACACTCCTTGTGTGTGGGAGATAGTTTGTTATCCAATGACATGCCCCCAATCTGGTTAGATCTTACCGGACAGGCACCATTTGTTGTAGAAATCCGAGTCAAGCATCAAACTGCTAACCACCTCCAGACACATCATCTTAGTGTTCCTACTCACAAGTACAAATTAGAATTATTTGATGTACTCGAAACATCTGGTCTTTACAATATCGAGCTTGTTAGCGTTGTGGACAACAATGGCTGTCACTCTACTACCCCAGCATCTAACCCAGTGTTGACGGTTGAGGCTATGGAAGTAGCAACCATCAGCTCCTCTGACACATGTGCTGATCACTGTGTCGGTGATGATTTAGACTATACTTTGTATGGTGTCAGCCCATTTGCAGTTTGTGAGTACAAAATATGTAAATATTGTAAATATCTAACTAATATTATTCTTGTTCTGTTTTGCTTATAGCCTACCAGTTTAATGGACGCAATAAGAAGATTACGGCTTCTTCATCAACTCTATCCATTCTTGCTGACAGTCCTGGTAATCTTACTATTATCTCGGTTGGCGACAAACGCAATAAATGCACCACATATATAAATCATATGACCAGCATTATTCATCAGACACCATCATCATTTATCAGTGGTGGCAGAGAAGTTTTTGAAAACATTCATGAGGGTAAGCTATGATTATGATTATGGTTTTTGCGTGGTGATTAACCTGGATGATATATCTAGGTGATACGGCACAGGCTGTCATTGATCTAGTTGGAACCCCTCCGTTTGAGTTCAAGTGGCAAAGAAGTGAACTAGTCTGGAATAAAGACAAAAACCATCATTACAAGGGAAATGTTCTGGAAACTCATTTGGTCCAGGATGTGCAAGACAATCGCTATTATATTAATACCGCGGTAGAGGGCATTATTGAGGTATGAAAATTTGGAGAATAGTCTATATACTGTGTAGCTAATGATATGTTTTGTAGGTTACTTATATCAAAGATCGTTACTGCCAGTATCCTCGTTTGTAATAGTCAGTACTCTAGGATATCTATTGTCTAGAAAGGACATCATTTGTATATAAAAGAACACTGCCTGTTTAAAGTAGAAACGGAGATGAAAATCTAATACAAAAAAAACCCGTTTTTTCCATTTAAGATAAATAAATAAATTGGCAAATTTGCACAAGATATAAATACTTGGATTTTTTTTTTCAATAAACATAATATTTGTGCGTGTAATTAATTAACTAATTAATTTAATAGCATTATTATTCAGATGTTAGTCTATTGTTTCAAATTGTGAGTGAAGGTTCAATTCATAGTCAAGAAATGTTTTTTATTTATTTATTTATGACCTTTTACAAGTGTAAAGAATAAAAATTAATACATATGTTAATTTTGTTTCAAAATAATTATAATAATAATAATACCAATCTTGTTGAATATATTTATTATGGTTATTAATGACTTGAGCTTTTCAAAAGATAATATTTGCTCAACCCTGCAAAAGATGGTTAACGTATCTTCTATCCTGACGACATATGATATGTATTTGTACTATTTTACGTATCTAACCAGTTTTAACATTAAAATTCTTAATAGAATGTAAGATATATAAAAGATGTACGAATAATGGCAAAATAATAATAATAATAATCTTAAGGCAGATTAATACTAGAGATTTTGCGGTAAATAAAGAATGTATGTAAACTGACAAATTATAATTTATACAGGAGTACTGTAGATAATTTAATCATTCGAGAAATAATGTATTTTTATATATTCTTCTGTCAAAATCTATCTGTACAACATCGTTCTTTTTGTATTCAATTTTTCAAGTACTATTTCTCTAAATGGTTTGTCATTCGGATTTTATTTTACTCTTCTTTTTTGCCATACAATATTTATATATATATATGTATTTGTATCATAATACAAGACTCAAAAGTGCACACAAACTAACATTTTAGTCCTACTATTTCAAAACGCCAAATCCAAATAAGCACACGCGAACAAAAATAAAAAGTCTGTATAACCAATATGTATTTGGATATTTGGATATTTTATATTATTTTATTGCAGGATTATTGATTTACAAAGCGAAATACAGAGTATACTATTTTGTTTTGATTGTGAGAACTACGATCGTCAAGAAGAGTTACAAAAATGATATTTCCTATTTTATAAAAATGTGCAATTCAAGGAAATTTATTTTTATTTTTATTTTTATTTTTATTATTAATAATAAGAATAGTGTTATTTTAAAAAAGAAGGAGAAGAAGATGCGATAAATTATCGATATTTTCTTTTACATAAAGAAAATAACCGTAAATTCATATATTTAAGTCTCGGGTATTTACGATTATATTTTCTAGTTAAATCACCATAAAATTGTATTTACCTACAAAAAATCTCGGTTTTTGTTTTTGTTTTTGTTTTTGTTTTTGTTTTTGTTTTTGTCTTTGTCTTTGTTTTTTGTTTTTTGTTTTTTGTTTTTTGTTTTTTGTTTTTTGTTTTTGTTTTTGTTTTTTTTTGTTTGTTTTGGAAATATTAATTATTAGTCGCGTAGTGTGGGGAATTGCAAATAACTTGACACGCACGCAAATACATCATTTCTTATTTCTTGCTTATCTCAAGTGTAAATAATATATATATATATAGTTAGATATTTAGCATCAATTATTGATTAAGATTTCTTGCTTATAAAATTTTCTATCCTTTAAAGTCTTAAAGTCGCGTTATTATTTATGTATACGTAACTTACAAATACTCACACACTTAAACACAGTTCCACTTTACCTACATAAACACGCTACCCTATACCCACTATATACACATGTTAAATAAGAGTTACATATTATCAATTATTACTATTCTTTATACATTTCAGTAGCCGACTTGAGTATCCAAGTTAAAAGGTGTATTAAAAGACAGTAAATGCATAGAAGGCACAAACAAACGGACAAAGATAAAAGTAAATTCCCCGACATATTACAGAGATACTTGAGCTAAGTAATATCAATAAAATATCTTGCCTTCAATTTCTTTCCAAATATTTATATAAAATTTTTGTTAAGCTTAACTAAAAAGAAATTACAAGAACCGTATAATCTTCAATTTTATTTGGATTTTAATACAAAGAACTCTTTGTAGTACATTTAGACAAACGCGTCTGTAAAACCTATTTTATAGTAATTATGTATTATATATATCTTTATATACCAGCAGTGTCATACTTGTGCTTGTATGTGTGTGTGTAAAAAAGGATAGAAGAAAAAGTAAATTACAGTATTCATTTAGAGTTATTGTTTCGCTTTCAATGTATTTGTTTCCATCGCAAGAGATACTCCGGTAATTCTAGGTTGCGTAGGTCTCTTGTGTGTAGCCTGTTTGCGAGCAAACGTTTCAACTGCCATATCTTGGCTAGCAGTCGGCGTGCGAACACTATTAGAGTTTGGCACAGCACTGTGGTGAGACAAAGTTGAAGGTGGCTTTGTTGAAAATCTAGTTTCTGATTTTGATGTTTTTTTGTTATTTCCCAAAGAGCCCGGGAGAAAGCCGGGTATATGATGCGTCTTATCGCTAGAGTAACTGGGATCATTGGGTGTAGGAGCCTGGCCTACAAATGAAGAGCTGGGAATTGCCCCATGTACTTGTTTTTCAGACAAACCATGGTATATCTGTGGCTGGAAAAGTGCCTGTTGTTCACTAGCTCCAAGAGGTGGCATAATTCCAGGTGCTCCATTCTGAGCCATTGATGCTAATCTATCAGCTAAGTAGGCAATCAAGAACTGCTGAGAATCTGGATGATAGTAGTCTGTGTATTGCTGTTGAATATACGGATTTTGCGTATACTGATATTGCATCTGGAGTTGACTAGGATCCTGGTATTGATAATATTGATTTTCAGGTTCTTTTCGTTTTTGATGGCTTTTCACCGAGTCTGTAGGTAGATTAACCAGATTATCCTGGATTGATATATTTTTCAAATCTGGCCGTTTCAGACCACCTGAAATGACTAATTGACTTGATTGACTTGGTTTATCGGGTTTATCTAGTTTGTTCGGTTTATTTGATTGGTTCGGTTGGTTTGACTGGTCTTGTGTTAAAGATTCTACATGTTTATGTGCTAAATTTTGCGGTGTTGTCTGTGAGTGAGGCTGTAAAGGTAGAATTGGCTTAGGCTTAATTTCTTTCGGTAAAGTCATTTGGATATTTTGTTGGTATTTTTGACTTGGAGGTCTCAGTATTATAGGACTATCTTTGACATGTTTATGTCTTGCAATATTCAAAGAATTGTTTTGGTTTTCTGGTCTGTTTATATTATTTACATACGAGGTGGAATTATTATGTTGCTTATTGAAACCACTTGTGTTGGTCTGTTTATCATTTTCTTGTAAATTAATACCACATTTAATTGTGGGAAACTGTCGATGTTTGTGTCCTTGGTGAATGTGTTGTGATCGGGGCGGTTGGTGCGGCTGATTTGTTTCATCTGTTTCATTAGGTCGGCGTGGAGTTTGTAGGAAAGGCATCGCCAATTTTGCTTGAGGAAATCTGCGTTGAAATTCAATGTGTTTTTGGGCCCGTTTTACAAGCTCAATCTGGCGATTCTTGAGTATCATTTGTTGTAACTGCGATGATACAGCTGTGTGCTTTTCTAGTAGAGGAAATACACGCTCGTTTGGAATTGCAGTCATTGAAGCCAAATGAGTAGCCTGACATTCGGTACAAGAAGCTATTTCTTCGTATGAACAGCATTCAGAGCATGAATTTTCTCCTGGATAAGTGTCTCCGATCGATGGAGAGTTGGTGCAAGGCGCCAGAACACTTGTTGAAGCTAGCTTTTTTGCAGAGCTATTTAAAATTATATGTGTTGCAGACTCTTTCAGAGAGTTAGATCGTTGATTAATTCTCTCTGTTATCAATCTATTGATATGTAAGTCTATTGGTTGTTTTTTTAATAAAATAAAATAAATAAATGAAAGTAATAATGGTAACAAAAAATTAATATGGTTTAGTATTAGTATTCTTTAACAGTCTGAAATTCATAATTTACCTGAGAAGAACTGATCATTTGTTAAGCGTTTCTGGCCTATCTCCAAGAGCTCTGCAGAGTAAGCAGCCTTTGGAGGCAAGATATTTTCATTAGAATCAAAATTTCCGGTTGACGATGGTGTTTTGTTCTTATTAGTTTTGGTGACATTTTCATAATCTGTGGAATCTTTTTCTTTTTCTTTGTTTTTGGCTCTGCCTTTGCCTTTTGCTTTGGTTTTTTCTTTTGCTTTGGCTTTAATATTATCTGATACACTTTCTTTTAGTGGTGGTTCAAAAGATTGATTGTTTTTGATATAATCGGAATTTGAGAAAAGCTATGGAATATAAGTACATATTAATTTGTTCAGTTTGTTATTATAATCGAGAAAGTATATATAAATATATAAATATATTACATTGCGTCGCACACGAATCATATCCCGGATGATTCTATCTGCTTCTTTTTCGGTGATTGGAGTGGGATGTTTTGGGATTGGTTTTTGTAACGAACGCTTTGTGTTTTTCGTTTGTTTTAAGGAATCTATTGAGTTCTTTTCCGCGTTTTTGGGCTTTATAAGAGATAGAAAAATAAGACGTTAAAGGTAAATAGTTGGTGAATATTTACTTACAAATTCGCGTTTAGGGTAATTTTTATCATTGATTGAATTGCTTATATAAACATGAAGCGCGTTCCATTTTGATTCATCGTCGCTTGCAGACTAATAGATAGATATACATAGATATATATTTATATTAGTAAATAGAATTATGTAGATTTATGTAATAAAATACCTCTTCATAATCTGCTGTTTTTATTTGTGTGTCGCGAGCAGAACTGTTTTTGCCTTTGTTTCCTTGCGATTTCTGTCCCAACCTAAATGGTTGTTTTGATTTTAGTGCGTAGTACATTCTTCTCTTATTTATTTATTTATTTTTAAAAAGCAATGTAAATTAATTAGGCTTATAGACTGACCTCTTTCCCTTTCTAGTAGTATTGTCTTGAGATTTACAGGACAATCTAGGTCCATCGACCGTTATTTTGTCAGAAGAACGATAATTATGGTCAATGAAGTCTGCTTGAGTAAACTTTTTGACATTGTCCTCGACATTGTCCTCGACATTGTCCTTGTCTTTGACCTTGTCTTTTTCTTTTTCTTTTTCTTTGGCCTTGTCTTTGTCTTTGTTTTTGTCTTTGTCTTTGGCTTTGTCTTTGTCTTTGGCCTTGTCTTTGTCTTTGGCCTTGTCTTTGGCCTTGTCTTTGACATTGTCTTTGACATTGTCTTTGACATTGACATTGGGCTTAGATTTAGGTTTATCTATTTGAATACAATACATATACATATATAAATTAACAATTTTTAATAATTAATATTTTTAATTTTTATTAATTTGTATCTCAAAGATAATACATAGATATATAATGAAAATAAAGGGAACTACCTTTGTTTTGTGGAATTGTTTTGGAACTTTTGATGGTTACACTGGTGCTTTTTCGTACTGTCGGCGCTGTACCTAGATCAATCAAAATCCAAGATACGGCAACATTAAAATAAGGATTTTTCTTGTTTTTATTATCATTATTATCATTTTCTTTTATTTTTGCTGGTTGGTTGGTTGCTTAATAATTCGAGGTAAATGTGATAAAGAGTAAGACTTTCTTACCCTTTTTTTTAGATTGAACTAAAAGAAAAGTAAATTTTACAGATTTGTTGTTAGTATATTGGCTGCGTCCATTTTATCTTCTCGGAATTTTGCTAGATCGGGTACCTCCTTCCCTATCTCATTTTATATCTTTCTTGCAACAGCCATAAATTACAAAGTTACCTTCTTCAGTTTCTTTAAGGACTTTCTTTTCTGTCTCTTTTTTATTTCCACAGTAGGAGGCAGTCACCAGTCCACCATATGGTGAAAAATGGTTTATGCTCTAAAAAAAAATAAAGAACAACGCACACAAATTTTACCAGCCTTAGACCTTTCCTGTTCTCATTTTCTTTCTTTCTTCTTCTTCTTCTCTTTACCCCCTTTAGTGTCTCATAATATATTTAAACATACATTAATTCGATAAGGCTTTTCGTTTGTACCTGAAAAAAATAAACATAATAATATTTTTTAAGAGAAAAAATTGGAACCACTTTTTGCATTAAAAATACAATAAAATACAATATAATAAAAAAATAGGTACCTAATAAATTATAGATAGATTTCCAACTGTTGCCTAGCATCTGTGTACAAATATTTATATGTATATATTTGTATGTATGTATGTATTTAGTATATGTATGTATATATGTATGTATGTATATATGTATGTATATATGTGGGTATATGGGTATATGGGTATGTATGTATGTGGATATATATATATATTATATGTGTGTGTGTAAAGAGATAAATTATTAATTAATTAATAGTTATGGAATTTATATTTATATTATCACCTCCTCCGTTTTTTTTGTGTCTTGTTGGGTATTTATTCTAAACGTGTCTTTGGCCAAGGCCATTAAAATAGAGCTGGCTTCCAAGTCGTCAGCAGTGGGTTCCGTTTCTGATATCTTGGAGCGTTTTTTGGAGCGTTTTTGCGGTTTGTTGGAGTTGGAATGGTCATTGCTGGGATGGCGTCTTTTGATGGCGTGGTGTTTTTGGGTTTCTGTTGCGACATTGCGTTTGGGTGGCATGTCGTGATGGTAATCAAGAGAGACAGAGAAAGGAAATAAAAGAGAAAGAGAGAAAGAGAGAAAGATAGAGAAGAGAGAAAAGGTGAATAAAGGGGGGAGGGGGAGAAGCGGGACTGTCAATTTCTTTTAAATATATATATGTGTGTGTGCGTATTTTGGAAAGTGTAACAGGAATGGAATAGAATAGAAAAGAAGGTGAGCAAATAAGTAACCAATTAAGAGAGCAAGTTAATAGGCTAAGTGGATAGATATATAGATAATAAAAATACGTGTATTATTATTATATATATATATATATATTAGAATATTCTGTAGACTGTATATTAAATGTTAAGGGTATTGAGTATTAAAATATTGAAATATTGAAATATTGAAATTTTGAAATTTTGAAATATTTGATAGATGTAAATACATAAATACATAAATACATAATGAAAATGATGATATATATATATGTGTATATATATGTATATATATATATATATATGCTGTTGCGGTTGTTGTTGTTATTGATATTTGTACTACAAAATTTTGGCTTTATTTTTTTATAAAATAAATAAATAAATAATTAAATATCATGAAAAATAAAAAGGCATGAAATCCTTTTTGTATTTTTCGAGCTTTTTGGATCTGTTTGACTGGCTAGAATGCATAATATTTACACAACAGAAAACATGTGCGTGTAACTCTGGCTGATCCTATCGCATGCATTTTTCTTTCTCAAAATTATCCGCGGGCAGGAAAGCAAAACAAATAAGCCAACCCAGTGCATTGGAAGCGTGTGAGATTAGATCGGGTGTTTTCCGAGTCATATTCACCATCTTCTTCTTCTCATTCTCTTCTTCCTTTATTTCTTTATTACCTACTTCTTTACCCTTGTTACGAAAGAAGAGCAGAATTATTACCATGCAAGATATAATACACATTTAACTACCAAAAAAAGCTCACGCATAAGTACACACATTCATACACACATATAAACACATACAAACTCACATGTAAAATACATTTCTAAATACAATATCACCACTTTTTATTATTATTATTATTATATTGACTTTAATCGTTTCAAATTATTAATAATACCTTTAATTTTAGAAACTTATAACTTTGTAATTCTGTAATTCTGACTCTGTAAATCTACCACTCTGTAATTTTGTAATTCTGTAATCCTGCAATTCTGTAATTTCGTAATTTCGTAATTTTGCAATTTTGTGATTTAATTCTCACCCTATACTCCTTTATCTATTTTATTTATATTTATATTTATAATTATTTTTCTTTCTTTCTTTCTTTCTTTCTACTCCTTGGATATAATATATCCAAGGAGAATTACAATGTGTAATGTAATTCTTGGCAGCTTTGTGGTTTACATTTCACTTACTATTTAAAACACCGTAAAGCTTAGAAACAATTATAAAATAGCTTATTCAGCCTTCTTGCGTAGTGTATTTGAGTTTTAGGAAATAATAATGATAATGATAACAATAATAATCTATTGGCTTCTGGTTAATGTACCGCAATTTAGTATAGTGTAGTTTCAATGAGTGATGATGAACATCATTACACGGTCATCTCTTTGAGCATTACTTATTCACTCCACGTGCAATATTTCAGTCTACAACCAAAAGCATACATTTATAAACACACATATTTACATATATATACATATATATATACACTTGTTGCAATTTATAATAATAAAAGTAAAAATCACAAAAATTAACATTTTTTTTTCTTTTTCTTCTTTCTTATTTGAGGTTGATTTCCCTTTACGCTCCGTCAATATAAGAAAACAACCTTTTTTTTTCCCCTTTCTTATTTTATTTCTTCTTCTTCTTCTTCTTTTCTTTCTCTTCTTCTTTTTTTTAGGTTTTTAACACCTCTTATACCATACTTCTTGAAAGCAGACTGATAACGAGAAGAAGAAGAAATAGGACGAAACGCACCATCTCTACTGCTTCTACTGTCTTTCTCTATCGCCCTCTCCTTCTTCCTCTCCCTTCCTCTCTTCCATACACATACGCACAGCTTAACCTTCACCCCTCTTTATATACATAAACACACACACACACACACACACACATACATATATACATACATTTATACATTTTTTTTTTTTACTTTATCAACTCATTATAACCTCACCATTACCATTTTATCATCACCAAGCTAATGAGCCATTGCACGAATGAAAAAGAACCTACTCCTGCTGGGTCTCATCACTTCAGTTTGTTTGGAAAATCCAAAGGTACCTTTATTCGGCCTCTGTTATATTTCTTTACTCTTCGTTGTTGCTATTACTATTGGCTATTAGTACCTAATGCGTGATAGACAAAAGCAAAATATGTTAAAGTAAAAAGAGGTGTACTTGAAAATCGTGTGTTTGAATATTATATACATATACAAATATACATACAGATATTTACATTTTATATTTTGTGTATATAATTTATTTATCTTATTTTATTTTATGCAGCTAAGCGAAAGATCTTTAATAAATCTGACTGGAAAAAACCAAAACCAAAGCCCCCGCAGCAACCACAGCAACATCGTACCCATCGTCATGGCTATAAATTCTTTTCTCTCTTGATGTGTTGTACGTCTGGGGATGCTTTTCAGGAGAAATCTCACCAAAAAGACACCCACGTGGTTATAGACACAACCCGCCGGGAGAGCAGTAACAACGCCACAACATCGCAAACCATCACCTACTCAACTGTCTCGGTGCGAACGAAGGACGAAGAGACGACGGCTATCGAGCCAACAGACACAAAGCAGACCGCAAACCTATCCACAGCAGACACTCAGTCCGTTCAATCTTCTGTCGTACACCCAACTCTAGAAATACCCGAAACACCAACGGACCCTCCTCCACCACCACCAATATCAACAACAGTAACAGCAACACCAACACCAGAACTTCTGAAACCCTCACCTCCACCTTCGCCCTCAACTTCGCCTTCGCCTTCACCTTCGCCTTCACCTTCATCATCACCCTCGCCAGAAACTACAACACCTATATTAGAATCATCAAATATGCTCTGGTTACTCGACCCAATTGCTCCCAAAGACAAGGGTCGCAAATGTCTTGTTTTGGATCTTGATGAAACACTTGTTCACAGTGCATTCAAAGTAATTTTTTTCTTGAAACCTTTGTTTTGCTTTATTTTTACTTTAACTTTTTGTGTGTGTTTTCTAATCCTCTTTTTTATTTTATATATTTATTATTAATATTAATATTAATATTATTAATTTTGTGAATAGGTTGTACCTCAACCAGATTTTGTGGTACCAGTCGAGATTGACCATCAGGTTCACGATGTATATGTACTCAAAAGACCAGGTGTAGACGCTTTTATGAAACGAATGGGAGAGATTTATGAAATCGTAGTCTTTACAGCCAGTCTTTCAAAGGTAGTTTTCTATTGATCAATATAAATCCAGTCTATCTTACAATTGCTTTTGAAAACATATGTATATACATATAAAAAAAGTATGCAGATCCGGTCCTTGATATTTTCGATCGGCACAACGTCGTACAGCATCGATTATTTCGTGAATCATGTTTCAATTACAAGGGCAACTATGTAAAGGTAACCCTAAACTTTCAACCAAGTCCAATCAAATCCGATCCAACCCCAAACTTCAATGTGATTATAATATGTATATTTATTCTAACTTTTATTTTATTTTGTACTTCTAGGATCTCTCTCAATTGGGACGCGACCTGAGCAAGGTCATCATTCTCGACAATTCTCCTGCTAGCTATATCTTCCACACTGCCAACGCGGTCCCTGTATCATCCTGGTTTAATGACCCTCACGACTCTGAACTCTTGGATCTCATTCCCTTTTTAGAAGACTTGGCAACCGTAGACGATGTCACCGATATTCTTGATAATACCATTCCAGGTCCATTTTCCCACCTCTGACATTTTGCACCTGATTTTATTTTGTAAAGATAGCATGCTCATCCACAAACACACATACACACATACACATACACACACACATACACAACGTAACGCAACACAACACAATACAACCTCACAACGTCCCAAAATTGCACACCAAAACACACACACACACACATATTCTTCTTTTTCGGTTCTTTTTGTTCTTTTGTATGATTTCACTGTTCTTGCAAGCATGTCCTCCTTGTTCCTCTTGTTCTTTTCATTTTTATCTATCTTTAACCGAAATTCACTTTCTTATTCCTTCAATATTTTACTACCTCCTACTGTAGCTCATTTCACTTGCTCTCCAATTCTGTTTTTATAAGCTTTTTTTTTTAAAAAAAAAAGAAGAAAAAAAAAGTTTTTTTTTGCTGTTGTTTCTGCTGCTGTTACTCTTCTTGCTTCTGCTGTTACTTGTGTTGCTGTTTTTTGTTGTTCAATCTAGCATGTAAATTCGGGAAGCGACGTCGCTGACAATCCAGTCCATACCCTTTAGAAGATTATTTCCTGTTACAGCACTACAGGCCATAATGGCCCAATGGTGACTCTTGATATCATCTAATCCAAGCGCCTTGTTTTTTTTTGGATTGTTGTTTTTGTTTTTCCTTTTTATATCAATATATACTTCTTTTGTATTGCTTTTGTTTTGGTTTGATTTTGTCTTTTTTTACACATCAAATTGCTTAAATATTATTTTTATTCTTATCTTCACTCACCATTCGAATATCTTGTTCTGAGAGCGCGCCTGCTAAATCTTGTTTGTTTGCAAAGACCAATAGGGTGGCGCCCGCCAATCTCTAATAGTAATACACGATAATGATGATGATTAATGATGAATGTTTATTTAATATTTACACGCAATGCACACTTAGTCCAATCCGAACCAAGCCAAACCAAATCGATCCGAAGAAGGTTATCAGTTATATTTACATCTACATTTATATTTATATCTTATTATAATTATTACCTCTTCTTGCAGCAGCAAGCTTAATTCCTGCTTACAATCCTGCATTCTGAGACGATCTGCAGAGTCAACAACCCAAACCAGTGCATCCGTCTGCTCAAAATAGTTTCGCCAATAAGATCTAATTGACTTTTGCCCGCCAACATCCCAAATATTGAGTTTGTATCTTTTAAATATATAAAATATATTATATCGTTTTTCTTTTGTTAGTATCATTATTTAATATTTTTGATTAATAAAAGTTTATTAACAAAACATTCAATTTGAGAATTTCAAACATCTTGCTTATTTAATTATTTTTACTATTTTCTTTGTATATATATTTGCTACTTACGCTTCATGTTCAAGTGTCTTGATGTTGAACCCAAGTGTAGGTGAAATTGTGTCAATTGGTTCACCATTAATACGCTTCAAGATGGTGGTTTTGCCTGCATTGTCAAGTCCCCTGAATCGCACAAATTAACTCATCATAACCAAATTTCTGTTTGTTGCTGGTGAAAGAAGGGATTTGGGTACTTGCAACATCAGGATTCTCATCTCTTTCTCCTTTTGTCGGTTCTTCTTTAGAATAGTAAGTAATCCCATATTTGCTGAAGAGATGTAATTTGTGCTGTTGTTATTTTTGCTTTCGTTCTCAACAAGAAGATGAACAGGAACTAAATATATTGATCTTTCATTTCCCGCATCACGTGCACGATATTTATGCAATTGTCTGGCAATGGCGTTGTCCAAAAGGCATTTATACTCTTGCCAAAAAATAAAATAACAACAAAAGTATTCCTTATTTGGAAATCACACACACGCAGAGAAATAGAGAGGTGTGTATGCGCGTCAAGTCTTTGTAACTCCCTTTTTTTTGGTATCATTTATATATATATACATGTAAAACTGTGTGTGTGTGTGAGAGGAAAGGACGGAAACGCCTACATAAGAATAATATACTAAAAGCCAAAGACAAGTATTGTGCCCTAAAAAAACAAATGAAGTACTATTGACTACAATAAATTGTATCTTACAGCCTAACAATGAGCAAACAGTCCAATCAGTTTCGGTTATTTGTGTTTCAATAATCAAAGAAGACATGATGATGCATAAAAAGACAATAAGTCACGTGAATTTGTCAAAGGAAGACACAAACACACAGACACAGAAACAGATATATAGACACAGAAACAGACACAGACACGCAGAATTTTGAACTTATTCTATACTTTCGGCGCACCATGTCTCGATCGAAAGCGGCCGAAGAGGCCTTTCTAAAACAACAGGCATCTGGATCACATGGCCCAGTCAGACAATCCAGATCCTCAGCAATCTCCAAACAAGTTCTCAAAAACAACCCAATTCCTCAAACTGTTCATAGTAGTCCTAATCTCCTGCTGCCAAACACAGCACGTGTAAAGGCAAATCAACCATTGAGAAGCACAAAGGTGTCTCAGAAGCTGGTTTTGTTCCCTCAGGCCTCTACAGAGGCTGAATCAACGATGCAAGCTACTCTTCCGATCGATGGCGATTACCATTTTGTTCCCGACCATGAACAGCAAGGTGACCATATTCCATTCGAACGTGAAGTCTGGCGTGAGCAACCACAGGGGGGTGTTCCTCTGCCGGTCGAGTGGACATTTGGATCCCGCACTGCTGCAGAACGCATGACAAAGGATGAGCGTGATCTGGCAATCCTTCCTCGGGTAGCAGCCTACTGCACAGGCGATGGATACGATCTTGACCGCTTGCGTCCCTTTCTGCGTGAACACCACCACGTCACTCCTCGACTCTACGATGAATGTCTTTATGCTGCTTACCATTTCCCACTCAGAACACTCAGACCTGGCAAAGACAATTTTTATAATATCCGAGTACGTAGCTCAGCACCAGTGCCTGCCCAGACACCTGTAGAAGAGCAGGAGATGAATTATGACGAAGACCATTATCAGCAAGATGAGAATGTACCCGAGCACGGACGCTCAGGACACTCGTACCCCGAAAACTACGATCGTAGACCTTCGGTGAGTAGTGCAGTATCTATGCCTGAACGACAATTGAGTAGCATTGAACAAAATTCCGAACCAGTTCATGCTGAACACATGGATGTAATAAAGGAAAGAGAAGAGGATGGGCAGAGTTACAATCCGGATAAGTTTGAAAATTATGGGAATGGTGATGGTGATCAAACCCCACAAGTAAAGGATGAATACCTCAATGAGCAGAACGATTACTTTTCGTCTCAACAAAAGTCGGTCTCAGCACCCGTATCTCCACTTGCGAACATGACAGATACTCCTGGTCTATCTGAACACCCCCCACAAGTACAGGTAGCTCCCAATGGACCACCAAAGAAGCCTTTTACCGGCGGAGAAATATTTATCTTCGATTATGGTGTGGTTGTGTTTTGGAACTTTCGCCGTGCCGAAGAACTCTTGACCCTTGAGGATCTGGCTCCTTTTTCAGTACGACCTTTCAGAGATAACCCGGACGAGGATATGCAGATTGAGGAAATGCACTTCCAATATGATACATCACAGTTGAAACCTCGTATCTTTAACGACATGATTACTCTCAAGACAGGAAATCATATGATAAAGTTGACCTTGTCTCATGGACTGTCTCAAAGTGCTGTTCTTGCTCGTTATGAGGATATCATGGACAAGACTATCGAAGTAAGAGAAGAAAACAAGAAATAAGAAGGTGGCTTCCTATTGGGTTCTAGATATTGTATATTGAGACCGGATTTTTTTTAATAGGATACAAAACATCTGCCTAAAGAAATGGCTCAGACTGGTCGGTTGGATAAGAACCGTACAGAAATTACAAAGATTAATGGACAGTTGTTCAACTTACGTATGAATGTAAATCTGGTGTCCAATGTGCTTGGTGAGGAAGATTTACAATTAATCCTCTGAAATACAAGGAAACTTTACTAATGATACTCTTAGACACACCCGAGATCTTTTGGTCTGAACCTGCATTACAGCCAATGTACAATGCAATTCGAGGTATGACATCCCCTTGCTCCTCCAGATGAAATATTGTACAAATAATGTGATTCCCTCCTTTCCCTCCTTTCCTAACCTACATATTATTAACTTTTTACTTTTCACAGATTACCTTGAGGTACCTCAGCGTGCTCAAATCTTGAACGACAGACTTCGAGTGATTTCAGATTTACTTTCTATGCTGAGAGACCATTTGACAAATTTTGGCGTTGAATACCAAACTTTGATTATTATCTATCTTATCATTGTTGCTGTAATTGTTGCATGTGTAAGTTATCGGTATTCTTTATTTCTGATATGTTAAATGAAAACTGGGCTAATTTTTTTCTTTCTTTTTTTAATTTAGTTTGAAATTGCCGTTAAGATCATGCAATCTATTGAGGTAGTCTAGATGATTTGCTCCAAGTTGATGACCCTCCAAGTACTCTTGTGATTTCAAGTAAAAAAAAAATGAAGAAGAAAAAGAGATCCTTCCTTCCCAACCATTTGCTTTTCTCTACCTTTTTTTTCATGCATGTTTATATTATGTGCTTACACTTGCTTATTACAAAAACTCCCACCCACTCACTCACTCACTCACCTACATACATATATATATATTATTTGATTAGATATAATAAACAAGACAAAGGGGAAAAAAGGTTGTATTTGTACAAACATTAGATTACATTTACTTAGTAAAAGAAGAACAAAGAAATAGAAGAAGAAGGGGAGACTATGATTGCCTTTGGTAGAATGCAAGACGATGATTATATAAATATTTATTTTAAGATTTGTGGGTTGCGTATGTAATTTGTTTTTGGTCTTCAAACGCTAGAATTAGTTATACTATAATAGATAGTGATAGTACTTGACATAAGTTTGAGAGAGAGAAAGAGAGAGAGAAACAAAACGAAAAAAAAAAGAAAAAGACAAGAAGAAACCAAATGCGTTCTATAAAGCTCTAAATAGGAAGCTTGCGTGTGTTGACAAGCTTGAGACCTTTGCCAAGGATGAGGGGTGCAACAAGAAGGCCAGTAAACGAGAGAAAGAGGCCAAGGAACAAGATACCATATGTAATTGCAATTTTTTTACGCGTGCGAACCTGCTTGGCTGTCCAGATTGGTGGCCGGATCTGCTTACTTGGCCTCAGCCAGAAAAGCATAAGAGAGTGGGCTGTGTTTATGTACGGAATAAGGCAGAACACAGACAGGAAGAATAGTATAAAGTGCCCGAGGACAAAATCGACTGCAAATTCACTCATTTCTACTATCTTGCATAGATATTCTCGAAGAGGCTGTGAAATGGCTATAAAGTAGTTAGTATACCATAAGGTTCTTGTATATATATTAATTTAAATAACACAAATGTCTAGAATATTAGAAGAAAAAAAGCTTACCATGCCATCCAAGCTGATAATAATGGAAAAATACAGAACATAAAGCAAGAATACAAAAATGTTAAATCATGGCACACGGAGGACATCTATTATTAAAATAAAATAAAAAGCTTAAACAACTTACCCCACGGCCGTACCACTTTCCAGTCCACCATCCACGATTGGATTCATCATGTTTGAATTCACGTGTCAAGAACATAACAGTGAACACCTTAAGAACAAATCTTTGAAGAGCCACCATAGATATAAGCCCCAAAACAATATTGAGTAACTTCCAGTCCTCAAGCAACATCAGTCCCTCGAAAATTATTATCAAATTTAACACAGACCATCCGTGCGCTAGAGCAGCCATGACCGAGCCAAACTTTACACAACAAAGACTCAGTATAGATCCAAGTGAAATAGAAACAAAGAAGAAGATGGCAAGTGCACCTGCATTCAAAAGGATGGGCGCAAAGGCTAATACTCCAATACGAATCAAACCACTGGGGCCAGTACTAGGCAGAGCACTGTCATCTGGATCAAAGCTTTTGACAAATACGTATGGAACAACGCACAGGATTGCATTGCACAGTGGAATGACAATCTCAGAAAAAAACACTGATCCGATACGGGCTCTTGGAGTGTCGCTGGTAACAATTGCATTTTCAGTCAGACGCCGCTTGTACCCCGTGATACGCGTTCTTAGCGACCTTGTTTCATTGATCCAAGAACTCTTGTGCGACTTTGAGTTTCCTCTTGAAAGCCATCGAATAAACTCTCGGTAGTCTACCAAAAAATCGATAAGTGCAAACTGGTTGGGGTTGAAGACAAACGGAGAGATAATCAAGGCAATCACGGTGAACCAAAAGTAAATCAAGTGCGGGATCCAAACGGCCAGAGATATAAAAAGCATGATGAGAAGATTGCGGGCACCAAGATACACACTCGCACCAGAGAATCGAGAATACAGCACTGAGAATGGAATACGCGAAGTAGCGAATCCTCGGCCGGTACCAATGTACTGAGCACCGCCATATACAAGATTTTCTAGAACAGAATTTGTGTAAATTTGGGTCACAAAAATCTCAAACAGAGGTGAAAGCGAGACAAAGTGCCGCCCAAGTCGAGTCAGACCACGCCAAAAGCCACGTTCTGTCAGCTCTTGGAGAAACAATGGTAAGAAAGATACAAAGAAGACGACAAAAATGGATAGAATACAACGCTTGACCCACTCAAAGATTGGAACCATATTGTAACATCCAGCGGGTATAAGTGGGGCATCAGGTGGAGCATCTGCATTGTATTCACACACCAAAAGTGTAGATCCCATTGCACCAATAAACAGTAACGCAAGCATAAACATCTGCACAGACAGAATGATAAATATGTTGTTGATATGGAATCCGGGATGAGCATAGTAGAATGTCAGAAAACGATCCAATGGGAGCTGGGTGCCGATATAATAATATTCTCGAGACAGCATTTGTTCACCCATACCCGTACCAATCTTGGTTGTAAAGTTGAGAATTGACCCAAAACCAAGATCACGGCCCTTTCCGCACTGGAAATACTCGGTGTGCTTGATTCTGCCACCACGTGTGAACGCATTCATGCCTGCGTAAATGTCTTCGTTTAAGTGAAGTCCCTTCTGTGCCTTACTGACACCTCCACGAGTTGTCATAAAAATAGCATTTAGGAAATCAGGGTGGCCATAGTGAAGTTTTCCTCCAATCTTTGCCATTATACGCTGCGTCAATGTACCAAAGGTCTGCTCTTTTCCAGCCGCCACATCACCCAATACACCGACGTTTTCTGAAAAGATATATTCTCTTGCGCCAACAATGGCTACTGGAGAGGTCTCTACGTTCTGCCATGCTGGGGAATATGGCGAGATCTCGGTTGGCTCGAGGTTCTCAAACTCACCAAGGACATTGCGGATCTTGAGGCACTCTTCTAGGTAATTATCTTGATTTGCATCAATAAGCTGGAGGAATTCGCCACGATAGAATATAATGGCGTGGTTCTGATTATCAGACTTTCCGTCTCCAAGAATTGGGTTTCCTGGTAGTCGAACACGCAGACGAGGTTCTCGTTTACCGTTCTCCAGGATTTTGGAGCGCCCATCGATCAAGACTGAGTAGTATGTTATCTCATCTCCTTCTTTCTCGGGTGGCACTTCTTCTACATATGCCACCTGTAGGTCTGGATATGATCTAAATAAAAACTCGGCATCTTCGGCCTCTTGCTTCTGGAACTTTGCATAACGCTGCATGGCAATAAGAAGCTTAAACTTTCGGCGCGAAAGACGATCTAGATCGGATTCAAGCTTTTCTTGATTGTCTTGATAACGATGAATGGTATCTGGGTTTTCCACACGGTAGAGTAGCTTGATAGCCTTTCGGTAGTTCATAAATCCAGAAATGGTACGGTACAGAGTTTGAGATCGAAGAGAAGCCCATATACGAGTACGAAGGGTATATTCAGGCTTGGAAGACTTGAACCCAATACAATAGAATGGCAGATCGTCAATCTTTGTCTTTACGGTATCCTTTTCGTTCATTCCAATTATTGAGCCCCCACTCTCTACAGAGTCAATACAGTTGGCTTCGTCTACCATGATCTTGGTGTCCATGACAAAGTTCTCCCACTCGACTGGATGAAGTTGTTTTAGGTATTCAAGCAAAGTCACTCGTGTGTTTTGGTCTTCTTCTCGGATAATTTCCCGAAGTGTTAACAAGGTCTTTTCACCATAGTGGGGCTAACACAATTAATAGTAAAGAGAAAGAGAGAAAAGAGCGATAAATAAAGATATTTGTGGTACCAATGTTAAATTTCTATACATTTTATACTTACAACAAGTACAGTAAATGTCGGCATGCACTCTACAGGCCTTGGTTGAGGCATAGGAGTTGTAAGACTCTGTGCAAAGAAATGAATTCTACGCTCAGCTTCACCATGTTGGGGGAAATATTCTGTCTTAAAGGCAGTGTCTTCTTGAGACACAAAGAAGGAGGGAGGTTTGAGTGTTCTTTGGCCATTTACAGGGTTAATTTCCTGACAGATGAAATCGGTTAGTTTAATAAACTTTCTACGAAAATGTAAAAAAAGAAATGCATATATCTATTTATATATACCTGCTGGTAAAGCATTCTCTGCACATGCTCTACAGTTATGAGATGCTCTCTGTACATAGTAATTACAATAGCATTCCAAATCTGAGAGCACAATATTTTAGGCTTGTACTGAATTTGGATATCGGAAGAAGCTAACAGTTTAACAAATATTCGTTTGGGCAGACGAGAAAAGATGTTTCTCCAGGGAGACCAGATAGAAATTCCGAGATAAAATGAACGAGCGACTGAGAATACAGTATTCCAGATAATGTACCAAAGATAGGTGTCCAAAAAATAAAGAACGAGATCCATCATAAACATGAGTGCGAGTGTGATATTGGGCATATAAGTACAAAGTAAAGTTCCCATAATCTTGTCTTGGCAATTCTCTATGCTCATTTTGCTCATAACTTTAAGAGGGTCTTTGAAAGACAGGGCCAAGAAGAAGTAGGATTCGAGCAGCTTGCAAGAGAATACAAGGATCCACAACGATATAGACATGATACGATCGATTTTCTTGAGATGCGGAAAATTTGCTGTAAATTGTCGATTGGCCAATGTGGATCGAACATTCTTTTTTGTTGATCGTACAAAGAGACGAGATGCTGGTGTGATTGCTAAGAAAAGAGTGGTTGCGATACTAATCAAAAGTTGGGCAAGAGCAACCAGTTTGGATATCCCACTCTGTCGATCGAGAAAGACACAGTAAACTGACGGACCGGCATTTATTAGAAGCAAGACAAATAGGATCATAATACGGCGGCTGATCATTTTTGTATTGGCCCAGGACATTGGCAAATAAGAGTATTCTGAAAAGGATCCTATAAGCATCAACATGACAGCAATCATACCGCCTAGAGCGACAATGGACCATTGGACAGACGATTCAAGCTTTGCTATTTCTGGGTCTGGATCAAGGTAAAGAGATGGTGCGTTGGCACTCACGTAGTACCAGAAGGATACAATGTGAATGATCCACACTCGGGTAAAGTTGATAGAGACATGCATCCATGTACGCTTCTCCTTGTAAGTCTTGCGAAAGGCCAGCTTCCAATTGGCTTCCTTGAGGTGTAACCAGCGCTCGTGAATCGGCAGGTCTCCGAGTTGTGTCTTTTCGTCGGTGAGCAATATCCGACTGAGGCATGTAGGGTGCCAGAAGAATTGATTTACATCATCGTAACCAATTATCTCGTCGTGGTCTTTTTCTCGTTTGGCATATCTGCCATTGATTAATTCGTAAGTTTGGTCACGAAAAAATCTATAAAGGGGTGTGGCAATATCGTCAACATATGTGCCTTCTGGAATATCAGGACATTCTCCGTGGCAGTAATAATCACTCGCCAGCTTGTAGAGAAAACACAGGGTTTCTGGGGTAAATCGAACAGCAGCGGCTTCTCCCCAGATGAGTAAGTACAGGCCGAGATCTCGTATCTTCTCATCGTTTGTGAGGGCTCGCATTCGAAGTTTCCAGCGTTCTTCTGCTTTTTCAAGTAATTGGGCTTCGTCTAGATCTTCCTCAACTATTCTCTTTTCGTTATTGGCTTCATCGTCGAGGATGTCCATCTGTGCTGCAAAGTACCATTTGCGGTAGTTTGCCCCTTCTCCACCGATGTAATCAGCATGTAGAGTATCGATTGCGATCTGTGGCTTTACACGCGAAGCCCGGGAATCGAGCATTGTCATTAGATGGTCAAAGATATTTCGAACACTATCATTCTGAAACCCAAACTTTCGCCCAAGATTCTGTAAGATAGCTTCAATTTCTCGTGGGGTGATTGGGATTGCGTCTTTAGGACCCCAAGCTGGGTAAGGCACGTCTTTTTTTTCTTCTCCTTCTCCTCCTTCCTCGCCTCCATAGGCCAACAAGGTATTTCTAAACGGCTTGGTATCTCCAGGTATTGGTTTATGAACCGAAGAACTACTCTCTGAGTGTGCGTTTCCTTTGTACTTTTTACTTTCTAATAAAGCCAGCATGGAGTCTGTTGATGTTCCGTAACGCATGTATCGGTTGTCTTCTCCGTTAGACATAGAGGCGAGTACGTCGATAACATATGGATTTTGTTTTTCGTGGATATTTGCTTGGATAGAGTTTGGAAATACCGGGGCAGGCTGATCTACATTATTGGCCTTAATGGGTTTCTCTTGTAGCTTTATCGCATTTTCTATTGTAGAATAATAACAATAATAAATAACAGCAATGTATATAATATATAAAAGTCTTTAATATTGAGAATGCAAACTACACGATCCAATCGACTTTGTCCGGAAATTTTTATTATCCAGACAAGATGCATTCCAGAACTGGTTGATCAGATTATGACCAGCGAGACGACATTTACCTTTTGGAAGGTCAGGAGCAGGTGGTGGGGCAACTGGGATACCTGAACTAGAGTTTTTCTTTTGAACCATACTGATTGAATGTGAATGAGTTTTTATTTTTATTTTATTTTATTGCCGTTGTCATCGTCATCGTCGTTATTGTTATTGTTATCGTTGTCGTCGTCGTCGTTGTTGTTGTTGTTGTTTTTTATTTGTTTTTGGTAAGTAAAAGTCAATCAAGTATCTGCATATATATTTTCAAAAAGAAGAAGAACTAAAAAGCAATGCTACCTTGTATAATAGGCACGTATTTCAGGGAAATCTCCATCTTTAATAGGGGCTTTTCTGTCAGTGCTGCCTTTTCGTTGTGCGTTAGTAACGTCTGAGATGTCGTCTAAAGGTGCCTTTGTACGCGACCTTTGTCGTGTTGGTTCAGCGTTGGGTGCTGTGTGCGAGTTAGACGAAGGTTTGTCTGGACCTTGGGACGACATAGTCGGTCGTCGAGCTGTTGGGTGTAGGTGGTCGAGCAAGTAGTATTAGGTGAAACTTAGATTAATAGTTGTATGAGAAGAAGAAAGGAAAAGTACGTTAAATGAAAGACACAGGGTAAAGATTAGATATATGACGTTAAGTGAAGTGAAAACAAGAAAAAGAAGAGCACCGATAGTCTAGTGAATACTTCTCTCTCCCTCTCGCTCTCTTTTTTCTCTTTTCCAAGACGGTTTGTTTTTTATTGGCATCATTTTATGTCGCTCCAAACAAATGGATGGTTGCATTTTAAAGGAGCTTTATGAAAAACATGTCTCCTTTGGAGATTCAAAAATGTTCGTTATCACAGACATCTGTCGTGTGTCTTTCTTGAGGGTATGTCGTATCTTTACAATTCAACCTTTCTCTTTACACTATTATTATCATTATTGGGATTTTCACTTGCCTGTCTTATTAGACTTCTTACAAGATCAAAGGCAGCCTAATATTGATACAGAAAACGTCTTGTTCTCTTTTTTTTCCTTGTGTATCCTATCTATCTATGTTTGTCTTTTTCATTGTTTTAAAGCCAATTTGACTGATACTGGGTTACGATAATTGTCCTCGTGTGGTTTTATATATTGCATTACATTACATATAATTTGTATTCAAAATTATATAATTAGGTTTCTCTCTAGTGTTTGTTTGGTTTTAACCTCTTGCTTAAACTTGATTATTAACACTATTTTCCGAGTAATTTTTCTTTATTTTTTTTTTTATTTTTTTCGTTGGATTTTTGTATCAAAAATAAAAATAAAATCTCCATTATTTTATAGGTGGAATATACAACTGTAAAGCACACAGATCCACAGCCTAAAATAATCTGTTGTGTTACCCACAAAATAAAAAAAAAACACACACACACACAGTGCTTATTGTTCAAATTGTGACCACTTATTTTTGACTTCTATCCCTTCTTTCCATACCACTTTACATCCCCTCATCCTATCCCTCACTCCACCCCCTCTTTTCGTGTATATATATATATAATTCTTATTTTTATTTTGGAATTTTTCTTGATGTTCTCTACATCTAATTATATATACACAGAGCTTATTAGTATTTACCTGTAATTCTTTGTTCTTTTGTGTTCTTTCTCTCTTTGATCTTCTTACTTTATAATACAATTACCAAATCCCAAGTCTCAAGCACGTGACAGCTCATGTATATAGCCTTTCAAGGTTGTCTTGTCAATAATAAAGATCATCATTGAAAAATAATAATAATCTATGTATATAAAAAAAAGCTCTTGAATCACGTGAAGGGCTCTATAGTTGACGTCACCAAAAATATGAGTCCGATCGAATAAAGCGCCCTTCAAGTCCCTGTTGCTTTAAAAGAAAACTTGTTCATTCAGCATGTTTCGATCGACAATTTCACGTTTTCAAAAGTCTGTGGGCCTGACCGCAAAGAGAGCTTATTCTGCTGGTACAGAACAGCCTGGTGTTCAAAAGGCTGCTCACAACTTGGCTGAAGAAGCTCTTGCCCAAAAGACTGGCGGTAGCTACAAGAACAAGTCAACTTTGCCCAAGGGTGACAAGAAGCCGTCAAAGGCCGGCGGTGATAAATCCGGTTTCTTAAAGCCTCTTGCTATTGGAACTGGTGCTGTTGTTGGATTTACCGGTGGTGCTCTTTTCTACTATGGTAAAGTTTTTATAACAACAACAATAAAAGTGAATTTAGACAGCTAAAGAAAAAATGAACCCCGATTTTTTTTGTATGTGTATTTGTGCTGCGGGGTACCTGGATGATTTACTTTAGGTCGTCCCTTTGAAGATGGTAGAGAAGATAGGGTAAGCAACTACTTCTCCCTGTGTATATATTGGCAGCTTCTGATCGAAAACTCATCCAATTGACAACCACTTTGTATGTGTAGTATGTAGACAAGGACCCTTTGAGTGCAGCATACCACCGTTGTGTCGATCGTTACAATGAGTTCCAAGAAGTAAGAATTGGCGAATGCGCAGTGGATACTGAAAGATTAAATTAATTGAGATGAGAGATAGCAGAAAGCAGAAAGCAGAGAGAAAAAGAGAAGAGTGGTAGAGAACGATGACTTATTCGTGTGCATGTGTGTGCAAATAGAAACTCAACAACCCCATGTGGGATAAACTTCTTCCTGATCCATTGCCTGAACCCTATCGCCGTCCTTATACTCTTGTGATCAACTTGGATGAAACTCTCATTTATTCTACCTGGGATGTAAGGATTAATTAACAGCATTTCATGTAAAGTATACATAATAATGAACCAAATATTGTGATCATTAGAAAGAGCACGGATGGCGTCACGCAAAGAGACCTGGTGTGGACTACTTTTTATCCTACCTGTCTCAATTTTATGAAATCGTGATCTTTACTTCACAGTCATCTATGGTGAGTATTGTTTATTCTGAGGATTGTGTACATATGTATACATGAACATACATGTGGCGGCTTATTAAGTATTTGTTTGTGTGTATACGTGCGTGTGTTTTTTATATAATTGCATTAGAATGCCATTCCTATTTTAGAAAAGCTGGATCCTTACCAGTATTCTATGTACCGCCTTTACCGTGAGTCGACTCGCTATGTAGATGGCCAACACATCAAGGATCTGTCACACTTGAACCGTGATTTGAGCAAGGTTATTATCATGGATTCCAACCCTTCTGCATTCTCTTTGCAGCCTGAGAACGGAATTCCTCTTAAGCCCTGGAAGGGACAGCCTGGAGACAAAGGACTTTTGGAGTTTATTCCATTCCTGGAAGGTATGCTTGTGTTTTCTTATTATCCTTACTTTAGAGAATGTGAGATGATGTTTGATTAAAGTTATTAATTTTTATTTATTTATTTATTTATTTAAAACAACAACAACAACAACAACAACAACAACAACAACAACAATGATAATGATAATGATAATGATAATGATAATTATAATTAGCTATTGCACTTACCAACCCTGATGATGTGAGACCTATTTTGAAGAGCTTTGAAGGAAAGCAGATTCCTATTGAATGGGCCAAGAGAGAGAAAGAGATGGAAATCATGCACAGAAAACAGTGGGAAGAGGAGCAGGCGTCCAAAAAGACAAAGCGTAACCTTGGATCCTTCCTCGGTACTGGCGGTGGTGTTGCTCAGGCCACTGAGGCACCTCCACCATCTTATCTGGATCAGATGAGAAAAAATATTCGTGAGACATTTGCTGCCGAACATGAGCAGATGAAGCAACAGCAAGATGAGATTATGAAGAAGGATATTGAAGCACAGAAGGAACAGATGAGAGCTATGAAGCTTACTGTTTGGGATTTGATGACCAAGGCATCTACAGTAAGTTTTATTTATTTATTTATTTATTTTATCATTAACTGAATAATTTTCGTCGTAGGGCCAACCTTTGATTCCTGCAAACAGTGAACCTACACAGCCTGAGCAGCAAGTTTAAGATGTACATTTAGGCACAAACATATTAGTTGATACACCCAAAAAAAATAATATCAAAAATAGACAATTTTTTTCTTTCACAATCCAAACTCTCACAAGCGTGAGTCTTTAGGTTATTTTATCTTGTTATTTATTATGGATCCTTTATCACTCTTATATCATATTTATAAGAAGAAGATAGATAGTGAGCAAATGAGTGAATATGAGTATGTGTGTGTAGGGTATAAAAGGCTTTTTTTTTTTTAAAAAAAAAAAAGAAACTAATAACGGGAGTAAGGAAACTTCTCATGCCAAACTGTTACCATGTCATACAAACATGGTGTTTGTGACTGACTCGCATCGACCACCCAAAACAGTGGCGATCAGTGTTTTGGTGTGCTTGTCTAACAAAGTACAGGTTGGACTTGTCGAGGGAAATAAATAGCTAATGAATAATTTGATTTATTTATTGTCTAGAACATAGTTATTGTAATTTAACTAGTCACGAAGGTTCGATCTATTCTCCAGTCCTGCTCATTCCATCTTTGTCTGTCTTTCTTTGGGTTCTCTTGGCGTAAAATGATTGTACAAGAATGAATATGACTGATTTTTTTTTTCTTTTTGGGGTGGTGGGGGGTGGTGAGATAAATTTGTTTATAAAAGAGATATCTTGGTGTAACTTATATGTATACGAGCATTCTTTGGGATTACAGACTCTAATCCCTTTAGATGGCAAGTATTGGAGAACAAAAAAAAAGATAATATATAATATGAATTGTGTTTTTTTTTTCGAAGGGATTTATTTGTGTATTTGTTTGTTTATGTGCCTTTTGTTTAATATAAAGTTGCTCCACAGTAAGGAAATGGAAATGGAAATGGAAATGGAAATGGAATGGAATGGAATGGAATAGGATGAAAGTGTATGCGAAAGTGAAAGGGAAAGTAGAAGTAAAAGTATATGTGGAGGATATAGAAGGAGAAGGATGACTGTTTTTATTAGTTGCTAAGTTACTTGGTTGCTAGGTTATATATTTATATATTTATTAGAGAGGCCAAATCATGTACTAAAAGCCAACAACAATGACAAAAACAAGGCAAACATATCACTATCTATAAAGGTATTTTTGAAAGTAAAACGACACGATAGAGGGAGGGAGAAGAAATATTATTATTATTATTATTAGCATTATTTAGCTTTTGGTTGTGGTGTTGTGGTACTATTGTTTGCTATTTGGTATTTGGTATTTGCTGTTTACTGTTGGCTGTTTGTTTGTTTATTTATTGTTGTTGTTGTTGTTGTTGTTGCTTTTGGTTAAAGTATTTGACAAAAAAAAAGAAAAACCATATCTAATCTTTTGTTTAACATGTATCGTAGCTACCAATATATAAATACACATACATATATATTTTTTTAGCTTTTAATAAGTGATTTTATTGGGTCATATTTATATCTCAATCTGGATACCACTTTAGATGTAAAAATAAAATAAAAATAAAATAATAATTCCCTGATAACAAAATACGTACATATATACATAAAAGTCTATAGAACAATGGCAAAGTTAACTGCCATGAGGATAAAGAAGAGGAAGAAGAAGGGAGGAAAAAACCGGTGAGAGGGAGGGGGAGGAGGGTATTTGGTGAGTGAGAGTGTTATTTTATTAAATATATATATGTGTATGTATTTGAATAATAAAAAACCCTTTTTTTTTATTCACTAGAATTAGAATTCTGTCTATACTTCATTCTCGGACACAAAAAGAATCAGTTAGTCGAGTGGCACGTAGTACACAACACGGACCCGACATTCCGTCCTTTTCTCTCTCTCTCTCTTTCTCTTTATTGCCTTATTGCCTTATTGCCTTATAGCTTTCTTGGTATCTCCTTTTCTCCCTCAACTCCACTCGACTACACTCCTCCTTCACTCCCCCTAATTTTCCCCTATATATATATATTTGAATGAATGGTAACTGTCGAGAATTCCGGCTTGATTTCTAAAAACAGTCAAAAGAGTAAGGTGCAATATGTGGGTGGGTTTGTGATAAAAAGGCATAGAAAGGCAGTAGATACCTTGTTCTTGTGATAATGCATCGCATTCAACCAAACCAAACCAAACCAAACCAACCCAACCCAACCCACCAGCCCACCCCTTATTTTAAATATTTTTGTACTTTTTTTGTTGGCCAATTCTATCGCTTTCTCTAAAACAGATTAGAGCTCTCAAGTAGCAGGGATGCACAACATTAAGACAAGAACCACACCTGATGACCGCATCTCGAAACACAAGAGTGCACACAATCCACGGATGAGAGACACCGATGGAATCGATCTTCAAGATATAAAAAAAAAATACAAAAATAAAAATAATATATGCACATGTCAGGTAAAGTCAGGAATAAGTTGTTGATTGACAACCTCTTTATTTCAATTTTTTTTCTTTTTTTTTTCTTTCTCGGCAGTTTTGTGCTTTAGCTACTGCAGGATTACACTTGACATTGACAATAATTATTAAGCAGCAATAGAAATAGTGATAATAAGTAAAAGCATCTTAAAATGTATTCACTTTTATATATATATTTTATATGCTTGATTGTTTGATAATCATTAATGAAATAAATGAAAAATAAATAAATAAATAAAAAGCCTTGTTGGTGATGATGTGAATTCATTTGACGATAAGGTGTTTTTAAATAACTATGGATACATATATAAAAACATGAAACGGTGGTGCTGCCGATCATAGGACCTATAAACGGGAAAGCGCGGTCAGTTGGTAACAGTCAGCCCACTCCAGTTGATTTCTGAATGAAAAACGTCTTAAAAGAGGGTAGGCAGGTCTTTTGACAACTGCGTATTTATCTGACTATATCTGGAAGGACCCAATCTTGGACATAACATTATTATAATATTTATATATATATATGTGTGTGTTTGTATATGGATATAGTGTGAGAGTGTGAGTTAGAGTGTATTTGAACTTACAATACTAATGATTTCCAGTATTGTAAATGATCTATTTCTCTCTTCATCTCTTCCTCTCTCGCTCTTTTTCCCTCTCTCTCTTTATATATACATGTATCTGTGTATTTTATTAATGTGTGCCTGTGTGCCTGTGTGCCTGTGTTTGTGTATAAATTACATTAATATTTTTATGTTACTAATATTAAATAAATATACACAGTGGTCCGTGAATTCTAAATAATAAAATAATAAAAGCCTATTATTGTTATTATGATTATTATTTACTATTGTTATTTCACTCACACTAAATGTACTTGTATTACAGCTGATATTGATAACATTTTCTCTCTTGATGGTAACTAAATAGAAAAATTGAAGATCTCTGTTTAATCAACTAAAAAAATGTATATACAATATATAATATAACGTATAAAATAGAAAATAAATAAATAAAAGTTACACGTTAAAGGGGAGCAAAGGGAACTTGCATAAAGCAAAAATTGAATAGAAATACGCTTGTTATTAACTTGAATATATATATATATATAAAGAAACAGCTAGATGAAACTGCATTCAGCGTGTGAACTTAGTCTTGAGAGCCTGCATCTTCTACCAATGAATTGGATTCACCCATATAATCTGCATTTCATGAGGATTTTATGATCTAGCGAAGTTCAACACTATCAACCAAGTATTCACCAAGCATAGAAATATAATTCAATACAGTACAGCACAGTACAGTACAGTATAATAAGCAAAAGGGTATTATTTTGTGGGGTGTGCGTATGTTTGTATGTATATATATACACATGTGTTTGTGTTTGTGTTTGTGTTAGTGGTGTAAGGTATAGTAAGTAGTATGTAATGTGTAATGTGTACAACAGACTTTTGGGTACGCCATCAAAATACTTTTTTATATTTCTATTTTGTATGTATGTATGTATGTATATGATATAAATAATATACAATATTCAAAACTTTAATTTTTGCTGTCTGTAGTTGTCGGTAATCATGTTCTGTCTGATTTGATGCCCTAAAATCATGTCCTAATGTTAGTAATCTAGGGCGCCAAAATAGAGTTCTTTCTTTCTTTATTTCTATCGTTTCTTTTAGAGAAGTACTCCGCCGCCAACTATCGCTTGAATTACCTTAAATCATCTTTATTTATCATTTTGGCTTTGTGGCTATTGAAGTTTAAAGAAGAAGAATAATAATAATAATAGAAAAAGACAGAAACCACATAAAACTCTTGGATACATATGTATTCTGATTATTATCAAAATAAATTAGGTAAAATAAATCGCACAAAAGGGTTCGGATACGTCAGCCGGTAAACCAAGAATCAGACGAGAAGCAGATATTCAAACGCAAAAGGGGTGGGGGGTGCGTGGGGGAGAGAGAGAGAGGAAGAGGGAGAGGGAGAGGGGGGGGGGACGGCTCTAACCGCTTTCAATACACGAAAGCAGCTGATTATGCCCTTGCTTTCCCGCCCCTTCGTTTCGACTTGAAAAAAAAATATTAAAAAATTTAAAAAAAAAAGAAAAACAAAACAAAAAGGCGTTTTTCACTCAAATTTTCTATCTTTCTCTTTCTCTTCCTTCGTTGTCTTGACAGCATTAAACTATATAAATAAATAAATATTTTATTTATATATATATAAAAATATATATACATATATATTTACATATATAGAAATATATATTACCATTATATATTACCATTATATATTGATATATTGATATATTAATATATATATATATACATATTAATATATTGATATAAATTTACGATAGTATTATACATTAGCACTATATTGTAATATCTTTGTACACCTTTTTATCCTAAAGAGAAACCATAAAAGAAAACATGACTGACCTGCAAAGCCCTAGCAACGGATTTAACGGTATCGAATGGGTTGATCGTTCCAGCAATCCCGTTTCTTATCCTCAGAGCTACACATCCTCATATGGATCAGGAAATTCTACAATTCTTCCAACAAACGGACCAGAGGCAATTAATCGAATTCAGACATTCTATCGTCAGCTTCCACCCATCAATGCAGAAGGTTCTTCATCCGGTAACAATTTATCACTCCAGACCAGCTCACACCAGACAGACCCAAAGGGAGCCACTGCCACTCCTCCCAGCGCAAGTACCAGATTAGATACCGAAGAAACTGAATCAAAGAAGCAAATCCTCAGTACCTACAGTAATAGTACCAACACCAATACCAACACCAATACCAACACCAATACCACTACCAATAGTAATAGCAACACGATGTCTAATGCTTCCTGGGTTCAGACTACCGGTCGTACCTCAAAAGAAACCGACATCCCACAGTCGTCGGATTTAATGTCCTTTAATACTCCAAACCAGTGTCAGCCTACACCATCACCTACCGCATCCTCAGGACAAGGCAGTCCCTTGAAAAAGACTCGCACAGCCTCTACAGCCAAAGAACTTCGCGTCGAAAGAAATACGGAAGGAAAACCACCATATTCATACGCGACATTGATCAAGTATGCAATTGAAAACAGCTCGGACAGAAAGCTGACACTGAGCGATATTTACCAGTGGGTCATTGACCATTATCCTTACTACAATTCGGCTGGATCTGGCTGGAAGGTAACTCTTGATAACTTTTTATATATATAAAAATCGCGACTAACACCAATTACTTACAATAGAACTCAATCCGTCACAACCTCTCCCTCAACAAAAGCTTTGTTCGTGTTCCACGGCCCATAAATGAACCCGGAAAAGGCTCTTATTGGACTGTTGACTATCACATCACAGATTCTGAACGCAGACCAAGGCATGCGTCTATGTCCCGAGTGCGTGGCAATCGCTCTGGAAGTGACCCATCGCCATCTCCCTACCGTCCCGAGATTTGGCTAGGCCACACCCGTCATTTCCGAGATGGTCGGTCTCTGTCTGCTGATGCCACCACTTCTCATGCTATTTCATCAACCTCAATTTCAAGCTATAACAATACTACCCCTTGTACCTGCGGTCGTCATACAGGTCCACACGTTCCCTATCATCACCACTATCATCACCACCCACTCCCACACGCTCGCTCGTCAATGCAGATCATGTCGCGTAGTCAAAGTAATCCCTACATGCAGAGTGGGCTCGCCAACAGTCACTATGGTCACCAATCAGGCGAAGTAGCTACTACCACTACTACTAATAATACTACTACCAGTGGTAGTACTGCTGCTGCTGCTGCCGCTGCTACTGTCGCTGCTACTGCTACTGCTACTCTTCCGGTCCACAACTACAATGTCTATGGCGTGGAGGGAATTCAAAATCAACACAATCACTCTTATTACAATAGCAATACTTACACCCAGCAGCAGCAGCAACACGCTTCCCACTCTCACCATAGCCACTTAAGCAGATCAAACTTATCTTTAGCCACTATTGGATCCACCGGTAGCTCATCTTACTCTGCCCCCACAAGTTCATACGACAAGACAGTTTACCCCAACTACCAAACAAATGTATGCGAAGAGACTAGCATTCTGGGAAACCCAAAGTCTTTGACGGGCTACCAGTATTCTTCAACAGTGGCAAGAGTTCCGCATCCCCCATCCTTGGGTTCCCGTCTCTCTACTTGGCAACAGGTCAAGACTGAAACGCCTGCTTCCGCTGGGCAGTCACCTTCACCCTCCATTTCTTCACCAGTGCCAACCCAGTCTATCAACCCAGTAACTCAAGAAGACGTAGTGATCTCAAATTGCAATTCATCTCAAACCGCACCCGAGAATCAAATGAATATAGAAAACCAAGTACCTAATAGTAGCTATCGAAAACTAGCCAGCCCAAATACTTCATCCTCTTCATCTTCATATCTGCCCTACGAAACATCTCAGGAACACCAGCATCACCAACATCACCAACAAATGGCCTCCAATACTTCTTCGCCTGGTTATGGCTTGAGATCTCCTGAACCAAATACAATGATTTCCAACCCATCAAATCCCTCATTCTGTTACGAGTCTCATGGATCAAATTCACAAATTTCTTCTGCTTCTGCTTCTGCTTCTGCCGCTGTTGGTGCTTCTGCTTCTTCTGCTTCTTCTTCTATCTCTGCCTCTGCACGCTCTATTTCAGGTCGCAAAAGACCCAATAGAAACCCATCAAGTACTCTTCATCATACGCATACAATTCCGGTGGGTTCTCCTGCAATGAACCACAAGGAAAGCTTTGAATGGGATGTTTCACTGTAGAATCAAATAGCAGTTATTTGTGTGTGTGTGTGTGTGTATCACCACCCACAACATGCCCTTTTTTGTTCACTCCCTCTATCTATCTTTCTCTTTTTCTTCTTCTTTATTAACTTTCATGCTTTGTATTTGATTCTGTTTATTTATCTTCATTGTCCTTTTCTTTATTTTCTTTTTCCTATCCTTCTTTTATATCTTATTGCTTGTCTATTCATTTGTTCTCATCTTGTTGTATATCACAAATTATACCAAAAAAAAAATCGGGCTTCATTTTTCATTGTGTGTTTTCTGCCCTTTTATTGTACTTCTTTCGTTTTGCTTTTAGCTACAAAAAAGTATTAAGCTCTCTTCTTTTCTCTTTCTCTCTATCTCTACCTCTACTTATTTTTTATATTTATATTTATATATTATTATTATTTAGTTTTGTGGTATACACTAGCTTATATGTTTAATAAAGCTTAACAAACGAACAAAAAACAAAACAAAAACAAAAACAAGCTCCAAATTATATAAACAATAACAGAAATATCGTTCTTATTATCATTATCAATAGAAGCAGCAACAATAACAAAAAACAGAAACTTCAATATCAAAGACTTGCTTTATTTTTAAACATGCCATCGAACAACAGATTCCTCTTTCTCAGCCCAATCTCTCAATAGACAGACAAATCCCCAACCTTCGGCTGATGTGTGGCTCTTGAATACATCCAAGCCGCTATTGTCTTTATGAGTTGGCAATTGAAGAACATTGTCCGTGGTTACAATGATTATTTTACAACTAAAATAATAAATAAAAACAAAATACAAATAAATAAGTAAATAAGTAAGTAAATAAATAAATAAAACTAGAGTCAATAGAACATTGTCTCTTCGGCACGTTTAGAATACACAAATACACAAACACACCTTATCCACAGACACAAGCACGAACACAAGAGAATGTATAGATATAGATATAGATATAAATGCAGATACATACCGGGCACGTGATACAGCAACGTTCCATCTCTTGAAATCCAACAAGAAATCCAATTTGCTTTTGGTGATAGTAAGGTATGTAAAGCAGGCTATGACCAGCTCACACTCTTGTCCCTGCATTTTCTCGACAGTGTCAACCACTACCGTGCCTTGGGTGTCCCCCAAAGCGCGTTGAATGGCAACGCGCTGTCTATGGTGAGGTGTAACAACCATCACCAGCACTGCTGGTGCTGGTGTCGTTGTCACATGAAGAGGCGAGTGCTTTGTTTTGCTGATAGGTGTCTGGCTGCGCGATGCTTCTACGCGCGTCATCAGATGAGTTTTCACTATCTGTGCCACCACCTCAGCTTCGGTCTCTATTTCGATGTTTGCAGCAGAGGTATTGGTGTGGTTAAAAAGCAGTCTAGTCATCGTCAAGGCGTGCTTTGGATCCAAGATCGCCTTGAGCTCTTGTGAGCGACCGATGGTTGGAGTAATAAACTTGGACCAGTCGTGCCGTAAGGTCAATTCTGGGTATCTTGCAGTAAAATCATTTCCGTAGATTTGTTTAAAGAATTCGTTAAGTTCTTCATTCTACAAAAGCGTTCGTTTAAAAAAATATATACTTTAATAAATGAATAAAGTAAATCAAAACAAAACAAACTAAAACAAAGTAAAATACTTGCCATTCTCCAATTGTCCTTGAGTTGAATTGTATTTGGCCCGAAATCATTAGATACGCCCTTTTGTAATCTGAAATTCTGTGTAGGTATTGCCTGGTTATCGACTGTTCTCATAAGACATTGCTGTATAGATCCAAAAAGACATGGCTCGCTCAAAGCCATTTGTGGGTATTCGTTTTGAAGGATCGGCCCGAGTTGCTAACCAAACGTCGATCCGTTTATTAACACATCTTTCTTTTTCTTCCTTCCTTCCTTTCTCTCTCTCTCTCATTTTCTCTTTTTGCTCATGTTTTTGTTTTTATCTCACCATGTGGTCTCCGGCAATTATAAGCCTTCCATTTGACTCGTTCAAACAATTGATAACCAGTGCAGAATCGGACACAAGCAACTGTCAAATGAAAAAGCGAGACAGTCAACCCTTGATTCTTAAAGAGCTTATTTTTTTTCTGTGTGTGTGTGTGTGTATTCTATCTATGATGATGATAAAACCGTCCTTTTTTTTTTAATATATGTCTATATATATATATAATTACCTGAGAACTTTCATCAATGATCATCATATCACAACCAGCCCATTCAGGCCAATTCTTCTTAACCTTTGCCCAATCCCACACCGTACCACCAACAACAACCGCCGTTGCTGTTGCCGTCGCCGCCATCATATTTTTTGAGTGGAGGCTTCTAATCAGGGCTGGCAATCGATCGGCTTTGGTGTGGATCATATTCTCACCCATGACTGTTCCAAGGCTCACGATCTGAAATTTTGCCAATATTCCTTGACGGGATTGAACCGAGGCTATTCTACTGAGCAGGTTGCTGATAGCATGACGAGTAAATGCTGTCACACCAATAACCAGGGGGCGGGTTTCAGGGCAGCTTCCAAATATGTGTGCAATGTACCAATTCACAAAAAGCGCCAAGAATTCGGTCTTTCCAGACCCCTTATTAAATAACGTTCCAAAACCAGGGAAAAATTTTGTAACAAAAGAAGAAGATTAATTGAGTTTTATTTGTTGTTGTTTTTTTTTTTTTTAGTAGTGATGATTTATAACTCTACCATTCTATCGTTACAACGTAAAACACTGAAGAGTAATAATAATATATATATATATAAATGTATATAGAAGAAGAAAAATAACTTACAGGTGGTCCCCACACGATCTGGAGACGATTTTGAAGAGTACTGGCAGATATGATTTTTTGTGAAGGAGACATTGCAAAGTCGTCACGTAGTCTGAGTGCAGTAGCTTTGATATCTACGGGCAAATCTCTACGAACAGGCTGCTTTGACCAGCCATTGGGATCTTCGACAAGTTGCTAAGATCACAATTTGATGAACAACCCCCCCAAGGTAACATATGTAAGTTTAAATATATAGATGTATAAATGTAAGTCTAGTCTTACCGAAAATACTGAATCAGCATTTTCGGATTTTCCCATGTCTTTCAGGACTGCGATGACCTTGTCTGTATTAAAGTCAATGTGGCGTCTGTAGAGCAAATATCGAGTTCCCTTTACAAGGTTCAAGGGCTTAAAGTACCCTGAAAGAACAACTACATTTCCGTTTTCAATTATAGCCTTGACATTCATAGTGGTGATGTTTAGGTTTCTAAGTTTTGCCCTGTACATCAAGTCAGGGTATGATATTATTTCCAAGATCCCCTAAGAAATAAGTAAATAAATAAATAAATAAATAAATAAATAAATAAATAAATACACATCGGTATAAATATAAATATATTTAGATATATACCTATACCTATACCTATACCTATACCTATACATATACATATATATGTACGCTTAGATATATTTAGATATATAGAAAAATAGATTGGTAGATTGGTAGGTACAGATGTGCATACATGCATGCATGCATTCATACATACATATAAAGATATATAAATATATATATATAGTGCTGTTGGGCTTTTAGCTAAATAATATCCGTGTAACTATGCTACTCACCTGTGAATTGGCCGACACCAGAATGTATTCTTGAAATGTATTGGACTTCAAGGAATCAATTTTGATTTTTGTTGCGCCATCTAAATCCTGTTCTACTACCCTAAAGTGTCCAACCAGGCTTTTAACCTGTCGCGCTTCACTTATAGACTGAGCATACTCTACAAACTCCAAAAGTAGTCCGTTTGTGGGTCCTGAGAGACCTTTTTTGGCAATACTGCAAAGGTCTGCAAGGCGTTCTGTACGCAGTTTTTCATAACTGGCCAGGAGCTCAAGATATTTAAAGAATATCAATCTAGTCAACCTGTTAGAGTATATTGCCCCGGAACGAGTCCATGAAAACGGTTCACACACAAGTGGAAATATGCAGACACTTGATGTGCGATCTTGCTGGTGCTGGTGTTGGTGCTGCTGCTGCTGGTATTCTTGGGCCAGGTATCTGTATTTCTCAAGTATCTCGCCATAGACTTGAATATGGTATCGTTTTTCTCGCTCCAAAGAAGAATTTTTTGGTTTTGTTTCTCCAAGAACCCAAGTGTTGTACAATCCATCCTTCTCAAGACTCTGGAGGAAATGCTTTGACACACTTTTTGTGTCTTCACACATCCACTCTGCAATATCTTCAAGCTTGTAAAATCCGGGTATTCCAAGTGCAATATTCTCACGCAAAAGATCTTCCAAAACGACCATTCGATTAGAGGATACTCTATCCAGGTGTGTATCGTCCGGGAACAAGGCATCGGGTAGCTTTAAGAGATTGACTCCCACAAAAAGGTTGAGCAGGCACTCCTTTGCATTTGACACAATTTCTTCGCAATATTTGGTATTTTTGATAAACTTTGGCGCACTTGAGAGAAGATCGCACAAGCAGTCTTGAATGGCCACCTTTGTCTCGTTTCCATAGAAAAAGATCGAAAACTTGGCTTTGATTTGATCCATCTTGAGAAGCACATTAAATAGATTGGTGGAAAAATTTGCAGCCAGGATAACATATGCTTCGATATCACTCTTATTTTTTGCGCTGGGATCGACGGAGCCAGTGCAATAGTCCTTTAAGGTATTCTCGAAATCGAGACCGTTAAATTTGATAGAGTAAGAGCACATACGGCCATGTGTGGGATCTATTACAAAAACAATGTAGATCTCTTGCTCAATTCCGCTTGAGATGATAGTAGATGGGTTTCCAATAAACTAAAAAAAAAAAGTAAAATAAAGATATGCTCTTAAATTATTAAACATTACAAGAAAGAAAGTAAAGAGAAGTAGTAGTAAGAGAAACACATAGATACACGCACATACACACACAAGTATCCCTTTCTCTTTTGCTTACAATTGGCTTCTTTTCTGAATAAGATTTATAAAAAGGTTCAAATAATGGGCTTTTTTTGATTCTTTGCCAATCGTCAAAACGAGGGATGGATTTATTGGATTTTTGAATGGACATGTTTTTGAGGTTATCAGCAAGCTCTTCCAGACTATCATTCTTATTTTCAGGTATTAATGATTTTGCAGCCTCAATCATATGAGGTGTCATGTAAGGAATTTCGCCAGGTGTACCAACAGACTCTCTTTCACAAAGTGATGCATATGTACATGTTTTGCACTTTGCATTGTAGATCCACTCAGGATCTTTACTCTGAAGGGTAGCAATGAGTTCGGTTGTGTAAAAATGTTTCATTTTTGGAATCATCAGGTCTACTCTGAAGGCCACTGGTTCTTTCCAGTCTGAAGGTAGCCAAACTCCTCCAAGATAATCCACCTTGAGATTACGGATGTCTTGAACAATGTAAGACAATAGGTAGGCATATGTAGCAACTTGGAACTAACCAATAGATATATGTTAAATATAGTTGAATGAACTTTGTTTTTTTTTCTTTACCTGATGAGATGAATGTACTGACTTTGAGGCCTTGGCATCAATGATAAATAACACTCTTTCCTTTGTGATAGGATCCTCTTTGACTTGAATGAAATCCGGGATAAATCGACGTAAACGATAAACATTTGTGTTCATAATTTCGTCTTCATAAAAACTGTCAGGCATTTCAAAACTGAGTTGATACAGTGTCTGCCCGGGTTTGACAGTTTGGAGAACATGCTTGCTCTGAGCAGTAGGCGTGTCGGTGTAATCAGTAGTAGTGCTTTTGTCCAACGTGTTTAGGAGGGCCTCTTCAAACTCATTTCCTCGTTTGAAATTAGCCTCTTCTGTATTGGTGTTGACTGATTGAGTAGAAGTGGATTCAGAAGATAACCCGAGAAGTTTCTCGCAATTATAATAGCCACTTTTGGCTAGACCTGATATTGTAAACCTTCTGAGAGTGGGTTCCGGTAATGACTGTGTGGATAATGGGTATGTGTGTGTGTGTGTGTGTTTTGAAATGACATTTAGATTAGATCAATTTGTGCATGTAATCCTCATTTCAACAGCTTGTAGGTTGTAATCTAAATGGCAGACGCGAATTATGTATATTATACTTGCCGGTTTGTTTTTGCTGTCCTTTTTCGAGTTAGACATGATAGTGTAAGAAGAATAAAAAAAAATCGACTAAAGGAGTTGGGTGTGAAGAGGTTTGATATAATGAAATCATCGAATATATCAAGAATCTAACCAGTTTTTTTTTGTAGTAGTACACACATTAGAACTGCTGGGTTATGTATCTATGTATTTATGTATTTATTTATTTACAAATCTATTAAGCTCAGATACTCCAAATATTAAAATACGTCTTGGCAATTTACTTTAAATCCAAAGAATGCAATTGTATCTATTATTTATTATTTAATGGGCTTGTTTCACCATAACGAATCTACTTGCTAATAGCAATGCTACTGCTTACTACTACTATTCTTATTATAAAAACAGATGTACATATGTTGGGGGAGGGGGAGATAAATGTATCCTACATTGTTTTTTATTAGACAATTCAAATATTTAACGTCCTAGTAGTTTCTTTAATGGTAATGAACAGCTAACTGTAAAGCTTAAACCCGGTTTTGATGTAGAAACATATAATATAAAATATTAATAACTTATATAAGCTTGGTGGCTAAAATACATTCTACGAATTCAAGGTACATTATGTAGGATTACAATTTTATGCAAGTGGCTAGTAAAAAAAATAAAGAGATCAAAATAAATACAAAGGGGTTGATTCATAAAAAAAACCTTGATATTTATGGTATTAAACAATAGCAATTGCATATATTATATTAGAATAAAATAAAAATGATAAACTGCACCAAAGGAAATAAGAATAAGGATTAGAGACATTGGTATTATATTATATTATACTGCAAATATACATATATATGATTGGCAACGTTTCTCTTTTATATAAAACGGTGATTCTTTTTGATTCTCTCCCCTGCTCCTTGAGTCTCAATACATACACCTTTTTTATTATTATTTATTCACAGTAACCTGGTTCAAACTTGTATATTTTGCATTATATGATTCCAAGAATATTCTCGGGTAAAAAGTATTAAGTTAGATTAATTTTCTTTAAGAAAACAAAAAAGTCTTTATTATTCATGTGTGTAAAGTATGTGTGGTATCAACTCATTTAAGAGTTAGTCTTTTTGATATATCTTTTTTTCATATCGAGCAAGATGAACTTACATCAGACATCATTTTCCGGTTAGATATAAGAAATAGCAAAAGACCTGAATCATCATCAACAAAAAAATAAAATAGCCAAATTCAATTAGACTGTATTTTTTTTGTCCAGTATTACAGTAAAATTCGGAAGGCTGATTTCAACCCAGAGATTATATGAAGACCCCATTTAAACCACGAGCTGTCAGATCAGACAATGATTGGACCTTAATTGACATAATGCAGGAACTAAAGAAATCAAATCCAAGTCAATAGTAGTGTAGTAACCTGTCTTAATAAAACATAACACACGTATATATTGTATAGTTTATCGGCTATAAAAGAATAAATTCTTGAACAATACTAATTGCTTTTATTTTTATTATTATTTTACTTCTTTTATATCTACAAACAGCCTTTATATATTTATTATTCTATTATTATTACACCAAAAAAAAACAATCCAAAGACATGTCAGCTCGAAATACGCCGGGCCAATATGAGGAGACTATCGAAATGCCTGCTGAAAACTTAAGAAGCCTCGAGAACCTCGAGAAAAGCATTGGAGACAAACTCAATTGGTTTACTATTCGTACCATCATCACCTCAGGGGCAGGCTTCTTCACAGACTCTTATGATGTGTTTATCATCAACCTTGTGTCCCCGATGTTGGGTTTCCTTTATTACTCATCAAACAATAACAAAATGCCAGCCAATATCGAAGGTATCCTCAAAGGCATGTCTTCTGTTGGCACTCTGCTAGGCCAATTATTCTTTGGATTTATGGGAGATATCCTTGGCCGCAAAATCTACGGATTTGAATTGATCATCATCATTATTGGTACTATTAACTGTGCAATGTCTTCCTCTACACTTCGCGGCGTATCAGCGATCGGGTTCCTTGGGTTTTGGCGCTTGATATTGGGATTCGGTATCGGTGGTGACTATCCAATGTCTGCCACAATTACTTCTGAATGGTCTACCAAAGGCCGCCGTGGTATGATGATGGCCTTGATTTTCTCTATGCAGGGGATAGGCAACCTGGCAGCCGCAATGGTCACTCTTGTTCTGCTGGCGATCTTCAAAAACGCCATTAATGCTGATGTCAATAATCTCGACTATGTCTGGCGCCTCTGCATCGGACTTGGGGCTGTCCCTGCCGCAGCTACGATCTATCTCAGATTCACTATGCCAGAGTCTCCTCGTTACGCACTCAATTTGAAGAAAGCTGAAGAAAATGCCATGGCAAAGGCAGAGTATGAACGGGTCACACCTGCTGAAGATCGTGAGCCAGAACGAAAGACCGGACACTGGGTGGAATTTGGACGATACTTTAGACAATGGCGTCATCTTCGTGTCCTTCTTGGAACTACCCTATCCTGGTTCTTACTCGACATTGCATTCTATGGTACTGGACTCAACAATGCTTATATTTTGGAAGCCATTGGCTACTCTAGTAAACCCACTCCATTTGAAACACTCTGGTCCAACACTGTCGGCCAGCTCATCATCACCTGCCTTGGCTCTGTTCCGGGTTACTATCTGACGGTGATCTTTATCGAACGATGGGGCCGTCGTCCTATCCAGATTATGGGATTTGCTGCATGTACTGTTCTGTTTGCTATCATGGGTGGTGCCTACTATCAGCTCCGAGACAATGCGATCCCGGCTTTTATTACCATCTTTACGCTTGCCCAGCTTTTCCAGAACTTTGGTGCCAACACAACCACATTTATTATTCCTGGTGAGGTATTTCCAACAAAGGTGCGTGCGTCTGCTCATGGTATATCTGCCGCATCGGGTAAGGCTGGTGCAATCCTGGCTTCTTTTGCGTTCAATGTGCTTGTGGATTCTGGAGGGCCTCCTGGTGCCCATGTTTTCTTGCCTCAGACTCTGGGAATCTTTGCTGCGATCATGTTCCTGGGACTTATTGTGACCTTGCTATGGATTCCCGAATCAAAGGGCAAGGATCTTGACGAGTTTGAAGAAGATTACATTCACCCTGACCAAAGACCACAATTGCCAGTAAATTATTCTGTCGAGCCTTATCTTGCTAATAATCAATCTGGATTTAAGTCAAATGGACCTAGTGAATACGTAGATGTCCCGGTTGGAAATCGATAGAAGTTAAACGAGATCTTGATCTTTTATCATACACACCCAGTTTACTGCTTTTCTCCTCCTCCTTTTTTTTTACCTTTCTATCTCTATCTTTACCATTATTTATTATTGTTATGATTGAATTGGAGTGTCTATGGTACTTTACACTTGTACATACAATATCTATAAAATATATAACCAAAATTGTTTATCCCAATAAAATACAAGGCTTTTAAATGTTTTCCTTTATTTTTATTGTTTTTATTAAAGTAAAACTTGACTAAAAATTACACAATTGGATTTTTATCAAGACTTCTTCGAGACACACTTTTTCTCTCTTTATTTAATATTGATTTTTGTCATATTAATTCAAATATATTTGTACAGAAAAGAAAAGAATCTAGTGCTTTAATATGTGTTCCTTGATTTTTATTTATTTAGTTTAATTTAGTAACATTATTATTCCATGCGCGCACAACAAAATTATATAATAAATTTTTATTTTTATTCTTATCAAGTAACCAAAAAAAGATTTTTTCGTGTGTAGATACCCTAAACCTTGTTGGCCTTAACCTTGTCCTTGTCCTTGGCCCCCAATCATTCCCTTGCCCTTGCCCTTTCCCCCCTTTAAATAAAAATCACTATCACTTTTATTTAACCCAACTTATACACAACCAAGTAATAATAAATTACATGACTTTGTTTTCTCTTAGAGCCAAGCCACATTATTGATTAATTTTTTTCTTTACAGAAAAATTGCAAGTACACCTTAAATTCTTAATTTTTTTTGTAATGTTTTTTTTATTGTTTTAGAATGTCTAAAATAATATAATTTGTATTATTTTTTTGAGAGACGTTTAGGCAATGGTGACCTCAACCTCAACTCCGGGCTCGATGGAGATGGAGGTGATCTGCTTAACGATCTCGGAGGGAGAGTGCAAGTCGATCAAACGCTTGTGGATTCTCATCTCGAAGCGGTCGAAGGTCTCGGAACCGTTACCGCAAGGAGACTTACGGGTGGTGATGCGGAGGACCTTGGTGGGGAGACGGACGGGACCCTTGACCTTAAGCTGCTTGTCCTTGGCGCGCTGGATAAGATCGGCAGAGACCTTCTCGAGGTTCTTGACGTTGCGGGAAGTCAAGGTGATGCGGATACGGTGGATCTTGGCCTCGACCTGTTCTTCAACACCGGACTTCTGGGCAGCAGACTTGATCTGTACGGCATCATTATAAATATTTGTGTTTTCGATTTTGATGGTTTGTAGGTGTTGACATATTTATATATATCAAGCCACAATTATCTTGTGAGGACTTACGGGGGCAGACATAATGGATATGAAAAGAGAAGGAAAACGCGACGGTCTGCTCAGGACAAAAATTTTACCTCTTCTCGAAAAATTGTGACGTCTGTTTGGTCGTGGCTGTTGGTCGGGTACTCAAAAGTATAAAACAAAAAAGTGATTGGCTGTGATAATTCAGAGTAAATTGTAAGAAGACAGATGAAAAGATGAAGAAAAAAATGCAGTTGAATCAGTTCCAAGGGTCTGTGCGAGAAGAACAAGCCATGGCTTATTTATTTATTCGTTTGTTTGCTTTTATCTTTTTTTTTTCACTCTTAATTAATTTTAATTGACGTTATGTATATTGTTAAAGATCATGTTTATATTTTTATATGTATTCAACATTTTCAGCCTTTTTTCTTTAAAAAAAATGATAATGAAAAATTGGATTTTTGAAACAAGTACTGATTGTGTAGATCATATCAACAGAAAATCCCACTGACAGAGAATCCAATAATTATTATTTTTTTAAAAAAAAAGGTGCACGGATTTTTTTTTGCTGAGGGGAGATTCTGTTAAAGAAGTTGGTTATCCGCTGAATGGTTCTACTGCACGTGGGTCAAAAATAGGACATTTCATTGGTAGAGTATGTAAAAAGAGCATTAACGTTCCGCATTTATCCCTCATTTTATATAGGCAATTTATATATATAATATATATACATATTTATGTATGTATGTATGTATGTAATGTGTATATGTGTGTGTGTGTATGATCGCAGGTTGCAAAAATATATAGTAAATAAAGGTAAAAGGTAAAAGAAGTATAGGAGAGTAGGGTTTAGTGACAAGGATAAAAGGTGCGAATAGTGAAAATCATGAAAGAGAAAAGGAATTGAAACTGTTTCATTGTTATTTTTTTATATGTTTTTTTTTTCTTTTCTTTTCTTTATACTGTTATTTTGGTTTGTGGTCGATGGATATACTTGTGTGTGTGGATGGGTGGGTGGATGGGTGCGTTTTTGATGTGCTTTAGAACTTTCCCTTTTCACCTACACGCACTAGAGAAGAGAGAAAGGTGATCGTATAAATTAGATGGTTCGGGGATGTATTTTTTTGTATTTAGAGGATCAACAATGAATTGACCGAATTATTGTATTACTCTTATTCTTATTTATTTTGGTGCACTTACAGTAAAAGTTTATCATGATGGCCAACAAAAGGAAGATGCATAGAACAGTAGGACCGACACGATCATCATAAGGTGCGGATTCTCTGTTTCTGATCTTTGTTGCTCTCCAGTGGAAGGTGTAGAGTGCATAGAGCATGACACCCATGGCAATGATGGTGAAAAGAACGGCTGACAGGCGGCCGATACGATCACCAAAATTCAATAAACCCATGGCCAATCCACCAAGAACGACGGTGAAGTTGAGCCAGGCAAGGAAAGTACGTTCATTGGCAAAGAAGACCTTTGGCTCGATACGCACTGGAAGAGCAATACGCTTGTTCTGTGTAGATTCTAAGACACTTGACATTATTATCGAGAAAAGAAGTAGAAAGTAAAAGAGAGCGAAAGAGAGAGTAAAAGAGAAATAGGCGCAAAATATAAAACACGAAAAAAAATGATGATGATGATGAAAGCAAAAGAGAAAAAGATCTTATATGGAAATAAGACGAGGGACTGTTCTGTGCGGAGTCATTCCAAATAAGATAACTCCCATTTAGATTTTTAGTTGTACACATCATCTTTATTTTATATATAGTATAGTATAATAGTGTGCATATAGATATCTTGTATGTATATAGTAGGTCGTTAGGTAATTAAGTATGTATGTATGTATGTATATATGTATGTATGTAGGTGTGTATATATAGATTTATTAAACGAGTACACCAGGACTTTCTTCGAGCTTTATTCGATTAGATCGACGGTATTCATTCATAGACTGTCGAACGGCTTGTCGAACCATCCAGGATTCCAGGTCTACCGTGTCTCGGTCAGAGTATGATCTCTGTCTAATCTCATTCGTATTGAATTGTCTCTTTGGCAGTCGTAGATGGCCTGGTTAAGTTTTATAAATAATTTGTTAATCTATATAAGTTTAATACTAAACCTAACTTTTGTGTCCAACTTACCAACAAGCACTACACTTGGACTGGCTGGTTCAATTGCACACCTTCTTTTTCGAGTAGGAGATTGTCCAAAAGTGGTGTGTTGGATCTCAGTATTCTACGATAATCCGCAGATACTATATTAACTTCACCAGCATGATAACCTTTTTGTTTCTTTTACTTTACCTTGTTAATGTGCCATGAATTATAGATGATCCCAAATGTGTCCTGCACACAATAAGGACAACTGGCCTGCGATGTGTCTGGTGTGGGTTTTATATGCAGAAAGCATTCGGTGCATATCGGCTGATCACAACAGCGAGTATAGTTGATATCCGAAGGGTAATACTGTAATAGAATATGAAAATTTTGTTTTTCTTTAAAGAGTATGAAGTTCTTCAAAAAAAAATTACGAACCAAAAAACAAATTGGACATTCTACTGATCCCCTGGGAGACATTTGTGGTTCTACCTGACCTATTAAGAAGAAAAAGGTAGGATTAGAACCAATGGTTTTCTAATAAAGGGTTCGCGCACAGATTGTAAGATTACCTTTGTAGAATGGTCCTAGGCGTCGATTTAGGATCAATTGTTTCAAGATGTTATTGTCATAGTCTTGCTTGGAGTGCGGGTAGATGTTATTAGGTATTGTGGACCCAAGCTCGAATGTGGTTTGATTAGAGGCTGTGTGCCTCGAAGATGAGTTTCCCATATCAACAGTAGCAATGAGTTAAAGACGGAAAAGAAGAGTTAAAAGAAGGGTGAATAATCAGCTGCAAGGAAAGAAAGATAAATAAATAAATAATAAAAAAAAGAAATGCAACAAGGGTCAGCTGAGAGAAAGAAGAAATAATCCCTTAAAACTTTGTACATGATTCTTTCACACGCATCTTCTTCTTTTACTACCACTGATACTTACCATTATCACCCCCTACTGGTACTACTGTTGGTACTGATAATGGCACTGGTACTACTCCTAGTACTACTGAAATGCTTGGTATTGATGGTACCATTCCTGCAATTACTAGTGTAACTCTGAGAGGGAAAATAAATCAATAGATAAAATAGATAAAGTTAATAGTGTTTATGACTTGTCTATCTTCTTTTGGACCCTATTCACTCTCAATTTTCTATAAACACGAAATACCAATTGATATATAATATTGTAATCCTATTCTCACCAAGACAAGCATTCTTTTGGTTCCATTACAGCACATTAGATTCTCGCTTCCTTCTTTCCAGTTTCTTGGATATGAGAGTTTTATATATAAATATAAATATATATATACAACATGCCTGTGACTGGCTGTCCTGGAAATTCAACCTTTTTTTTTCACTCTCTCTTCTTATTCCAATCTTCCTGTTCTTCTTCTTATTCTCTTATTCTCTCCCTCTCTTTTATATATATACATAATTATATATACACAGGCACAAATTTGATTCAAATAAAATAAAATAAGAATGAAGAAATCCAGTGTTTCTCAAGACAGTACAAATGACTATTCAGACGAAGACTCCAACCTATCTGAAGAAGAAGAAGAAGATGAAAAGGACTATAAACGTGGAGGCTATCATCCCGTCTTGATTGGTGATCGTCTAAGCGATGGTCGGTACCTTATTGTCAGAAAACTTGGCTGGGGACACTTTTCAACAGTCTGGTTAGCAAAAGACATGAAGTAAGTTTAACTGGATCTCAATCGCACCACCACCACCACCACCACCACCACCACCACCACAATAACAACAACAATAATAAACTAAAAAAAAACATTATATAAAGACTCGACCGTCATGTCGCGCTAAAAATAGTAAAGTCAGCATCCCATTACACCGAAAGTGCATTAGAAGAAATAAAGATCCTCGAACGTGTCAAGGCTGCAGATCTAGATGCACCAGGTCGAGAATACATTGCTCAACTGCTCGACCACTTCTGGTTGGTTGGGCCGAATGGAAAACACATGTGCATGGCATTTGAGGTGCTCGGACAGAGTCTTTTGTCGGTCATCAAACGATACCGTTACAAGGGCATTCCTGCTCACATTGTGCGACGCATTGCGAAACAAGTACTCCAGGGTCTCGATTATCTTCACCGAGAATGCGGTATTATTCACACCGACCTTAAACCCGAAAATGTCCTGGTGTGCATTCCTGACGTAGAACAATTGATTCGAGAAGATGACCAAGTGATGGCACTGGAACGTAAAGTAGAAGACGAAATAAAACAAAAACAACTAAAAGAAGAAGAAGAACAAAAAGAGAAGGCGACAAAGCATGATGGAGAAGAAAAGGAAAAGGAAAATGAAAAGGAAGAAGCACCAAAAACACCAGAGACACCAGAAACACCAGCAGCGAAAGATACATTTGATTCAAAAGATAGTGGAGAGACGGCTACAGAAAATATAGAGACTATGTCAAAGTCACGAAAGAAACGGTTAAAGAAGAAGATGAAAAAGGCTGCTACCAAGGATGTGCCAGTAGAGACACCAACAAGGTAGGATGGGGTTATTTTATTTTTATTTTTGTTTTTATTTTTATTTTTTCGGTGAGCATATATATATATATATATGTGTGTATGTACATGAGTGCATGTACATAATGAGAAATTATCAATGTCAAATATTAATAAGTATATATATATATATATGTGTGTGTGTGTGTGTGTATTGGTGATAAAGTGTGCTCGAGGCAGAGACAGAAACCTTGCGATTGGAATGCCCAGTGATTCCTACAGCAGCACTAGACTTCTCCAAGGAAAACTCTCCGGACGGTGAATCAACGCAGGCCTTTGATCAAATCACCGTCAAGATTGCTGACTTTGGCAATGCGTGCTGGACTAAAGGAGACTATACTCACATTATTCAGACACGACAATACCGTAGTCCAGAAGTAATTGTTGGTGCAAAATGGACAGAACGAGCTGACATGTGGAGCATGGCATGTTTGGTGAGTAGCCTGAATAATAATAATAGCAGTAGTATTAACTGAAAGGGGATTGATCAAAGTACCAATGTTTATTTACAATATTGTTAATGCTATATAATAGGTGTTTGAGTTATTGACCGGGGATTACCTTTTTGACCCTCGGTCTGGTAAGAAATACGACAAGGATGATGACCACCTTGGCCAAATGATGGAATTGATGCGAGTTGTACCAAAGAGTATTACTACTGAGGGAGAATACTCTTCTGAATTCTTTACACGCAAAGGCGAGCTGAGAAGAATCAAGAAATTGCGATATCGTCGTTTGAGAGACGTGCTTCATGATTCATTCCAGGTCGAACCACTCGAGGCAGACCGGATAAGCGATTTTCTGTCACCAATGCTCGAAGTTGACAAGAATAAGCGAGCTGATGCACAAAAGATGCTTAAATCACCGTGGTTAATTGAACCTTAGAGGATTATATATACACACACACATACATATATACATACATATATATATACACCCACACACATATATAAAGAATATTATATTGTCTTGGGTAGCTTTATTCTATTTTCTTCTTCTTTGTTTTCACTTGTTACCTAATATATATATATTATTATTACTATTATTTATTATTCTTTTACCTTGGGGTAAAGAAAATCAATTCGGTTTTTACTATCATTCTTCGCATGCCTTCAAATGAATGCTGCAAAGTATGAATTTACTATTATATATTTAGTGTTAAACCACAGATGACTTTCTACTACCAAGATAGCCTGGTTTTAATAGCACGCTTTATATTCTAAATAGATAGATATATGATTAGGTTTCTGACAAAATAGTAAGAACATATAACGTTGTTGATTTACCAAAGAGAATCACCTTTCTTCCAAGTTCACTTTTAATATAATTTCACTGGCTACTATAAAATAAATCAATTAATTAATGATTAGGCCTATGCGTATCAAATAGACTCTTAACCACCTATCTTCTTTATATTTGCGTGTGTATAAAAAGATGAATCTTATATTTTTTGGACATTTGATTTATGTGACTTTTGCCTTTGTGTTTGACAGAAAGATGTTACCATTGGGTTACATGTGGCTAAAAGGCTATTTGATTGCAATTCTCTTGGCACGGTATAAATATATATCCAAACGGGTATTTCAATAGACCCTTCTTTTATTTTAATTTTCTGTTTCAAAAAATTATTATTTATTGAAATAAATATTTGATATTTAAACTATCGATAAAAGCCTAGATTTTACAAGGTTTATTAATAAATCTGACATTAAATTTACAATTATTTAATTATTATTTATTTTTGTGTCTGTGTTTGGCTCTCAATACATCAACCTTTTATTTTTATTTATTTATAAAAGTTTAAAAATACCTGATATTTATATTTTTGTCACCGCCTGTATTTTATTTTATTTTATTTTCTCCCCCTCTATTTTAAACAAAGGCTCTGTACACCAGAAACGTCATTGGTACCACCTTGCACTATAAAATAACCTGTCTTGACTTTACCTTCCTTTTTCTTCTTTTTCTTTTTCATATTCCTTATTCTTTCAAATGTATTCTTCAACCGAGCTGCATTATTTCAAACGCGAACTGGTCGACGGCCAGTTACGCAGTGAGGTGGCTTCTTTACGGCGCCATCCTTCCATGGACGGTCTGTTGAGCAAAGAATCTGGAACATATCCCTTTCTCAATTTTCTCTTCCAACGCTGCATTGTCCAGTTCCCACTCCTCAAGCGTACGGATGGAAATGCCTTTTGGAACAAGACATCGGTCTTCCTTGATGAACTCGCGAAACTCAACCTGAACACATATTCCCCCAAGCACACCGGCGCCTCCCAACGCAGGATCATGGCCTACAAACTCCAGAAGATGCTTACAATCACATTGTGCGCGGCCATCAAGAGTATCCAGGGAAACGAAGACAACCTCAAGCCAAGTCTTCTGGAAGACAAGGAACAACAAGAAACCGAACAAGAAAAGCAACTTTCCAAGGACATGGCCCATCAGTTGAATTTTCTCGAGAACGAAGAGAACTACTTGGCCTGGATTGGCGCGAGCGAGTTGGATATTGATGTGATCACTGTTCGCCAAGCATCCGAAAAAAGAACCTTACGTGAGGTTATCCACGCCGAATTTGTGGTCCAGACAACCGTACTAGACAGACCGGATCTGCTGGTGGTTGCCAGACGCCACGGCCAATTCCGTCAGCTGTACGACGACCTAAAGGCAAACTTCCCAATGGAAGACGTTCCTTATGTGCCATCCAAGGCGCGCGACCCTTCCTACACCAGCCACAGTAGTAGCACGTCTGACAACCATTTGTACCGCGAAAAGGATCGGATCCTACTCAGGGGTTTCCTCCGCCGTGTAGCCAGTAACCACAAACTGGCCAATAGCAGCTTCGTAGCCGATTTCCTCCAAAAGGACCCTATAAAACTTAACGCTGACGAGACTTCTGACGTCGAAAAACGGATGAGAATGGACAAGGCCCGTGCGGAAGAGGAAAGGCGGTTTAGAGAGCAGGTCGATCAAAAGGTCAATGATCTCAATGATCTTTTGGAAATGTTGAAAAAGCAAATTGTCCAGCCTGGAGGTCTTTTACAAGTCTTTGAAATCATCAAAAAGACCGAGACTATTGACAAATTACCCGAACCTCTTCTAAAGGCCTTTGAATGGGGTCGTATCAAGTAAGAACAAACAATAAGAATTAGAACAGTAAAGAGAGGAAGAGGAAAAAGGAGGGACTTTAGCGTCTATACTTCTCTTCTTCTTTCTCTCTCTTTGTGCGTGTGTACATTTTTTTTTTATTCATCATCATTTTCTCTCTCTTTTTTTTGTATTATTCTGATGTCATTATATTATATTAGCTTTGCGTTTGTGTTGCACACACAGTTTGTCACTTCGGATAAAGCAATTGAAAACATCTCTAACCTCAAACGCACTCATGGCCTGATGCCTTACCGGACAATGGCCAAGTTGCTCAAGCACTCGAACCCATTTACTATTGTCAAGGGTATTTTGGATCTGTTCTTGGCTCAGCCATTTGGCGGTCGTAGTTTATTCCAGAGGTAATTAAGCTACTTTCTCTTTCTGTCTATCTTTGGATAATCCTTGGTCATTTATTCATTTCTTTATTAATGATTCAACAACCTTAATACTTTCCATATTAGAATGGTTGCTTCCAATATGAACGAAGATGCCAAGGAAGCACAAAAGGATGCTACTGAGCTTGAAAAGGCCATCAGTCATCCTGATCTTTGCAAGAAACTCAAGGCTGCTGTCAACACTCCTCTTCCAGACAATGTTGTCATTGATGGTAATCTATCTTACTCAAAAAAAAATTTCCCATAGTCTAGACTCTGGACTACTTTATAAGCTTTTTCTTTTTTTTTAAAAAAAAAGACATGGCAATTAATTAATTAATCAATCGAGTAATTTATTTATTTATTTATTTATTTATTGTGTGGTGTGTAAATAGAGAGTTCATATGTAGTGAGCACCTTGAAAATCCTGCAGGAACCTTCTATTGAACCCGTTTTGCCGGCAAGCATTCTGGACCGTCTTGTGTCTCAGCAAGACAAGCCAGAGGTCCGACTAGAGATCAAGCAGTTACACTCTCTCTGGGTCATATACGCTCACCAGCACGAACAAGAACTACTGACCAACCTGGTGTTCCAGGGAGCGACGGGCGAACTTGTGCGAGAACTATTTGCCATCTTTTACCAGCCACTGGCCCAGGTCTACAAATCAGCCAACATCGGCGAGTCAATCAAGCATCTTTCCGCATTTATCGATGATCTTCTTCAGGTCGTGGATGGCCTGAATGTGGAAGATGTGACAAACTCGACTCAGCTGTTTGTCCAGCTGGTTCAGCGCCACGAACAGCACTTTTATGCGTTTGTGCACAATGTACATGCCCAGGATACATCTAACCTGTTTGACGAACTATTGGCCTACGTTGATCAGTTGTTTGGATTTCTCTCACGCGGCATTCCTGGCAAAATTGATTTGCTGGAAACCATCCGCAAAGCCAATCTCAGCACGTCTGAAGAGGCAGCCCTCAAGTCAGAAATGGAAGCCCTGTGCGACTACCATCGACGCCGCAAGGAGATTCATCTCCAGCGTACTCGCCAAAAGTTGCTCGAGAGTTCAGACGAAGCCATGCTGGACTTTTTACCTAATCACAGCGAGATGGCCGGTGTACTGAACGACTTTGCAGAAATGGAATACGAAGAAGATGATGAAGAGGAGGAAGAGGAAGAGGAGGAAGAAGGAAAGGAGGGTGGAAATAAGAATAAGGTGGTTCATGAAATGACACTAGAAATGCCCAAGTTGACCATAATACCTCGTATTACACCAGTGTTTTTGGAAGAAGTAGTTGGTTTAATGCAATCATCAAATGTCCAATAGAAGAATAAAAGTAAAAAATAAAATAAAAAGGGAAAGAGATAATATAAGGTTATGTGCTGTGCGATTGATGTTGATTTCATATTAAAAAGTAAACAAAGAAAAATAAGAAAGTATGAGAACGAGGGAGGAGAAAAAGGGGAGGAGAAAGAAGGGGTTCTTTTAGGTTTTTTTCCACTGCTGAAGAGCCGAGTCTGGCTGAGCCATGCCTTTGAGAAGCAATCTACGTAGAAAATGCCACCGATGACTACAAAGACGAGCCGAGTGTCTGCCCTCAAAGATAGCTTCCAGCTCATACCATCGTCCACCTTGGAGACGGTTGAGAACATGGTTAAGGAGAGTCATGTCATCTTTGTGGGTCCACACTTCATAACCACGGATCGTTTGATCGAATTTAGTGGGCCCTGGTAATCTGGGTACAGAATGTTGCTGCTCCTGCTGCTGCTGCTGCTGCTGTTCCAGCTCCTGCTTCTGTTGTTGTTGCTGTTGCTGTTGTTGATTGTGTTGATGGTCTTTGTGGTTAAGGGTGTGATGGTGATCATTCATAGGTGGAGAAGGTGGGATGTAAGGCTGGGCAACATCACTTGAGCTTGTAGGTGGGGTTATTGTGCGAGTATTCGTGTCACGAGGTGGAGTAGGAGGGCGCCAGGCAGTCTTTTTCAAACAAATAAAAGAAATAAAAGGATGAATATTAAACAGAAACAATCAGAAAATCAATCAAAACAATATGCATTTATGGATTATCCCACAGATCTAGACTTGTAATATTTCACCCTGTTATGTCATGTCTTGACTTGTCTTGTCCTGTCATCTCATCTCATGCTATAGTATACACTATCTTGCATTGCATTGTCCTTTCTTGCGAACTTGTCGTACCTGTTCATTATGTGCTTGACTGAGAACATATTCTGTCAGTTTTTTTGCTGTTATGTTGTTGAGAATCTTGGGGCTTTTCTTTATTGGTGCGTTTTTCTTGCGTTGTGCTTGCTCCTAAAGATTTTGAGATAATGTTTAAAACCCTCTGTGCATTGAATTATGTGTATTTTTTTTAAAAAGACAAACTGGTCGTAGAATTATAGTTATAATTGTAGTTTGAATTATCGAAGAGAGGCAATAAAGACATACTTTCTCTACTTCTTCTTCTTCGTCACTGTCAATCAAGTTGCCGTCTTCGTCGTATTCAACAACCGGCTTTAGCTTGACTAAATTAAAATAAATTACGATGGAAGAATATAAATAACATATATACATGTTTGTATAAATGATCCGGCCCACATTATTTTCTTTTTTTTTTGGATTTCTCTCTTTCTATCTATCTAACCTTTGCTAGACAACTTCTTTGGTATCGAAGGTGAGCCTGTGCGTTGATAGTTGAGGATGATATGGCGGACCGCGGTTCTTGAAAGTCCTGCTATGCGAGCAACCTGTTTCTCAGGTGCTCCCGCTTGGTACGCCCCGACAATGAGCCATCGCTTGGCTTCGGATGGGTCTGAGGAACGAGAGGAATGAGAGATTCTACTCATGATGAACTAACTTCTGGTGAATGAGTAACAAAGTAAGTTGGGTCTGAAAGTATATATATAAAAGATATAAAAAGGAAGAAGCAAAAAAAAGGGGGAATAAAAAAGAAAGAGGTGGGGGAGTGGCCAGAAAGGTTGATAGACCGACGTCATCGTTAGTAGATGAGAATGTTACACCAGAAGGAACGGAAAGGCTTACCTTTCAAGAAGTATTCCGGTTGGAAGAACCTATTAGTCTTATCAGGACAGAAAAATAAAGCATATATGTCTTGCACGATTATAAAAGGCGTCATGGATAAGATATCTGATAGTTATAGACATTAATATGGGAAATACTCTAGATAGCAATTTTTTTTCTTAAAAAAAAAGGGAAGAAGTTCTGATAAGGTTAGCCATCGGCGTTTCTTTATTTTGTGTATGTAAAGTAGTTCCAGATAAAGAGAAGTGTCTTTATGAGTGAGTGGGTGAGTAAGTATGCTTAGTATAATGCCTTATATATAAAGGTGTATATACATGATTTAGTCTACAAACACAAAAGAGTGCGCATTCATTTTGATATATTATTAATTCCAGGACCGGGGTCTTTCACCCACATAATATATAGAAATTCGTATGGTCGGCCTTGACCAAAAGAAGAAGGACATCAGCCCTTTATCCAAAGCAAGATAAAACACCCACATTCACACACATATACACACATCCAAAATTAAGGATGTTTAGTTAAAGACCCTTTTTACATCTCTATTTATTTGTACATTTTATCTTTTGACAGCCCCAATGCTTGTGTGCTATTATACATTAATTATTACTTTGAATATTCATTATGTGGAGTGTTTGAGGTTGTTATTACGTTAACCAGTAGAAGCCACGACCATATGTACCTATTTATCTATGTTCGTATATATCTATTCTTTAATCCGGATATCTATATTTTTAACCGGAAGGATTCCTGAATCAAAATAATAATATAGTACCAACTGATGGTATTACTATTATTAAATAATGGTACAGCACGAGTTTTATTATTATCATTTTGACTTTGTGACAATCAACACACAACCTCAACTCTTTGTACATCTAGCCGGACCATCCCATATCTTTGTTTTTGCATGTATATATATATATATTGAAAGTGAAAAGACAGCTATACAAAAGGGTTCCTGGATTGCTTCTTAAGATGGTCAAAGCATTTCTCACCCTACTTTGCTTTGCTTTAGATTGTTTTTTATTTTCGTTACTGTTAATTAAGTAACACTAATGTGGCGCAAAATAGAGCTAGGAATAAGATCGCCTATAAATGAATAGCAAAGAAATAGAGCAAAATAAACAATGAATCAATAAATTAATTAACCTGAAAAGTGTCAAATTCTGAGAGAATTTGTAAAGGCTTTTCTTCTTCTTTTGTGAATGATAGCTGTATTGCAAATGTTCTTTGCTCTGTGGCATCATTACTAATTTTGATAATAGTAATTATAATTCGACTATCCTAATTCTTATAGTTTGCATTATGACCCTTATTATTTTTGCTTCTATATGTATACGCAATCTGACTTTATACAACTTGACTATTCTACACATCACTCTTTGTGAATTAGAATGAATCTTAAACTAGTATATTTTATGGGTGAAGAAGCTGGTGTGGTACAGTTGATTGTCTCTAGCTGTGTACAGTCATTTCAGAAAATAAAGTCGCTGATTTTGAGTTCAATGTCGTGCAAAAAAAATTGTGCGTTCAATAATGTTGTCAATTGATCCAAAAATAAAGACTTGCTCACGTGTCACGAACTTCGTTTATCTTTAATTGTCGCTTAGTAATTATCCAATAAAATACCTGGCATTAATTGTTATAAAAAGGGGATTACGATTTTCTGTGTACATTTAGCTCTCTTCTTTCTTATTATGATTTATTTTACGGATATTGAAGATGAGTATGCAATTTTTTTATGAAGATGTACAAGGGCATGTTGTTGATGAACATGTCGTTGAGCCGATGTTCTTATTGTTGATGAGGAGTTTTATGCTATTGAAACAATAAGTTCTTGTACTCAATTCTTAATGAATAAACCTCAAGAAAGGCCATCTAATACCGGTATACTTCCAGTTGCGGATGAAAGAAACTATGATGTTGATATGGGGTTATGCAATAAGCGACGCTATACGGTTTACTCTGATGAAGACAGGACTGATTTTTTTTCAGCAAATGCTTGAATGCTTCTTCTGCTGTGAGACAATTGGGTATTCATATCCGGGCAGCGCAGAGATGGGTAAAACGTTATTACGAAGACTCTGAAAGCATTTTCGAAAACAAAAGAAAAAATCAGGGTGACGTCGTATTCTTGGGAATGAGCATAAGTAATTTCTTTTAAATTACATTGATGAGAATCCTTCTGCCGTTGTCAATGGCTAAAACAAAAGCAACTTCTATTTTAGGTGCAATTTCTGCCACAGGTTTAATTAATGTTAGTTTGCGAGTTCCGGAGCGTATCAAGAAGAGAAAGCTCAGGTGTGAGACTGATGGTTATAGCATAGAAACAGTAACAGGACATTACTCGAGCTTTTTAAAAGCTACTCTTGATGAAATAGACAAGTATCCGGAAATGAAGGGACATTATCTTGTCATGGATAATGCCCCTATCCATAGCTCAACTGACATAGGAAAGTATATTCACTCTCGAGGATATCGATACGCATATCTTCCTCCATATTCCCCTGAACTGAATCCAATCGAGCAGCTTCGGTCAGCCGTCAACGGTTAAGTTAAACGAAACAAGTTTTCGGAAAAAGAATTGCTCATGACTAGGATCAGTGAGGCATATGATAACTTACATTTTAGTGATTTCAAAGGCTTCGTTTCTCATTCTGCTAAATGCTTTGATAAGTGTCTTAACAAAGAAAGATTATAAAAACGGGCACAGCAATCTGTAAGCCCATAGAAAACATGAGCATAAAAAAAACATGAGCGATAGAAAAAAAACATGAGTATAAAAAAACATGAGAAATAGAAAAAAAAAATGAGCAAAAAAAAACAAAGGCGCCATCGTTTGTTAAAAAAGCTATGTCCGGATAGTGAGGAACCGTTCAGCAGATTCCAAGATATGAAGAGGCACATATTTACTAAGCACGGCAAGGATATAACTTCACGTTTGAAGAAAGACCATGGCAAATCAATAGACTGAATTCCAGTGCATGTCTACAATACAAGCAACGTGAAGAAATACACAAAAGAAGGCACAGAAATCATTATTAAATTCTCTTGCCCAGGCTGTCGCGATGTATTTAGTATTGTTTCAGAACTCGCGCATCACGTCGATAATAACCATGTAAAAAGAGCGCCAACTCTTGAAAACCTAACTATTGAAGACCAACGATGGGTCCTGAATGGTCACGATATTTCAAGCCAATTCCAAGAATATCGCCAATCTTGTATTACTGCATCGCGTACAACTGAATTTGCCGTCGAGAGCCATTTTAATGAGCTTTTGGCTATTTCTGGTATTCCTGTCTTACAGCGACGAGGCAATTATGAAGATTTACCAACCGATATTTTTCCACCATCCTCATTAACAACAGTGCGCACTGAAATACTGGCCGAGTACAAGCGAAACACATTCCAACTACACATTAGAGAAGCAGTTCAATCGATTATTCAGCAGTTTGTGGATGAAAACATCACGGAAATACGAGCCAAAATCGAGCTTCTCTCACTTTGCGAGCCAGTTGTTACTCCCTCGCCACAAGATTCCATTGAACCAACGGAATATGAATGTGCAGTTATCATGGCAATAGTGGCCTTACTCTCGTATCTATACGACTGTGACATGTAGTCACTCTGAAGCACATCTGACTTCCAGCTATGCCCATCTGTTTATGCATGACCTTTTGTCAGCAAAGAAGCCCTCAAAAGTTGCGCACTGCTCGAACATAGTTCCAGAAGAGTTTGACGATGCTGTCAATCGACCAGATTACAAAATTGACGTGTATGCATATTCTGGATACCGGTTCTCGTACACCAACGCATATGGAGATGTCAAGAAGAGCAGAAATGTTTCAGTCACACTGCTTGCCAAAGATTTTTATCGGTTGTGCATCTTTAGCAAAGAAGCAATTGATCGGTACAATTTGATAAATGTCCTGTCCTTCCAAGTTACAGCCAACTCAGTCACGTTTTTTGCGATGCAACTGAAATCGCCATTCTTATACACTGTCACAGAATTGGTTCGGTTCTGCATTCTAGCGAAGAAATGTGATCTCCTGGATTTGATGGGTAAAATGGACAACTTACTTTTTGTTGCGTCATTATACCGAGACCATTGCGTGGTTAGTGAAAATAATCTGACGCCTTGGCGCTGTGATACACTGTCGAGCGCGTATTTGGACGTGATCAAAAACAAATTGGCACCAAGGAAACGAACTTGTAACTTGACTCTTGACTCTTAAAGGTTGACCATATACCCACCCAATCAATCTTTGTATTTTCCCTATTTCCAACGGTGATTTTCCTTTGTTATCGTGTATGTTTTACTTGCTCGCTCTTCTTTGTTGGATTTACCCATCCTTCCTATTTCCCTTATCTGCGATTTTTTTTTATACAGAATTTGTTTGCTATTGATATGAATACACAACAGTCTCATAAAAAAATAGGTTTGCTCATGGTTTCTTTCTGTCACGTGTGTGATAGAATTGGTCGGCCGTCGGCCAAAATCTTTCTTTTTCCTTATGTTCACATTTCTATTTATGTTATTATCACAAACACTGTAGGAAATGGCAGGATTTATACCTCCGACCTCGTAACAAGTTACGAGTTCGTAACTCATGCTATTTAAAAGTCCGTATTTAACATACCGATCTCGTAACGAGTTACGAACTCGTAACTTTTATAGCCAATAACATGCCTTTTTTAGCCTATTAGTTTTACTTTTTGTCAAATACGATTTATGGGATTTTATATTATTTTGCATCTAATCCAATAAAATATTTCAAATATGGTAGATCTATACCTTTTTTAGGTATTTGTATTCTCTTTATGATTGGTTCAACAAATACACGGCTTTATATTGGAATTTTATAGTTTTTATTGATCAAAATAATACAAGTTGAATATAAAGAAGTATGGAAAGAAGAAGTACTATTTTTTATGATATTTAGTAACAGTTTAAGCTATAAAGTTACTAAATGATATACATATATCTATTTTTATGTGATCCTTTTTACATTGCTTATCTAAAAAAAAGCTATTTTCTAAGTACTATGATATTGATGAAGGCGTGTATATTTCTTAATTGATTCTTTTAATCAAAGAGTATAAACCTACTTTGTGTTAACATTGTCATGTCTCATTCCTACTTTTGAAAAACAAGAAGACAGATTCCCTGTAATTCTCTAAATCTACCGAGATTTCTAATAAGCATGCGAGCAATCTTGACAACCAAATTGTACTTGATGCATATATTTTTCTGTCAATTCTTCTCGGATTGCTTTCTTTTGTCAACTTTGCTGATTCGTATTTTATTCATATTAGCCTTCATAGTTATTAAGTGTGTTCCTTTTAGAGACTTTTAATAATTTTAGACCTTGTGAAAAATAATAGAAACAAGTCCTTTTAGATGTACCAATCTAAATTGTTTGGAGAACATGGACGGGTCAGAGGTTATGCATCGTTTGTGGAATCGCGATCTTGCTGCTGTCCTGAACTTCCGACATATACTTAACAATTTAAGATATGATGGGACTATACCTGTAAGTTTCACCCGCGTCATTCGGATTGGGCGTATCAGAAGACAAGCAGAAGAAGATCTCCAGGAGGGTCGTCGTTTGAGACAGAGACTGACTAGAATTCAAATAAGAGGAAAAAATTCCGTCCTGGTTACCGCTTAGGACCCACCCAAGCTACCGCTGGTAAGCCATTAGATTTGAATAACTTGGTATTTAGTTTTGTAATGGGTTGAAAAAGCTAAGAAAAAGATGTTTTGCTTTGACTGCAAAAAACATGGTGGGGTAAAAAAAAAAGTAGAATATAAAAGAGAGAGAGAGAGAAATTGGTGCATAATTAAAACTCAAGTACAAGACACTTTAAACCCCGGAAAACTTGCAACAATTCACTAAAATCGGCTATTTTTTTTTCTATAGGGTAAGTGACACGATTTTGACAAATATAGCAGTGGGCATTTTGCCACAACACAACACCCACTCTATTATTTTTATCGATTAGATTTCTAAATATTTTATGTATTCCTGTACACAAAGTATATCAAATCTTCAGGCCTTCTGACCTTCATTAGATCACTACCTTTTCTTTTATTCTAATTTATGCTCAGTTAAGCCTGTATCTATGAGCGTATGAGTGTGTTGGCAAATGTCAAAGATAAAAATAAAAGAAGAAAGCGTGACTAAACTCGTTGGTTCTTACAAAGTTACACACATATATCTTTCTGTATTCTTGATATTTGAAGACTTGCATTTACTTTTCTTTCCTCCCATTTTCTGTCCATTTATCTATCTTTATTTGTGTGCATTTGTGTATGTATGTATTTTATGAGAATCTCATGTAATCTTTATAATCATTTGTAATGGTAATATTGAAAAAGATACCACTCTTCAAGAATCTTTTTATACATATACATTTTTTTTAGAATGGTTGAGGAACAGTCCAGTTCTTAGGTCGCGTGACTTGTGTAGAAACCAAAGGTTCAAGTTCGACCCTAACGTGTGTGTAAGTGATATAGCTTTTTTTAAGAAAAGAAGAACTTCCTCCTTTGTATATTAAATTCGACTGGTCTATATTAGTTATCTACTATGGGAGGAGCACAAAGTTCAGAGAATGGACACCATGGATTTCATGTGTTAAAGGTTTGATATCAATGTAATGAGTAATGTGATTTAATGAGTAATATTGTATTGTGTTTAAGAAGGTTCTAACAGAATTGTTTGTGTTGAATGCGATAAAATTACGCATATTTTTTGATAGGTCAAAAAAGATTCACCGGCATTCCAAGCAGGAATTGAACAGTTCTTTGATTATATTATAAGCATCCAGGGTACATCACTGGTAATTGCCACGTAACATGTAGTAATAGTTGTGATGTGGTATGGTGTGATAAATGGTAATTGTGGGTTGACTGTGAGATTATGAATGAACTCATTTTTAATGTTGATTCCATTTCATTTATCTATTTTATATGCTTTAATAGGAAGATGGAAATAGCAAAGAACTTGTTAGAATCCTTCAAGAGAACGAAAATAAGCCTGTTGTTATGGGCATCTACTCAAGCAAAAACCAAGCTGTTCGGGGTAAAAAAAAAAAAAAAAAAAAAAAAGAGGAAATACTAAGATATGCATTGTGCACACACACACATGCATATCATACAAATATAATTATTATTTAAAGGCAACAAAAGAGTAAGAAAAACTCAGCTTTGTGATTTTAGATATTACTCTCACACCCACCAAAGACTGGCCAAGTGAAGATCCTAATGAGAAGAGTCTAATTGGTACATATAAGCACATAATCCACTATATACATATTTATGCGTAAATACAGATGTATATATATATTTGATCGTTGTACGAGACCGAAAAGATGGATCTAGAATTGTTTTTGGTTTAATTTTGTAGGTTGTTCCATTCGATATTGTTCGTATGAGCGCGCAGGGGAAAATGTGTGGCATGTTCTTGACATTGCTCCCAATTCACCTGCTGAAATGGCAGGAATAATTGCACACTCTGACTACATCATTGGCAGCCCCCACATGGCTCTGAAGAACGAAGAAGACTTTTATCAATTGGTCGAAGAATTCGTCAACAAACCACTCCGGCTTTATCTGTACAATACTGAGTGGGACAGCTGTAGAGAGGTAAACCATGCATACATACATGCGTACATACATATGCATATATATATATATATACAAATCATATACATACATCATAACCAATCAATCAATTGGTGAATTCTGCTTATAATTCACAGAGACTAAAAGGATAAAGGGAATATAAATGTCAAATATAAAAATATTAATATATATATATATATACAAAAAAATAGGTCATTATTGTTCCTAGTCATGAGTGGGGAGGAGCTGGTTCTCTGGGTTGTGATGTTGGATATGGACTATTGCATCGGATCCCAAGAAGACATTCTGAATTGACTGCCAACGGTACGGAGGATGGACAACAGACAGCAGAAAGATATTCCAGGGAAGGGGTGACAAACTACAGTAACGCTATTTTCAGCTCGCCTGACGATGAACTTGAGTCGCCTGTATTGGTCCATCACCACAACCATAACCATGATCACGATCACGATCACGATCACAGCCATGACCATAACCACAAACATAACCACCACAACCAGGAATCAACATCTGTTATCCTCAAGGCCCCGCCTATAACCACTACAGACCCGATTGTAATTACTAGTGATCCAGACTCTACCCAGCTTAGTAAACATCTCAATGATGCCGTTTCTTCCATGACATCATCTTCTATAGAACCCCCTTCAGCAAACACTGAGTCGAAAAACGATTCCAAAGAATAATAATAATAACAGCGATAATAAAGCATAGTTATATATATCTTTCTTTACTTTTTGTTTGTTTGTTTATCTTGCTCTGCTATTGTTGCTGTTATTTCTGTTGTGGACCCTGCATTAGTATTAATTGATTATTTCTTTCTTTTTCTCTCCCTCCTGTTGTCTTATAGAATATTGAAAGAATACATAAATATTCTCACTCTTTGTTTGCTTTTAAAAATAATTTGCTTAGTGCTAGGGTGTAAAATAAAATATGAAAAGACAAATACATTTAGTCTATGTATTTGTTTGGTTACTTGTTTCTTAATTAATTTTTGTTAAAAAAAATACCACCTAAATATATATATATAATACAGTCTTTTGTCCTTCTTACCTCCTTCTTCCCCTTTATTTATTATCTACAGGATTACTTTTCTGGATACCTAAAATATAATGGCTAAATTGTACATAATATATATATATATATATAATGTGTGGATTTGGGTGTGTGAAGATCCCCTTTATGAATTATGCCCGTAAGAATTGAAGGAGGACAGCTGTTAAAACACATAGTTCCTCAAGGCAGTTTACCTGCAGATAATACTTTGGTCAAACGCTATGTACATGTATATATCTTTAAAAATCCGTTAAAGTAAATGATGTACCCATTTAATGATGATCATTAGGCTTATCTTTATCCTTTTTTCATTTCAAGACCCTCGCACACACACACGCATACACAAATAGTCTCTCTCTCTCTCTCTCTCTTTCTACTCTTATTTATCTTTGTTTTTTTTTACATACAATAAATATATATCCCTCTTTTCCCCCTTGCTTTTTTTTTTCTCTTTTCGCGTACCATTCTTCTTTCTTCTTTTTTTCCTTTTTAAATAATTAAATACAATTTCATTCACGAAATAGACCTTTTTTTTTGGAGGAGGAGGAGGAGGAGTAGACTTCCTCTTATCTTGAAAATCTAGTATATGTGTATGTATAAAGTGTGGTATAAACTTTAAGATTATATGTAAATCATACTAAATACATATTTGTCATCCACAATCAATACAGGCCCTGGTTCCTTAATAGATATATAGATATATTTTGCGATATTTTCCAAGCCTACTTTTTTTTCTACAAACAAAAGAAAATTAATAATAATATCTGATAATGCATTGTTTCTCTTTTTCCCTGATTTTTTTTTCAATTATAATTAAGGTAGAGTGACATCTTAAATACCCAAAAATAGTAAATGGAACATATATCAAATCAAAGTTTTACACAAAATTGTTGTGTATGGGTGTATTAAACGGAGAATATTCCGTAGACAATTTTATTTTATTTTTATTTATATACATTTTATATCGTTTAAACGGAGACAGCATTCTAAAGTAGGCGATTTAAGCATTGTCGTAATTGTGGGACGGCGTTTATAAAATAAGCTCAGGGTTGCATGAATGCAGCGCATATTTGAACAAGTAAATGTACATGTGCAACTATATCCAATCACAGCTGTTTGTTTGCAGTTTTTGAGCTTTTTTGAGAAAATTAATTTTGTTCGGAGATTTATTAAAATAAGAAAAAGAAAATTGACATCTTGCTCGTATATTTTATCTTCCTTCAAGATGTCATATAAAATATAGTTATTTATTTCCCCATTGAAATCGTTTGAAAGAAGAAGAAAGGACCATAACGATATATAATGTGTCTATGATATTGAATTCAATGCAGAGAGTCAAGGGATTTTTTAAAAAGGAAGAGATAGCATAAATGAATGAAACCAACCAATATATGTTTGTGTGTGTATATATCTTGTTGTTGTTGTTGTTGTTGTTGTTGTTATTTTTGGTGATGGTTTACTTATTTATTTAGCTATTTATCTATTTAATTTGATTTGATTTTTTTTTGCTTTTATGATCTACACAGATTAATACACAACAACCAAAAAAAGAAATAAAAGCTTGTTTTATAATCAGATGCGCATCTTTGCGGGTCAACAGAAGGATGTCCGGATCAAATTCTTAGTTATCCGCGAGCCTTGTTTTTTTTTTATCGTAAAATAGTAATAGCAATAGCAATAGCGATAGTTATAGTTATAGTGATAGTAATAATCGAAAATAAGAGTAATAGTCAACCTTTTGTTTCAATATTTTTATTTGCACCTTGAACAATTGGCTTAAAATCGATTCTGATTCTGGTTATCGAGTCTAATATTTCTCTTGATCTCTTGCTCGCTATTTGTTTGCAAAAAAAAATTAAAAAGAAAGCAAATGTCAATAGTGTAATGTCTATCTATTTGTCTATTTGTCTATATGGCTGTTTGGCTATATGTTTGTTTGTTTGTTTGCTGGTTTGTATATGTTTTCTTTTTTATAAAAAAGATATATATATAAATATATAAACAGCAGCAGTACTAATATTAAGATCGATCAAGAGAAAAAGTTCTCAATTATTCAGCACAGTAATAAAAGCTGGTATATAGACTGATATTTAAGAATCATAAATAATAAACACTGAGTAATAACAATAAACAAATACACAGGGGAAGCGGCATTTATCCCTACACTACCTTTTTTTTTACTATCCATTCAACATAATCACAAAGACGCCCACAATTGTTATTTTTTTAAAAAAATTATTTTTAATTATTATTATTATAGATTTATATCGATATATTGATATGAAATTGTAACCCTAGATCTAATAGATCTTGTAGTCTAGGACTTAATACATTGCATTAATAAAGTAAAGAAAAAAATATGAAGAGTGACAAGGTGTCAAAGTAAAATAGTAAGAAAAGGAACTAGAACGCGTACTGTCAAAATAAAAAATAAAATAAATAAAAAAGCAAAAAGATGCATATATTGTAAGGGGAGGGGAGGGGGATTAATTATTATTGGGAGTATGATATTGATAATGAGGAGGATAAGAACAAGAACAAGAACAAGAACAAGGACGAGTACTACGATCAGTATAAGTAAAAGGATGAGAGGAGAAGCATTTACTTATTTGTTTGTTTGCAAAACAAATTGTGAGGTGTATTTGTGTAGGCAATGCGACAAGAAAATCTTTGTAAATGATATCATTACACACAACAACACAACATCAATGTTTCCAGGAGTCAATTTTTTTTGTATTTTTTTTTAATATATATACATTTTATATAATTACTATTAAATAATATTTTGAATTTTTGCATTAGTATATAAGCAAAGCAAGTAGTAACAAGGATGTTATTGATCCACATACTTTTTCCCTTCAATTTATAATCAGTATCATTGATCTTTGCCCTTCTACCTTTGTCTATTTCCCTTTACTTCTTTCAAATCATTAAATGAGAATTGTGATTCATTTGCTCAATTCAATTCAATTCAATTAAATAATACATTTAAATACGCAATATATATAACAACAAAAACAACAGCAGCAAGAACAGCAAGAACAATCATAAAGATGTCTGTAACAGAGACCAAGAATTTTGTAGCAGACTTTACAAAATCAGAGTCTCGCAAGGCACCCTTTCCAAAGGACCAGATGCCACCGCTCTTTGACACACCGACTACAATCCACAATTGGTACAAACGTGTTCGTTGGGTCTATGCAATCATCTTGTCAGTGTTCCCATTCATATCCATCTATGGAGCCCTCACTACCGAGTTGCACACAAAGACTCTTATACTAGGCGTTGTTACATATTTTCTTACGGCATTGGGTGTAACAGCAGGTATGATACCCAAATACTATTTTTTTTTAAAAAAAAAAAGAGAAAAAAAAACATTGTATTTATTTATTTTTGATATTGTGTAGGATACCATCGGATGTGGGCTCATAGAGCTTATCAGGCAACACCACTTTTGAAGTTAATATATGCTGTATGTGGCGGGGCTTCTTCTCAAGGATCTATATATTGGTGGGTCAGGGATCATCGTTCTCACCACAGGTTAGTCGGCTTGGCTAGACTTCATCTTAGTTTTTGGTTGAAAAAAAAAATATGTCAACTCCAGTGTTTTGTGTAACATGCCCAGACGCAAGATGTTCTAACTGCTTTTGTTTTGTAAATCTATCTATCTGTCTAATCTCTTTTTGGGAAAATTGAAACAGATGGACTGACACCGATAAGGACCCTTATAGTGCCCAGCGCGGTTTCTTTTACTCACATATTGGCTGGCTTTATGTTGATCGTGGCAAGGGAAAGACTGGATTTGCAGACATAGCAGACCTGAAATCAGACAAATTGATAATGTTCCAAAACAAATACTATGCCCTTTTTGCGATTGTTTTTGGTTTTGTGGTTCCTACTCTAATTGCAGGCTATGGCTGGAATGATTTTAGGGTGAGTTTTACATCTCTTGTTGCCTTTAGACCATTCAAATAGAAAAGGACTTATAAACACGCATACACACATACATACGCAAGTTGTATATATAAATTTATGTGTAAAAAGAACGCGCTTGTTTTTTTTCCCGATTTTGTTTTATCTGGATTTATCTTATTTACATTAATGCATTACTCCTTAGGGTGGCTTCTTCTATGCTTCTGTTGCTCGTACAACATTATTGCATCATGCCACATTCTGTGTAAATAGTCTTGCACACTACCTCGGAGATGACACCTTTGACGATCACCACTCGCCCAGAGATTCCTGGATCACAGCTTTGGTGACAATGGGTGAAGGGTACCATAATTTCCACCACCAGTTCCCCCAGGACTATCGCAATGCAATTGTGTTTTATCAGTACGATCCAACCAAGTGGCTAATCAAGTTTTTGGAGTTTATCGGAATGGCCTATGATCTCAAGACATTCCCAACTAATGAGATCGCCAAAGGACGATTCCAGATGCAGGAGAAGCGGATTGAGGAGCTGAGACGAGATATCAAGTTTCCCCGACCCATCAAGCATCTGCCGGTCTACACCTGGAAAGAATTCCAATCCAAGGTCCAGGATGACAAAGAAGCGTGGATCTTGATTGAGGGAGTTCTGTATGATATCAAGGGATTTGCTCACCCAGGTGGAGAGAAGTACATCCAGGCGTCAGTGGGCAAGGACGTGACAAGTTCGTTCAACGGTGGAGTCTACAGTCACTCGAATGGTGCCAGAAATGTATTGTCGATGATGCGCGTGGGAGTTCTGTTGAATGGCATGGAAGTGATGTCCAATATCGAAGCAGAGGTCGATGAACTGGTTCTGGGCAAATCCAACAAAAAGGATTTGTGAGAGCCTACCAAAAAAAAATGTGTATATTCTTTTTCACTATTATACTTTAATTTGTTTATTCTTCTTTTTTATCTATTCAATCATCCATTCATTCATTTGACCAATCATTATATTTTTTGCCCTTTATTTCTTTTTCTTTTTATTACCACCATTATAACAAACCAAAATAATCATTACACACTCACACTTCTTCTTCTACTACTACTTCTTCTACTTCTTCTACATTACAATAAAGATTAAAGATAATATTGATGGTTTTCTAAAGAAGAAACTGAAATATTAAATGGTTCAATAATGTTACTAATACTAAAGAATAAATAAGAGGATGCGCTTATTTAGTACGTTACATTTATTATTGTTAATGACTTATGGGCTAGCTAGCAATTTATCACTATTACAGAAGGTTCAAATATCTGATCTTATAAACCAATATTCTAATGTCTCTCATTAACCAGGTACATGCGATAAATATTTATATATATATATAAACATGTATTTCCACGCTGCTTATCTTTAAAAAATAATAATTATAGATTACAGGAGATGGGAAAGGCTACTACTGCAGACAATTTTTTTTTTGAACAGTACGTAGTTACGGAAAAATTGAATTCAAATGTAACCGCTACGGGTGCTCTTGCCCGTTGTACCGACTCTTACATTAACCAAGGTGTACAGGAGATATCTTCTAACGGTCCGCTTACCTAAGAAATAATACTTATGAAAGATCAAAGCCGGCCCGGAAATGAAAATCCGACCCGATTATTTATTTATTTTTATTTTTTTAAAAAAAAAAAGGGCTCTTCGGCTGCACACATCGCTAACTGTAAACTATACTCAAACGTTACAGGTAGATGGGTCGGGTTTCGAATTTTTAAAAGAATCCTTAAACCATATTATTATGGACATTTTTTTTTAAATAGGTGTGGACAGACTGAAAAGTTCAAAAAAAGTTTAAAAGGCTCTGATTGGCTAGTCTTTTTTCTTATTAATTTGATTGAGAAGATCATGCTTTTGATAGAAGATATCGTATTCTGAGTACTTCATTTTATCTAATATGCACTTAAACTTTTTTTTTAGCTTTTTTAATCTGTTCACACCAAATAATACTAACAATAGAATGTGCTTAGAATAAAGCAAAACTTGAAAAAAAAAATTCACTATATATATATATATATATTTAAGAGACAAAGTATGAAACTCTAGTAATGAGTTGTCACCACCTCTCTCGATTACTTCTTTAAGCCTATCTGACATGCTAGCTACCAAAGTTTCCAGAACTTGAAGTGGTATCTCCAACCATGTCTTGTGGATTACTGCTTCAAGTTCTTCCACATTGGTTACTTTTACTCTATTCTTACAAAGTCTCTTCGCAAGATGAGCCCAGATATGCTCGATAGGATTAAGATCCGGGCTCTGGGCAGGCCAAAAATCAAAGCTTTCTATTAGACACCTCTCTTTTTTATACCATGTGGCATAAGCACCCGTGTGGCATGGTGCACCATCCTCTTGAAACAAAAACTGTTTGTTATTATCTCTGGACAGTTCCTCGTACCAGGGAAGAAAGTACTGTGCCAAACGGTCGATGTACTTGTCTTGGTCGATGTTTCCTTTCAATGTTACCAAAAGGCCAAGGCTCCCCATCCCAGAAACGGCCTCAAACCATGTTAGAACCCTTACCGAACTTGTATGTTTGGTCAACGTAGTTCTTGCCAAACCTCTCGCCCGTCTTTCTGATGACTCTGACTCTTCCATCATTGCCAACTACCATAAATCGGGGTTCGTCTGACCAGACAGCCGATTTCCACTGCTCAACGGTCCAATTCACTTTGTCAAGGCACCATTTCAGCCTGTTTTCCTTCTGTTTCTCGGTCAATCCTGGCCTGCGAGCTGCTGAGTGAGAACTGAAGCCAAGAAGTTCCATGTTTTTACGGAATGTAGTCATGCAAATGGAGATTCCCACATCGACTAATCTCTGACGCTGAGTCGCAATTGACACGAATGGGCTCCTTACGAAATGAGCGCACCATCGCAGATTGTGTTCTCTTTGTAACCTTTGGTTCCCTTCCTAGACGTGTCAAGGGCTTGGAAACACCTTTATACCTGGAGAATTTCTACGCCATTTTCAATAGTACCCTTGTGAATGCCGAGGGCTATAGAGGTTACTCCATAAGTATTGTCTTTTTTCCATTGACCTATGGATCGGGCTCTGCTGTCCCTCCTCATGAACGGATCTGATTCTTGCTGTTTAGGGTTTTATGATGCCAACAAGTGGTAGAGTAATTACGTGCTCGTATTTTGTTTTTTTTTTTTTTTAGTTATTTAAAAAAATCGGGTATGTTTATAGGGAAAAAACAATGTTTTGGTGACGCTTCAAAACAAAAACAAAACCCACGAATTTTGTGACCAACCAACCCATCAGCTATTACGCCTGAGCCTATGATCTAAACCTCTCTCTCTCTCTTTTCTATTCCCTCGTATGTATTTTTTCAAGTATATAATACACAAATGTAAATCCCGCAAAAGGCAGGATACAAACCAAAAAAAAAAAAAATCGTGTCCGATTAAAATTAACCGCGTAATAATACATTCTGTTGGTCAATTATCATCATCATCATCCTTATTATTTTAAAATAAAAAAAAGCACCAAAAATATGTGGCTTTATTATTTGTGGAGTAGCAATTATATTAAAAATAACTATTACAGCTTGTTCGTCAAAAAAGACTCAATATCAAAGAAGAAGAGGTATTGATTTGTAGACAATTCTTGTAAGCATCGATAAAAGGATTTAATAGAATGTACGTTTTATTAAAAATAATGTTTGAGATTTTCAGTTCTTAAAAAAAGCCAAAAACGGCCAAAACGGCCGTGCACACCTCTTGTAGTGTAACTCCTTTAAATGGATTTTTAATAGGAGCTATTTAAAAAGGTGTAATTACTTGGATTTATATTCTCTTTTTTAAAAAAAGATTCACTTAAAGAAGTTCGTTTTACTTTGGGCAGCAAACGGCCGTGTACGCTTTAGATACTACGCAATCACCAAATTACTCACACACTGAATATTTTCTTTCTCATAGAACCTTATAGAACAATAGACGTCACCTAGAAATAATAAGTCACGTATCCAATATCCTTCCTAACACTATGAGCCATTTTTGCGGTGACTTTTCTTTTTAGCCGCCTCGGTTTTCTCTCTCTGATGTGACTTTTTTATTTCAACCCCAAGGACTCTTTTTTTCATATGGCGTCACAATTTTAAAAGCCAATCAAAATGATTTAAAAGTCATTGACTCATTTTTCAAACACCAATCATTTTAATTTTCACGTTCCGTGACTTTCTTTCAATTGCAAAAGGTCGTACAAGAATTGAACCATTTTGTCTATAAAAAGGGGCCAAAAGTTTGCAAATTTTTCAGATCTTTATTGTGGCGGTTATCTACGTAGTCTGCTCATAGATGTGGCCTTAGTAAACCGGTCGAAAGACTTTCACAGTTGAAGACCTATAAACCAAACTATATAAACCACGCGATGTCTATGCAGGTGTAGAATGCTGATAACCTATCTGTTGCCCACTGCGAGTTTTTTGAAAATTTTCTCGTCCAACAGGGAGATCCCACTTTCATCATTGGCTGGCCACCAATGGTAAATAAATTCAATAAAATAAATGAAAATGAACCAATCAAAATCTATATAAATTGATTTTCTTAAATCATTTTATATAGATTTTGATTTTTTTTTTTGTTTTTTCAATTTTTTTTTATAAATTAAAAATAAAAAATTAAAATTAAAATTAAAATTAAAAAATAAAATAAAATTAAAATAAAAAATAAAAGTGACATGACTCTTATCATAAAGATGATGAACTCTAGTATGATGATATAATGTAACTTGTATTTGTACTGGGATCTGTCAAGATGGACGAATTGACTACAAAGTAAAATTACAATTGCAATTGGAGAAGAGTCATGTCAATTGGGGGATGGAAATGAACTTTTTGTATTAATGTTTTCTAGTCCGATGAGTCCAGACTAGATTCGCAGTGAGGGAGGAGAATGGACTGAATTAGAGATCTCAGGCTCCAAGAATACATTACCAGTTATCATACTGGGCCTCATCCTATACAATTTTTTTTTAAAAAAAATAAGGGCTTAGAGTATTAGGCTTCTCAAAATACTAGGCCTCGACGCCCCAATAGAGATATTATTGGGTGGTAGGCTTTTTGAAACAAAGTTAAGTGGAACTGGAACTGGAACTGGAATAAGCAGCATTGATGATCTGGATATTGTTATGTAGCGAGAATGATAATGATAAAGAATATGAATTGAGTTTGCATGATATTTGGTAGGTATGTAGTATAAGATATATAATTATAATTATACTTCATTAATAAATATGCATGAAAATTCTATTTTTTTTTTTTTTTTTAAAAAAAATAATAATAATTGAAGGCTTTGTTTCTATTACTGATGAGCTACAGTTGAATGTTAAAGACATGCTTTAATTTAATTTATTTATTCATTTTTGGGCTTGACAATATAAGATATATAAAGATTTCCAAAAGCTTCTTCAAGGTATAATATTAGACATCGGCTTATGGGTCTATAGGTATCTGGACAATGCCGTTTGATGAAGGTTACACAGCAAAAATAGTCTGGAAAGTAATCTGATAAAACTATAATGCTTTTTTTTTATGGATCGAGAAAAAGAATACTGATGATATCAGACTAACTAAAGACCTACAGAGAGAAAGGTTGCTTAGTAACACATACAAACATTTTCTCTTGTGTGGAGAATAATAGGTTTGAGATTCTAGATGAAAAAAGGTGGAGCCGAAACTTTAGATTATTATCATTTCTGGGGGTGGGTGGGAAAAGAGACACGGTCTTTATCATTATTATCATTTCAAATCGAGAAATCAGAATTCAAAAACGCCCATTCTGTTGGTGTTGTTGTTGTTGTTGTTTTTATATAACACAATGAATATAACCCAAATGACAATTTCTTCTTTCTATAAAGACACTCCTTTATTTCTGTTTGCCTGTTTTGATCCGCCATAAGCCAATCTTTTACAGTTCAATGATTTTAATGATCTAATGGTCTAATAAGTAGCTTTGATGGTATGAGGAGCTAGTTTTGCATTGGTATCTAGATGTTTTCTCTTGATTGTTATTGTTATTGTTACTAACAAACAAACAACTCTTTAATTGGCGCTTCTTTTCTTCTTAAAATAATACTAATTAAATTGGAGAGTAAGGGTGGTACGAAATAGAAATGAGCTTTGTACCCTCTAGAAACGATGGCCTCTTATTACGAAATCAGACTAATAAGTTATATACAATTATCCATGAAAATAATAATAACTTCTTGTGTGAATTGTCTATAAAAGATAATGATTTATATAAAAACATTACGTCTTGCGGTGAATTTTTTTTATATGTTTGTTGTTATTATTTGCTCGTACAACCTCTTTTGTTGTATCATGCCACATTCTATGGAAATATTCTACACTACCTCTAAGATGAAACACCCTTTTATATATATATATATTAGGGGGTTTCACCAGCTTTGGATGTTGACTTTTGGATATAGCGGTAGTTTAAGCACCAGCCAATAATAATAATTATCGAAAAAAGACTGGTGAAACCCCCTAATGACCCTTGGTTGATATGTTTTCTCTCATATACGTCAAAATTCATATGTACAATACGCTTGATTAGAGTACCCATAAATATAGTGCCTATGCCCAAATTCCTCACAAGTAAGTTAGACTTCTATAATTTGGTATCAAGATAACTACTTTTATATAGATTTATTATGGCTTGGTTTTGACTTTGCTTCTATATGAACTTTGCCATCAATTGTACATAAAGTACAAAATTTACAAAATTTCGGCTAAGTCACGACATTAGAGTATCGAACTATTTTTTTAGATGCTTGGATGCTCGTTTTTCATTTTTTGAAGATTCATTATAGCCAATCATTTTCCGAATTAAATTACCGCTATATCCAACAGTCAACAGTCAAAGCTGGTGAAACCCCCTATTGAAACTGGTTTACGATTTCAAGACATTCCTTTTTAAAAATAATGATAATAGCCCCAAAGTACCGGGTTCTAGATACAGGAGAAGCCGATTGGAGTAACTTGAATTAAGAGAAGAAGAAAAAAAAATTTAAAGAGATCAAAAGTTCCCCAGGCCCAACAATCTGGCTGCCGATCCATATAACCTGGAAAGAATTCCAAGCCAAAGTTTCAGGACTACAAATTGAGTCGTGGATTTTGATTGATTGAAAAAGAGCTTGTATGACCTAAAAAGGGGTGATTTTTTTTTAAAAATAATAATAATATATATATATCATCTGGGCGGAGACAAGTGCATATGCTATATAGGTGCTGCTGGGTAAGGTAAAAAAAAGAAAAAGGTAAAGTACGATAAGATTATGTAAAAGGCTCTTTCAATGGCGGGGTCTACAGTCTACTTTAATGGAGTCAGAAATAGGCTGTCGATGATGCGTGCATGCACAGATAGCTAGTTACAGTCGAATATTAAAGCCGAGGTTGATGAACTAGTGGTGCTTGGCAAAGTCAACAAAAAAGGATTTGTGAGGGCTTACAAAATAAACCAAAATGTGTATATATCATTCTTTCCCTATTATACTTTCTGTTATTTTTCATTCGTTCATTAATTTTCTTGTTCTATTTTCACTCTTTGTGTACACACACTTCTTCTTCTTCTTCTTCTTTGGTAGGAGATTCTTATTTAGCAAAATACACCTACAAGTACATCCCAGAGCACATTAAAAGATACACCCTTAAACACACGTTTTTTTTTCCAGTAGTTAGTTCCATTTATTATAATTATTATTTTAGGTTAATTTGCTAGGCTTTTATTGACTAGTGGATTTCATTGGTAACAGAATGACACCTTTTTTTTTTTAAAAAAAAAAAGAAATATATATTTATTCTCATATAAGAGATTAGGGGGAGAGGGTTATATTTGTAACCATTTGTCTTGGCACTTTGCCTGTATGCTTATCTTATTGTCTTCTTGTCTGTCTATCTGTTTAGCTGTCTAATTTTTCCAATTTATTTTATAAATAAAAGTGGGCTAATATATGTGATCTCAAAGAAGCTAATTTTTCTTGATTTGAAAAAGGCCAGATCAAAGTATTCTTGGTTGATAGATTGATAGGTTTGTGCGTAGGCTTTTATTTATTTATCTATGTGTGTGTGTAGCAGTGTAGCAACAGCGTAGCAACAATGTGTACCAATGTAATTTGTGAATTGTGAATTGTGAATTTGGAGACCAAATCAAATAATAATGGTTGTACGATCAAATAAACTTTCTGGCTGTCTGTGAGTATGTGAATGTGGTTTATTTAAAGAACGCTTAATTTTATTTTATTTTATTCTATTCTATTTTCTTATTTGATCTGGTTTGATCTGGCGTCTGTACTCTCCAATGTACATTTGTTGTTGAAAGTATCATACAGAATATGGTTATAGTCTGTATTATTTTTGGAGGGGTATTCAGGAATTAAAGAAAAATCAAAGATATTTCTTGTGTTGTGTTTTTAGTGATTATAGAATATTATATAAAGAGAAAATGAATTCTAAGCATATACATCACATACAAGAAAGAAAGGGAAACCATAGGTATAGAGTGATAAAGATAGACAGAGATTATTTATTTATTTAGTGATACTATTGATATGCAGACACAAGAAAAAGTCTAATTATCATTGGTAATTCAAGTGATATACTATTGAAGTAAAAAATAGCTAGAATGGGAGGGAAAAGACTGCTTCTTTAAAAATGATAAATAATAATTAGAATACATAAATAGATTAAAATAAAAGAAAGAGAGAGGAAAATAACCTCTCAGTATCTGTGCCTGTGTTAGTGTTAGTGTTAGTGTTTGTGTTTGTGCCTGTGTTTGTGATAGAGTAGATAAATGAGATTGAATGAATATCTCTTTATCCAATAGATTCAAATAAAGGAAAATAGTGCAAAAAACAGATCAATATTTCAACATTTTGTACCTTGATCTCTCTCTGTTATGAATGTATTTTGTGCTTCTTGTTCTTATTCTTATACTATTTAAATAAAGGTGCTACTGAGAAAGCAAGGGCCCTTGCGTACTACATGAGAACCAGAAAAGAGTATTCAATTTTTCTTTGTGTGAGAGAGAGAGAGGTATTTATGAGTGAGTGAATTTTGTTGAATAGAAAGGTCAAGTTCTTGGATTTCCACCAGAGAATTAAAAATACATATTTTATTTATTATTTCCTTTTCTTATATAAAAATGAAGCCAATCAATCTAGTGGACTTCTTCCTTTTTTTAACTGAGTTTCACAAAACGAAAAGGAAAAGATACACTGTCATCTCTTTCTATCTTATTTTGTCTTATTCAATATCCGATGTAAGACAAGTTGGAATATAACCAAGAAAAAGATAGCAATAAAAGGCAAGGACAAGATGTATTTTGGTTTATCAGTCAAAAGCAAAAGGTCTTGAATTTTATTGCATTGAATTGCAGTGAATTGCAGTGAATTGAATGAAAATAAAAAAAAAAAAAAAAGCATTATGATAGTCCCCTCTCCTCTCTTCCCCCCCGCACGTTTCAAGCGGATCTTTCCGCAGACATTCTCTGCCAATCTATCCGCTTTACTCTAAAATGATATTTTAGCTGTTGAAATTTAGACATCTTTATTATTATTATTTTTTGGTGCATTTTATTGAACCAAATAAATAAACAAATAGACATAATAGACCATATTAAATAAATAAATAAGTAAATATTTCCTCAAATGACTACAGGTATGTAGGCATATCCTGTACGCAATACCATTGGTCAGATTTATATATATATAATCTTTATAAAATGAAAGAGTGTATTTTATGAACTGAGCCACCATTCTACTATTTTGTTATTTTGTTATGACTATTGTTTATCATTTGTTTGTTTGTTTGTTTGTTTGTGTGTGTGTTTCTCAAGGGGTGTTTTTACTTGAGAATTGAGGCTCATTTTTACTCTACTCTCCTTTACTCTACTTCATTTGACTACCCCCTCCCTCTTTTAGATTGTATTTGGTTTTTGTTCTGGCAATTGATCTTGAGTAACTTGAAGTATATAAATAAAAAATAAAAAATAAAATTTAAAATTTAAAAGAACGATCTAGCTTTATTGGGTTTGTAAAATGTTAATCTGATGGTACGCCAGATCAAAAAGGTATTCTTACCTAAAAGGCGAAACTGAATCCCATTTTTGTACTGACTATAGGTTCATCCCCTTTTCTCAAACTCTTATTCAACTCCCCCCAATTTGTTCCACCTTCTTTCAAAAACTAATGATTTGTTCACCTATACATACATACATACAATAAATTGCTTATGGTCCAAGCACTATGGTTTATGATCTAAAAAGTATTATAAATCTCATTGACATAATCATCATCTAATAAGCTTGTCCTTGAATACTAAACAATTAATTCTACACCCCTACTCTACTCTACTCTACTCCCCCCTTTTTTTTTCTTATTCTTCTGATTTTTTTATATTATGTTGTATATATTTAATAAATAATTTTTTTTATAAGAAAAAAATAATTAAATTTTAATAGATTTTTATATTTTATTTATTATATATATAAATACAAACGCTCCTTTTTCTTTTTTATCTATTTTCTTTTTTATCTAATTTTTTTTTCATTTAATTTTTATATATAAATATATTATACATACAATACATTACATCAAACATACTTCTTTATATACATAAAAAGATGACCGAGACATATGTCTATGCCTACACAAAATCAGAGTCAAGGAAGGAGCAGACGAGCCTTGAAAAATTACCACCTTTATTTGATACCCCAACCACATGGAAGAACTGGTACAAACGAGTTCGGTGGGTCTACTCCATCATCCTCTCGACCCTACCTATCATAGCCATCTACGGCATGTTTACCACAGAACTCCAAGCCAAAACTGCAATCCTCAGCGTCGTATTTTACTTTTTCACAGGCCTCGGAATCACTGCAGGTAAATATACAAATTCTTATTGTATTGAGGCATTTTAATGCAATGCAATGCAATACAATGCAAAGCAATAAAGCACAATACAATCTTAAAAATCATATATCAAATAAATCACTAAATTTATTAACAACAACAAAAATACATTAATGATAGGCTATCACAGACTCTGGGCACATCGTGCTTATCAGGCAACACCTCTACTAAAGTTCCTATTCGCCATAGGTGGTGGCGCTGCATGCCAGGGATCTATATACTGGTGGGCCCGAGACCATCGCTCTCACCACAGATGGACCGATACCGACAAGGATCCCTATAGTGCCCAGCGTGGTTTCTTCTATTCACACATCGGTTGGCTCTATGTCGATCGTGGCAAGGGAAAGACTGGGTTCGCAGACATCGCGGATTTCAAGGCCGACAAGCTCATCATGCTCCAAAACAGATTCTACCCTCTAGTTGCAGTTTTGACAGGCTTTGTTCTTCCAACCATGATTGCTGCCTATGGATGGAATGATGTCTGGGTAAGTCTACAAAATCATTGTTTATATTTTTTTTTTATTTTATTTTTTAAAAGAAAGATGTGCTCAGTAGTAGTAGTACCAAGTAGTAGTGATAGTAATGATAGTAGTATTTGATTGGGTTGAATTGAATCGAATTATTCAATTGAATTGAATTGAACTGGATTGGATTGGATTAGATTGGGTTGGATTAGATTTTGGCTTGTTGGGTTTGGTTTAGCTGGTTTAGTTGGTTTGGCTGGTTTGGCTGGTTGTGATGCCAATGGTAAATTTTCTTTTCTTCCATGTTTATTTATCATTTTCTTTGTGCTCTTGTCTATCATATAAATCTATAGGGTGGTTTCTACTATGCATCGGTTATCAGAGTCACCTTTGTTCATCATGTAACCTTCTGCGTCAACAGTCTGGCCCATTTCTTGGGAGAGGATACCTTTGACGATTTCCATTCACCTCGCGACCATTGGATCACCGCCATTGTAACCTTGGGCGAAGGCTACCATAACTTCCACCACCAGTTCCCACAGGACTACCGCAATGCGATCGTGTTTTACCAGTACGATCCAACCAAGTGGCTCATCAAGCTACTCGAGTTCCTTGGAATGGCCTACGATCTCAAGACATTCCCGACCAATGAGATTTCCAAGGGACGGATTCAGATGCAAGAGCAAAAGATCCAAAGAGTCAAGCGTGATCTCAAATTTGGCACTCCCATCCACGAGTTACCCGTGTACACATGGGAAGAGTACCAAGATCTTGTACACACCCAAGATAAGCGGTGGGTTCTGATCGAGGGTGTTCTCTACGATCTCGAAGGTTTCGACCACCCGGGCGGATCAAAGTATATAGAGGCAGCATTAGGCAAGGATATGACAGGAGCCTTCAATGGTGGCGTCTACAACCATTCGAATGGAGCCAGGAACCTGTTGACCATGATGCGCGTGGGTGTACTCCTGCATGGCATGGAAGTCATGACACAGGCCCAGGCCGAACTTGACGTTAAAGAGCTAGCATTGGACAATACATTCACAACCAAAACCACGACCACAACCACAACCACAACTACTAATAGCAATAATACCCTAAAGAAATCCCAGTGAATATATTTTTTTTTAAAAAAATAAAAAAATAAAAATAAAAAAATATTAAAACACATATATACAAATAAGATTATAATACCAAATTGTCTCTTTCTTTTTTTTTATTTTCTATTTTATTTTATTTATATACATATTTTTAACTTATCTGATGTTTTTTTTTTTATTATTATTATTATTATTATTTTGGTATATCACTATGGTTACCAATGAGCTTTATTTTATTTTATTTTATTTTTATTTTTATTTCTTATGTATCTATATATCTTTTTGATTTTTTGTTTTGTTTTCTTAAAATATTTCTTATCATTTTATTTTATTTCTTTATTGAATTTTACTAATCTCATTCAAAACCAATATAAAAATATATATATAATTAAATATTATTAATATTATAAATAAGAATAAGAATATTTTCTATTTTAGGAATTTGATTTTGTATTTATAAATATATATGTACAGACGTATGTAATCTGAATTCTCGGAGATCCACCACTGCTACCACCACTGCTACCACCACTGCTACCACCACTGCTACCACAGCCGCCGCCGCCGCCTCCTCCTCTTCCTCCTCTTTCTCTCATCCCCCCTTTTTTTTTCTTTCTTTCTTTATTTCTCCTATAGAACAGCCAAGACATTCTTAATGACAAGAAGAATCTCAAGAAATTCATTATCATTATCATTATCAATACCAATATTATTAATAGCTGATATAGTCAAAAATAAATAAATAAATAAATTACATTTAATTTCTTTTTCTTTTTTTTGCCAAGTCTTTTTTATTTTTATTTTTATATATTGGTTTCAAAAATAGACTATTGTTGTTATGTTAATATTAAACTAAAAAAAAAATATATATAAGAAAGCAAGAAATTAAGAATGGTTTCAAAAATCAATACATCTAGATTTTTTTTTGTTTTCTGTTTGTTTTCATTCTTCCTTGTTGTTTCAATGCTCAAGCCAATGTACAAAAGATCGAAAGATATAATTTGTAATCATTTCAGGAGGTTAAGATTTAATAAGAAGAAATTCCAATCATTGTATTTGTGTATAGAACAACAACAAGAAGAAGAATAATGATATTTTACTTTACAACATTAGTGCATCATTTGTTTAGCCGATGTTGAGCATAGCATGAATATTCTGAGATACAGTCTATAGTCAAAATATGGTATGCTATTTGATATAGTGTATCTACCCTTTGTCTTTATTGATCTACTTTAAATTCTTTCACCCCCTCAAAAAAAGAAAAGGCAGTCTTTTTTCATATTTAGCTATTTATTTATTTGTATACACAGGCTTTTATTTTTCTTTTTTCTATCGACACAACCAAAGTCCTTCACTCCCCTTTTGTTCCCCTTCCTCTCCTCAATATCAATTATATAGATACTATCTCTTTACTGCCAAAATAGAAATGCAAGGATGATGATGATGAGTAGAAAGAAAAGAAAGAAGAAAAAGAAAGGGAAACTGCTTTAATTATTGCAATTGAGTTTTCTTTTTCTGCAAAGATGGATTTATTTAGTCTTTATGTTCATTATGTGTTTGTTGGGTTCATCAAACACACCAAAACACCATTCACTTGCCCTCATATGTACATTGAACCTCCCCCAACAATATAAATATTTTGAACCTGATTATTTGCAACAAAACCCGGGCATTCTTGAACCCGATCCTGACTACACAAATATATAAGCATGATTTTCGATTTTATTCACAACAACAACAACAACAATTCAATGCGTGTTTTAGTGTTTGGGATTTTCTATAGAGGCCTAAATATTTTAACCTTGTTTGACTAAAAAAATAAAAAAGAAACCAAAGCCGAATTTGTGGGAGTACAGAATTGCAGATCATTTTCTTGTCAGACTTGTCAATCCTTATTTTGTATAAATATATTATACATATATAGCTTGGTTTATTGGAACTATAATATAGAAATGTAGCCACTCTTTTTTATGGAAACAAGTTTATAGAAAACAGCATTAACAAGATTAACAAGATTATCACCAACAGCAAACTCGCTTAATTACTATTCTCCTAAATTAATCGACATTCGTATATACTAGGGTCTGGAACCAGTCGATGTATTAAAATTAACAATATCAATAGTAATACTAATCATGAATGAGAATATAATCCCAAAATGCGGATTATATATATATAGATAGATAGATAGATATTTATGCATGTAAGTGTAGGTATTTGTTTCAATAATCTATACTAATTTGTCTTTTTAACAATAGCAACAACAAGAGCTGCAATAAACACAAAACCGCCACCTTTCAATGAGAACAATAGCAAAGTTATGTATTAATTGATTTGTTCATTAGATGGTTAGCTCATCTGCAGTCCTTTATTCAATATGCAACACACAAACAAAATCCAGTGCTCTGTACAATTGTTCCTGCATATTGCAGTAGCTAGAAACCGTCCCCCCCCCCCCAAAAAAAAAAAAAAAAAAAAACAATCGCCCTCTTTCTTTTGGGTATTTGGGTATTTTGAGTTCAAAGATTCAAAAGTTCAAAATCATCGTTTATTTAGTATAATGATAATAATCCAGGGAATTTGGCCTTGGATTTTAAATAATATTATTAATTATTAATACTAATAATAATAATACAACATTTGTACTCAAATAATACTATTATTTTTGACCACCCTTTATTTTTTTTTGCTTAAAATTTCAATAAGCAAAAGAAAAGCACAGACTTTCAGATTGGTTTAATATTCTATAGAGGTTATATATATATATATATATATATATGTGTGTGTGTGTGTTGGTTTGGTTCGATTTGACTATAGTTATAAATCAATAAGATGATGAGCAAAGTATCTTATTATTATAATAATTAATTTGGCCAGACCCAAAGAACTACCAAGGGCTTATCTGATCTGAGATCTGATGCTTAGCCATTTTCTTATATCTACATGTAGATTTATAGATTTATAGATTGACAGAAATAAGAAATATAACAAACAATTTGTTCTTTTTCTTGATATCTGATATCTGATGCTAATTCTGATACACTTGGGGTCACTACTCTGCCAACGATAATGAACAGATTTTTTTTTAAAAAAAGGGCATTGCATTGGGATATATACTAGATATATATAGTGTACATAGTGGAAAAGACATGTATATGTATATATATATATATATATATTGGTCTTATTTAAAATTGAATCAGATTGATGAGGCAAGTATGAGGTTCTAGATACACCAAACATACATGCGTACACCACACCACAACACGCGTGCACCACACAAACACACACACATTGTAAAATGTACACTGTATAAGGCACAATGCACACTGCACAATAGATACAGATTGTTTAAATAATAATAATGATAGAAATAGAAATACTTGATATATATATATGCGTGTGTGTGTGTGGAAATAATGTAGTGGGGAATTTTGTTGAAACAATCGTGTCGTAATATTTAGTGAAAGCTGTAAATCTTGTATGCCTACCTCTAATGATATCAATTGCACACTACACGTAAAATCTAAATCTAAGAAAGAAAATCAGAAACAGTCGATTAAGCTTATACTTCGACTTAGGCGTATCGGAGTATATAGTTTTCTTATACCGACTTCAACTTCCTTTTTTGATAAGCCTAAGTTCTCTACTTCGACTTAATCTAGTCGAATAGCGAGAACCTTATCCTACAAATTTATGAAGACATATATAATAGTTAACTTTCGATGCTTCTTGCGTAAAATCTATTAAAAACCCTTAGATAACGTATATTAAAATAACAGTGTGAAATATTAATTAATTATCTCTAAAAGACATTATGCTTGTCATGTAATAAAATAATAGCCTAGTCCTAAGTCGATGAAGTAATTCCAGCGGCGAAAATAAATGACTACTAATTTTGGCAGGAAGAGGTTCGACTCTATTAACAAGCTCTTTAATAATAATTATACAATAGGGGGTTTCACCAGTTTTTTTTTTCGATACTTATTATTATTGGCTGGTGCTTAAACTATCGCTATATCCAACAGTCAAGCATCCAAAGCTGGTAAAACCCCCTAATGAATACTACAATTGCTACTCACTACGGTATCAATGAGTCAAAAACGTAGTACACCATGTTTTGTAATATAGACAAAAAGCATTTCCCAGGAGAAGAAAATTATAGAAGTAACGGCTTTATGTCTAAAACTTGTTGCAAAGAATATGTATGCTTTTTATTTATTATTAATTCGAGATAAATATTAAATTACATTTTAAAAGATTATTATGAGCTTGATTAATTCGAATGGTTTAGAAAGTCATTAAAGTAAATTTTGTTTAGATATTAACACATACTCTAGAGGCAAGCAGTTTTGGTTATGGGTAGCAGAATTATGTTAATTATGTTAATTATACAAAGATATATTATATTTTACAGGTAAAAGTTTCTAGGGATTAGAGCAGAATCAATGGCTTCAACTTTGCTTTACAGGCGCAAGCATTATACGGCCTGATGGTAATGCAGGCCCAGGAAGTAACTGGTTAGGTCTTATATCTTTTCCTGGAGAGATCTCTCTATATCCCTCACTCAGATGAGAGGGAATTGGAGCATTTTGCTTACTGATGAAATTGTCATCTTTTGTGAAATACTCTACATGATTATTTGCTCTTGAATATCTATTTCGTTTCTTAAATACGAAGAAGAAGAAGAGTGCACCAATAATTCCAACCTAGAGAATTGAAGCATCAAAAATAAGATGAGAAAACACAGATGCATACGAATTACTTTAAATAACAACTTACGCCTGCGGTGGCTCCAACGGAAATACCCGCAATAACACCCCCAGAAATCCCAGAAGAGTCCTCCTTATTGCTGCTAAGAACTTCAAAAGAAGTCGGTTTTGAGATAGAGTCTGATGGGGTTAAAGAAGGTTTCGAGGGTGTAGATGAAGAGACAGGAGGAGTGCCAATAACAGGTGCAGTGGTCCATTCCCAAGTATTCATGTCAAGAGCAACATTAATATCAGCGTTGAAGACGTCATTATTTCCACCGAACAAAATAAACATGTATTTTCCAACTACAACAGCTGTTAATTAATCAAAACATTACATAGAATTAGATAAAAAGTCGGTACATTGAATTATACATATATATACCAGAGTGCCGGCACCTTGGGGTAGGCGGTGTTCCAGTTGTCTTTTGTGGGGACCAAGTACGCTTAACCACATTGTACAACCAAAGATCGTTCATTGCTCCTCCATTATCTAGAATAAATCGATTAATTGATATTGTGTATATATTTTATAATCTTGGTGATATTTCACTTACTATCACAACCACCAAACATAATGGCGTTGGTATTAGTAGGATCTAAGCAAAAGAAAAAAGTGTATGGCATAGTATATTAATATTTCTATTAATAAAAAATAATGGTAGATATGTTAATATGCTTTGTAAATTACCCATTATCAGGGAGTGTGCCCATCTAGTAGGAGGTAGACTTCCAGTTGTAGATATCGTATCGTTCCACTTGCTGTATACGCTCGTTTTTAAATTAACAGCAATAATATCATCCATGGCAACAGGTCCTGATACACTAGAACCTTGCTCTCCACCAACAACAAGAAGTACTGAGTAAGTAGTAGAATAAACCATAGAAGCAGCCCATGTAGCTTGGGGTAACGGTAATCCACCATTAGGAAAGATAGTAGGTCCACCAATTCCTGTCTAATATACATATAAGTATTTGTATATATATAATTAATCTCTTTTGTTTTGTTTTCTCTTTTCAATTTGAATATGTTTTTGAGCATATATATATATATTGGTCTCCTTAAAAGAAAGCGGCATACCTTCATAGATGTAGAGTACACGTTATTGTATAATATGGTTACCGATGTGTCAAAACCTGTTGCAGGAACACTAAAGGATTTTAGAGAATATAAATACTGTGAGTTGTATTTATTTTTTATTTACTATGTGTGTATCTTGTTTTACGTTTTGCCACCAAAGTAGTAAAGATTGTTATTCACAAGAGTGAAAGCAGCAGCGTACCTATCAAGGTTAAGTAATGAACGGTAAGTATAATATATAGTATGGGAATTCATCGGTTTTATATCCTGGCTTACACTGGTGTCTCAGTATTCGTTTTTGTCCATTGATTGTTGGACACATTGTAAAAGTATCCTGAGTTATAAGTGCAGGCAGTGCACACAATTCCGCCCTTAAGGTATACTAAATCAGTGCCCGGAACTGCCGCAAATATAAACCGACTTGCAGCGCTTGGACTGATGTTGTTTGGGACGCCTTCAATAGTGTTCCATACTGGATTCGATATATCAACTACACTGTTGTCGGTTACGTTTAAAGAATATACTGGAATCTGTTTCTTGCTGTCTGAAAATGGTTCTCCACCTATAGATGAATTGAAGAATAAAATTGGATTAGTATCAATACCAATGTCTTTGAAGTTAATACGTATAGGCATACCCTTCTCTTAAAAGGTATCAGGGAACTTACCAAAACAATATATTTGCTTAGTCAGTGTAATGTAGGTGCATCCTTTCGTTTATATATTCAATATTTAAAAGTTATGGAAAACAAGTGAGAAGCAAAGGGTTAGGTTTATGAATAGAAACATAAAAGAAAGTAATAATATTTGCAAGTAATTCGTTATTATAAAGAATAACAAACTACCTTGTCCCCAACGACCGTCCGTAGCCTTGACAACGCCCGTTAGCCCAATACAAAGAATAGCAGTCAGAATGCTACGCATTTTTCTTAGGTGAAGGTGAAGGTGAGAATGTAATAATAAAAAGAAAAATATCGTTTCGAGGGTTTTCAGAAAATTCAACTTTTTACAACAAATTTAAAAATTGTACTACTTGCTGGAGTTGGAACTAAAGAAGATACAAAGTTTTACCAGGAAGCCACTGTGTAACACATAGAAAAAAGAAGCTTTTTTTCTATATTCTCTTTTTTTTTTAGAAAAGAAAACAGAACATGACATACAGATTCAATACATACAAGCAGCTCTAAAGTATTTATAAACTCTTCATGTTTTCTTCTTCTTACTTCTTTATTAAAGCTTAATGGCAAACTTTTACAAGTTTCTAAAATTAATGATTTGTCTTATTTAGTTTAAATTTTAACATGCCAATACCTCATTCAAAAATACAGTATAAATACGCATCCTGGTTTTAGAGTACAAAACCTTTCTCCAGCGTACATGTGCTTGTGTCATGCACCATTCCTGGTGTGAGGTTACAGCTAGTGATATTTAACTTTGATATGACAAAGTAAATTATTATTATTTTTACTAATAGTCTACACAGAAAAGTAAATATCAAGCATAAATTAAATAATCTATAAAGAGCTAATAGAAGTGTTTGATCAATTTTATTGTATTTGAACGTACCATTATTGATCTTGATTTAGTTTAAATGATAACATATATTGAAAGAGCCATAATAGCTAAAGCCTTGAAGTATCTTCAATAGAGCACTTAATCAAAGCTCTTTAGTATATATGTGGCTATTCTTTAATCAAGTTTAAATGTTTTTTATTGATATTTATTTTCAAATTTATACCTTTTTATGTGATAGATATTAGTAAAAATAGAGTATTGTACCCCAAAAATTGCTAAGCCGAGAAGAAAATCAAAGATGGTCACTGTCTGATTTAGTTCGAACGACACAAATAGCTCCACTGACCATATTTAGAAGATCTTTGAGCCAAAACTTTATATACTTGCTTTCTTAACGTCTGTGAAAATGACCTTCTTGTCAACACTTGGATAATTTTACTCCAGAGTATTTTGATTAATAATTTCCTTTTTCCTTGATTATAATTAGCCATACCTCCTATCAATTGACACGGCGTGTGTTCTTTTGGTTCCGCTCAGACCACGAATATCCTGCAAAGAAGTATGACGCTCTTTGCAGGATTTCCTTCAATTCCCCTTGCACAAGGCATACCCTTGTGCATTGTATTTCATCATTGGTACTGCTTTAATAGAGATTTATAACAAAGTAGTATAGATTGTTCACATATAAAAGTCTTCAGATGAAGCAATAATAAAACGGAATCCTTATCTATCCTTATTTTATTGATCAAATCCCTTATTTTACTTTTGTTTATATATTTATTTCATAGTCACTGACTTATAACAACTCTTCGCGATAGTTATAAGCATAATTCTTGTTATATTTGTCCCTTCTATACACATTTTACTACATCTCCTTACTGTTGGATAGATCCGAGCGTTATCACAGTAATTCATCTCTATCTCTCTATATATTTGCCTTCTGAACTCGTTGGCAACTCTACTTTCATTTATTATTTTTCTGACAACGTTGCACCACATCAACTCAACACTTGTCACAATCGTATCCATGATTACAAATTTATTTATTTTTCTTCTTATTTTTAAAAAGCTAAAGCCGGAATTAGTCTTATTATTTTACATTTAGATTAGTTACAAAGATTAATACTTTGTAGATTGGATATATATATATATATTATAGTTTGTGAAAATGATGATATACTGAGCTATCATTATAAGTGACAAGTTGGAATAAATGCAAAGAAAACAACAGATATTGTAGCACTACTGTAACACATTAAATATGGGTGGTCCTGATTTCCTACAAAAAAGGTTATTATGCCCATAAGAACTATGAGTATAAAAAATTGGAAATAAAGAAAAGTATCCAAGGTTTGTTGCAACAGGTATGGAAGCCCTATATCTATTTTCTTTTTCTTTTCTTTTTTGAACTTTCTATTATTATTATAAATAACACACTCCCAACCCTTTTCTCTCCTGTATTTTACTGGACCACTCACAGTATAATTGGCGAAGAAAAATAATAATACCAGCAATCAAAACAAAAACAAAAAACAAAGGTATAAAAAAGTAATTAACTAGATTCTTTTTAATTGAAATACAAGGTAGGCCGGTGTCCCCAACAAGACTGCATTAAAAAAGAAAACCCCGTTTGTCTAATCTTATAAAAGCCTTTCAAATTTCTATAACTGTCTTGATAGCAGGAAGTTCTCTTGTGTAAATTTAATTTCTATATGATATGTCATTTTATCCCTAACTTCAATTACTTCTCTACTGTTTATTTCAATTGGGCACACAGTTACCATTGACTGCAATATGTGCAAGAGTCAGAGATTCAATTAATATTTAAATGTTTAATTGTCCCTATTGTTTATCTCAAATGGGTGCATAATTCTGACACATGGTGGGTTGGTTATGTGGTGTAAATGTGCAACTCGCTGACAAGAAAATGAATACGGGTAGAAAGACAATTTTATTAAGGAACAAATGAAAAGAGCTATTTAACTACTTAGGGCCATTTCTACAGCTACGTCACTACTCCGAAGTTCACTGCGATGAGCGATACAAGAAATACCGGTGGATCTTATCCACCGTTATTATTCCATCATGAGTTGCCTGTGCAATATAAATTCATGAACTTGTTTTAAAAATATAGAGACCAAATGTAAGTCATGGGCAGAATATCTCCCTTTCTTTTTAATGATATGTATGATGTGATATCTGTATATTTATACAGTGGATCTATTTTAAAAATCAAGAGAAGTATTAACAATAATAATAAACATTGAAGATCCAACGCTGGCTTATATAAACAAAAGGTTTACAGAAAAGAGCGTACCAAAAGTGTGGAATAGTATGATCAATATATATATTGTAGAGAGGCTACACACCTTTGTAGCAATCTATACTAGTGTAATACTTCTTATACAGTACGAGGGCTTATTATATATGGTAAAGCAAAATGAAGAACCTCAATACTCAGAGTTTTCAAAAATATAATACGAAGAAAATTGAAAGCTAAAAAAAAACTATAGTGAAGTATGAGGAGAAGTCTTTTAATCGCAGTAAATTTATTAAGAAATGAGTCCATAAAATATATATATTCTATCTTTATATTATATAGTGTGTTAGTATTATGTATTGGAAAGACAACGACTCCTAGTCTTTGTAAAGAGATTACTTTAAAAGCAGTATGTATTGAATACAAGTTCTTTTTAAGCTGTAAAACGTTTATACTAATATTTTATTTTATTTTATTTTTAAAAAAAAACATTTCCAGAGTGTCCATACTATTGTATTGAGTTTTATATCTTTAAACTGATACTTTGTTTTTGTAGAGTTTGCTGTATACAAAAGTATGGTATAATCTGTTCTTTAGTTACCGTAGGTAGAAAAAAAAAGAAAGTGCTGCAAAAAAATCATCGACTATGCTGTGTTTACTGATTTTGGGACGTTCCTTGCTTATTGTGCTATCTTAATTTAACTCTTTTCCTGCTTTAAAATGCTGGTATAAAGTAGCTGTTTACATTAACATAAAAATACACAGGAATGCAACGAGATCAAATGGCTTATTGGGTTCTAAAAATAAAATCAGATCAGTGATATCAATGAGACAAAAACGTAGCACTATATGTTTTGTAAAACAGCTAAAAAAAAAATCTCAAAGCTTCTCAAAAAAAGATTATAGAAGTGATGTTTTTGTGTTTAAAACCGACCCCAGGGATTGTGGATTTTGTTTGTTCCTTCTTAACTCTAGATAAATGTTATATTATTTTAAGTTTTATTATGAGCTTGATTAATTTGAATGGTTTAAAAATTCATTAAAGTAAACTTTGTTTAGATATTTGACAGACTCTAGAGGTAAACGGTTTCGGCTATGCGTAGTGGACTTATGTTAATTATACAAAGATATATTAGGCGTTACAGGTGAAGCTGTATATGGGCTGAAATGGAATCAATGGAATCAATGGAGTCAATTAATTCCATTTGGCTTAACTGGCTCAAGAATTATACGTCCTGCTGGCAACGCAGATCCAGGAACTGATTGATCAGGCTTTACCATTGTCTCTGGAGAGGCATATGCCCTTTTATCAACTGACTGGGAGGGAATTACATTATTCTGCTTATTGATAAGATTTTCTTCCTTGCTAAAATCCTCTGAATGGTTATTTGCATTTGAATATCTATTGCGTCTCTTAAATACGAAGAAAAAGAGTGCACCGATAATGCCAACCTAGAGAATTAAAAAATCAAAAAAAAAAGATGAGAAAACACAGATTCGTATGAATTACTTTTAAATAATTACTTACGCCTGCAATGGCTCCAACGACAATACCTGCAATAGCACCCCCAGAAATTCCAGAGGTGTCATCCTTATTGCTACTGATAACCCCAGGAGAAGTCGGATTTGAGTTAGAGCCTGATGTGGATGAAGAAATAGAAGGAGTGCCAATAACAGGTGCAGTGGTCCATTCCCAAGTATTCATGTCAAGAGCAACATTAATATCAGCGTTGAAGACGTCATTATTTCCACCGAACAAAATAAACATGTATTTTCCAACTACAACAGCTGTTAATTAATCAAAACATTACATAGAATTAGATAAAAAGTCGGTACATTGAATTATACATATATATACCAGAGTGCCGGCACCTTGGGGTAGGCGGTGTTCCAGTTGTCTTTTGTGGGGACCAAGTACGCTTAACCACATTGTACAACCAAAGATCGTTCATTGCTCCTCCATTATCTAGAATAAATCGATTAATTGATATTGTGTATATATTTTATAATCTTGGTGATATTTCACTTACTATCACAACCACCAAACATAATGGCGTTGGTATTAGTAGGATCTAAGCAAAAGAAAAAAGTGTATGGCATAGTATATTAATATTTCTATTAATAAAAAATAATGGTAGATATGTTAATATGCTTTGTAAATTACCCATTATCAGGGAGTGTGCCCATCTAGTAGGAGGTAGACTTCCAGTTGTAGATATCGTATCGTTCCACTTGCTGTATAAATTTGTTTTTATATTAACGGCGATAATATCATCCATGGCGACAGGTCCTGATACTTCGGAACCTTGCTCTCCACCAATAATAATAAGCAGTGAATAAGTAGTAGAATAGACCATAGAAGCAGCCCATGTATCCTGGATTGGCGCTGATCCATTAAGGGGAGAAATATTTGGCCCACCAACACCTGTCTAGTATATAGACATACATACATATAGTTAGTTAATGGCTTTTGATTTGTTTTGCTTTTCACTTTCAATTTAGAATATGCTTCTGAACATGTATATTTCTTGGTTTCTTTTAAGTAAAGGAAAAGGCATACCTTCATAACTGTAGAGGACACATAATTATATAAGATGGTTTTCGGGGTGTCAAAACCTGTTGCAGTAACACTAACGAATTGTAGAGAAGATATATATTATGTGTTGTACTTATATTTGATTCAGTGTAGTTCGTTTTACGTTTTTCCACCAAAATAATAGAGATTGTTGTTCACAGGAGTGAAGGCAGCAGCGTATCTATCAAAGTTAAACAATAAATGGTAAGTATAAAATATAGTATCTGCATTTATTTATATGCATTTATATATAAGTTTACACTGGTGTCTCAGTATTCGTTTTTTTCCATTGATTGCTTGTCACATTGTAAAAGTATCCTGAGTTATAAGTGCAGGCAGTGCACACAATTCCACCTTTAAGGTATACTAAATCAGTGTCCGGAACTGCCGCAAATATAAACCGACTTGCAGCGCTTGGACTGATGTTGTTTGGGACGCCTTCAATAGTGTTCCATACTGGATTCGATATATCAACTACACTGTTGTCGGTTACGTTTAAAGAATATACTGGAATCTGTTTATTGCTGTCTGAAAATGGTTCTCCACCTATATATGAATTGAAGAATAAAATTGGATTAGTATCAATACCAATGTCTTTGAAGTTAATACGTATAGGCATACCCTTCTCTTAAAAGGTATCAGGGAACTTACCAAAACAATATATTTGCTTAGTCAGTGTAATGTAGGTGCATCCTTTCGTTTATATATTCAATATTTAAAAGTTATGGAAAACAAGTGAGAAGCAAAGGGTTAGGTTTATGAATAGAAACATAAAAGAAAGTAATAATATTTGCAAGTAATTCGTTATTATAAAGAATAACAAACTACCTTGTCCCCAACGACCGTCCGTAGCCTTGACAACGCCCGTTAGCCCAATACAAAGAATAGCAGTCAGAATGCTACGCATTTTTCTTAGGTGAAGGTGAAGGTGAGAATGTAATAATAAAAAGAAAAATATCGTTTCGAGGGTTTTCAGAAAATTCAACTTTTTACATCAAATCTAAAAATGGTACTACTTGCTGGACTTGGAAATAAAGAAGATATGGTTTTACCAGGAAGCCACTGTGTAACACATAGAAAAAAGAAGCTTTTTTTCTATATTCTCTTTTTTTTTTTAGAAAAGAAAACAGAACATGATATACAGATTCAATACATACAAGCAGTTCTAAAGTATTTATAAACTCTTCATGTTTTCTTCTTACTTCTTTATTAAAATTCATTAGAAAAATCACAAATTTTAATGATTGATGATTTGCCTTGATTTTGGTTTTAACATGGAAATACCTCATTCAAAAATACAGTATAAATACGCATCATGATTTTAGGTCACAAAACATTTCTCCAACGTACATGTGCTTGTATTATGCACCATTCTTGGTGGGAGGCTACATCTAGAGATATTTAACTTTTATATGACAAAATACATTATTATTTCTATTAATTGTTTGTACAGAAGAACTAAATACTTTGTTCAGAACTAATAGAAGTGTTTGATCAATTTTATTGTATTTGAACGTACCATTATTGATCTTGATTTAATTTAAATGATAACATATAGTGAAAGAGCCATAATAGCTAAAGCCTTGAAGTGTCTTCAATAGAGCACTTAATCAAAGCTCTTTAGTATATATGTGGCTATTCTTTAATCAAGTTTAAATGTTTTTTATTGATATTTATTTTCAAATTTATATCTTTTTATGTGAGAGATATTAGTAAAAATAGAGTATTGTACCCCAAAAATTACTAAGCCGAGAACTAAAGCAAAGATAGTTACTGAGTGATTTAGTTCGAACGACACAAATAGCTCCACTGACTATATTTGGAAGACTTTTGAATCTAAGTATTATATACATACTTTTTAACGTTGTAAGCAATATTTAAATACTTTTATTCAACAACAACGTGGGTAATAGATTCACCGTTTCTCGATAATACACAGCAATATGCCCTATCAATCGCACCGTTTGTTCAAAATTACTTTTTATTTTTATTTTAAAAAAAGGGAATAAGTGTTACTCTCTTACCCTTAGGTTAGCTTTAGCAACTCATTAGTGAATTTAATGAACCTTAAATTCCTTATAATTGAGGCAAATGCTGATATTGACATATGGTTGGTTAGCTATGTTGTGTAAATGTCCAACTCATTGACAAAAATACTAATACAGGTAGAAAATTTAATGTTATCAGAGAAAGAATACAAAAATAACTTTATAACTATTTCGAGTTAGCTCTAGATATGCATCACTACTTTTCTTTTCACTGCAATGAGCTATAAAAAAACACCAGTAGATGAAATCCACGGCGTCGGTATATTGCTCAGTATTTTGAATTAAAGCCGATCAATAAATACAGCAACAGAATATGACAATATACTGCATTGTGAATATAAATGATAAAAGTACTATTGTTTAAACAACAACGGTCATTGTCGTACGATAGTTATACAGTAAGCGTTGTTGACCTTGACTTAATACAAAAAAAGGCTAATAATGCACACTCGAAATTTTTTTTTTTTTTAAAAAAAAAAACCCAAAAAAAGTAAGGCACTCAAGATTTGTGATGTTATATATAGAAGCCTTAGGTCTGTTTTTTTTCCTGCTTTTGTTCTTTCAATTATAGTCAACAATGTGTTTATTTCATCTTACTATTAATTCTGCTTCCAACAAACAATGAAAAACCGGTTCCCCAGATTTTACCTTTCCTGAAATTATATTATCGACGCACATATTAGAGACACCTAGGCACAGACAGCCAAGAATGTTCATTAGGCGAGCCTAAAGAACGCCAAGAGAACCTGTGAGTTCAAGTAAAGAGAATATTGTGTCTAGTGCAATGAAGAGGTTTGCCCCAATGATGAAACTAGATACGATGTAAACGGATCAAAGCTTCATTTATTCTTACATCAAAAATCAAGTTATAAAGAATGTTTAGTTACCCACCGAAAGGAGGGGGGGGGGGGATAAGCTAATTAACTTCATTTCTCTTTTAAAGAAGCCCAACTCCCACAAAAGCAAGTATTTCAGAAAATATAGAGTATCTATAAGAGCGATGAGCAGCTCAACATTGTTGCTTTATCTGGATGTTATCATCGATCTTTGGACTCAACAATGTATGAAGGGTACCAGCAGCAACCCTCATTCTTGACCCAAATGTGCTGGTCTCGTGCAAGCAGCTAAGAGTAATGAAGAACACAAATGTGAATCAGAATACGTGGATCGTGGAAAGCTCTCTTTCAATGACGAGTACATCACCACTCAGGATTTGACCATGCTTGTTGACTAATACTTTAGCAAAATATTGGCACAGACCTTAGGAACACCTTTTCTTTCATTCTCTCCCATTTCCTTGCCTTGTATGAACAGTCAGCACGAATAAGCGAGATACCAAAGCTCCAAACCATAAATCTTTATAGTGAAGGTCGTTCCCCTTCTCCTTGTTTTTCTCTTACTTTTCTTATAAGACAAGAAAACCCCGACCAGCATAGAAAGCTGGAAGCTAGCGCTTTTCGCAACAAGCTCGCGACTTATTTATTTCAGCGATTCTATGTGCATAACGATCTATTCCTAATATTTGCAGAATCAAAAGACCACTTCGACCTCAAGGTCCTTAAGTCAGAAATCGACCAGACAAAAGAGTAGAGCTATCCTGCCTATAATGAGACTACCAAGAAAGCGATTGTTTTTTGTAGGATCCGCTCGTTCAAGGCGATGAATATTACGATATGTTCTGGTGCCCGGATTTCCGATATGAATAATGTTGATGAAATGCAGATTAGGAAATTTGGCTGCTGGAAGAATGCAATAATGTATGGTGCTTATCTCACTAGTTTATCTCGCAAGGTAATGGAAAATATTACCAGCTTTTTTTTTTGGAAAGTGCAGGGGACCACTTCTTTTCAGGAGCCACGGCGGAATTCTCCGTCGAGTTGTTGTGGAAAGTGTTACCAATGGTTGAGTTCTGGTTCGATAAGAGTTATACGAAAGAGATTCAGGACCCTAACTCTGTTTACTGCTTCCTAAAACTTATGTTTGTTTTTAGGAAGATATTCCTTCAAGATTCTGGTTTGATGCCTCTCTGCCACCCTACTCTTCTACCCTGGAAGTACGTCATTTTCGATGATCCTGTGTACAAGTAATCAAGTTCTTTGGTTAATCGATATTTTGGCTGATGAGGTATCAATATTGTCCAAAAAGCTGAGAGTCTTAGTAGACTCTCCCTTTTTTCCCTTATATTTATTTAGTACCAGCTCGCTACGAATTCATGGTAATGTGTAATAGTTAAAAACAATTCTCAATTTATTCTGAAACCCGTTACCTAATAAAGGGTGTATGATAATACAGGTGAAAATGCTTCTTTTCATTGAGAGTTTTTCTAGGACTTACACACTATGGAATATATACGATTTAAAAGAACTGCGGGAAAGGAAATAAGAGAGAAAACCGGAAATGATTTATAAAACTAGCTAATGGGAGAAAAAAATTACAAATTAAAATAAGAAGAGAGTCTAAGAAGACTGGGAGAGGCGAAACAGAGAGAGAGAGAGAGAGAGAGAGAGAGCTATAAGCTAACATATATTCTATCATCATGACGATGGGACTGGCTGGTGAGGGAGATGAATGGTTTGTTTCTTTCGTGTACTTCTCGAGACAGATCGGTGAGAGGTAAAGAAACCCCTTTCTACTGCACAAAGGTATCATATGACACTTTTACCTTGTGGGGTAGAGAGACGGGGACAGAAGGCTGGGAGACGTTCGCGGTGTAGCTTATATGAAAGTTGCTGGCAGGTATATTCAGATTTGTGGATATGTGCCGGTTTGGTAATTCCCTGAAGATTAATGGAATCAAAAGCTGCTTTAGCAGACATGCTACTGTCTACAAAGAGCTGGATGATCTTGTCCTTGAAATCTTTGTAAAAAGAGGGGTAGGGCCCCGCGTTCTGGGAGCGCAATTTTCAGGACACCGGATGCTAAACTTTAAGAGTTTTAAAAAACCTTTATACTTGGGAGTAACTGAGGTGGTGACGGCAGGACAGATATACAAATACATATACAGATTATTCAACGTTAGGCTGTAGAACGCTGAAGGTTTGGGTAGCGGTGAGTTTGGGGTGGTTGGGTTCCTTGCCCATGGCCCCCTTTTTTTAATCGGATAGGAATTTAGTGCGTGTAGAGATGATGAAAGAACTATTGACTGTGATCAGTTTCGAGACACTCTCAGCAGGATCAAACTTCACTGAGGAAAGGGTGATGGTGGTAGAGGCTGGTGCATTAAACACTTGTGCCTAAAGCTGGAATTGGCTCTGGAGCAGCTTTGTTTGCTTATTGGCGACAGAGAGTTTCTTGGTGAGGGAGCTGTTCGTTACTACAAATTCTTCGTTCTGTGACGCGACATTATTTATTGATAGCTTCATTTTACCCATAATGAATCGTTATTCGTCTTCTTGTTTTGCGATGTATGCGAGATCTGCTTCCACTTGCTTCCATCTGGTGCTGTAAAGGCTGAAGTGCCTCCGGGATACTACGTGTTTGGGTGGCCGATAATTTACCCGGCCTAATATGTCAAAGAATAACAGTCTTGTAATCATTCGAGTTGACAGATCCCCTTGGACTCGTGGTAACTTGATCAAACAAAGCTTATTTAGGTCTGCGTGGTTGATTAGCTGTTCATATGTTATGAGTTTTTTAAGCAAACATTAGCTTATGCGAAAGAGTGATTGTTTTATTATGATAACACAGCAAGAGTCTCCGCTAACTGAAGGATGATAAGTTGAACCAATCCAAAGCTCTAGTACATTACCAATCAGAATGTATTCCGTTATAGATATTTGGACCACTAGAGTTTGAGCTTTCCTGTCCATTTATATGTTCGTACTACCTTTACTATAATTATCTCTCTGACATAAAGCTAGAATTTATATAAATACTCATCATATTTGGTCCACTAGAGATCAAGCGGACAGCACCTTAAATAAAAAAAAGAACTCTTCTTTCGATTATCTGTTATCTCTGTAATTATCTGCTCGGTCCGTGCCTAACACTATGTACAAAAATGTTGGAAGGTAAGATATGCAATACCTTACAACTAGATATAATAAATCTAGAAAAATCATCTCATATTCTTTATTTTGGCATAAATTAGCGATCTCCAGACGCGTACCGTTGGGACCAGAGAAGACGACCTTGCGATGATGCGATTTCGTGCTGCTGCCCCCGTGCTTTATCAAACCTTTGAGAACCTACAAGCACAAATACGATCAGAGTCAAATAATATGAAGGATCTTTTGAATCAAGCCATCACCAATTTGGCAGACATCTCCGCTAACCGTGCACCGATAACCATTAATATTTCTGTATCAGTCGGTCTGGGTTTCTAGGCACTAAGCTTCACAATGAGTTCTGGAACTGAATCTGGAGGATCTGGAAATATACAGACTACACAATTCGCCAACACGCCATCACAGCCACAAGAACAGCAAGGTCAGTCAACAGCATTGCCTCCTTTAAAGTACCGAATGAATAGAGGTGTGAAGAGTGTTCCTGAGCTTTGGAGAGAGTGGCATTTTGGGTTGAATGGTGGGAAGTCTGTGGTTGAGATGGAGAGACTTCAACCGGGATGGCACAACCAGGACAACACTTTCTTTGCCAGAAGGCGCCGCGTCGTAACTACCATTAAGAAGTACGCAAGGGAAAATGGATTGTCTGAAGAAGCGGCCATGCACTTAGCAGAGGGGAGGAGAGTCTTGGGGAGAAAGACAATAGATTTTCTGGGAAAAATCAAAACAGCATATTTAAAAACTAATAAAAGCGACGTAAGAATTTTAAAGTTTGTATAATAATTACTTTGGTTGAACTTTTAAACCTTTTTTTTATTCATAATTGTTTTTGTTTATTAGAATAAGTATGTGTCTTTTGATGAATATATGTCTTTAAACGTAAAGAAGTCTAAGTATTGTGCATATAAGCTTTGTATGACAGAAACCATTTTTTTATATAAATTATTTTATACTGTATTAAAAACTTTTGAATTGCAGTCTTCTGTCCTTGCTGCCCCATATTATTTCATTTATACTATTTTATAGTACAATTGAGCTTATGAAGTCCCGCACAGATATAAGTTGGACTTATTTCTTGTTGAGGCAGATATAACTGAAATTATATATTAACTATACGGGACTTGAAAACCAGGACAGAAAAATAATCCTGAGGCTGTCCTGAACGACATATAATAATGTACAGAGTTAAGAAATTGCCGAAAGAAATGGAATCAAAACATCATTTTAATAAAGAAGAATACTGGAAACTTTAATTTTGGCTTTATCAAAGAGCAGGGCTAGTAGTTTTATTGTTTTAAAGTTCAGGTAATTTAATAATAAGAGTAGTAATGACAGAGCATCTATATACTTTTCATTTCAATTTACTACTTACTACTTACTACTTACTACATTTCCAATTTTATTATCTTTAAATCTTATAATATAAATAAACAAAAGAAGTATTACAGCCGAGAGAAAAGTAAAGGGTGGCTTGATTACATATTCATTAAATTTATACTCTCTCAAAGAATGGAAGCTGGTCTAAAGCACTGATGGATTCAGTCAGAACATTTCTGACAAGGAGCAGGGGAGCAAGACTAGGAATTGTATCAAGTGAAATGTGTCTCAAGTCAAGTGTATCAATCTAGTTCAAATTATTATTACCATCAGCTGCTATCACTGATTGTAATTCATCAAATTATATAGATTTATCTATCCACTTACTCGCTCATTTTTCAACAAAGCCTCATTGTTGCTGCTGGTATGTAAAAGGGAATTTGTCGCACGGTTAAATAGAATACGGTTGCCTTATCGTATACAAGAAAGTTAAAATTTAAGCCAAAATGTTATTTATAAACCCTAAAGAGACACCTACGACTTTCTTCATAACGGCACCTCCGGTAAGTATCTAATTCTGAAAGCTTATTAAAAATATCCACTGATTCATCATCTAATGCATCAGCGCAAGTTGATCCTGAGCGCAACTTTAGTTGCTGTAAGAAATGAGCTAGCGTTTGAAGTGCCCCTGGACAAGTAAACAAATAAACAAAAGTTTAGTTACGAAGCTCTTTATATATATAACAGTAAGTACCAAAATACTTTACATTTGCTCTCAGGCTCAAGGTCAATAAGTTCACGAACAGCTTCAATTTCTTCTTTGAGAATTTCAACACGATCCAGGGTGTACCAGTTAGCTTGATTATTAGCAGAGGAATCTTTGTAATGTTTAGTGGTAGCTGGCTTCCAAGCCTTTTCGGTGGAGCCAAATTTGGCTTGAAAAGTTGAAACGCGAGACAAAGTTTCTGGTAAAAGGATCATGTTAGAGAGGGGTCATACTATATATATAGCCGCAAAAATCTTACCAGGACAGCCTATAACCGTTTCTACTTTTCTGGACCAAGCACCAGGTGGGACAGATTTCTCACTGCTACTGGGTAATACACTATCTGTTTCCAAAGAAACCTTTTCAGGCTCTCCTGAATTTGGAAGTGGTGAAAAAATCCAAATAGACCCGGATGACTGTAATGATTTTCCTAGGGGAAGCCATGATCCCGAAACTTTCTTATTGTCCTTGGTAAGTACGGCTGGTTCTTTGAGGAGAGTAATTGGATCATTGAATCCGGCAACAAGTAAAGGGGACCCTTTGAGACGGAATACTCCCAAGAAAGACACCATTTCCAATGCTAATTATGTTTTATTTCATAGTTAAAAGCATGTAATAGCATCCCTTGTTATCACACACACACAAAGTAGCTTACCTCTCCCAACCAACCACCAATAATACAACCATGCAGATTGATCATCCGGATCAGTGTAGAAAGCTGCCTTGACAAGTTCAAGCTCTATATAGTATGTCAGTATATCAACAAAAGGAAAACGAGCACCTTTTGGTGTAAGAGTATTTCATTTTTCTCTCTTAATATACTAACCATTTCTTGCTACCGTATTCTTCTCCTCTGGACTCATCTCAGCCACAATCTCAGGAAGTAGCTTTGAGCGTTGATGCCAGGCAGAGTAGTTACTGAAACTCTGGTTGATTTTCTGGGTTGTAAACTCATACTCTTGCCTAACAATCTGCTTTTCCTCTTCATAATCTTGCTTGGCCTGAGCCAATGCACGCAGTTGTCTCACAACATAACGGCGATAATCCCATCCATGAACTTATATATATATATATGAATAACTTGTGTATACACCCATCCACACACACGCATATATATATTATAGTATTAAAAATTAAAACTTACAGTTTCTAGCGTCCATGGTCAACATCTTGACAACAAGTTTGAGCTCGCCATTCCAATCTGGTTTAGGCATTGTTTCAAGGCACCATCGCCGATGATTCCATAACCAATATGACTTAGGATTGATGCGGATGAGTTGCATAAACAATCCGAGCTCGTTCATATAAATAGTTCTATTTTTTTCTAATATAGTCTGAGTGGGATTCTTGGTTGAATCGAGAATTCCATTGATAAGAATTAGACGACGTATGTTCCAAATGGTATAATAATCAGGATTTGTGTAGAGAATTTGTGTTGTAACCGTTAAAGCCTCGGGACTAAACTCTTTTGCTTCAAGCTATATAAGTTACATAAGTAAGAAAATTAATTTTTACTCATTTTCGTTGCTATCCTCGGGTAAAATTGAAAGAAAAAGAGAAACGTAATGGAGCTCACCTTTTCGTGGCATTGACGTACAAGTGCATTGTATTCAGTAATCTTGCCGGCTTCTCGTTCACGGCGAGCTTTGATGACATCTTCGGTCGTTCTAACACGTTTTACTCCATGCTAAACTTAAATTATTAGCTTAAAAGTTAGAGGTAAAATTGTCAAATTGTCTACCTACAACATCACTCATTTTAAGAATAAAGCGTAAAAGACCTGGAGGAGAAGGTTAATTTGTATTGTCTGAGTTCAAATATGATTTCGACGCACTGGGCCCTCATTCTTTTTCTTTTTTTTTATGCTTGGTTTTGTTGTCTGCATGATTTACAGACCAATTTAGTGGAGAAAATATAATAGAATGGGAAAAATAGTGCTTTAATTTAGATTGTCTTCAAATAAATAAAGGATCCTTTGTAATAAGTTTTGCAAGCTGGTATGAGTTATCTAGCCAAGTTCGTTGGTAAAGACAAATTCGTTTAAACTTTACTCGCTATTTGTTTTGAGTTTCGCTACTCGATATTACCTGGGATTGTTGATAAGACAGCCAAAGAAGAAGAATAAGAAATAAGATAGCCGTTTCTATAACACGTGAAATGCTATGCTTTACGAAATCTCTTCCGAGGCGTTTGATACCTTGTGGACTTCATCTCCGCTTTCTCTCCTCCTGTTTTGCAGGGAAGTCCTGTCTATTCGATCGGCACGTTGACAGGGACGTCATGGTCGGACGGGCGGTGATTTAAAACCCTCCCGAAGCATTTTTCTTTTACCCTGGTCGAAAAAATGATTGTGCCTTTCTTTACTCTTTTCTCGCCTCTATCCTCATGTTGCGCTCATTGACCTCTTCCTCCTTGAAGGCTAACACTGTCCGCCAGGTCCGTCTCTTCAGCGCTGCTTCTGCTTCTTTGGTAAGTTTATTATTACATTAATTGTAGCACCTATCAGTAATATTTAGAGTGTAAGATTATAATCTAATATCACTAAACACGATGAATTTATATATTCGATCCACAGCAAAAGTTCCGTGCTGAGCGTGATACTTTCGGCGACCTCCAGGTGCCTGCCGATAGATACTGGGGTGCTCAGACCCAGAGGTAATATTATTAAATTGCAAGTTTATCAATTGGGGTATCATTCTTATATATGTATATGTGTGTTTCTGTGCGTGTTTGTGTAATATATGTAGATCCCTCCAGAACTTTGATATCGGTGGTCCCCGTGAGCGTATGCCTGAGCCTTTGATCAAGGCTTTTGGTGTCCTCAAGAAGGCTGCTGCTACTGTCAACATGACCTACGGTTTAGACCCCAAGGTTGGTGAGGCTATCCAGCGTGCTGCTGATGAGGTAAGGCTTAAAAAATGAAAAACGGGGTGAGCCAAAAGAAAAAAGTATTGATAATTTTGTGGCATTTAGGTTATCGATGGTACCTTGCTTGAGCACTTCCCTCTTGTTGTCTGGCAGACTGGTTCTGGAACTCAGACTAAGTATGTACTTACTATTAAAAAATTGTATTATCTTATCTTTGGTTGATATATACTGACCGATTTATATTACAACTTTAAAATAGCATGAATGTCAACGAGGTAGGAAAATTTGATATACTAATATATCAAAATAACAATGATTGACCGGGTATATATATATATAGGTTATCTCCAACCGTGCTATTGAGATGCTCGGTGGTGAACTTGGAAGCAAGTCCCCTGTCCACCCCAACGACCATGTCAACATGAGTCAGTCTTCCAACGACACGTAAGAAACTTAAAATGACAGGATTGCTAAAGAGAGAGAAAACTTATAAAGAAATATTCGTAAAATCCTGTAGTTTCCCCACTGCTATGCACGTTGCTGCTGCTGTCGAGATTAACCATCGTCTTATCCCCGCTCTTACCCAGCTCCGTGACGCTCTCCACGCCAAGGAGAAGGAGTTCAACCACATTATCAAGATTGGACGCACTCACTTGCAGGATGCCACTCCCCTCACTCTTGGTCAGGAATTCTCTGGCTACGTTCAGCAGTTGACCTTTGGTATCAAGCGTGTCACCAGCTCCCTTGAGCACCTTTCTAACCTTGCCCAGGGTGGAACCGCTGTTGGTACTGGTCTCAACACTCGCCCTGGTTTCGATTCCAAGGTAGCTGAGGCCATCTCCCAGATCACCGGCCTTCCCTTCAAGACTGCCCCCAACAAGGTAATAATATTATACAATAAATATTGAATATTTTACTAACTATATACAATCTATCAAGTTTGAGGCTCTTGCTGCTCACGATGCCATTGTTGAGGCCCACGGTGCTTTGAACACTGTTGCTGTTTCTCTCATGAAGATTGCTAACGACATCCGTTTCCTTGGTTCTGGACCCCGTTGCGGTCTTGGTGAGCTCTCCCTCCCCGAAAACGAGCCTGGATCTTCCATTATGCCCGGTAAGGTCAACCCTACTCAGTGCGAGGCCATGACTATGGTCTGCTCCCAGGTTATGGGCAACAACACCACTGTCTCCATTGCTGGTTCCAACGGTCACTTTGAGGTAAAAAGAAGAGAAAAATGAAGAAAACAAAAGCCAATATATTTACATATATATATGTATATGTATGGATACTTTAGTTGAACGTCTTCAAGCCCGTTATGATCAAGAACTTGATCCAGTCCATCCGTCTCTTGTCCGATGCCTCTGTATCCTTCACCAACAACTGTGTTGTCGGTATCCAAGCTAACGAGAAGAAGATCAACAGCATCATGAACGAGGTAAGATATATTTTTCACACGAAATCAGATGTTTTGGAAATATATGGTATACTTACATAAAAATAACTTGGATATGTGTAGTCTCTTATGTTGGTTACTGCTCTCAACCCTTATATTGGTTATGACAACGCTGCCAAGTGTGCCAAGGTAAAAAGAGTGCTTTTTTTTTTTAAAAAAAATGATAAGAATATAATAGATTATCAATTGAATCGAATTTGACCTAATAATCTTTAATAACAACAGAAAGCACACAAGGAAGGTACCACCTTGAAGGAGGCTGCCATCTCTCTCGGTGTCTTGACTGAGGAGCAGTTCAAGGAATGGGTCCGCCCCGAAGAAATGCTTGGCCCTAAGTAAAGTGTTTACATGGCGGCATAGATGAAGCAACTTTATAGACTAAGAATGATAGTCTTCATTCTCTATTTTTTACTCTTTTTTTTTAAAAAAAAAACTTCTTTCATTATAAAAACTATGAACATATATACATAATGAACCCCCTTTCTCTACCTATATTTTTGTTTCAAAAAATAGAATATTCCTCTTTAACAAACAAACAAAAAAAAGTCATACAAATCAAAAACAATGCTTATTGTGTGTGTGTAAGCGTAAACGTGAGTGTATGTACATATATATACTCATGTGCATGTACATGTGCATGTGCATGTGAATCTACACATTTATACATATTATAATGTATTATATTATATATGACATAAGATGAAATGTAATGAGATGATACTTATGATAGAACATAGCCTGTAAGTAAAGAATAGGCAAATATACAAGTTGTAGGTCTCTCTCATCCATAGAGTATATGTGTACGTACATAAAATCAAATTAACTGAATAATATGAACCAATTTTACATAGTATTTATAGCATTAGTATTATTTTATAACAGATTAGGCTTTCAGGTCACTTTTCTTCTTTTCTCCTTCATTGCTCTTTGATCCTTCCAAATACATCATTATAGTGCTCTGGCCATTAATAAAACAGTGTTTCATACAATAAAAGATAAAGTAAAAGATAAAGAAAACGTTGCTATAAATGTCGGTTTGGAGCAACTGTTCATCGTCTTGTTTCTTGGCGAGTTGCTTTTTTAAAACAATTAGCTGTTGCTCCAGATCCTTTGATGTACTATTTTTTTCTTTGACGAGTTTCAAATTCTCGACCCGGAGCTTCTCCATCGCCTTGGATAGCTCGCTTACTTGTACTTCAAGCAAATCAACCTTTGTCAAGATGAAATCTCTGTCTGTCGATACAGTACCAGGCTGGCTTGCCTGATCAATATTCTGTCTTGTGGAGATTCCAGAATGTGAAGCAGAGTAGCTTAAATCATAATTGTCATCGCCTGTGCTTGATGTGTCTTCCATAATATCATTCCATTGGCCAAATGAGTCAACCTGAACATCGCCATTGGCTTGATGAGTTTTTTTTTCTTCACTTGTAGAGAATAACGGGGTGTAGCTGGGTATATATGAGTGATGATGCCCATTACTGGATCCCTGGGTATTCGAGATGGTATGATTTAGAATTGGAGTTGAGGTTGAATAGGTTGAACTAGAATACTGCTCTTCGTCAATCATGTAAGGTGTATTTGTAAATGCCGGCTGATTTGCCATTTGTTGGAGTTGTTCAAGGTACAATTGACTATTGTGGCCTTCGTTTTGGCTCGGCTCATCGTACAGTGCTGATTTGTTCTCTTTTGAATTGACCGAGATTTTGCTTGAATTAGGTACACTTGCTACACTCCCATTGGCACTTGACTCTGATCCATTTCTTTTTCGATTCCTTATTTCCAGGACTTTGTTGGTAAAATAACTCATTAAATATATTAAGTTATTGCAGAATCCCTTATATATATATTTATAAGAAGAAGAATTAAAAGGATGAGGGATTAGTAGATAAGGAATCCTTCCAAGACTAGATACAGACTCGAGACTTTTGTTTTAAAACTCTCGTTTTGACAGTAAATATTTAAATCTCCGGATAGCACCATGGCAGTTGATTCCAAGTACATGGTTTTAACCTAAAAAGAGATGAATGCAAAAATGGTTAAATATAGTTATGAGGAAATTGTATAGAAAAATGAGATATTTTTACTGGATGAGTTCATTTTTATAAGGGATCAATTGTAGATCTTCAGAATAAAATAAAATTTAAATCAGGCAAGTAATCCAACATTAGAACATTATCAGTATTTGATTTATATATATATATCATTCTATATGTACCGATCCTATTTTCTTGGTGGATATAATTTGGTTCCGGTTTGAGCATCGTTTATGAGATCGAGTTTTTGCTGTTTTCCTAAATTTCCGAAGTATTCTTCGTCAATATTACAAAAAATGTGGGATATCGAAAAGGTGTTTTTATCTTTGACATGAAATAACAAAGGGTAGAAAATTCGAAACTGAAATGTAAAAAAGGAAGAAAAAGAAGACTGTTTAGTTAAAATACTACCCTAAACCCACCCTTAAAACCCCAAAAATAAAGTTTATAAAAAACCATACTAAAGCCACTCTTTTTTTTTACCATGCTTTTATACTTTCTTAATATACCTTACCTCTCTAGCTCGCATAATTTATGAGCTTTACTACAGTCTATTCTGAGAGCATATTAATATTTCACTTTTGAAAATGTACCGTTCATTCTTTTAAATGTTGTCTTGACTAGACATATCCTTTTTTTTTACACTTGTTTTTAGCTAGGAACACTTTACATAGCTTTATATTTATTTTGTCTTTTCTTTTTCATTTGTGTATATATGGTATTGTTAATGTATCCCAAAATTGTCTATTATTAGGAAATATGGGTGTATAAGGATAATAAACTATTTTCTACAAAAAAGAGGCCTTGACCATGTCCCATATCTTTATAAAATATATGGCTATGTGATATTCTTTCTCAAGTTTCATCCAATTTGTATATTAAAGAATGAAAGGCTTTTTTTTAAAAAAAAAAAAAAAAAAAAAAAAAAAACATAGTAATAATTTCTTCTGATACGCAGCAATATATTCGCATAATTACTTTGATTATGGGATTATTTACAAAAAAAATACTTATAGCGCTCGTTTTACTTATTCGGATTTTTGTTTTATCTTGTTGGCAAGGAGATTATCCCAGTTGAAACAATGAGCGTGGATTAAAATAAGTATAAAAGTTTTCGACAGATGGAAGAAACATAATTAACTTCATTACAACTCTTGGAAGAAGCCGACATTTACGGGTAATAAAGATCGTCGCTTAGACGTCACTAAAAAAGAGCAAAAGAAAAAAGGAGAAAAAACAAATTTCAATATTTAATATATTTACTTACCATGAGCTTATTGATTACTATAGTTAAATGACCCAAATAGCTTCACAAACTCTTATTCAACCTTCACCTAATCGGACCAAGCGACGACGACTTCCGCTACGAACTGCAGTAGAGGCCGATTTTGTATCATCTGCCTCAAAACTACAGGAAGCAAAAGAATTTCTAATGTATACTGATACACCTGAAGCAAAGATCGTCGCAGGCAATCTGAAGGAATTGTGGTCACCGACTGACGATGGTACAAGTCGAAAACATTCGCCAGTAATGGTCGGGACGCCAACCACAAATCGAGAATTTACGCAATCACAGCAATCTAACATCAGACGTCCTCAAAACCTGATGGAGAGACTAAATGCAATTGAAGCAGACGAATTGGTTGATATCACAATGCATTCAATTGTTCCACGGAACATTGATGATATGTTCAAAGAATCGTCAAAAGATCAGTTTGCAAAGCGTGTATTAGGACTTAAAGGCTCTGATGAAGATTCAGACGATGAACTAACAGAGCTAGAGATAGTCTCGCATGAGATTGAGCCAATGGAGAATGTGAACCCGAAGACTAATGTAGAAGAAGAACTGTTGTTGAAAGAAAAGGAAGAAATCAATACTCAATCCACTCAAAAGTCTGTGCAAGATATGAATGAAGTTGGAGAAGAAGCACCGAAACTGGCCGAAATCGAGGATAAAATTGGCGCAGAGGCAGTGTTAGAAGATAAGAATATATACTCAAACAACGATCACAATAACAAACGGGTAGATTTAGAACAACCTTTACAAGAAGATATACCTACGGTAAGTGGAATTATACAGTAAAAATCAAAGAGAGGGAAATGGAAGGGCTTTATAGGTAGACAGGACTTTTCCTTTTCTTTTCTACCTGTCATGTCTATCATTCTAGCAAACGCTTAAATCGCACCTAACCAAAACATATGTCGGTTATCGTCTGTTTGTTTGCACGGTAAAAAAAAGATTCAAGACAAGCCTGTTATCTTGGATCAGACCAAGCAAGCACCAAAAACTGTTGAAAGCTTTGGCTTGATCCCTCTCTCGAGTCGTATTCAGAACATTCTTGAAAAACGGAAAAACAGAAACTACAAGAGACGTCTGACCACTCTTGAAATCCTTCGGAAATCAGGTGCTTTGAATTGGATTACAAACGCCCGTGATTCAGATCCACGCAAAAAAGGTCTTGGTGATGCCCGAATGAAGCGCTTGAGAAGAAAAGCTGGCTTCGAATGGGTAAAAAAACGGTGAACTAGAAGACGCTGAAACTTAACACGCTTTTTTATTTTATATAAAAGTGATCGAAATACCATTATTACATTTAAATATACAAAACAGAATAAATGACTTTACTGATAACATTACTACAACAGCTGATATTACTACTGTCACTTCAAAATAATGGGTGTTCTGTACTTAGTATAAAAATGAAGCCAGTTTTATTATATCTTTCTAGTGTATTAATATAAATATTCATATTCAAGTAAGGAAACTTGTACAGGCTGTACCCAAAGACCATACTAAAAGTTCTCTCACTATTAATGATAACTATATCTTTGAATGAAAAAAAGGCTGACTTAACTATAGAGATTCACTTTTAAATCAAAGAACAAAAAACGAAGAGTTTTAATCAAATCTACTCGCAATTACATTTTTGAAGTGATAATAATTTTATAAATTTGATGTTATCGCTTTATTCTTACTAGCTAAATTTTATAGAAAATAGAGCCATTAATACCAAATAATATTTTTTCCTTGAAAATAATATCATCATTTTATGATACTTCTCTTTGTACAGTATAATTCCCATTAAAGTAACCGTTTTACTCGTTTGTAGGTGGAAGCACAGATAGGCGATTATTTGTATACCTAAATAAAACCCCGTGTCTTGTTGGTACAAAATCAGAGTTATATTTGTCAACTAACCTACTCTGTTCCCCATGGCTACTCAAAAGTGTTATATTTCTGACCATCTATAATGCAACGATCATGTTTCAATATTATTTAACAGCAAAAGAGAAAGCTCAAAAGTTTCGTACTTTATTAATATCTCTGGTATACATTATATTCTTTCTTGGGATGGTTAAATTATACGACATAGTTTGGAATAGCTGGCTTGTTGATGCCAGTTCCGCCCCTTAATAAAATGATAAGACTTGATCTCTTCAATGGTATTCATTTGCTAATTTCTCTAATTTTTATTCATATATGTCTACTGTTAGTATATAGAGAACTTACTTAAAAAGTCTTTTTTTTTGGAAACTTCTGTTATATTCTACACCATAATCCCCTAATACCTGATGGTAATTATTTATTCCCCTGAGAAATCATCTGGATACTTTCAATTATCGGTATAACCTCATTTCAATAAAACTCAACCTGGAATTCATAATCCCGCCAGATATCGTATTGTAATGAGATCCTGATAATATATATTTATTCTGCTTTTTACTTGTTTCTAAATGTCTTTTTGAAACATAGACTGGTTTATCTCCTAGTAGCTGGTGTATTGCTTTTGTGTCTAATTGTATAAGCAAAAGAAAAGAAAAAACCTTCTCTTGTTCCCTTGAACAAACAGCGCACAGACCAGCTTAGAGTGACCTGCATATCGCTGTTATAGAAACTTGTACTCCACTTTGAAAGTTATTGCTACACCGATCAAAACCGAACCTTTCCTTGCTTTTTTGCTTTTTTGCTTTACTTTGCTTCACTTTGAAAAAGTCGTATTATATAGTAATTTGATTAAATATTATTAACTGTCTATTCTGCCTTAAAACAGTTACACGAACTCAGTAAAAAGAATATACAGCTATATCACGTTTGCTCTGACGTGGGTATCTAAGACTGACAAAAAGCGCAGTCCTAAACTTTAATCGCAGATGAAAATTTTTTCTGTTACTTATAGACCTCCTCCAACGCGCGTCGTTTGTTTTCTCCTTGAGCAACAACAGTCCCGGTTTCATAGTGAGGCGTCTCTTGCGACCGTTGCAGGGAGATTCTTCCATGCTACAAGCATCGGAAAGTGAAAGTTGTTACTCGCCAGCTCAGTTAATTCTGAGAAGTCGTGGGGCATGGTCTCTTTTCTTTTGGAAAGACTACTGTGTACATCGCATCGCCAATGTGGAATCATGATGCTGGGGGGAGGGAGGTCTAACCTGTGGTGAGATGTGCTGGCTCTTCACTGCTAACTTGACTGAACTCTTTAACGGCTGACGGTGAAGCTACTGGTAGTCGAATGAGCTGGACCTTATCACCTAGTGGTAAGTTCTCTGGCGAGTTCGCACCCACATTACTCGGTGACGAGATGTGGGGCTGGATGAACGGGTGCTTTCCGTTGGTTTGCCACCATTCCAGCACCTCCTTCGCTACCAAGTCAGGTTTACGTCCTGAAGGAGATTGAGCCGCGTAATGCGGGGACAAAGAACTTGGTGTCATGCTTTTTATTCTTTTACTCATGTAAAAAAACATTAAGTGAAATTAAATCAAATAGAATAGATTTTTATGTATATGTTTAAATAAATAAATAAAGTTTTTTTCAACTAGTATCGTCTCCAATAAAAAAACACGCTTTTAAACTTTTTTTTTACTTGATTGAAGATGTCAACGTTGTAATTAGGAGGGCTCATTTATAAGAAGAAATTAATCTAATTGAATATATATAAAAAGAAATAAAAGAATATTTGTATATTCTAACATGGTATTTTCAATCGTTTTCCATGCATACTGTTTTTCTCTATAATATATATAAGGATTAAAGTCAGAAGGATTTTTGAGAATGCCAATGGCATGAAATGTATGTTATTGAATTTGACTAATCCGGATGGTAAATATAAAGAGAATGTGTTGAGATTAGAGAAATGAGAGATAAGGAGGAATAAAAAAAAATCATGTGTTTGAAAGAGACAGAAAAGACGTGAAGTGGACTGAATACACAAGTAATGCTCTCATTGTACTGCCACAGAGTGTGTACAAGAAGTTTAATATGGACGTATTTATGAAACAAGCATGATTATCTGCAAACCTTTCTGTACTTTGAATATCAGCAAATTGTTGGAGCCTTACATTCGCTATGAAATATACGTACACACAATTATATTCACAGTGTAAAATATGATTTGAATTTAAATAAGAGTAAACAAGCATTGATACATTACAGAATACATTCTTCAATGTTCTGTATAAAAATAACAAGTAAAAAAAAAAAACACAAGCAGTTCTTATATTACAGTTCTTAAATATAAATTGACATAAATAGAGTATATTGAGTAACAATGCATGGATATCATAAAAGAAGTACACTGTCATATTGAATCGTATGGATTAGAGCAGAGAAGCTTTGATGAATGTCGATTATTACAGCTGATTTATTGATATGGTTTATTTGTATATCAGTTTGTTTCTGTGATTAAGTGTAAGTACTCAAAATATACTGTAATATCACTAACCAAGTTTCAACTGTATAATTTCACATTTTTCGAATACAAGCAGAAAATAATATGATTGACCAAATAATGAATATATATACAAAATAAAAATTGTGCCCACTCGTCTATTGCTAACTTATGGAAATGATAAACACATAAATATCAAAGGGAAGCGTTTTATTTCACTTGACGTACAAGCACATTAGCGCGTAGCATAAAATAAGATAAATTAAATTAAATATATAAAGAAGCTGCTTCCATAGTAAGTATTATTTGGTATTCTATTTATTACTTTATTCTCTTCAAAAGAACCGAGTTCACAGGCCTTCCATCCTCGATCTCATCAATAATGTCCACTATAATCTCCATACAGCCAATTGACATGTACAAATCGCTTATTTCATTAACTGACAAGCGGTGCTCCTTAGAAGGTTGCTTGTAATCATAGTCTGGATGATCGACAAACTGAGATATAGCTAGATACCCACCTACTTTCAATAAACCCGGTAATTGTCTCAACATAGAGCGTGCAAGAAACCGAATTGTGAGAATAAGATCAAATGGAGGGCGAGGATCTGGCAAAATGGCAAAAAATGAATCAACTGGAATACCTGGCGCCAACCGAGCTTTCTTTCTTTCCAATCGATCCATTAACATATCATCATTTTGCAAAGTATTATCCGTCCTGGATTGCCATCTTCCGTTCGCCATAACTTTAGCGCAAGTCACTGTCAGTCTATCACTCACATTCCAGGCACGCCCCATTGCTTTTGTTTTTTCCACACATGCTGGGAGTGAGTCGATGGCACTGACTTTCCAGCGATTGTTCCGTGCTAAAAGCCAGACAATATCTCGACCGGCGCCACATCCAACATCCAAGCATTGTAGTTTTCCTACAATACTAGCTTCTATGTCTTGGATGTGGTTGGATAACAAAGGAGAGGGGCGAAATAATGGCCATATTCCACTCGGACTTTCCGTTGTACCATAGCCATCCCCGAGCACTGTCTCCCAGAGTGCGTCTTCGGCTTCACAAAATATCCAGGAGCACTTCCACCCATTATCCACCAGCCATTGTGAGCACTCAGGACTACTAGACGGCTCTATTACTGCAAATGGTGTTTGTTTTGGCGGCAGTTCGTTGCCACGTGCGCGCAACTCATCGTATGGGATATTTGTAGACGGCACAATTCGTTTCTTTTGGTACTCATCGCGCGGACGCAGATCAAGGCACAAAAGTTTACTTGGGGATGTTTTCCATTCATGCAGCCGATCAATCAATGTGGTCATTTTTTTTTACAAGTTCTCGCAATGCAATGAATGTGGTGTGGCTTGTCAAGCACCAAGTTGGTTGTCGGTTATTAAATTGTGTTGTATTTTGCTTGCAATGGTAAATTGAATTCTCCCGATTAACACACTTGATTTAGTTTTATAATGACACTTCGCCTTGGGTCTATTGCACCTGGTAAACAGTGCGCCTATTAAAGGGCTCATTGGACTGATGCGTAAATTTATTGTCCTACAGACTTTGTGGCCCAAACTACAAAAGGTGAACTCAGATTCCATGAGTATATCGATCAGCATTGGGCTATTATGTTCTCCCATCCCGCAGATTTTAGTAAGCTTTTCATCTTAAGTCTCAAATATCTTTAAATACTGCTAGTGAGTAATGTTTTTTTTTACACCGATATCTAAACTTATGTCTCTTCGCTTTTTTTTTAGCTCCTGTTTGCACAACTGAGCTCGGGTTAGTTGCTGCTCTACAGGGCGAGTTTGATGCTCGTCAAGTCAAGATAATTGGTCTTTCTGCCAATGGTCTCGAAGAGCACACTAAGTGGATAGCAGATATCAATGAACTCAGTAATGTTCAGCTTGAATTTCCAATTATTGCCGACGCCGATCGTAAAATTTCTGTTCTATATGACATGCTCGACAAACAAGTAAAAAGAAGTGTTTGATTGCTATGCTATCATATCCGTACTAATTTATTGGAAAATTAGGACGCCACTAACGTCGATAATGGTGGCTTACCGTTCACTATCCGTTCAGTGTTTATCATTGACCCCAAAAAGACCATTCGGTTAATTATGGCATACCCTGCCTCAACCGGACGTAACTTTGATGAAATATTGCGTGTTATTGACTCGCTTCAGTTGGGCGACAAACATCGAATCACCACGCCCGGGAATTGGAAAAGGGGCGACGATGTTATTGTCCATCCTTCAGTACCAACTGAAGAAGCCAAAAAGATATTTCCAAAAGGTGTGCGTGTGCTTAAACCTTACTTGCGCATGACACCCTCTCCTTTTTGATTAAAATTACTACATGGCCAAATAGCATTTTTATTTTATTGTATGCTATTAAACAATATAGCACTGTAAAGTCACCAAGATTTATGAAAAAGCTTTTCTTGGGTATATACATGACTATATTAATATACGGTAGTCATTTCCTTTATTCCTACTCATTTGACACATATTACCCATTATATTAAATTTTATGGATAAGTTATATGCATGTGAGGTTGACCAATATTATTGCCTAAAGTGATATTTATTCATTATACTCACTGGCTATCGATATTCTAATAAACCTTATGACTTCATATTAAACGTGCCATTCTCTTGTACTTACTATACCATTATCGTCTTTTTTAGCAGTATATATAGTTGTATAATTTGACAAAGCAACGTATTTTTTTTTAAAAGATAATCGCAAGTTTAATATAAATACATATTTTTCTCAGAGAGATAGTAAGCCGTAGTCAAATCATCGAAGGCATAATAAAAAAAAGAAAGGCCAAGTAAATATAGAAAAGCAATGTTAAAGTATGACATGTCTTCCTAATATCGGATTACTTTATCAAGGTTTTAACTTGATTTTGTAAGAATTTTTTGCTCTGTTATACCCTTGATATTGGTCTCTGATAGTATGTTGCTTTTGTTAAGAACTTTATATTCATACTTGTACAATTTTTACTTGAATTTAGATAGGTTTGAACTAATTGCTGTGAATTTTCTCAAAGGCATTGTGAATGTTAGTAGTTTTGATATAATATTATTCATGTTTTATATGTAATGTAAAAGTATCTCAGGTATAACGGGTAGTGGTAAGATAAGTATAGTATTATTTATTATTAATATGACCCATAATAATAATCTGGTTTACTCAATATGGTATTACTATGAAATAATATATATATATATGTAAACTGCCTTTGTGTTTATTGTAGCAAATATATTAGCTATTTAAAGTATTAGACTTTCTCAGTAGATGTCTTGGAGTAATAGTATTTTGCAATGTTATTGGTTTTATATGAAATAAAGTCTGGATCATCAAATTCACGTTTGATTTTAGTAATATACGAGGTAAACTAGTTGTTCCCATTGGGACGGTTTAAGAAGGAAGAATCATATTATTCTAAGAAAGAGAGAACCGTTTGTCTAAGTTTATTTAAATATTTTATTCTTATAAATATTTGATACTAAAACAAAAACGAAAATGATCCATGCAAAAATTGAAAACCTTGGTTCAAATAAAATAGCAATAATTGCGCTTGTTGTTTAGTTTCTTTTTTTCTTCTTTATTTCATATATTGTATAATAACCCTCTAACATTTACGATAATACCTCTTCCTAAAGTTTCTTATGTACTTTTTATACTGTTATCAATTTAAGTATTCACTACTCATTTGCCCTACTCGTTTGTCTAAATTTATGAAAGTCTTTTAATTTTCTATAATCATCTTGATAGCTAAAAGCTCTTTCATGCAAATCCAAACTCTATATGATGTGCCATTTGATCTCTAACTTTACCTACTGCTCTACTGTTTATTTCAATTGGGCACACAATTACTAGCGTCTATAGTATGTGCGAGAGTCAGAGATTCAATCAATAGTTAAATGTTTAATTGTCCCTATTGTTCATCTCAATTGGGAGCACAATTAGATTGTGAGTTATCCGTGCAAAAGTAATTCATGAACCTGTTTTAAAAATATAGAAGGATCAAATGTAAGTCATGCGCAGAATGTCTCCCTCTTTTTTAATAATATGTATGGTACACAAAATTTAGAACAATGAAATTAAACTATCACGGAGTTATAATGTTTGCCAATAGAAGCTTGGCTTTTAGTAAATTAAAAGTATTTACAGCGAATACTATTTATTGGAGTTAAAATTACTTTTTATATAATCCAATAAAATCGTTTAAAGTAGCAAAATTATACCATTTTTAGGTACATATTTCTCTTTTTATAACAAATTTGGATAGTACAATTCGTTGGATTTCAGATTATTTTTGCATATAATCCAATCAAATATTCTAAATATAGCAAATCTATACCTTTTTTTAGATATCTCTATTCTTATAATTGGTTCAACAAATACACGGCTTTATATTGGAATTTTATAGTTTTTATTGATCAAAATAATAAAAGTTGAATATAAAGAAGTATGGAAAGAAGAAGTACTATTTTTTATGATATTTAGTAACAGTTTAAGCTATAAGGTTACTAAATGATATACATATATCTATTTTTATGTAATACTTTTCACATTTTTTTTACCTAAAAAAAGGCTATTCTCTAGATACTATGATATTGATGAAGATATGTATATTGCTTAATTGATTCTTTTTAACAAAGAGTATAAACCTGCTTTGTGTTAACATTGTCATGTCTGATTCATACTTTTGAAAAACAAGAAGACAGATCTCCTGTAATTCTCTAAATCTACCGAGATTTCTAATGAGCATGCGAGCAATCTTGACAACCAAATTGTACTTGATGCATATATTTTTCTGTCAATTCTTCTCGGATTGCTTTCTTTTGTCAACTTTGCTGATTCGTATTTTATTAATACTAGCCTTCATAGTTATTAAGTGTGTTCCTTTTAGAGACTTTTAATAATTTTAGACCTTGTGAAAAAAAATAGAAACAAGTCCTTTTAGATGTACCAATCTAAATTGTTTGGAGAACATGGACGGGTCAGAGGTTATGCATCGTTTGTGGAATCGGGATCTTGCTGCTGTCCTGAACTTCCGATATATACTTAACAATCTGAGATATGATGGGACTATACCTGTAAGGTTCACCCGCGTCATTCGGATTGGACGTATCAGAAGACAAGCAGAAGAAGATCTCCAGGAGGGTCGTCGTTTGAGACAAAGACTGACTAGAATTCAAATAAGATGAAAAAATTCCGTCCTGGTTACCGCTTAGGACCCACCCAAGCTACCGCTGGTAAGCCATTAGATTTGAATAACTTGGTATTTAGTTTTGTAATGGGTTGAAAAAGCTAAGAAAAAGATGTTTTGCTTTGACTGCAAAAAACATGGTGGGGTAAAAAAAAAAGTAGAATATAAAAGAGAGAGAGAGAGAAATTGGTGCATAATTAAAACTCAAGTACAAGACACTTTAAACCCCGGAAAACTTGCAATAATTCAGTAAAATCGCCTATTTTTTTTCTATAGGGTATAATACACAAATACAAGGAGACCAAATCTTGTTTTGATCCATTTACAGGATAATAATCAACTAAGCAATATCTTCAGAAAAGTGTCTTTGATATCTATCTACCTCTGCCTGAGTAAGTACTAGTTTTTTATGTATCAAAAGTACATCTGATATATATAGCCTTTAAAATATGGCACAATTAAAGTATAAGAAGTTTAAGCTTTATAAACCTTTATCTTTTACTCTTGTAAGTAGCCCATTGACTAAATTATAATATATAGCCTTGCACAGTTTCTTACTTATTCACCTATATCAATTGGTACTTTTGAAAGCACCGAGAAAACAAGCATCGTATATTTAATCCTTTGTGAATTGGAATACAAAGAACGAAACTACTCTGTTCCGGGCCCTTACTATCAAGCCGTCCCTATAAGCAGCCATATAGAGACCAAAGTTAATTAGACCTCTATATGATCTGGTTTCTAAAGTGCACATAGTTGGTACACACACACATCTACACACTTGGAAAGTGCATCTTCCTTGCCAAGTTGACGTGCAATCTATCATTTGATCTTAATTAATGAATTAAACAAGGTGTTTTTTGCCGAAATTTTTTTGTTGCTGATCGATCTCAACAATACCTTTTATCATGTAGCAGGAAGAATAAAGCGGGATAGTGAGTTTATTTATCGCCGTACCGATATCTATAGTGCTCCAAGCTCCTCCACCTTCGGTCCCTTTTATACAAATACTAGAAATCGGATCAGTGACTAATCTTTATTCTGAAAACTTCGCCCCTGCACCTCACAACAGATACCATGGGCTAATTAGAGGTTTAGGAATTATATATCCACTTTCCAAATACAAACCCTTCATACTCTCAGCCATCATGTCAAACGTTCAGGCAAGCCCACAGCCCATACCCGTATTGCTGCACTCGAGCACAAAATGTAACGTTTCATAGTCTTTAAATATAGTATTATAGCCTGGCTTTATTATAATTATCTTAAAAGAAACTTAATATTATGATAAATTATTTGTAAAGTCTGATTTTGTTATACTCTGAGAGTCTGTGGAATTGAGATCTTTGAAATGAGTTGGACTTCAGACACGTCCTTAACTAATCAAGACAATACGGGAGAGTAATTCCTGATATGTTCACTTATGCTCACTTATGTTCATCAAGCTGTAGACACTTTAATACAAAAAGAGAATTTTCCGGAGGGCTGTCATGTGAGGTAAAGATTGGTAAATTTCAGAATAATATCAATGGCAAACGAAGAAGGAGAATATAAATTTTCCAACCTGGGTATTGCCAGGCATCCCCCAAGATACCCTCTTGGTAAGTCATTATATATTTTGAATGCTTTGGTGGGATATTTGACTAATATTATATGTACTGTACTGAGTTTTAGTGGATGAAGAGGAAGATGCTTTGTGTCTATTGTAAAAAAAAGGGTAAAATAATAATAGCACTTAGCTAAAATTCAACCTTGAAACAGCCTTTCAACCCCGGAAACGATGCCAAGAACTTCCACTAAAGTCACCTTTTTGTTTATTTATCATAGTGTCAGTGGAAGAAAGTATTGGTATCCAAAAAGAAACTCAAGTGCGATCCCACTAAACTACCTATAATTGTTTTTAGTACCGGTATGAAAAGCAAAGATGCTGTCGAGTTTAAAGAAAATTGTGTTGGAATTGTTGGTTTTTTTTATGGAGCATTAAAGAACAGACAAAAGGGTGGAGACCTTCTTGTAGTTGATGTTAACGAGTTCCAAACTTTCCAGCACATATGTAAAGCTCAGTCAATATCCCTTTTGGTTATTTGTTCTCAAGATCTGTCACTCTTTTAATGAAAACAACCTCAGAAATGTATTACTGGATTCCACTAAGCGTCATGGCTTGTAAAAAAGAAAAGAAAGAAACCAATCAATCATAATTTATCTCTATCTCAAGTTTAAACACTGTGCGTAATTACCAGCTTCTGAGACTCAAACTGATGTGATCGCCCAGATGGATTCGCACACAGATAAATACGGAACACCAAAAGACCAGAAGACCAATAACAATAAGCAATAAAAATAAAAATAAAATACATTTCCGCTCAAGGGTAACATGTGTTTTTGTTTTGTTTTTTTATTCCATATTTTATTTCGCTGTTCATAATGTTACCCTTACCGGGTATTCGGTTCGATCATTTTGTCGAGACCTATTGCCCTCCATTTCTGGGTTAATTCATATTTGCAGTATATATATATATATATATATATTATCCACAGACTCACAGGTATGCATTTAGATGTACAGGTAGCTGTGGCTGTAAATTTAGATGTATATGTACATATAGATATAAATATAAATATATACATAAAATATATCCAAAGAGTATAAAAGTATAATTTTGAGCTGGCTTGTGTAAATAAGTACAAATCATATTTAGGGTAATACCTTAATAATATGATTTCTATTTATATATCGATTGAGTATTACATTGCAGCGACGCCAAGACACCATACACTGCTACAGCCAAATAGATATTCACGGGATCTCAGGCAGCCATTCTACTCGTTCAGCCCAGTCTGGAGTATTTTAGGAACATTGTGTAGCAATATTAACAGGTGTATCGAGAAAGAAGAACACTCTAGACTCTATCTAACGCTGAATTGAAGTTAAAGATCAACGAACATTTAAGAGAGAAAAAAAAAGTGCCGCGATTGTAAAGTGAATTATGTGTAATACTAACCAATTTGTATCGAATAAAATTAACTACCATTCCCCACCAGTAAATTCACAGAAACACAGCATTGTAATATAAAGGAAAAGTGAAAAGAAAGAAAAAGAAAAAAAAAATACCTCAATTCAATAGTAAATCTGATAAGTAGTTTGTTCTTTTTAGTATAAATAGATGATCTACATCACACTATCAATCTATCTAGAATAATCGTGGCTGTATTTTCAGCTCGTTAAACCAGACGGCTTGTTAACTTACTTTGCAGTACCTCAATACCTTTGTACCCAAAGCCTAGTTAAAAACACCAGAAATTCATAAACCTTATTCTTTTTCAAAATATATATATATATAAAAAACCAAAAAATCATCATTTTATTTTTCTAAAATATATTCTGGAAGCATATTATATGTTGTACTTTATATAAGCAAAATAAAATATATATATATATATATGTAATTTGTGCCAAGCTGCTCTTATCTCAAAACAATAAATAGTTTTGTTTGATTTGATTTGAGCTTTGTAATTTAGATCATTCCAACTGTGCTTTATGGGCTCAATCAAAGTTCTAGAGTGGTTGGTCAATAATCGAACCCCGGGATTCTCCAACAAACTGCACACAATCTAGTATGGCAGCTATCTTTATTTTCTTCGAGATTTAAACGCAGTGTCATGTTATTTAGTCGGTTTTAAATAGTAGAGATTGAAACCCGTTGATAGACAGTTGACCTGACCTGTCTAACTAACTTGGTCAGCAAACCCATCACTAAAATGAAAGACAATGGGCTAAGTTTACCAAGCCCTGCAATAATTCCCTCTTCCCCTTCAGACTAATGCAGAAACATTTCTGCTTTTTTTCTGGTAAAACGTCATGTCATTTCTGGCTTCTGTATCTAGGTATGAGCCCCATCAGTAGGCTTTTGGATAATTTATTGATTTTGCTCCTCACAAACAAACCTTGGCTCTTTTTCATTATACCTTTTTTTTTTACTCTAATATTCAACTATACATATATATAAAAAAAATAAAAAAACTCAATTTAATTCAGGCGATTGTTCTTATCTCTACGGGTCCTATTCGGCTTTTTAAAAACTTGAATATAACAAAACCAAAAGCCGTTTACCCTAATATATTCGATAAACTGACTCTTTAAAGATAATAATGACGCCAAAAAATATATAGATATAAAAACTCTAACAAATATTTGACGTTACTCATAATTCTTCCAACAAAGCAAAGCAAAACACTGCGCCTCAAAATCTGATAGTAGGAACCAAAAGAAGCCTTTCATTTGCTGGTCCTATCCTATTAATTGAAGTATACGATTGAAGTGTAATACTAAAAAATAGTTTCAGGAAGCAAAGACCAAAAAAAGGATGTATTCGAGGAATGGTCTATTTTTGGTATTCCAGTTAAAGACCTATTTCGGAGTGTGTAAAAAGGCACCATAAACCTTAACCATTAGAAATTATCTAGAAATTGTATATTTTATTTTATATATCTATAGAGTCTTATTGTATTTTTGTCTCCAAGAGATAGAAATATATGGGTTCCATAGTATCAATTTGACCTGAATTTCTATCTTATGAATTAAAGAGGCCATGTATTTAATCTCTGTCAAGGACTAGTGCAGGGTACACATAATTTACCTAGCACCAAAAGGAAAATGAAAAAAGTAATAAGATGAGAAGATGAGAGGTGTGGGAAGTAACGTAGAAAGGAGCTGGTGTACCAAAAGAGATATTAGAGTAATTATTATCACAGCAGTAAAGTAATCTTGTACGTTGATCTTTTGCTTCAGCTGTGTTATACCCTTGATCTATGACATACCCACCTATCCATCGATTGGGCAAAATTAATATTCCCAAGACAGACTAAAGGACTGTAAACACAACACATGCGCAAAGACATTATTGAGTGCATGTGAAATTACTCTTTGACTACTCCGAGGAGTGCTAAAGGTATATTAAGTACAAGTCTATCTTAATTATTCTTTTTGTTGTAGACTAATGAGCCTTACAACGAACGATTTAATGGCCTTGGGACTTGTACAAGCAGTTATTTGGTTAGCACAAAGTAAGTTTGCCGTGTATTCCCATGAATCTTGGCTGTACCTTTTAAGCCCTATAATTATATTTCTCCTGGTACCTTTTAATACAAATTAGATCAATATTAAGACTAATAATTTTCTTTTTTTTTTTCTTTTTTTTTAAAAAAAAAGATCATTTAATAGTAATAGATCTAATGTTGAATTTTATTTTAATACATGAAAAATAATTGGGAAGACGTGAATTTTGATTCAGGGCTTTCTTTTGGTGTGTATAAGGACCGTGTAGTAAAAAGTGACAATATAACTCTCTTCAGTGTGTAGCTATATGAGTAAACAACAAATAGAGGCTTTGAGTAGCACAGCTCATGCGTTCAAAGGGCTTGGAGACCCAAGAGTCCAGACTGTCACAATTATGTCCTTTTTATTTTATTTTATTATATATATATATAATTCTTTTCTTAATACCTATATTTATATATATTTATATATTGAATTTCCCCATTTCAAAGAGCTTGTGCATCATGAATCTGACGATAAAATAAAATAAGAAAAAAGACATTTTTTTTTGTTTGATATACAAAGATTATATATAAATTGATCCAAGGTTTATACAATTTATATTATTTAAATTTGATTGGATAGTATAGTATAGCTGTACGTGTGTATTCTTTATCAGAGTCTCTGTCAGACCTATTGATCAATGTAGCGATTATACTGCGCTTCTTCACCAAAAAAAAAAGAAAAAAGAAGAAGAAGATAGGGTGCATTAGATGATCTTGAACATATCCTAGAAGCCAGAAACATGGGCTGAAATGAGCGGTGTTGCTTGTAAGCGGCTAAAGCTGAAAGTGTATATAATTATAAATACAATTTTATATATAAATTTGTATGTATGACAAGAATGAGGAGAGTAAAGAGATATGAATGGTCTGCAAAAGGTTGATCTTTCTTCATAGGCGATACAAAAAGCTATTTTTTCCTAATTTGGAAAGTTTTGTACCATCTTTAACAAAAAAAGAAAAGAAAAGAAAAGAAAAAAAAATCAAGTCTTTTGGTTCCTGTTATTTCTTATTTATTTATAAATTTATTTATATATATATAAAATAAAAATTTATTAGGTACTCCGCGCAATGGGTCATTAAGTAAGCTTATTTTTGAAGTCAATAGCAGGTCAATAGACAATTATTTTCTTGTAAAGTTTTCTGTAAGAGGATCATGATTAGCCAATTACCCTTGAGTAAAGACCTATTTCTCTTTTGTGTGTGAATATTCTGGAGCCAAATCAAAAGGAATGGTTTTTGGTCCGGGGAAATACAAGCTTCCAAGAGTACTAAGATTAACCCGCTTGTGTGATCATTCATCAGGAAGCCCATATGCAGAAATTTTAATGGATTTACCTAAAAGTTGCTTAATCGAGAAAGTGGGAAACGAATTCAAATACATCTGGTAAAGCTGGGTCAAGAAAACAGGACGGGACTCACACAACCAAAATAAAATGTAAAATTTTATATACACAGCTTTCATCGCTCTGAAATTAATATACATATAAAAAAAAAACTATAAATACTCTCCTTATCTCGCCACAAAGTAATCAATTCAACCAAGCTTCCTCTCTCAATTACCACATAGTACCAATCATGAAGAACTCTTTGATCTTGTCTCTTTTCGTCGTTGCCGCCGTCACTGTCAATGCTGCTCCCGGACAGGAAGCTAACATCGCCCAGTCCTTGAACATTAAGCGTGAGGAGTACTCTGTCGGTAAGCCCGTCTGGGTCGCCAACCCCAACAACGTCGAGATGTACAAGAACATCAAGCGTCAAGAGGATGCTGACGCTGATACTGGATCCGATGCTGATGCTGGATCCGATGCTGATGCTGATGCTGAGACTGGTTCCGATGGTACTGCCACTCACGGTGGTCATGGCGGCGGTGCCTCTGCTTCTGCCGATGATAGCGAGGCCTCTGCCACTGCCTCTGCCGATGATAGCGAGGCCTCTGCCTCTGCTCCTGCTGATGATAGCGAGGCCTCTGCCTCTGCTCCTGCTGATGATAGCGAGGCCTCTGCCTCTGCTCCTGCCGATGATAGCGAGGCTTCTGCCTCTGCTCCTGCTGATGAGTCCGCAGCCGTTTCCGCAACCTCTGAGGCTCTTATCCCTACCTTTGCCTCCGTTGCCGCCTCTGGCTCATCTGTAGCCCCTCTCTCGGCCCCCACTCTTTCTGCTAGCCATGCCTCCGCCAGCCACGCCGCTGCCTCCTCTGTTGCTCCCTCTGCTCCCGCTGCTGGAAGCGCTGCTAGCTTCACCGTTCCTTCCGCCGTCGGTCTTGCCATCCCCATGGTCTTGGCCTACTTTGCCCTCTAAATTATTTAGTCGTTGTGTTCTTGCCTTCCTTCTACTTTGTACCAAGCATCAAACATCCTTATTTCCTCATAGTTTGATTGTGTAGATAAATGTATACCATTTTATTCCCCCCCAAAAACCTTCAACCACTTATTTTTTTCTACAATCTATAATAAATCAACTTAAACAATTATCAACAAAAAACAGAGAGAGAAAAAAGACCATTTATTTCCAGAATATATAATTTATAATTCATCTTGAACAAGATGATCATGATACTACTAATATTTCTATTCTGTGCACATGTATAAATATAATACACATTACGAGGAAATACACGTCTTTTTAAATTTCTGTTTATTTCAAAGCCTTAGATACTAAGCACATCTTTAACATACCACTTGAACAAATGTATCAAACTATACTGTCTTGTTTCCTTTAATGTGTTGGTGCAATTGCAGCTTATAATTTGATTTATTTTAGATACTAGAGGGTGATGGTCTGTTCTGGTGAATATATGCAAAAAATATTATAATAATAATAATAATAATAATAATAATAATATAAGAAAAGTAAAGTAAAGTAAAAGATGAAATGAAATAAAAGGTAGTGAAAATAATAATAAAAAGGAAGACTGGAAATAAATGTAATGTAATAGAATATAATAGACTAACAAATTGGATATACTTTCTTACTCGTACACACTCTTTTTTTTTTTTTTGGTAAGTGACTCTTACTTATTCCACTCAAAATCATCACCATTTGAAATGCGCAGATAAAGATTAGTCAAAACAGCAGCAATCAGAAGTCCGGTCAGAATTGCTGGTGCATTCTTCTCAGAGTAATCTCCAACTTCTCGCTTCTCGACGCTGGTGGTACGAGCATGGTAGTTGTAGAGTGCATAGATCATGACACCAACCGAAATAAGCGTAAATAAGGTGGCTGAGATACGACCAACATGATCAGAAAAGTTTAAAAGACCAAGGGCAAGTGCTCCCAACAGAACAGTAAATTGCAACCAATGCAAGAAAGTACGTTCGTTTGCAAAATAAGTCTTGACAGGAGGTGCACGCTGAATGACAGGCTGGCGGGTAGTTGGGGCCTTGTGAGGGGCAGTGTTGCGCACAAACGTGGTCTTGGACTTGCGAACAAGGTTACGCAAGCCAGGGGGTGAAAGAACCTTGAGAATACCATCACGCATAATGCCGCCTCGTCCTCTTTCTTCTTCTTGATTCTCTGTGTCCAACAAAGCTCTGCTTTCATTATCATTATCATCATCTTCAGCGTTCATATCAATCTCTACACGATTCTCATCGTCATCTTCATCAGAGTCTTTTTGAGGTCCGCCGCTACTGATGCTACTGCTCTCGATGGCTTCGGGACGGAAGAGGCCAAAAGAAGGGTTGGGAGGTTTGCGGATATCGATATCCATTTGAGGAAGCCAGAAGGGCAGTTGGTAGATCTTGTCTTCCAAAAGTGTGGCACAACCATGAATAAACTTTGAGAACTTGGGAACAGACTCTACGAGATGTGAGTTGACTAGTTCAACAACCCATGCAGGGGGTTCTTGCCCAACGTGAGTCTGGAGCTTAACTTCCAGGACAGCATAGGGAAAGCGGCAAATGTCCTTATCCGGGAGCTGCTTAAAAGGCCAGTCGACACCAATGTCATTACGACGCCAATTGTCTCCTGAACGCACCTGGCCATCATTATCTTCGCGAATCAGGCTGAGTTCGGTGTCGAGCGAAATACGGACACGGGCATCACCGGGAAGTTGGAATGCTGTGCGGTTGTAAAAGGTACGCATCATGGGATGGAGTCTTTTTGTCAGCACGCGGTATTGGACCTCTTGGGCCAATTGCTCGAGCTCTTCGATTTCTTTTTCGGATTTACGACCCTGCTCTTTGGCTTTGGCAAACAACTCGTCGGTGGTGTAATTGCCGCTGAGGAAAGCGTTGAGGTATTTTTCCTTGATCGGGAATCTTGCCTTGACGCTCTTTTCGCCCGTCCAATCTTCGCGATGGGTTTTGCGCTCGACAAAAATCGTATTGCTACTCATTCCGCCGTACCATCGCATACGAATAGCCTCAGCACCCTCGGTCTTCTCGAGACGTCCGGTGTATAGATCAAACTCATCATTATCATAGTAGATACTAGTGATTGCGGAATCCTCTTGGGAGAACTCTTTGTTGGGGTTGAACACAAGTACAGGAAGATGTTTGAGAATGATTAGCTTGAGTTCTGTGATGTTGTCAGGATGAACCCTAAAATGCAAAGAATGACATATGAGCCGATCTAGTACGATGTAAGGCACATCACTACTGCTACTACTACTACTACTACTACTACTACTATCATTAATAATCCCTTTCTGACTTACCAGTATTTTGTAGTGTTTCTAACAAAGGCAGCTTGCTTTCCACCAGCAGAAGCATCACCACCTCGCTCCTTTCCTCGGGTACGGACTCGGTCGTAAAGACTGGATATACGGACAATTAGAGCATCGTAGTTTTCAGCGTAGAAAGGTTTAGCGTTTAGACGTACACCAAACATTGGTTTGAGTGACCAGCCGGTCATTTTCTAGGTGCAAAAGAGGCAAGTGAGTCTGGCGGCCCATCAAAGGAATACACACGTGCAGAAGATGATTGGCAAGCACTGACAATTCAAGGACGTTACGCGCGCTTTGTTCCTTTGCGTTCAAGCACCGCTATAAAAAATAAAAATAAAAAGTTCTAACTTACATCGTGTTTCTTTATGATCTTGAGGAAGCCAGTATAGTTCAGACGAGTGAATTTTGCCAGATCGTGTACATCAGCTATGATGTGTCCCAACTCAATTTCAGATTCTGTGAATTCGTGTTCCTCGGCCTCGCTGTTCTGACACAGAGCCTCCACCTCCTGAGTTTCTGCTGTAATACGACCCTGGATTTCGTCTAGCTTGGTACGCTGGAAAGCATACACTTTCTCAAGCTCGCGTTCAAGTCGCTCAATAAACTTGGATTCATTGTCTTCAGTCCACTCTCGATTTGCAGCCTCATTCTTCAGAAAGTGTTTCAGATCATCGTACGCTGTGAAGGGAAGAAATAATAATTAAAGGGTGTGAATATAAAGTCGACTAATCCATTTAGATGTTTAGGTGGCTAGAGCTTACCAACATAGTTGGCTGTCCATTCTGGATTGAGCGAAGTTCTGAGCGTAAGGCCGAACTTCATGTTGAGAAAAGGTAAAGAAGGAGAAAGGGAATTGAGAAGAAGAAGAAAAAAGGTCAGTAAAGGGATAAAGAAGAAGGTCAAAAAAATAAACGATCGGAGTCTGGCTGAGTTCGATTAGCATCAAGCCGCAACTGATGCTAAGCTTGACTTGGGTGTGACAAGTATATCATTGGCAAGATGATGACAATGACAGTTGCTAATTGATACTATTGAATACAATAGATATACATTTCTATATATATGTGGGTACATGTATTCATGCATACTTGTTTACGTGCGCGTATTTTGTGTATATTTATTGAAATCAACAATCAATTACGGCATCTTGGAATTCAATCAAGAGTTGCCCTGTTTTTACAGAGGTTCCTGGGTGGACATGTATCTTCTTGATCGTACCCGTCCGAGGAGTACGCAGAATATTCTGCATTTTCATGGCTTCCACTACAGCCAACTCTGTACCTTCAATCACCTAAGTCAAAAAAAAAATACAATGAAAAATCAGCCCATAATCTATCGATGTCAAATCTTTTTTAAGAAAAAATGATTTCATACCTCATCTCCTTCTTTTACTGCGAGACTAATGATTTTTCCAGGCATAGGACTATTAACAACCTTAGAAGTAGGCTCCCTTTCCTTCTTCTTCATAAGTTTTGACAACTGTCGTTGGCGTTCTGTCAACACATTGACATTATACTAAGAAGGGCTTAGTTAACCAGATTGTATATATGTTGAACACAAATGGGGTTTAGTTACTTTACTGCCTTGGTACTGTATCCGGAATCCACTGTCTAGTCGATCAAGATACTGTAACACCATTTTGTGACCTGTCTCTTGCACGGTAGCGTGGGCCAGGAGTCCATCGAGCGGCCAGCGTGTTGACAGAGTCCAAGTGTCATGAAGTGGCGATGTAATCTATTTGTGTGTGTAGATTTTAAAATTCAAAATTCCCCCCAAAAAAAAACAGTCTTGATTTTATCAATAGACTTTGCTAAAAATCAATTTACCTCAAAAGCATTATCGGGTCCTCGCTTGATCTCTAGTCTTGCTTCAGTAGTTGTATTAGTTTGGTCTTGAGTGACCTGCACCCAAACATCCCATGAAGACGGTCCTCCCTTTTTGCCCCACCGGCTATATTCCTTTTTGGCCCAAACAGCAGCACTGAGGGCAAAGAGACCATGTTGATCCTGCTCTGTCATCGGTGGGCGGCTATATCCACCAGGATATTCATCTGCCAAGAACTGGGTGGTGATCGATTGTCCGTCTTGGAAGCGAGGGTGAGCCATGACTCCTCGTAGGAGCGGAATGTTGTGAGTGACGCCACGGATCACATAATTATCCAGGGCATCGATCATTGTTTCAATCGCACCTTGACGAGTAGGGGCGTGTGTGGCCAGCTTGCATAAAAGAGGATCATACTCTACATGCACTTCTGATCCTTCTATAAACCCAGAGTCACATCGCACATGTGGTGTGATTGTTGGTTCCTGATAGGTCAATAAACGACCCACGGATGGGAGATAGTTTATTGGGTCCTCTGCATACACACGAGACTCGACAGCCCAACCTTGCATCTGAACATCCTTTTGACTGATGGCCAGAGGATGGCCAGCAGCAGAGTACAGCATTTGTTCTACCAGGTCAAGTCCGGTTACATATTCTGTAATAGGGTGCTCGACCTGCAGGCGAGTGTTCATTTCCAAGAAGTAAAAATTCTTTTGTGAATCCAACAAGAACTCTACCGTACCTATATATATGCATATACATAAATACACGGGTGTTTATTTTGTGTACAAGTGATTCTTATATTCTTACCAGCAGAATTGTAGTTGACATGTTTAGCCAAAGCGACGGCTTGTGCTCCCATCTTGTGCCGTGTAACTTCATCCACAAATGCACTTGGCGATTCTTCAATCACCTTTTGGTTCCTACGTTGTATTGAGCACTCTCTCTCGGGAAGATAGATGACATTCCCAAAATTATCTCCGAGGACCTGGACTTCAATATGGCGAGGTTGATCAATGTACTTTTCAATCAACAGTCTAGCATCGCCAAACGAGGACTGTGCTTCCTGTTTGGCTAGCTTGAAACCATCCGCTAGCTCTATATCATTCCTGTTTTGTGATTTCATCCTGTCAGTACAGTACAATATTATTATTTTTCTTCTTCTTTTTATATGAATATATGCACATTACCAAGCAATTCTCATTCCTTTGCCGCCTCCCCCTGCACTCGCTTTAACCATGACGGGGTAACCAATGGTATGGGCAACAGATGTTGCTTCTTGAACCGAAAACACTTCTCCATCATAACCAGGGATACAATTTACACCACTTGCCTTTGCCAGAAGCTTGCTTTGGATTTTGTCTCCCATTGCTCCAATTGCCATTGCGGTTGGGCCGACGAATGTAACACCCTGTTGTTCTAGGGCCAGTACAAACCCCGGGTTTTCGCTCAAGAAACCATACCCTGGGTGAACTGCCTGTGCCCCTGTATTCTTTATTGCTTCTAGCATCCGAGGAATCGAGAGATACGATTCTGACGATGCAGCCGGACCGAGATGGAATGCTTCGTCTGCCAACTGTACATGGCGTGCGTTGGCATCCAGGTCCGAGTAGACTGCTACGGTCTTGATTCCCATATTGCGTGCTGTCTTGATAATTCGACATGCAATCTCTCCTCTGTTTGCTACCAACAAGGTATCAAATGTCTATATACATATTTATAGTCGACGGTAACATGCAGGTCAATGAGGGTGGTGGGACGTCCATAAGAGCGAAGGAGCGTACCTTTTTGTAGGGCTGGTGTGCATGTATGTGACTGGTAAGGTCGGTGTGGCTATGGGTGTGGTTGAAACGGTAGGTGGCTGGTGAGCGTAGAAATGTTATGGTGTTTAATCGGGCTGGACAGACCGATGCCAGACCATTGCGAGAAAGTAACTGGTACATATGGTCAGGGAAGTGTGGGAATAAGCAAAAGATGGAAAAGGGAAAATTAGACCTTTGACCAGTCACTCATTTTGGACACCAACTCCGGTGAGTAGGTTTGTTGCATAGATTGTGTGAAAGAACAAGAACAAAGAAAGGATGAAAGAAAGAGGATAAAGATGTGAATTAAGATGTTTTAGTATATGAATAAGTTGGTAGATATGAAGAAGGGAAGCATAGTTATAAAGAGGGAAAGGGAGAAGAGTGAATATAGATTATAGCATATTAAAGGTAAAGTTGACGTATCCCAAGCGAGACATGGATCATAACCCCCATAGTAATTCCTATATATTTTTTTCGGTTAGTTGGTTCAAAAGATTAACAGCCTATTGGTTTTTGGAAAACTCTTAAAGATTCCCTTACCCATTCGATGCTTCCTAGTGAATACAGGTTCCCTTAGCCAGAACAGACACAGTAATCCAAGGAAGAAGCCCAAGATGAGACCACACAGGATCTGGTACACTGTACCTCCTGGTAATGTCTCTCCTGTACTTTCCATCCATGCGTCCTCTAACTGTCTTTGATGTTCTGTGGTTTCTGTATAATATAAAGGGAGTTTAATACAGCATATTTGAAAGGGGGATGTGTGTGTGTGTGTGTGTGTGTGTGTATAGTGGGGTATAGTGGGGTTTTAATTTTAATATTCTATTATATGTATTACCACCATTGTACTCAGTCCTGTGGGTTCTGTGAAACTCCATCCGAATGCTTCTAATTTCTTCGGCATTGTACCCAGACTTCCTTAGTCTGTCCAACCCTCTTTCTTCTTGGCCTTCGCTTTCCTATAAAGTCGTGAGGTTAAACTTTGACGATATTAAAGTGATCTAAAATAATAATTAAAATCCTAACAAGAAATTATATCAACTAGCTTCTTTATTCCTTTCTTTTTTTCTTTCTTTAATATTATTATTACTAATATTATTAGCATATAAGAATAAGATATAAAAGAAAAAGAAAAAGTAAAGTACCTCGTCAGAATCTTTAAATTGAGTTGAACTCTCAGAAAATTCAGATAGTGAACATAGAAAATAAACTGTAGAGATGGTGCCAAGACCATAGTCTGCTAGAGTATAATTATCGTCCAATAGTCGACCGTTGTGAATTAACCGGATGTTTTTGTGCGTGATATTAGGAAGTGTTCTTCGTAGCTAATTGACACCTGATTAAGTAAAGCAAGCAAGCTTTGGGATTCCATTCCATTGATCTAAATTGTACCAGATTCTTGATTGATAAAATATTGTCATGAACTGGAGATACACGAATTATTAGTTCATTTCCGTCATTCGAATTAATATTGACAAGAACTGAATCAAGCAAATGCTTTTGTGGCATGGTGAAGAGGTAGTCAAGAAAGAGATTTCCAAAGAAGAATTAAAATAAAGTAAAATAAAATAAGAAAATAAAATATAATAAAAAAAAAAGAATAAAATAAAAATAAAAAGAAAGAAAGAATAAAGACAAAGCTTATAAAGTATAATGGTTTCCCTTTTCCCGAGCGGGCCATTTCATTTTTGAAACCCGGACTTGAAGGTTCTATTTGATGTGAGATGTCTATTGTAATTTACCTTGACACTTTTGGTCAATATCTAACCAGTCAAACGAACAAACAAACAAACAAACAATATATATATTTAATGAGAATTTTTTGGGTAAAGGTAGAGATAATTTGAGAGACAGAAAGCAAGAAAGCAAGAAAGCATGAGTCAGAAAATGAGCTCTACTTTAGACTTCATTTGGACCCTTTCAAACTTACCGGTTTATTCATTATTTCTTTTTCTAAACCTCATCATAGTAGAATACATTTGAAACACCGAAACACGAGGGACCACCTAACCGTTGCACACACGCAACCGGCCTTTCCTCTCTTTCTTCTCCTTTAAACCCATTAACAATGTCTATTACACTACAGGACTTCATTGGTATATAATTACTGCTTCTAGACGCGATAAGATTCTTACATTCAGCCGTTTCTAGAGGGTGCATGCAGTCCAGCACGCTATGAAGCCGATCTTAGCATCAACCTCGAGATTTGCGAGATGATTAACAAGAAACAAGGCAACACGTCAGTAGTCTTTGTTAATGCGTCATTACTATGTTCTCATATATATACATATATATTTGTGTGTGTGTGTGTGTTTGTTGTATATATATATAGACCTAGAGAAGCAGCCATGTGTATTGTTCGTCTTGTTAACAGCAAGAATGTAAACCAGGCTATACTCGCCCTCACTGTGAGTATACTGTGCACACTTATTATTTCTTTGGTGCCAATATATCCATCTCTATCTCTCTATCTCTATCGGTGCCTATTAGTTGCTCGATAACTGCGTCAAGAACTGCGGTTATCCTTTCCACCTCCAGATTGCAACCAAAGAATTTCTTAATGAACTTGTTCGTCGTTTTCCTGAACGACCAGCCGTAAGTTTCCAAAAAAAAATTGAAGCTAGTGGGGTGAGGGGGAGGAAAGACTCAGCCTCATGCGTGTGCTTATATACAAAAAAGAAAAGAGAATGTGGAAAAATAATGATTTCCAATAGCCATTCCCAAGTCCTGTCGTACAGCGTATTCTGTATCTCATCAAGGAATGGAAAGTTGCTCTTACAGACATGTCACGCCATAAGGATGATTTAGTCCACATTAAGGATATGTACAGGCTCTTACGGTACAAAGGTATTGGATATTTTAATTTATGATAAATTCAAGGGTCTGTGCGCCTTTAGTTTCATATACATAGATTTCCTTTGGACCCTTAATCCTTTTTTTTTATTACTTGCATTTGCATTTTTATTTTCATTTACATTTTTTATCTGTATTGTGTTTAATTAGGCTATAGATTCCCTGAATTAAGAGAGTCTTCTATTGCTGCCCTTGCACCTTCTCAAGTAAGACAGAAATGGCTATTATCAGAGTGTAGAAATCTAGTTTCATGGGTCTATAATTAAATTAATTTACACATGTTTGTCTAGTCTCTCAAGTCAGCCCAGGAGCTGGAAGAAGAAGATCGAGTGGCCCAATCTGCGGTATTGTATATTTATCTATCTATATATATATCTGTCTGTCTGTCTGTCCTTGCTATGCGTCATACAGCTTAACTTACTCGGGGTTACAACTCTCAGAAATTGCAGGAACTTATTCGCCGTGGAAGACCCCAGGACTTGGTTGAAGCCAATCATTTGATGAAGATCATGTCTGGTTATGTAAGAATTAAGCCAAGAAAGAGTATAGATTAGACTTAATAAATAAATAAATAAATAAATATAAATAATTGGGGAGATGTTTAATTATGCATATTCACTCGTTTACAGGACCAGAGACAGAAGCCAAACTACAAGTTGAAGTTTGAAGAGGAGCTCCACAGAATCCAAGGTCAGGCAATTCTGCTTTATGAGATGCTGGAAAATGCTCGACCAGAAGATAAATTGGATAGGGATCAAACAGTCGTTGTAAGCAAATGACTAGAAAGACGACGATGAAGAGTTGCAGATGGAATTAGAGCATAAAGAAAGAAATAAAAATGAACTAAAAGAATTTGCATGGATTTGATAGGAACTCAGAAATGCCTGTTCAAATGCTCAGCCCAAGATTCAAAAGATGATCACCGAAGAAGAAGACAGTGACAAGATTGGTATGAATTTGAGCAAAATTTTTTAAAATAATAGAAGAAAGGAGAAGATTAAAGAGAGATATATCCTTATTAACATTATTATTATTATCATTATTATTATAATAATAGAAAATCTTCTTACATTGAATGACATGATCAACAATGTGGTAGCCAAGTTTTCTGATATTCAAAAGGGCATGTTCGATACTCAGTATGAAATCAGTGGAAAGCCACCCACGAAGACCAACGAATCTGAAGAACCTCCTCAGGCCATTAGTTTGATTGACCTTGGTGATGATGAGCCCACGCAGCCCTTGCATTCATCGACATCCCCTGCAGGATCCAAGAATGCACTTGATGAACTAAGCGACCTTTTTGGCCAGTCGACTGTTTCCCCAGTCTACTCTCCTCCAACAACTAATGATCCCTTTGATTTGTTTGGCCAGACGCCCTCTTCCCCTCAACCACCAGTCGCCTCCGCTGCTACCATTCCTAAGCTTAGTGTACCCGTACCTTCATCTTCTCTTTCTTCGGGCAGCTTTGGCACACCCGTGTCGACTTACAACCAGCCAACTCAACCTGCTGCTGCTACCCAAAATAATCAAGCTTCCAATCCCACCCAACATGAACCAAGTAAAGAAAATAAGACAGAAAGAAAGAAAGCAAGAGAGAGAGATAGAGTTGAATATCTTGTGAGACAACAGGGGTACTAACTTGATTATTGTTACTATTATTATTACTTCTTTTTTTTTAAAAAAAAAAAGTTGACTTGGTAAATAAGAATGGCTTGCATATCACTTTGGATGTTGCTCAGTTGGACACCATTTACCGCTTAAAGGCATATTTCTCCAATAGCTCGACCGCACCTATGGAGCAATTGACTCTCCAGCTGGCTGCTCCAAAGGTATGTTTTATTTGTGTACAAATTATAAATAAGCTTATAAATGTGTGTATTAAATATACCAATTTTCTGGTCTCATAGTCAATGCAACTGAAGATGGAAGCTCAGTCTTCACAGCTTGTACCCCCAAAATCTGAAAGATCTGTCTATCAAAATATTGTGATCAATAACCCCAACAAGGTGATAATAATAAAATCAATAAAAAAAAAGAAGAAGAAGAAGATACGATGGTCTTTGGTTATCAAAGCTAACACATAATTTTTCTTTTGTAGGAGCCTTTACGGCTGCGGTACAAGGTCAGCTATTTACAATTTGGCGTGACCATGGAATTGGCTGGAAACTATCATGCTTGATCTTATCCTTCCTTTTTTTTTTCTTCTTCTCTTTCCTACCCATCTCCTTCTTTTCGTTGTTTCTCTTTAATTTCCTTTTTTCTTTTGTGACAAAGTACATACTATTTATATATAAAAAATTAAAAGGAGATTAAGAAATTGAACAATACACATACTTAATTAGTATGTTCTGTTCTGTTGTGAGCTGTAGACTATAGGCTTATAGTACAAAATGATCAAGAAAGGTTGTGAGACTCTGGTTGTCTGAAATGATATTGGTATTACAGATATTAAATAATTGTCAATTGGCCAAATATTGAGCCTTTTATTCTACTAATAAGCAATTTTCTTGGTAGGTTAGCTGTGAAGGTTGTGTAAGAATAAAGACTTGAGTTCTTGAGTACATGAGATGTTTAGTATTTTGATTGAAAAGGAAATTGAGACTAGAATGGATTTTGATGGGGAAACTATTGAAATGTAATATATTCCTTGTGCACGTGGAAAACCAAAGGGACTCTAACTCAAGAGGTGTAATTGAGAATAATTAGGGGAATATATAAAGTATAAATATAAATTGTGGGTGATTTTGAATCATAATACAACTTCTTTGAGATTATAAATTATCGCATGAGTTTTATATATATACCTACATAATTACATGCATAATATCTTTATCTCTGCCATTTGTGTCTTAATATCTTGAGTGTTATAGGTAATCTTTTGATGCATTTAAAATTTAATTTCAGTTTCGACTCTCTTTTTTTTTTGAATTGGTACAATAAAATATACAAGGGTTATACAGAGAGAAAAAAAAGAGATTAATACTATACACTGCACTACTGGTGCTGCTGCTGTAATATTTTGTAACTCTAAAAGATAATGTACGTTAGATATAATATAAACCCAATGTTACTGTCTTACTCTGCTAATGAAACTTTAATAGTTTCTTTCAAATACTCTGTGCGATGCTACTGCTGCTTCTGTTGTTGTTGCTTCTGCTGTTAATGATACAACGGCGGGATGTGTAATATAATGTAGTGTTTCAAAAAATATAATATAATAAAAATCTCTTTGTTTCTTTCTTTTTAATTATTAATTAATAATTTTGATCGATATTTATCTGTGATTGACTGTGCATTTTTGTAGGTAAGAAATGTTTCTTTAAACAGCATTAAGTTCAAGTAAATATAAACCTATATAGTAGTAGTAATGATTTGCAGGCCTCTATGAATTTTTAATTAATTCTTTTAAAAAAAAAATAGAATACAAGAAAGTTGGGATACAGATTAACTCAGTTCTTGACTGTTTTGTACACCAGTAGATCTAGACAGTTTAGAAAAACCTTTAAATGAAGCTCTTTAGGTTTATCATAAAGGCATACAATATAAAGGTATTGTACTATATCACAATCTTTAAAGATAAAGTTTAAAAAAGATCTCTCTTTTATTTATTTATTTAATAAAATGCCATGGGTAGAATCTATATGAGACGCAAGATTATGTAATACATTAGATTATATGTTTTTATTTATGAAAATATAATGATAGCCTTTATGATTCTTATAAAAGACTAGTTTATTGGTATTACTATTATAACCACTTGCTGGTTACATTTTTTTTAATAGTAATAATATTTAAAGATTCTGTGGTTTACACAAACACAAGAAATCAATATCTGATGCCCAAAATATGAACGGACTAGGAAAAAAAACAATAGGGAAAGATACAGAACGGAAGAGAAAGAATATGTAGTAGATTCAATTGGTGTATTCAATAGTTTCTAGAGTCTCGAACCATCTCTCTGTGTGTGTGTTTAAATATATATATATATATAATAGTAATAATTAGACTATACGCATACTTCAGGTTGCTATGTGGGTGTAGTACAAAAAGCTTAAAGGATTTGTATTATGTATTGGAACCATTAAAGATGTAATTTTGATATAGTACAATGTTTGATTTGAACCCAAGATAATTTATTAAAGAATTGAAATTCACCAACAACAACAACAATTTAGTTAAAGAATAGAACAACTTCTTTAAGGCTTATTTAAGGCAAATTAATTTTCATCTTTTTTTTTTCTATTATAAAAAGAAGAAGGGTAACAAGTGACGTGAGAGTGGTACAAGGAAATCATATTTATTACAAGCGCTTGTAAGGAATGAAAAGAAAAAGAAGCTGTATATATTGATATTGATATACTTTCTTTTTTTTAAAAAAAAAACTAAATTTTTACAAAATTCTACCCGTTCTTGCAGAGTTCTCAAAAATGGTTCAAACTAAAACGCCTCCAAAAAAGAAAAAAGAAAACTTTGTGTGTGTGTGCTTATTTTCTAAACGACCCTTGCAGATAACCTGTAGAGATCATCTAAATAAGCTGGTTGTAGAAATCATAATAATTTTTTTCTTTTTTGTACCATTTAGATGACGCTTTTAAATAGACAATTCTGTTTTATATATATAGATAGATAATATTAGTTTCAGTCTACTGAGTCGGCTTTCTTATACGCTTCTTGGTGCGACAAGGGAGCGAGTTCCGAAGAAGCCATGGGGAAGGAGAAGGGAAAGGGGAAAAGAGAGGAGTCTGGATGACAACCTGGTGTTTTCCTGTGAACATATGTAGAAAACAGCTTCCTGAAATGGTATAATTTGGCTTGGTATTGTATTCTGAATGACAAATATACGTACACAGACTACATACATATTTTATATAATTGTACATTTATCTGTGTGAACAAAGTAAATCAAGTACATGTGCAGACATCGGGTATTAAACGAATATTAAGCAAGGGCATTGATGATAGGATATACGAAATGAAGTCGTACTGAAACGTGCACCTTTTGAATACAATATTCTACTATACCGAGTTTTTGTGGTACCTTTTCGGATCACCGCATTTGTCATGACATGTTTGATGTAATCATTCATTTCCTAGGCAAATCCAGTACTTGTTTATTTCCTGCTATTACTATTATTTAATAGCACAATATTCCAATGGGACTACCTCTACTTTATCAATCGACATTAGCCACCATTAGCCACCATTAGCTATATTACCAAGAGGTCATTACTAATATAGAATACAATGCATTTGAATTACCAGTACCAGTACCAGTACCAGTACCAGTACCAGACTAAAGAATAGCACAGTATTATGCTGTACAAGATAGTAAGGTGTGAATATCGATTATTATTTTTTCTTCACTTTCTTACCCCTTAACAAGTCTATGAACCCGGACTAAAGGATTGTATAAAAGTAACACCCAAAATAAGAAAGACACAAAAAAATTGTTAAAAGTGCGCTGCCCACTCTTTGGATTATAAAGCTTTTTTTTTCTTTTTTTAAATTTTTTTTTTTATTTCTTCTTCTTCTTCTTCTTCTAAACCCTCTCCTTTCTTTCCTCTCCCTACCTAATTTTTTTTATTTGTTCATTTTCTTGTGTGCTTTGAATCAACACCAGACTTACTCCACACGCATAAACGTAATACCTGTCGATTCACAAGAACTATCGACCTTACACATTACCACTATCATCGACATACATACACACACATACACACATACACACATACACATAGAGATTGAGACAGAGACAGCTGGAGAAAGAATAAGAAGAAATATCTGATGAATGATTCTTCTGTGACCGACTGGACGTTGGAGCGTCACTGTATAGACGGTGTATGCCATTGTGATTGGCGGTTGACAGTTCAGGACTGTGTAGAATCCCATGCATTATACGTCGTCCATGTAATTAACATTGCTCTATCCGGACTTGTGTCTATACTAGGTAAAAAGAAAAAGAAAATATATTCATCATATCAAATATTAAATATCAAATAGCAATTGGAATTCTCTATGATCGCCTCGTTCTCAAAGGACATCGGTTATTTGACGGAAACATAGCCAAGGGATGCCTTCGACCGAAACCAATAGACAGCATGATGTTTTTACTCACGTTTTTTAATATACGTGAGTAATTTTTTTTTCTTTTTTTATTTCTTTGCTTTGATTGCTCGATTGATTTGCTGTGTAGTGTGTTTCGAGTTTAATAATAACCTTGCCTATCTATTTATTTATCTATTTTCATCCTCAAGTCCGCTTGATTTCTAGCGTGATCATCGTAGCGGACATTGCACCAGGAAACATGATCGTTCGTTCTTGTAAGGTCCAAGCATACAAAAAAGCTAAATAGAAATAGAAATAGAAATATATTTATATTTATATATATTTATAAACGACCCTAAATTTTTATAGTTATGTTCGAAATCCCATGGCAATTTGGCTATGGAGGCTTCTCACTTTACCTAGTAGGAATCGCACAGACCTTGGCTGATGTAAGATTATTATTGTATTTATTTATTTTTTTTTTAAAAAAAAAAACATACCATAAATCACCGCTTATATATATATATATATATTATTTTATTTTATTTTATTAGAGTCATAGAGCAATTGCTACCGGATGGTTACCTTCACCGCGCACCGTAGATGTTATAGGACTCTCCTTTTTTCTAGCGCCATTTATCCTTAATAATATTTGCTCCCTGGTTGCCGGATCACTGGCAAAAAGTAACCTGTACTTGTCAGAGATATTTGTACGGATATTGTATGTACTCTGGTTTTTTCATTGTGCTCTATTGGCCACGGCAGTCCTTTTCGCCGGCGTCCGTCTGGTCGGAATCCTTAACAGACACATAGCCAAGTTCCAAACTTCCGGTCCTCGGTTCACAACAGTAAAGACTGGAATATTTAAGGTAAATTGAAAATCATTATTATTTTTACACACACAAGCACGCACCCACACAGACGCACGCGCGCGCAATATACATATACTTATTTTTTTTTTAAAAAAAAAAGATTAAATCTGTTATGAGCATATTGTCCATATGCTTAATGTTATTTGCCATATTCTTGCTACTATATGGAGCCCTCCGTAACTCAATCACGGTCAACCCTGTCGGAAGTGTTTTTCTGGCCGTTATTTGGTCTTACCTGGCCGGGATTTCCACGCTTTCCTTGGAAATATCTATCCTCTTCAAGTATGGCTCATAAAAATAATAATAATAATAATAATAATAATAATAATAGATTTTATATATATATATATGGAGAGTTCTCTTGATTTCTCTCTATTTCTCGTCTAATTCAATCCAATTGTCTTAGTCCTACCATCAATGAAAACACCGATATTGGGCTGAAGAGCTCTAGTGGTGGTGACAAGTCAAACAACCTTTTCGAGACTCAGAATTCAGGTTTACCCAGCGTTATGCACGACAAAAGTTTCCAAGGAACCTTGAGCCATAACGCATTTGACGATCTGAAGCAGCAGCAACTACAGTACCAGCAAGCTACTCAAAAACACGCAAAAGGAGTCGGGGCAGCCAATAATGTCAACACAACAATCCTGACATCTCGAGCCGGTATTCCTCTAGAAGATCTCAGTTACTCAGACTCAAAAGACAATTACAAATCTCCACACTGGGCAGATCCAAAGCAAGATACCGAAGCCTGTAATCACATAGACGAGGCCTTGTTCTCTTCTCAAGTAGACCTCATGGATGCAAAGTAAAAACAAAAACAAAAAATGTTCATATACGCATTTTATATTATATTATATTATATTTTATCTACCTATTTATTATATTATATTATATTATATTATATTATTTATATATATATATATACTTTTTCTGTAAGTAAATAATTTTAACCCAATGCTAAATGACTTTCTAACTAATTATTCTTTGCTCTTTTTTATGTATAGTTTATAAAAGAAGGAAAAAACAACCGAATTTTGAAACAACGGCTTTTGATTCCCACAAATGTCACTAGACATATCAAGGCTATCAAGAAAGAAAGAGAGAGAGAGAGAGAAGAGGGCCAACCAAACCATTACATATCATACAACTCGAATCTTACGATTTATACCATCACAAACACCTCATACCTATTTTTCTGATCCTTTTATCGGCATTCTCCTTTTTCATATTTATTTATATATAGGTATATAATCTATTAACAAACAAACACACATAAAGAAAATACTCACTCCTAGTACACTACACTACCCACTATACTACGCATTCACACATTTACATCCTTTACTACACATACTATACACTTATTAAACAAAGCAAAAAAAAATCATACTCATTTTCAAATTATTTTCTCTTTCTCTTTCTATCTATCTATCTATTATAACCTGTACAGTTGAGTAAAAAAAAATTGCTAATATAAATACATAAATACCATACCAAAACCAAAACCAAAACCAAAACCAAAATGACACCAGATGCGTTGGTTTTTATGATTTGTAGTATGTTTTTTAAATTTATTTAAATAAATAAATAAATAAAAAATATTCAAGAAAATTAAATAATCTTACTCTTTCTTACAAGCAATCTCATTGAAATACCGCCTTTTTTTTAAAAAATAAAATAAAATCATATAACCAAAACCGAGAAAACGGGGCAAAATTGACTTTTTATTTTTATGTACATAATATATATTGGGCATATTGTCATTATATATGGCGGTGAACAGATCTTTATCAGGAAATGAGGTGGGGAGGCTATCCTTTCTTGATCCATAGATCTCTCCAAGTTCAAATACAGAAGACTTTGAGGACCCAAAAGGTTTATTATACAAATTATGAAATGCATTTGATAATTAAATGATATTCTGTTCTGTTCTGCATTGTATTTCATATCAAATTATCAGTCCATTATTTTTAACAACGATAATATATATATACCTATATATATATATATAAAGACATATGAAAAATACACGCTGATATTCAGCCTAAACATCATTTGTGCGCTATCAAGCTATGTATATCGCGTTGACTGAAAACAATAATCTCGACTTTCAATAATAACCAAAAAAAAAATAAGAATAATAAAATAGTAATTAGATATTTAATACAATACAATACAATACAATACAATACTCCGAATAATACTTTTTATTCCTTGCGTTTGTCATTGCCATATTTGAAATCTAGTACGCTCTTGCAATCTATACACCAAAAAAAAAACTCCAATCAAAGCAGCGGAAATATTACAGGAACAATAGGGAAATACTAAGAAAATATAAGCCTTGTAATTAAAAATCATATTGTTTTACATTACAACTGTTCACGATTAGTTTTAATATCCTTGCGCTTCAGTCTGCACATTACATATATATATTAACAATTATAATTATAATTTTAGTTGTAAGAATTCGTACTACATATGACAAATGAAAAGAAGACGACTGTAAATCTTGTGGAAGAATCTTGATACAAATCTAGTGAAAACGATTTGCTGGGTTAGGCCGATAATATGTGTAACGATTATATTAATTTTTTTTTTAATATACTCTTTTAAAAATAAAAATAATAACAAAATGCTAGATAACCACAGAACGTTATAAGAATACGTATGATGGAAAGTATATGAACCTTTCAAAAGAATTGTACAAATATTCATGCAAAATATCTAAAGCAATACCTATATATATATATATATTTCTTATATTTTACTGGCCCAATATCAACACTAATTAATATATATATATAGCAGCAGCAGCAGCATCAACAAGAAATGATGGCTGTTTTTTGTTATTATTTTTATTGAAGGTTGCTTAGATACATTTTGGGCATCATATTAAAATGGTATTATTTTATGTAACCATAAGGTTTAAAATCGGGATAGTAATGTGATGTGCACAGAAGATTGATTTTAGGACTAGCCTCAAAATGGGCGGAGATATGTATTTAATATATCATTTCTCTTATTGTAAAATACCAGTTTTTAAATATATGTGTAAAACAAATTATTATTATTTTTTTCTACAAGTAAATGAATGAATAAAGATATCAAAATCAAATACAATTTCTATCTCTATAGAAACATACTGCTAATAAACAACAAGACTAAAATCTAAAGCCCTTCTTTACCGTGCATCTTTACAAGGAAGCAGATCTAGCCGAGACTATACCTAGACTCCAAAAGATATATTGTCGTCTACAATCCGAGAATTTATAAGTTAACCTTAATTTAATTTCATATATACATTCCCTTTTTTTAAAAAAAAAAACAATTAGTTGCTATGTTTTAGAGAATTGTATATGCGAGTGTTAATTGCAGCAAAGAGAGTGCTTCTGAGCCACATTTTGGTATCCTTGCTATTCAAATAATAATAATAATAATAATAATAATACCAGATGGTAAATAGTGAGCAGTAAGCATAAGAGAATATATATATATATATATTTCTGTTATTAGAAGAACGCTATACGATTCTCTCCAAAAAGATAAAACATATATTATTTATCACAATTGACAAAACCAAAGAACATTGTTTCAGTCATACTGACAAGTTTTGTGGAGTGGATCCAAATATTGCCAAGGTCCTTGTGAAACTGCAATGAAGGGAAAAAATACATGCATCATCTTTAATGATCGTTAAAAATAAAAATAAAAATAAACTTAGTCCAAACACACAAACACATTAGTGAGAGTCTGCAAATATCCCAACAAGGTATAGTACAGACTTGCCATATAGTTGAATCGATCTAGTATCTCAAGCAAATCTTTATTGACAATATATTATACTCGGTTGGACTTTTGAGATAACCAAAATAAGGAAAACTGGATCTCGACAAACGCCAAGCTAAATACACAAGCCTAATATATATATATATATATGTGTGTGTGAGAGTGCTGGTGTATGAATAGTGGAGATGTACTTATTTTCTACTCTTTTTATGGAGGATTATACAAATTTTAGGACGACAGTTGCTCTATGATATAATATGGAGATTATAAACCTTGAGCCATGAGATTTGGATAGGGTCTATTAATGCCGTTCAATTCTCCAATGCAACTTTGAAATACAATTCTTTTGAGTTTTTATATAATTATTCCCTCAGACTTCTTTATAAAACTATCTTTATGCTAATTAAGCAGTGTTAAATAATAGTACAGAGTAAATAGTAATCAGAATAATTGCAATTTTTTTGAGTTAAAATTAAAGCTACATGATGCTCAATAGTATCAAAAAGTTACTCACAAATATTGAATATAATTAAAGGTAAGAGTGTGTATCCTGCTACGTTTGGCTTTAGAAATCCTTTATTTCTACCAGAGCTCCACAATTTATATCCTCTTATTGCTATGGGATTGAGGAGAAATACAATTTATATGTACAGTCGTCAGCTTACAAAAAAAAATTAAAGAAAAGTACTGGATTGAACATACCGCACCATAATAGCACCTTTAGAAACAACTATATTGAAAATATTGTAACACTAGATCCCAATGACTTTGCACCTTTTTATATATATATATGGAGAGGTGCCAGTTACTATGGTATATAAGAGTGACACATGTATGTTTAAGTAACACCGAATACCATCAATCTAGTATTGGTATTATTTTCAGCTGCGAAGATCTAAAGACGCAAGAGAGTACCTGTAGGAATAGATATATAACTAATGTGAGTATATAGTCCAAGACTTTTTCTTCTTCTTTGAATGCACTTGTTATGATAGCTAGTACAACTATACATGAGCTATTGATAAAATAATACATTTCTGAGATTTGAAAATCACTTAACAAAAGAGATACGACTTAAACGATACTAGAGAATCCAAGAAGAGAGAAATATATAAGAGCTTTAGTATGTAAAACAACGAGATATGTCTACTGATATAGTTAAAATCTAATGGCTCTAAAGAAATCCTTGATATACTTACTCCTTGTTCTTTATTGAATTTAGAATTCTGCATGATTCTGGTGTAGATAGGGTTTTCTTTTGTCCCTTTAATCACCCCTCTTTTGTATCTCCCCAGTACCTTTATTTTGTGTTCTTTGTCTCTGTAGCCTTCTCTCGTTCTCTCGATATCTTGCTAGATCAGAAGCACAATCGAGCCAATGATCAAAGACATACCATTATCGAAAAAAAAAACAGATCTCCAGGTTCACTCGGTGTATATATTTTGATATTTTTATAGTTCTTATCTACTATGCTTTACTGTTAATAATCTTTGAAAAATAAAAATAAAATGGCTTGTGCCTTTTAGTATAAATTCTCATTGTAGATTATTCACGTCAATGTACAGAAATATATAATAAAGAATATACGTAAATGAGAATAAGCTAAATAGTTTATTGTTCTTATTTTCTATATACTCTCTAAAGGTTCTGCAAATGTGTTCCAACATGAGCTTTCATGATAAAGGACAGCTTCCTAGATTTTTGTGGAAGTCCAGCATGAATCATAAAGTTCTCAAATACCCTAGGATTATGCGATTGATATCTCAATATGATATCCATATAATATACTACACAGCTCTGTATGTTGATTGGGATTTACAAGCTTACAAATTTGTACAAATATTATAGAAAATAACATTCTTTTCTATATATCAATTAATTCAACCATACAAATAATCTGTATTTCTATAAATAAATGAACATAATATCAGTAGATATATATATATATATATACAAACCAACAAGGGAATAAGAAAGGCGGTGATTTAGAGTTCAAGGGACGCACTGGTTAGATACTCTCCGTTAAAGATGAAGAAACCTTAGTACTAGCTATAGGATCACCAAAGACCAAGAAAAAAAAGGCTATATCTAGACAGTTTAATTGTGTAAATACTCTAGTGTACGCCAAATAATGGGTAGGTGACACTAGAAGATGTCTCTACACGTAATTAAAAGAAGGGAAAAAAATTATAGCTCAATTAAATTAAATCACGTTTATAGTTGTGTGTCTTGTGTATTCAATACCCCACAATTTGATCTGCACTTGTCCACCCGGACTAATTTTTTTCTTAATAGATAAAGAGGTAGTAATACTACAGTGTTATAGTTGCTATATCTTATATATCAACGTATGACTGGTATAAACCAGATATTCTCATCATTGGAAGTAAGCAACCGTAAGCTCTTCTCTTTGAGTTTGAAGCAAAAGAAGAGGAAGAAGTAGGTTGGTATTTATAAAGAATAGAATTACAAGACAATCTATCGATGCTTCTGTTGTTCCTGATATGTAAGTACAGAAAATATCCAGAGATCGTACTTGGCTACTCTATACTGAGATTTTTTGGTAGAAATGTGAAATGCCTTAGGGGAAAGCTACAGCCAAATCAATTTTTCTTTTATATTATCATTCAGGCCAAAACTATATATTTATTTAGGATCTGTGATTTTGGCGATCGGCTGATGAACGGTAAAAGTGATAGACGCTGCAAAAAGAAAAAAAAGAAAAAAAAGAAGCGAGAGAATAGAGTGAAACAGTCCAAATTAAGAAAGGGACCAAATCGTTCAGATCTTGATGGAGCCAGCTGGTCGTAACCATTGTCTGGCTGACCCAGAAATCGGATTTTTGGAAATCGGATTTTTTGTATGAAGCTTTCGATGAGCCTTGGATCAATAGATTCTGCAAGAATACTAGGATTAGTATAAAAAGGATGGAGTTTTTTTTTGCTGGTACTTCTACTTTTAATTCTCTACACATCAACAAGATCAATATACCCACAATGCAGCTCACATCTCTCCAACAACAACTTCTTTCAAAGTATCAACGCCAACAAACCAAAACATCAGTCAAGCAAGCCACAATCAAAACTCGTGCCGGTAAATCAAACCGGAATTCCATCACATCCTCTTTGGGAAACTGTGTCCGCAGCCTGGCTTCTGTCAGCAAAGCATTCAACCGCAACAAACCAAAAAACTCGGTCGTACCTTCTGCAGTGTCTTCCTCAAACATCTCTAGCCAAATGTGCTACATCAATGAATATTCTCGGTCAACATCTACCCCTCTCTCAGCCAAGTCTCTGGCTCTCGAGTCTCTCATCTTCGATCACCCCTCAGTAACCATCCATATCCAGCCTATTTCTTGCAGAGCATTCTAGAAAACCGAATCTTATTTATATTACACTGTATATATTGTATCATAATCTTGTATAAAACCCAAAAAAGTTTTCTACTTCAACTATTATTATTCTTCTTGAAAATTGTAGTCTTCAGCAAGACAATCATTAATATTTTTACCAAACCAAAAAAGTTATTTATTATTATTTGCTATTCATCTTAATAAAACCAAAGCAGCAAATATAATCTGTTGATATCCTATCAAAATCTCTGTCTCTGTCTTTTATAATGTTCTTATAATATTGCTTCATAAGAGCTTGCAAAACACAGCCACGTCAATCAATAAACCCTAGACAAGGGATTGCCAGTACGAAAACATTATGATGTTGCTGTGTGCTATTGATAGACTAAGCTCATTTTGATATTTATTTTTGAACAAAAAAAAACAAGCTTGAGGCAGAGCCTTGTTTCAGACCAATCATTCGACACTTAAACAACTATTAGTTTAGTGCCACGAGTGATACGCAGATAGTTAAGCAGGGGTGAAAGTAGCATGCATTCACATTTTTCTTTTGTTGTTGTAAAGGTTTATTTATTTTATTATTACCTTGTACACTACTATAAATAAATGAATAACCATGGAGAATAAAGACAATAAGGAAACCTTAGCAACCTTTGGTGTCTTATTGACATAGCAAGGATATAGAACAATAAGTCATGAAGAGACTAGAAACTAAGCCACACAGGCTATACTAGCTGCCAATAAACAGCCCAGTGTACCTTTTAGTGAGATAGATGGTTGAATAGATAGAGAGAAACACAGTCTATTTAATGTGTTCAATCTTTATTTAGGGTTTGATCAAGGCAAACTAAAATAAACAAATAGAAATCTTGGCACTTGGATGCAGGGTTATTTGGCTGGTTCTTTTGTTGTTTACTTTGGAAGAATTCTTTTGTATCTATTTGTGAATATATATATAGGTTGGCTTTTGGTTAATATTGCTGTATATAATCACATCTAATGTCAACCAAATCTCGACTCACTTTTGGAAATATTGTAATTACGGATCAACGGTTTAATACCCAAAATACACCAGTAAACCATAAGAATAAAAATTAAATATTATCCAACTCATGTCTTGATACATCTTTTCTCTCTCTTTTGGATTATATTCTATTGATCTATGATATGTATCTTGGTAACAATATTCTAAAATGGAATCTAATTATATACATACATAAATAAATAAATAAATAAATGGGTGCTTTATAAATCGTGCCCAATAACCTATTTTGTATCAATGGGTTAGCCTGCAAATAGTATAAAACAAGACAAGCGATCTGGCTGGTTTACTGCCTATATTGACTTGTAAAGCATCTTACTGCGATGCAAAAGACTGGTAGTCCAAAGACAAACCACATTTATTCCACTGCCACTTGAACATTTGTTCTTTCTTTCTCAAAAAAGGTAGTCAGTCTTTAGAGAAAAATTGATAGGACTTTTGGCGCACTTTTCTTTTTCTTTTACTTCAATGGGCAATCTTTATGTATATTTACAGGAGCATTATGAATGGAGAGGGGAGAGAGACAATTCTTATACTTGACGGAAAAATCATTCAGACTAAAAAGAACTTTACCGATCTCTGTAAATCCATAAAAATAACCCCAAAATATTCTTCAACTTTGACTTGAATGAGTGTGATGTTGTTATGGAAAACCTTAAGCTCAAAAAATCATCAAAACAAATGAGGCCTATTCTTGTTAAACATTTGCAACGCTTCATTCAGCCAGAGAAGTAATGGAATAAAGTACCATAAATACTAGTTCTCATTAATATCCATCGATACTTTACTATTACCGTATGTGATTGAACCAATTGTTTGTTTCTTTAAACTAAAATTAATATCATAATTTTCCTTTCTTTCTGATAAAAGTGTGTTAGAAACAGACAGAAAATAATGATAGATGTCTTGTAGTTCAAGTAGATTTCATTTATTTTTATTTACAAGTATCCATTTTTCAGAATTGGTATATAACTTTGCACAAGTACAATAGATACCACACTATTAAATGGGGTTGCCAGCAGAAAATATCTCATAGCCTGTTTGTTTGATTTTTTTTTGATCCACTCAAAGCATGTACTTTTACCTTGTGTATAATATTTATCTATGAGCGCAAGCTTATATTGTTATCAACCCAACATATAATATACATATACATATAGATATATATATATATATATCTTAAAATAGTGCAAATATTCATTCAAAATACAGTGGATTTGAGGGTCGTTACATGATGATCTTTGATCTATTAAAGCAAAGATGATATTAGCCAAAGTTCTTGAAAGTGCGTCTTTACCTGTATTCTTCAATGTTCTCATGTGTCAAAACAACTATAAAATCAGCCAGGTTAGAAAAATCAAATCTCAACACAGTAGCTCAATAGTCCCCAGCTTACCCAAATCACGCTTTGTCAGTGGATTTTTTGTCAACGGACAGATGTTTTTCTTGCCTTCCCAATTAGACAAGCATCGGACCCAACTATCATACCTGGCAATTTCAAAAAGAAAATGGTTAGGTATCGAACATTTTATCTAACAGAAAAAGCAGATGCTGTATTTACCCCATAACGTGTCCATATTTAGAAATTGCTGGTTTTACCACTTCATCAAGTGTAATTGGATCTACAAAGCCAGGAAGGGGGTTGTCCAGTTGCATATCGTCGCTATCCAACTCATCCTCTTCTTGATTCGTGTCTTCATTGTTTCCACTACTGTCATCCACTCTTGCGCGTGTCCGCCGTGTAGACCGTGTACTCAAAGTAAATGTACCAGAGTCATCATTATGATCCTCGAAATCGTGCTCGTCGTCATCTTCGTCACTATCCCAGCCACGAGTTCGTCTCTTTCTTTTCTTTATCTTCTTCTCTACAACCGGAGCTGCTCGACTACGAGATCCAGCAGGTGATGCTACCCGTCCAGTACCATGTTTGCTATGTGTTCTAAATGTCTTCTCTACTTGTCCGTCTGCATTTTTCTTGTCAAACAAGTAGTGTGCTTTACCCTTGGCATCCAGCACATAGTTTGGATCGTTTACTTCACCTGTCTCAACTAACAGGCGATAGAAGTTGGAGCACTATATATATGATTATTGTATATCAATGCGATTTGTTTTTGGTTAGTAAACCATTAAATATATAAATCCTTTTTTTTTTACCTGATAACCAACACGACCAGGGACCTTCATGGCAAAGATACCCCATTGACCATTTGCACCAAGTTCTTCTAGGCGCTCAAAAAACACCAAACGCTCATCCTCGGCCCACTGCCCCTTACGCTGTACCTCTCCGGGAGCATTGAAACGATAATAATAGCTGTTTGGGTTCTGATCAATCATTTGGTATGCACGGATACGAGCTTGAGACCATCCTTCAAATGCCTTTTCAGGATCGACTTGGTTCTCGTGAATTTGCTTAAGAGCTTCATCTAGACCTAAGCGGCCTCCCATGCGGTATTGTCTAAATAGAATTAGACGTATATCCTTTTCTTGTTTTATAATTAACCTTACTTTTTGGCAGTATCATTAGTTGTCTTTTTTAGGGTCTCTGAACGCTTTTTCAGCAATTGTTGATAGGCTGCCTGTTGTTCCTCACTCATCATATTATCTGTTGGCATGAAATACATTAATGAAATGTAAAAAGATACATATATATAGTTATATAGTAATACTTGCGTGAACTCTCTACTTCAGGTGCATGCTTAGTAGCAATCACACGTCTGATTCCAAGCAAGTAACCTATCTGAGTCAACCTGACAATAACCTCATCCTAAAAAAATGAACATATACATATATACATACGTATTGAGTGCTTAGCATAACTGTATAATAATTTTCTTTAAATAAGAAATGTATTCTTACTTCATCATGTCCACAATCAATAAGCATCTCTTCGATCTCTTCTGGTGTCAGATAATCATACATTTCTTTGATTTTCTTTGATTTTCTGTTTGTCTCTCTACGTTCATATTCGGCAAATTGACGCTGTTGAAGAGCTACTCGCTGTTGAATGATATCCATCTCGGATGCAGTTACTTCTTCGCCAAAGACATTCTCTTTTCGAACTGTTTCGATCTGGTCACTATATATCGTATTAGCGTAAGTTTCAGAAAAGTTATATAGATGTATCATAATTAAATATTACCCTTCTTCCATAGATAACTTAAAGGGCGCATGTTCAGATTCGATATAAACATCAAAAACCTGCTTCACTTTCCGAAGCGTTGCCTAAATATTGTCATGATTATGGTGAGATGATTATACTTTTTATATTAAAAAAAATAAAGATGATTACCAGCAATGGCTTGATCGTGACGCATGCAGGTACTGTACTATCTCTCCAGCTGCAACGGCCTTTGGAAAGAGCCTTACATGGTGCAGCATGATCTATAATCATTTACATCAGTAATCAAATCAATCTTTTTTTTTCCCATTTCCAGAAATATAAGTAACTGTCAGTTAGCCACTAACCTTCTTTAAGAAACTTGGAGACCAATCTGTCTTCTTCAGGTGTAGATTGTTTCTTAAGACGAACCATGCTGGGAGAGAGTATGAGCCACTAAGAGGTAACGTTCGACACGCGCGAATGTCTCGATTCTTTTTTAAAAAAAAATAAAATAAAACACGAAAATAAAAAAAAAATAAAGGATACGTGAGGAGGCACAGTCACACGTATTAAAGAGGGTGCAAAAGTATACCTTGGAGGACTATCTATACTTCATCAAGAGCTATGGTGGATGGATGGCATTCTCCAGTACGCATTTTTTAAATTCGGATGAAAGGTCGATAAGCAAGCATTCGGCAAAGAGGAGGCCGTGAATGCGACTATGTCTCTAAGATATCTCAAAATCGAGGCTGATTTATGCCCAAAGAAGGCAAGGAAGATAAAGGTGGTCAAGAACGTATCAGAAGAGACCCGCAAGATAAAATATAATTTAAAATCGTTCTTATTCTCAACACAACAAATAATAGCAAATAAATAAGCAGCCATGTACGCATTGAAGGCAGCTGATCCATTTGATACTTCATTAGAATCATTGTACATGTACTTACACATCCTACGGCTGTATGGTATATGGTATATGTAATAAAAGAAATGCACATTTATGCGTGATATTTTAAAATAGTGATGTTTTTTTTTCTAACGTGTATTATATATATATATATATATATATCTTAAACGGCTTGAGGCATTAGATGTCTCATCAGAACCCAATATGCTTCTTGTGGTTGATACAGATTTTCTAAAGTGTACTTTTTTTAAAAAAATAAATAAACTTAGTTTAGCAATATACTTGGTATGTTCAATCCACATGTAGAAGCTATGTGTCCTTATTTTGGATAAAAAAAAGTACAAGCAAATAGTATTGCAATAATACCCGTACAGAGGATTTAATGTTAATATCAAATCATAGATGGGTCTAGTGAACAACTAATGTCTTCTATAAGCATTGTCTAGTATCGTTAACAAGAACATTAACATACGTTTTTTCTTATGTAAATGCAACAACTTCTTGGTATCTATATATCAAGAAAACAAAAGGTATGGCTCATGATAATAAGTAGGGTCCATAAAAAGTCTTAAAATAAAGGAATTCAATATAATTAATACTAGCACAAAGAAATGTTAGATATGTAGCAAAGGATTAAATTTGTAATAAGTAACTAGTTCTTTCTGCTGTTAAATATATATTTATATTTCATAGAGTGAATCAATAAAGATGAGTAAAAAAATATAGATACTTTAACCTACCTTTGTATGTTTAATTAGTATAAGATGTCAAGTAAAGTTTTTAATAAACTTGAGTATAATAATATATAGAAATCAAAAGATATAGATGTTTATTCAATTGGCGGTACTTTCATCTCTATAGAGCCAGATATAAACATTTAAACAGTTGTTTAAGAAAATCAAGAACAAGCTCTAGTTTTTAGTATTTTATATGAAGCTTATAGAGTTAGAAAGCCTAAGAGAAATATAGAATGTGTAATACTTTTAATTAGATAGATTTTTATTAACAAAACCACTGATAACAATTTAAGCAACTTATCATCTAACTTGACTTTTTCTGCATAATACACTCACTACTATTGGTATGCTACTACTCTTTAGATAGTTACAAAGCATAATAAATATATTAGCTTTCTATTGCATTGCTCACACATATTATTGATAAGCTCAGTAATTATAACTTTTATAAATTTAGCAAGATGAATCTTGTTAAAATTTTATAGTTAACAAAAGATACTGCTGGTACTAATTATTATCTTGCGGTCCTTGATGAGTCTTTTTGTTAAGTAGAAAGAGATAAAGAAAATTAAAAAAAATAAATAAATAATTAGATGGTACTTATTGTTATTGGTTAATGTATGGAGTTGAGCTATATAATAATTACTACAAAGAAATAATGAAGTTAATATATGTTATCTCTATAAATTAATAAACCAATAATGACTATAGTAAAAAAAATCACTTCCATTATAAAGTAGCATAGAAAGATATACTCTTTATGTAGTCATATATACCACATATTAAGGCATTCACAGCGGTTTGTGTAAATTTAACCAAAGTGTAAACTTTGATAATTTATGGATATCTAAAGTCTATCAAGATCTACACATTTCCTAATTTTTCACACGTCGCTGTGGATACTGTTGACAAACTCGTGTTTCTATAGGATATGGTCGAATAAATAAAAACTATTGTTTCTGCTAAAGTCTGATGTAAAGTCATTATTTTTATGAGTAGTTCTTTACAAAATGAATAAAGTGTGTTGACTTGAATTTTTATGATGGGATCTTAAGCCCCCTTTTTTTTAAAAAAAAAAAAAAAAAAAAAAAAAAACATGGCAGAGAATTAATAATAAATTTGTCAGATAAAGAAATAAAAGAAAATCTTTAATACTAATAGCTATACTTTTGGAATATCTAAATATAAAAGCTCTTTACAAACAATCTTTTTTCCACTGGTATACATTCAACTCTTTTATTAATATACTTAACTTTTACTATCTAGTCTCTGTTAAATTTGTCTTTTTGATAATACAGATAATACATATTAAATATTTTGTATAGTGCTGTGATATATATATATATATATATATATATATTTAAGTATAAATATAAATACTTTATTTTATTTTATCTAAGTTATTATATACTATGGTTTTTGTATTTAAGAATAAAAGTAAATTATTATAAAACATTTTATAAAGTCCTTGTGAGAATCGAACTCACCCTCTTTTCTAATCAAGATCAGAAAAAAGGCACCAGTCATGTCAACCAAGGTTAACTAGACAAGGACCTAAATATATGTGTATATACAAGAATCCCAAAGGTATTAAAGGTGTTCCGAAGAACAAATTCAAAGACAAGGGCTTAATCTTCAGTGATAAATGATTACAGGATCATTTTACACCTTCGACACCCCGTCGATTTCATATAGTCTGTATGCGATTTTTTCCTTCCCAGTATTAACATTACATGTGACCCGATCAATCAAGACCAAGGTCAGCTAGTATAGTACTAGGCCCGAGAGCCAGGGTGTACAATTTGTACGCGGGAAGTATATTTTAGCATAGTCTAAAACCCAGAGATGCGACTTAAAGACGTTCGGTCACATCCTGACAAGCGTGACTCTGTAGCACTGGCCAAATCGACCGACTACAACGCTGCAGAGGCTTGAAGAAGAGAAAAATACTTGCGTACTTTACTTCTTGGTTCGTACAATACTAGTACCATCAGTAAAAAGAAAATGACCTGACATCACGACGGTCTGCTGCCGAACTCTGGTCCAACCTTTATGGTAAGGTTTGGTCCACCCCAGACATAAGTCTCTCGCACGGGCTGAGTGGCTTGAAAAAGAATGTCACAACAGCATACTCCATAGCTTTTGCTGCTGCGCTCACCAAACTTGTCTATTCTTCTTTCATCGCCCAACCTCAGATCTAGAATAGATGCCAAAGTTGCGGAAGAGCACTCCATGGCCTCACACGCAAGGGATGAGAAGGCTTCGATGGAAGGTTTCGGGCTAGTTCGTCTGCGGTGAACAGCGTTACTCCCAAGCCATGTCCACCCGCTGCCGATGCAGGGGGTTGGCCAAATGGGTGGTGGTATTTCATTGGCGCCTCTAGAAAGAAGCTCCCACCTAAAGACGCGCCCGAAGGCTCCCGTCTGTGACTACACCCCACTTGGCCGCGTCTATGTTTGACTTTGATATGTGGAGACTGGAGCCGAATCGGACAAGTTTGGTTTTTCTTTACTGAACGCTGAGAGGCCCATACCCTCTAGTTGGTTTGGTTGAGACCAGCTGTGGTGTAAACACCTCCGCTTCTGTCTCCAAGAGGCTTACATCAATCTCCCTCATTAGACCGAAATCTAACAGAAAAGACTGAATATGGTAATTGTATACCATGTGTAGGTGCATGCGCTTTTGGAATGTACATAACATAAAATGAATAAAGAAATAAGTACAAGAAATAAAGCATGGGCAGAAATGTAACATTAATGTACTTACCATCTCTACGACCACAGAGCGTGTACGCATCACACTACGAATCAAAAATTCATACACTACTATTATGAATAATAGCAGAAAAAAACAGCCTCAAGATAAATCTCATGGGTTTCTTAAACAGTATAAACCTTGTAAAAAGAAGAAGAAGAAAGAAAAATAAAAAAAAAAGAGTTAATGTAAAGTCAATGTTTTGGTAAAGCATTAAGTAATGCATAATGAGTAATGGTGCTGATTGAGTAAATTGGTTTTTTTATAACAAAAAAAACGCGTTTTACACGTAAAGATGTGTATAAAGAAGTGGTACTTACTTGATTGTTCCTAAGAATGGTGCATAGAGGAACAAGAGAAAAAACTAGACAGCGAGTTCCTCAGTACATATTTATCTCTTTCTCTCTTTATCTCTCTCCCTATAAAAAAATAAGGGGTCATTGGCGTTATTTGTTTTCAAAATAATACTATATCTATATTTAGTTAAGACTAAATTCCTACACATAGAAATTCCTTGACTTTCATATATCAAAGAGTTCTTATATTAAAGACCTCTTGATATTATTACATTACAGTCTATGTTAATAGTAAACATTTTCTATAATACAGTTAGTTAAAGACATACAACCACCAAGTTGCTTTAAAGAAACCTTGTAACCCATGATAAACTGTTTGTGTGTATGTGTATGTGTGTGTGTGTGGCTGTGTGGCTGTGTAATAAAATTTACATGACTAAATCATGCATATGTTTTATTTTAAAAATGATGAGAAAAGCGATTTACAGCTACTATCTTTATATGACCAAGCTATGCCTCATATCCCAAAAAGTACGTTTAATGAGACCATTCTAATAGATATAGGCTCTGAGATAAAAGAGTAAAGAGGAAGCAAATGTAGAGTTAAAGTTCAATATTGCTGACATGGACATATCGAAGCGGTCAAAAATGATCAAAATGAACATCCAATTAAATTAATTTTCGTCTGTCCTCCCCATTTTTTTTATTGATGTCCTTTAATATATAAAAGCGACTTTTCTTTTGTAAATATTTCTTTTAGAGTCACTTTTTTGAAATGTATTTTACATCTTCTATAATTTGTACATATTAGCAGTGTCCTGAAAAAATATTCTGAAAGTTTCTATATTTGACAACCTAAGAATAAAATGTATTTGGTATTTTATGTTATAGTGTCAAGAATTTCAAGAATTAGAATGAATTTGCTCGACTTATTTATTTGAATAAAATATTATATCTATATATATACAGAAAAAGGAACATATCTTGTGATATGTCATTATCTCATAAGATAAAAGTATAGTATTTGCCTAGTTTTTAAAAAATAGCTTCTTCTACCATAAAGTTTGGCTTTTTAACTCATGTACCATCAACCTTGTATCATTATCTTTTTGTTCACCCTATGCACCATTGTTAGAGGAGCCCCGGTAGACTATATGATAAAAGATGACATCCAGCTGTAAGAATCTTGCTTTCTATTACTATTATTACTTGGATTAAAATGAAGACTTGATCTCAAATAACTGGTATACATTAGTGCATATTCTAATCCTGTCTATTATATGGAAACAACAGACGCATCTGATCTGATCAGCTTTGACCCACACACAAATCGGTTTCCTATAGTATTTGCAATAGAATGATTGCAGAATACAGGTTAACGCAATAGCTGGTTGTTTTACAATTTATAACTTACACAAATACAGGCATTGTAATAGGAAAATTACAAACAATTAAGAAATGATAATATATTGCACATTAAACAATAATAAAAGACAAATACCAAAACCAATAATTCGCTTCTAGTATGGGCTTAACAATGATAAGTTATGTAAACCGAATCTCACGAATTATTCGTTTACTCTTGATATAAATTTAGTGGTCTGGCTTGCTTTTCATAGAGATAAAAGCTTAACAAGAATAAGCCCACTTTTTGATAGACTTCTTCAACACTTTAAAAAGAAGAAAGGAGCTTATAACAATAAGATTTCATCTTGGATAGTAGCAAAAATAACAAAAATAACAAAAAAAATATTTAATTCAATTCTAACAGATTTCTCAAAAGAGCAAAAAATAGACATATTGACTAGATAATAATCACTTTTGAACTTTTTCTAACATCATATGAGCAGACTGCGGCGCAAACTTCTTAATAGCTGAAATAAGATCAGGGAACCTCAGCGGCTTTGTTACGTATTCATCCATTCCTGCTTGTAAGCACTTCTCACGATCACCGATCATAGCATGTGCTGTAAGGGCAATGATAGGGATATGTCTGTTAGGACCAGAAGTACGTTCGATTCTTCGGATTGTCTGCGTAGCCTCAAATCCTCCCATGATTGGCATCTGTACATCCATCAAAATTAAGTCGAACTTCTGAGACTCAAATGCTTCAACAGCAAGTTTTCCGTTAGGTACAATCTTCACATTGTGTCCAAACTTCTCGAGAATGCGGACCGCAAGTTTCTGATTGACTACATTATCTTCGGCCAATAGAATCTCAAGAGGAACTGTCTTGGATGCATCATTCGGTAAAGCGGCAAGACTCTCGAGTGCAGGAAGAAGTGCATCAGCGAGATCGGGAACGTTTTTAGGTGAATTGATATAGGCAGTAATTCCAAGGTCAATACAGAGTTTCATGTTGAGTAGGTGTATTTCTGGTGCAATAAGAACAAGAGGAGTGTAACGCAAGTGAACAATTTCGCGAATTTTCTCTGCATGCGACATCTTATCAACAATTACTGTATCGAAGAATGGAGCATTCTTGTTACGGTTTGCGTTTGCATTTGCAACAGCTGTGGCTTCTTCAATTGAGGATACTTGGAAAGGCTTCAGACCAAGTTCAGTGATCTTATCGATCATACCAGTTTTGTCTTTCATACTGTCGAGGAATAAGATGTGTCTGTTCTGGAATCTGGCCATCTTCTTTACTACTTCGTCTTCACGCATAGCTACTTGCTTTAAGTTCATAGTAAAGTAGAATTCTGAGCCACGACCATACTTTGATTCAACCCACAAATCTCCACCCATGAGCTGGACCAAGTGTCTCGAAATAGATAAACCGAGGCCAGTACCTCCGTACTCACGTCTTTTATATAAATTTAATGAATAATAATAAAATGTTAGTTGTATGAATTCAATATACCAGTTATTTATTACTTACGTAGTACTTCCATCGGCTTGACAGAATGTATCGAAAATAACATTTAATTTGTCTTCCTGAATGCCAATACCAGTATCGCTAACACAGAGTTGAAGTATAACATGGTCTCCTTGTGTCTTCGTAACACGAGTACGCAATACAACTTCACCTTGAGTTGTGAACTTAACAGCATTTCCAATTAAGTTTGTGATAACTTGACGAAGTCTCAAGGGGTCACCAATCAACTGGTCGGGGATCGTACTTTCCATATTGTAAATCAGATCAAGTTTCTTTTGGTTTGCCTTAACTGCTAGTGTCTTAAGAACACTAAATACGGATGCTCGAAGGGAGAAAGGAATCGCCTCAATCATCATACGGCCAGCTTCAATCTTGGAAATATCCAAAATATCGTCAATAATTGTCAAGAGATTGTTCGCAAGACTTGAGACGATCATCAGATTCTCACGTTGCTGACGAGTCAATTCAGTCTCAAGGGTCAAGGTGGTCATGCCAATAATACCGTTCATAGGTGTACGAATTTCATGACTCATGTTAGCCAAAAACTCACTCTTTGATCTGTTGGCAAGTTCGGCTGCATCTCTTGCCAGCTGGTTCTTTTGGATCGCATCGCGTAAAGAGCCAACCATCTGATTGATCTTCGTTTTGAGCGAATCCATTTCACCAGAAGCTTCAACAGTAATCAATCGCGAAAAGTCATTTTCGGTTGCAGCAGCTGAGATTTGAGCAAATGCACGAACTTGGGTAGTCAAATTTGAGGCCATTGTGTTTACATTACTGGTAATCTCGCGCCAGGCACCTTCAACATCCATAACCTGGGCTTGTACTCCAAGTTTTCCTTCAGTACCTACTTCTCTGGCAACTCTTGTAACTTCGGATGCAAATGAGCTTAGTTGATCCACCATGGTATTGATCGTGTTCTTAAGTTCGGCAATTTCTCCGTGCACCTCAACTTCAATCTTCTTCGATAAATCACCCTGCGCCACTGCTTTACATACTGCTGCAATCGCTCTTAGCTGGTCTGTTAGATTACTGGCCATTAGGTTTACATTTTCAGTAAGGTCCTTCCAGGTACCGTCAACTTCTACAATAGTCGCTTGTCCACCAAGAATACCCTCAGTTCCAACTTCTCTCGCCACACGAGTAACCTCGGCGGCAAATATACGAAGCTGATCCACCATGCTATTAACAGTGTTCTTCAAATCAAGAATCTCTCCTCGTGTCTCGACATCAATCTTCTTTGATAGATCACCATTTGCTACCGCTTTGGTGACTTGTGCAATGGATCGCACCTGAGTGGTTAGATTGGCCGCCATTGTATTCACATTGTCTGTTAGGTCCATCCATGTACCAGCCACACCATTAACAATGGCCTGGCCTCCTAGTTTACCATCTGTACCGACTTCTCTTGCAACACGGGTAACCTCAGATGCAAACACACGTAGTTGGTCAACCATAGAGTTTACTGTGACCTTGAGATCTTGAATTTCTCCTCGTGTCTCGACATCGATCTTTTTCGATAGATCACCATTCGCAACGGCTTTTGTCACTTCAGCAATGGAACGGACTTGTGTAGTAAGATTAGCAGCCATCTGGTTGACGTTATCGGTCAAGTCCAGCCAGGTTCCAGCAACACCTTCAACCATGGCTTGGCCACCAAGTTTACCTTCGGTTCCTACTTCTTTAGAAACACGTGTAACTTCAGAGGCGAAGATACGGAGCTGGTCAACCATATTATTGACAATATTCTTTAGATCAAGAATTTCTCCGCCACTTTCTACCCCAATCTTTTTAGATAGATCGCCAAGTGCAACGGCTTTAGTGACTTCGGCAATGGATCGTACTTGATTCGTAAGATTCGCAGCCATAATATTGACATTGTCTGTCAAGTCCAACCACGTGCCGGCCACACCTTCCACCATAGCCTGGCCACCTAGCTTTCCTTCCGTTCCTACTTCTTTAGAGACACGCGTGACTTCTGAAGCAAAGATACGTAATTGATCCACCATGTTGTTAACTGTGTTTTTCAAGTCAAGAATTTCTCCTCGCGTCTCAACTTCAATCTTTTTAGAGAGATCTCCTAAGGCCACGGCCTTAGTAACAAGGGCAATTGATCGTACTTGGGTTGTTAGATTGGCGGCCATTGTGTTGACATTGTCTGTAAGGTCCATCCAAGTACCGGCCACACCATCAACCATGGCTTGACCACCAAGTTTACCCTCCGTTCCGACTTCTTTTGACACACGGGTAACTTCTGCTGCAAATACCCTCAATTGATCTACCATGTTATTCACCGTATTCTTAAGATCAAGAATTTCACCACGAGTTTCAACTTCAATTTTCTTCGATAGATCTCCATTTGCGACAGCTTTAGTGACTTGTGCAATTGAGCGTACTTGTGTTGTAAGATTGGCTGCCATTGTGTTAACGTTGTCGGTAAGATCCATCCAGGTACCAGCAACTCCATCAACCATTGCTTGTCCACCTAGCTTGCCATCTGTGCCGACTTCCTTTGATACACGAGTGACCTCAGAAGCGAATATACGGAGTTGATCCACCATATTGTTGACAATATTCTTTAGATCCAGAATTTCTCCACCACTCTCAACCTCGATCTTCTTAGAAAGATCACCTAACGCCACAGCCTTGGTTACTTCGGCAATGGATCGCACTTGACTAGTTAGATTGGCAGCCATTTGGTTTACATTGTCAGTTAGGTCCAACCAGGTACCGGCCACACCTTCAACCATAGCTTGTCCACCCAGTTTGCCTTCTGTTCCTACTTCTTTCGACACACGAGTGACTTCAGAGGCAAAGATACGAAGCTGATCCACCATGTTATTGACGATATTCTTTAGATCCAAAATTTCTCCACCACTCTCGACTTCAATCTTCTTGGAAAGATCACCTAGAGCTACAGCCTTAGTAACCTCGGCAATGGAACGCACTTGACTTGTTAGGTTGGCGGCCATCTGGTTGACATTGTCAGTTAAGTCCAGCCAGGTACCAGCGACTCCCTCAACCATGGCCTGGCCACCTAGTTTACCCTCGGTACCGACTTCCTTTGATACACGAGTTACTTCAGAGGCAAAAATACGTAGCTGGTCCACCATATTGTTTACAATGTTCTTTAGATCTAGGATTTCTCCGCCACTCTCAACATCGATTTTTTTAGATAAGTCACCTAGTGCAACAGCCTTAGTAACCTCGGCAATGGAACGCACTTGATTTGTTAGATTGGCAGCCATCTGGTTGACATTGTCAGTGAGGTCAAGCCATGTGCCAGCTACACCTTCAACCTTTGCTTGTCCTCCTAGCTTTCCCTCAGTACCGACTTCTTTAGATACACGAGTGACTTCGGAGGCAAAAATACGTAGCTGATCCACCATGTTGTTGACGATATTCTTTAGGTCCAAGATCTCTCCGCCACTCTCTACTTCAATCTTCTTGGAAAGATCACCTAGAGCCACAGCCTTGGTAACTTCGGCAATCGAACGCACTTGACTTGTTAGGTTGGCGGCCATCTGGTTGACATTGTCAGTTAAGTCCAGCCAGGTACCAGCGACTCCCTCAACCATGGCCTGGCCACCTAGTTTACCCTCGGTACCGACTTCCTTTGATACACGAGTTACTTCAGAGGCAAAGATACGAAGCTGATCCACCATGTTATTGACAATATTCTTTAGATCCAGAATTTCTCCACCGCTCTCGACTTCAATCTTCTTCGATAGATCACCTAGGGCTACAGCCTTGGTAACTTCGGCAATAGAACGCACTTGACTTGTTAGATTGGCAGCCATTTGGTTTACATTGTCAGTTAGGTCCAACCAGGTACCGGCCACACCTTCAACCATAGCTTGTCCACCTAGTTTGCCTTCTGTTCCTACTTCTTTCGACACACGAGTGACTTCAGAGGCAAAGATACGTAGCTGGTCCACCATGTTATTGACGATGTTCTTTAGATCCAAGATTTCGCCGCCACTTTCGACCTCAATCTTCTTTGATAGATCACCTAGAGCCACCGCCTTTGTAACTTCAGCAATGGATCTGACCTGATTTGTTAGATTGGCAGCCATCTGGTTGACATTGTCTGTCAGGTCTAACCAGGTGCCCGCAACACCTTCAACCATTGCCTGACCACCAAGTTTACCCTCCGTGCCAACTTCCTTCGATACACGAGTGACTTCAGAAGCAAAAATACGTAGCTGATCCACCATGTTATTGACGATATTCTTTAGGTCCAAGATCTCTCCGCCACTCTCTACTTCAATCTTCTTGGAAAGATCACCTAGAGCCACAGCCTTGGTAACTTCCGCAATCGAGCGTACTTGACTTGTTAGGTTGGCAGCCATCTGGTTGACATTGTCTGTCAGATCCAACCATGTACCAGCGACTCCTTCAACCATAGCTTGACCACCTAGTTTTCCCTCAGTTCCTACTTCCTTAGACACACGAGTGACTTCAGAGGCAAAGATACGAAGCTGATCCACCATGTTATTGACAATATTCTTTAGATCCAGAATTTCTCCACCGCTCTCGACTTCAATCTTCTTCGATAGATCACCTAGAGCGACAGCCTTGGTAACTTCCGCAATCGAGCGTACTTGACTTGTTAGATTGGCAGCCATTTGGTTTACATTGTCCGTCAAGTCCAACCAGGTACCAGCAACACCTTCAACCATAGCTTGCCCGCCTAGTTTTCCTTCTGTTCCGACTTCTTTAGATACACGAGTGACTTCAGAGGCAAAAATACGGAGCTGATCCACCATGTTATTGACAATGTTCTTTAGATCCAGAATTTCGCCACCACTCTCTACTTCAATCTTCTTTGATAGATCACCTAGAGCCACAGCTTTGGTAACTTCGGCAATGGAGCGCACTTGACTTGTCAAATTGGCAGCCATCTGATTTACATTGTCGGTGAGGTTGAGCCATGTACCGGCCACACCTTCAACCATTGCCTGACCACCAAGTTTACCCTCTGTACCGACTTCCTTGGATACACGAGTGACTTCAGAAGCAAAAATACGTAGCTGATCCACCATGTTGTTGACAATATTCTTTAGATCCAGAATTTCTCCACCACTCTCAACCTCGATCTTCTTAGAAAGATCACCTAACGCCACAGCCTTGGTTACTTCGGCAATGGATCGCACTTGATTTGTTAGATTAGCGGCCATCTGGTTTACGTTGTCAGTTAGGTCCAGCCAGGTACCAGCCACACCTTCCACCATGGCTTGACCGCCTAGTTTTCCCTCAGTTCCTACTTCCTTTGATACACGAGTGACCTCAGAAGCGAATATACGGAGTTGATCCACCATATTGTTGACAATATTCTTTAGATCCAGAATTTCTCCACCACTCTCAACCTCGATCTTCTTAGAAAGATCACCTAATGCCACAGCCTTGGTTACTTCGGCAATGGATCGCACTTGACTAGTTAGATTGGCAGCCATTTGGTTTACATTGTCAGTTAGGTCCAACCAGGTACCGGCCACACCTTCAACCATAGCTTGTCCACCCAGTTTGCCTTCTGTTCCTACTTCTTTCGACACACGAGTGACTTCAGAGGCAAAAATACGGAGCTGATCCACCATGTTATTGACAATGTTCTTTAGATCCAAGATTTCGCCACCACTCTCGACTTCAATTTTTTTGGATAGATCTCCAAGAGCTACAGCCTTGGTTACTTCGGCAATGGATCGTACTTGACTCGTTAGATTTGCAGCCATCTGGTTGACATTGTCAGTTAAGTCCAGCCAGGTACCAGCGACTCCCTCAACCATGGCCTGGCCACCTAGTTTACCCTCGGTACCGACTTCCTTTGATACACGAGTGACTTCGGAGGCAAAGATACGAAGCTGATCCACCATGTTATTGACGATATTTTTTAGATCCAGAATTTCGCCACCACTCTCTACTTCAATCTTCTTTGATAGATCGCCTAGAGCCACAGCCTTGGTGACTTCAGCGATTGATCTGACCTGGCTAGTGAGATTTGCGGCCATTTGGTTCACGTTATCGGTCAAGTCCAGCCAAGTACCGGCAACACCTTCGACCATAGCCTGGCCACCTAGTTTACCTTCGGTACCGACTTCCTTTGATACACGAGTGACTTCAGAGGCAAAAATACGTAGCTGGTCCACCATATTATTGACAATATTTTTTAGATCTAAAATTTCTCCGCCACTCTCTACTTCGATCTTCTTTGATAGATCTCCTAGAGCCACAGCCTTGGTAACTTCAGCGATTGATCTGACTTGGTTTGTTAGATTTGCAGCCATCTGGTTGACATTGTCTGTCAGATCTAACCAGGTACCAGCAACTCCTTCAACCATAGCTTGACCACCTAGTTTTCCCTCAGTTCCTACTTCCTTAGACACACGAGTGACTTCAGAGGCAAAGATACGAAGCTGATCCACCATGTTATTGACAATATTCTTTAGATCCAGAATTTCTCCACCGCTCTCGACTTCAATCTTCTTCGATAGATCACCTAGAGCGACAGCCTTTGTAACTTCCGCGATTGATCTGACCTGACTAGTTAGATTTGCAGCCATTTGGTTTACATTGTCCGTCAAGTCCAACCAGGTACCAGCAACACCTTCAACCATAGCTTGCCCGCCTAATTTTCCTTCTGTTCCGACTTCTTTCGACACGCGAGTGACTTCAGAAGCGAAGATACGGAGCTGGTCAACCATGTTATTGACAATGTTCTTTAGATCCAGAATTTCGCCACCACTCTCTACTTCAATCTTCTTTGATAGATCGCCTAGAGCGACAGCCTTGGTTACTTCGGCAATGGATCGTACTTGACTAGTTAGATTGGCAGCCATTTGGTTTACATTGTCAGTTAGATCCAACCAGGTACCGGCCACACCTTCGACCATGGCTTGTCCTCCTAGTTTGCCTTCGGTGCCGACTTCTTTAGATACACGAGTGACTTCAGAGGCAAAAATACGGAGCTGATCCACCATGTTATTGACAATGTTCTTTAGATCCAAGATTTCTCCACCACTCTCTACTTCGATCTTTTTCGATAGATCGCCTAGAGCCACAGCTTTGGTAACCTCGGCAATGGAACGTACTTGACTTGTCAAATTAGCAGCCATCTGGTTGACATTGTCCGTAAGGTTAAGCCATGTGCCGGCAACACCTTCGACCATGGCTTGACCACCAAGTTTACCCTCTGTACCGACTTCCTTGGATACACGAGTGACTTCAGAAGCGAAGATACGTAGCTGATCCACCATGTTATTGACAATGTTTTTTAAATCCAAGATTTCTCCACCACTCTCAACCTCAATCTTCTTCGATAGATCACCTAGAGCGACAGCCTTGGTTACTTCGGCAATGGATCGTACTTGACTCGTTAGATTTGCAGCCATTTGGTTTACATTATCGGTCAGGTCCAACCAGGTACCAGCAACACCTTCAACCATGGCTTGGCCGCCTAGTTTGCCTTCTGTTCCGACTTCTTTCGACACGCGAGTGACTTCAGAAGCGAAGATACGTAGCTGGTCAACCATGTTGTTGACAATATTCTTTAGATCCAGAATTTCTCCACCACTCTCTACTTCGATCTTCTTTGATAGATCACCAAGAGCTACAGCCTTTGTAACTTCGGCAATAGATCGAACTTGATTTGTTAGATTTGCAGCCATCTGGTTGACGTTATCAGTTAGGTCCAACCAAGTGCCAGCAACTCCTTCGACCATAGCTTGACCGCCTAGTTTTCCCTCAGTTCCTACTTCCTTAGACACACGAGTGACTTCCGAAGCAAAGATACGAAGCTGATCCACCATGTTATTGACAATATTCTTTAGATCCAGAATTTCTCCACCACTCTCGACTTCAATCTTCTTTGATAGGTCGCCTAGAGCCACAGCCTTGGTAACCTCGGCAATTGATCGCACTTGGCTCGTTAGATTAGCCGCCATGATGTTGACATTATCGGTTAGCTCATGCCAGGTACCAGCCACCCCTTCGACCTTTGCCTGACCGCCTAGTTTTCCTTCTGTTCCTACTTCTTTGGACACGCGAGTAACTTCGGAAGCGAAAACACGAAGCTGATCCACCATGCTGTTCACGATGTTCTTTAGGTCCAAGATTTCGCCTCCACTCTCAACCTCGATTTTCTTTGATAGATCACCTAGTGCTACTGCCTTTGTCACTTCAGCAATTGAGCGCACCTGGGTAGTAAGATTTGCTGCCATGTGATTGACATTATCTGTTAGATCCATCCATGTTCCTCCTACGTTTGGAACTACAGCTTGGCCACCTTTATGCAAAAAAATACAATAAAGAATTAGCATAGTAAGTATATATTAAAATAAAAGTGTATACCAATAAGACATGCGATATTTTTGATATGATTGAAGTATCAAATACTTTAAGTGTATTTGTACTATTACTAGTTTTTATTTACCTAGTAAGCCTTCTGTACCGACTTCTTTGGCTACTCTTGTTACTTCGGCTGCAAAAACGTTTAGTTGGTCCACCATGCTATTGACTGTGTTTTTTAGTTCCTGGATTTCGCCGCGAGTTTCGACTTCAATCTTCTTTGATAGATCACCATTAGCGACCGACTTGGTGACTTCGGCAATCGATCGCACTTGAGTTGTTAGATTGGCGGCCATCTGATTGACGTTATCTGTCAAATCCATCCAAGTGCCGTCAACGTTTGGTACCAGTGCTTGGCCGCCTAGTTTTCCATCTGTTCCGACTTCTTTTGCTACGCGTGTTACCTCAGCCGCAAAGACATTTAGTTGATCTACCATGTTGTTGACCGTATTCTTTAGATCTAGAATTTCTCCTCGTGTTTCAACATCGATCTTCTTTGATAGATCACCCTTTGCGACGGCCTTTGTTACTTCGGCAATTGATCGCACTTGAGTTGTTAAATTTGCAGCCATCGTGTTCACATTATCTGTCAGGTCTTTCCAGGTTCCGCTCACACTGGGCACAATTGCTTCACCACCAAGTTTTCCTTCTGTGCCAACTTCACGCGCCACTCTTGTGACTTCTGAAGCAAATACACGCAGTTGATCTACCATGTTGTTGACTGTGTCCTTAAGATCAGATATTTCTCCACTCACGTCGACCATGATTTTTTTCGAGAGGTCTCCTGTGGCTACTGCCTTTGTGACGACGGCGATTGATCGTACTTGAGTTGTGAGGTTTGTGGCCATGGTGTTCACGTTCTCGGTCAGATCCTTCCATGTACCGTCTACATTTGGAACTACAGCCTGGCCACCGAGCTTGCCTTCGGTACCGACTTCCTTGGCGACTCTGGTGACTTCAGTAGAAAAGACACGCAATTGATCAACCATGTTATTGACCGTGTTTTTTAGGTCCAGGATCTCTCCTCGTGTTTCAACCTCGATTTTTTTCGATAGATCACCCTTTGCAACTGCCATCGTGACTTCGGCAATCGATCGCACTTGGGTGGTTAGATTTGCGGCCATTGTATTTACATTGTCTGTCAAATCTTTCCAGGCACCTCCGACATCTTTGACATGCGCTTGACCGCCTAGTTTTCCTTCTTCGCCGACTTCTAGTGAAACTCGCCGCACTTCTGCAGAAAATAGCGTCAATTGATCAACCTAAGGGCAGAAAAAAAAACAAACAAATTCATGTACATATATGTATATGTATATGTATGTGTATGTGTAAGTGTAAGTGTAATTGTAGGTAAATATGTACATGTACTTGTTTATGTATAGTAATTGTAATTATAAAAGTGAAAAAAAAATAAGTTGGATCAGAAGATTCAAAACTGTGGAACCATAGTTTTTTTCCAGCCAAAAGTTTGATTGTTATTATTTTGCATTTTGTTTAGTTTCTTACCATTCGATTCATAGTCGTGATGAGTTCAAGTACTTCTCCTTGTGCACTTGCGGTTACTTTTTTACTCAAATCACCACAAGCAACGGCTTTTGCAACAGATGCAATGTCTCGTACTTGGTTCGTGATTTTAAAAGCCATCATGTTGACATTGTCTGTCAAGTCTTTCCATGTTCCACCTACATCCTTTACAATAGCTTGTCCTCCTAATATTCCTTGTGTACCTACTTCAAGTGAAACGCGTGTCACCTCTGTTGCAAATATGGATAACTGCATAATGAAAATAAAAAATCAAATCAAAAATAGTTAGCCTTTATTTCTTTTTTGCTCTTCCTCTTTATTTTATTTATTTTGCTATGTATATTTGATTTACAAAAATCAAATAAGCTATGTACATATATAATCTTCGTCCAGTAACCAAGCCCCCTCCTCTCTCACATTGTATACATATACATTTTTTGTTTAAATAAAATAAAAAATAATTGCATTTATTATATACATTTAATTACTTAATTCACTAATTAATTCTTGAACTATTTATCAAACTACCTTATTAGACTGTTTGACTATTTACTTTCTTTAAAAAAAATTATTTGTTTATTTTACCTGATCGACCATTGTATTGATCGTATTTTTTAGATCAAGCATCTCTCCCCGGACTTCTACTGTCACCTTCTTTGTCAAATCACCTTTGGCAACACTCTTTGAAACCTTTGCAATGTCTCGGACTTGGTTCGTCAAATTTGCTGCCATAGTGTTAACGTTGTCTGTCAATTCTTTCCAAATTCCGTCTGCGGCTTCAACCTTGGCTTGAGCGCCAAGTTTTCCTTCTGTTCCGACTTCGTGAGCTACCCGAGATACTTCAGAAGCAAACATGTTGAGTTGATTGACTATATATATATATATATATATATAATAGATAATTCATAAAAGATACATAGAGAGAGAAAGAGTTTTGGTTAGTGATTTTACACAATGTTTTTTTAATAATAATAAAAAACAATTACTAGAATTGAATCAAGTTGAATTGAACCGAATTGAATCAAAATGAACCCAATTGAACTAAAATAATACTAATCGATTTGATTTGAATTAAATTAAAATGAATTGAATTAAATAAAAAAAAGTAAGAAAAAGGAAATTGAATTGAATAATATACATGTAATAGTATTATTGTTTTTGGTTAGTTCTCTCACCCATAGTGTTAAACGTGTTCTTTAAAAGGAGCGTTTCACCCTTTACAGGGACCGTCATCGTTTTGCTTAGATCGCCTCGAGCAATTGCTGTCGACACATCCGCAATATCGCGTACTTGTTCCAAGTGGCTGGTTGTCATTGTGTTTAAGTTTACAACAAAGTTGTGCCAGGCACCGTTACATTCTTTTTCGCAGCGTGCTTGAACACCGAGTTTTCCTTTGACGGCTGTCTCGTGAGCAACGTAAATAACTTCGTCAGCGATAAGTTTTAGGTGATCAGCCATGGCATTGACCGCATTTTTGAGAGTGTTGATTGGAGCAGAGGGTAAGGTTGGTCGGGTGACGCAGCGTTCGTGGTTGCAGGTGATTCTTTTGTCGAGGATGCCGGCGAAAATTGCAGATGACACACTCACGGCCTGGAGGACGCAATCGGGACAAACGATGTTATCTGGACTGGTCTGGTTAGTGGCGGCAGGGAAGGGAACCAAAGGGGGTGAGAGGGCATTAAAGTAGACAGGGTAAGCGGTAGCATGCGAGGCAACAGTGAAAGGAGGAGTAGGCATAGATGACGTGGTTAAACCACTGGCAATTGGGGCAATAGCAGAGTAGATGTCAGAAGTAGTAGCAGTGGCAGGGGCAGGGGCTGTATAGATAAAATGTGTAATTATATATATATAAAGCAAAATAAAGGTTAGGGATTTATTCAATATATACATACATACGTACGTACGTATATATGCATATACGCATATAAGCATATACAAAAAAAAGCGCGTCAAAGAATAAATAAAAATAAAGAATGGAAGAAAAGGCATAGATATATATCTATCTAGTTTGTTTTAGTTGGAGGGGATTTTAACTTGCCAAAGTATCCGATTCCGGGTGAAGTAGTTGGCAGGGTGAGTAATTGGTTGTACGAGGATTGCATTTGTTCGAGCATAGATGTGTTTTGGACGGTTGAGATTCCTTCTTCGGATGTGGCATTGTTGTCGTGGGTTTCTTGTCGATTTAGGTCTGGCGGAGGCGGATCCGTATCTTCTTCTGGATCATAGTGTGATGTCAGCATCTGATGTTGTTGTTGAATTGCAATACGGTATCTAAGGTTTTCTGTTTCGAGATCCAGTTGGCGTTGCGCAATTTGTTTTAGAGTACTGTCTAAGAATGTTGCCATCTCTACATGAACTGGATCGAGGGTATCAAGAGTTTCTTTTGTCAATCTGCTTTTGAGACATGCTTCAATGTCTCGTTGTTCCATGCTCTCGACCATAGATTTGATGTAATTAAGAATTGATGCGGTCATTGTGTTTGTGTGAGATTCAGCTTCTTTTAGTTTAGATTCTTCGTTGTCGTCTTTCTCTTTCTCTTCTTTGCTTTCTTTTTCTTTGTTTTTGCCTTGCTCTTCTTGGGCTAGTTTGGTCTCCTGAGAGGTCTCTTGATGAGTCTCTTGATGAGTCTCTTGATTGTCTTGAGATGAGTTTGTAACCGTTGGGCCAGCACAAGTAGGTTGGTTGGTAGTTTCTGTTGAGTTTACAGGCATAGCAGAATCTTGAGACAAGGGGGGATTATTCGTGTCGTCTGTGGGGACTGGCGTAGTTGGAGTGGTTGGTGCGGTGGTATTGGTAGTGGTATTGAGTGTGGATGAGGGTGCGGGCGCGGGTGTGGGTGTGGAGGTGGATGTAGAGTTGGAGGTGGAGCCGTCGCTCTTGCAGTGTCTCTTACTGTTGAGTGAGGGATTGCTATTGTCTGAGAAGCGTTTCATCACCTCTCGGGGAAAGAAAAGAATTGGTGTACAAAGAAAGTAAAAGCACTTGAAAATAACAAGAAAAAAAAAAGAAAAAAGGGGTGCTTTACTCTCTTGGGAAAATGGGGAACACGACGGCTTTTTTTTATATATATAATATAATATATTTATTTGGGTTGAATTGGGTTGTAGGTGGTGTAAAAAGGAAAAGTCTATTAATTTATTTATTTATTTTTTTGGATTTATTTTTTTGTAATTTTTTTGTATGTGTATTTGTTGTTAGAGTAAGATATATGTATTTCAATAAAGTGAAATTCTATGCAGGAGATCAAGTCAATATATATATGTGTCTGTAAGAGATATAGAGATAGGTAAAGAAGAAATAAGAGGGGCAAGGAGAAAGAGAAGAAGAAAAGAAGAGAGAAAGAAAGAGATAAAAAAAAACAAAGTTGAAAGGAGAGGCTTTTGTGTGTGTGTGTGTGTGTGTGTGTGTGTGTGTGTGTTTGTAGTGTTTGTAGTATTTGTAGTGTCTGTAGTGTTTTGGAAATGAAAATTATATTCCGGTTGTTTATACTCTATTTTTCTGCTTTCTAATAACCAAACTAAGCAATAACTACAAAATTGTAAGTATTGGAGTGGAGTAGGAATACCACATCGAGTTTATTAAACATTTGTGGAAGGGTCGGCAGATTGACAGATGTAACATGTCTTCATGATTGGTCAAGGACATTTATTCATTTATCTCTCTCTGTCTTTCTTTTGGAGACATGTACAGATCCTATCATTCCTACTCACAATATATTAAAATATAAAAGACGCCCACCCATATATATAGATAGATAGATAGATAGATAGACAGGCAAAGAAAGAGAAAGAAATGGAAGCTTCTTTGGATCTACACTGATATTTTCATGTATATGCGTATATGCGTATATGCGTATGTGCGTTTGTGCGTTTGTGCGTTTGTGCGTAAGTATTAGCATCATCATTTTCTTTTCTTTTCTTGTCTTAATAAATAAATTGATTTAAATGAGATAATTGTACTTTAAGCCGCACAAGTTACATGACAACCACTTTATATGTTCAAATAAAGGAGGATTTGCTTCTTAACCCCATCCTTACTTTTACTATTACTCTTTTTCTTTAAAAAAAATACTACTACTACTACTACTACTACTACTACTACTAATAATAATAATAAAAATAGTCTAATGAATGCATATATTTAGAGTTCATTAAAAATAAACTATTTAGTTTTTAATTATTATTTAAAAGGATGAGTAAAAAAAAAGTAAAATTAAATAAATATAAATCAGTAACAGCAATAGTAAGTATTTATATTAATATTAGTATCAGTGTTAGTATTAGTGTTAGTGTCAGCGTTAGTAATCAGTAGCAGCAACTGTCGCAGCAACAGCAAAATAGTATATCTTTCATTAGTAAGTAACGTATATATATATAAATAAATATTTAGCATTTTGGATAATAATTCATCCTCCAGCTGCACAACCCAATCAAGTGTTTTGTATGTCTTCCACCGTCACTTGGTATGGAAACTCGCAAGTGATAATAACATTGTGGTCCACATGATAGGCAAGTTCACCATGGATACACAGTAGATATCCCTTCTCACTTTTGTATCTGGTTGTATATATGTATGTAATATAAAATAAAATAGGTTTAGCTTACTATATATGTACATGTATAAAAATATACATATTTATATATGTGTCTGTATATATTATTGAGATCGAATGGTGCGTCATAGCAACCATTTGTTTAAATGAATATATAATATAAATATATACATAAAGACAGTTATAATAGAAATAATACTTTAAATAAAACAGTATATATAAATATTTTAGTGCAAGATATTGTGACTCCGATTTTATATTATAAAGTCTATCGATATCGTGTTTTCTGTCTTTTTATGTATATTTTCTGCTTGAGCAGAAAACTTAAATTGACAATCAAAGACGATTTATTATTAAAAGTTACATAGATACATAGATACATAGATACAAATATTCAGAACAATCAATTACCTCCAAGTTATAGAATTGTGTTTCCATGGAAAACAGAATTAAAGATTTATAGGATCCTGATCTCTGTATTTATATAAATATATTCATATCCAGTCTTCGCAAATCTATAAATGGCAAGTTTCTCCTTGTTTTTCTTTTTGCCATTGGCCAAGACTAGAACTATCAAATATATAAACGATTCTTGTTTGATGTCGAATCTTCCTCTTTTGGTGTATTCCTTTGGGCTGTAACATTACACACGCACACGCACACGCACACGCACACGCACAACCACAAGTACAAGTACAAGTACACACACACACACACACGCAAACACACACACAAACGATAAACGCACAAAAACGATAAACACATAAACACAAAAGATAAAAGCACACACGCACACACGCACACACGCACACACGCACACACGCACACACGCACATACATACATACATACATACATACATACATACATACATACATACATACATCATACATAAACTACAATACAATACAATACAATACAATACAATACACTATACCACACAAGCACGAAAATGTCAAAATGCTTTGTATTTACCAGATCAGTGTTTCAAAAACAACGTGAAACGGACCAAGTATCAAGTATTTCTCATATTTTTGATCTAATGGTAATATGGTTTGTATTACTTTCATCATAGTCATCATATTACTATAATAATCATTATTATTAATATTACTTTTAAAAAAAAGTAACATAAAAAACTAATGTGATATACATAGTACAAGCGATTAGGAGAATCTAAAGAGACTATAATATATTCAATACTTATTACTATATCAGCTGTAATATGTATTGTATTGGAAATTCTGATCACATCATCTAATGGGAATGAGATCAATTCAATCTTGGAATCATATAATCAGTTTGATCATCATCATGATTCCAACCCAACCTCAGATATTAGTCATGTTTACACAGACAATGCTTATGTGTCCATACTTGTCAACCTTCGTCGACAAAAGGATAAAAATATATTTCTTATCTTGTTTCAATTGTTTCAAACTTATCTAGGAATTGATGCAGTAAGTCTATAAATCCAACTAATCAATCAAAATAACTTATCAAACACTTGATTGGTATCTTATTGTTATTATTATTATTGTTATTATTATTATTATTTTATCTGTAATAGATTGTACGCCAAAACACCATTCAATTGATGGCCCATACTGTATTCCAATTCATTTGTCTTTTGTTTAGTTTACTGCAATTTGTAGAGACACGAAAATGGTAAGCAACTATAGCCAAAGTATTTGTTACTATTACTATTATTCTTATTTTTAACATATTATATATATTTATATAAATAATAGGAAATCAGAAGTGTCTAGTATTGATGATACGATAGATCAATCTGGATTCACACAAATAATATATTATGAAATTGGGCAGATTGTGTACATGGCCATCTTTACTCTTCTTCTTGTATTTTTAGTCAAGAGACTCTTGGGACAGGTGAGCACCAAAGAAGAAGAAGAAGAAAAGAAGCAAAATTGTGATAAATAAAAGTAATTAATAATAATAATATTATTATCATTATTATAACCAACTAATTTCATATATATATATATATATTAAAAAAAAATGTTATTATTTTATGATCAATTATTGTAACAATATTGAATTAATTAATTAATCAATAAATAAATAAATATGTGAATAAAACCTAATATCCTCAAAGTTCGGCTGGAATATCTACAAGCGAATTGGTGCTGATCTACAGCTTCAAGGTATTCATAATTACTTTACACTTGCTATCTATATTAAATTTAATTCGATAAAAGCACATCTATATCTACATTTAAACACACGCATTAATATGTATAATTTTCTTTTATTGTTATTATTTAGCAAGGTTTAGATTGTGCCTATTCTTCTTGTTGAATCTCAAATTAGATGCATTTTTCCACCTTTTCTTTAGTGTCTTTTGGTTTGTGGTGAGTGATGTTTCTTTCTTCCTTTTGCTTTTGAATAGTACATGTGATTTTTATTCTTAACGTCAATATCATTATCATGATTTTTATTGTCCATTCTGCAATTAGGTCATGACTCGGGAAACTTATTATAATAAAGGTTCTGCATATCTGGCCTGGTATATCCTACACCTTTTGTTAACCATCTGTCAGATCCCAGCTCTTTTTCTGGCAAGAAAAAGTATTCTGACCGAGAATCGCAGATTTATGATTGCTTGCTTGGTTGTTCATGGATTGACTACGGTTGATTTTATAATCATTCTTCAACAAAGTTTACGTTCCTGGGTATTTTGGATTATTGCAGGCATGTAATATAGATATATAGATATATAAATGTATATTAACATATATTTTATTAGTATGTTTGGCAATAGCACTTTCATTTGTAAGTATTATTATTATTATTATTTAAAAAAAAGTACAATGATTATATGAGCTTTGTACTATTATTATTCTCTTACTTCATATGATAATGCTAATACCAATATTAATAATGAACCAATGGTATATGCATGTATACATATATATATATATATATATATATATTAGTCTACAATTGTCTTGGCAAGCTTTGTCCTGAGAAACTTTGGCAAGGGATTGAAACCCCACAGTAAGTTGTTTCAAATAATTATTAAAAATAATAATAAATTGTTGACATTGATATTGACATATTTCAAAAAAAAAAAGTAAAACGGCTATCAGACAAGGACCACAGTTATATGATGAATAGAAGAGCCTTGGCCAACGAAACGTACGCAAGTAGCGATTCGTGGGTTATTGACCAAGACTCTATCGATTCTAGACAAACCAAGGCACCACCTTCTATTTCATTTCATTAAATGTATATATATATATATATGTATGCATGTTATTTATTATTTGTTCATTATTTTATTACTCTTTTCTTTTTATTCTTCTTTCTTATTTCAATATAAGATATAATACAATATAATGTATATATATGTACGTGTGCGTGTGTATATTTTTTTCGTGTTTTTTTTTGTGTTTTGGTCTGATGTGTGAATGTCGACAGGATGACACAAAAAAATGGCTAAATAATAATAAATAATAATACAAGTGCCACGTTATTCAATGGTTTCACGGCATTAAATCTGCCATGACATTTATAGATCTATAAGACCGTACTTGGTTTCCCATTTCAACTCAGGGAACGGCCACAAAGATCGACATTTAACGATCGTTAATATACCATAATATATATTACAAATATAACGTGAGTTTACAAATATGGGACAAGATTAATACAAATGAAATGAAGAAATGAAGAAATGAATATCATAATTATTGCTATAAGAATAGGAATAACAATAACAGTAGTAGTAGTAAAATAGAAGGAGGTTAAGTTGTAATACCTTGGTTCCGGTTTTTTTAAAGAAAAATAATATTTTCATATGTAACAAACAAACAATCCAAAAATCAAAAATTGAAAGATCAAAAGAGTTTATAGGAATATTTCAATACACTTGTTCCTTTTCTTCTCTTTTAGAATTTTCTTGAGCTGTTTTATATCAAGTATAAAGTATACTATTATTATCGAATGAATATGAATAGAAGAGCAAATAAAAGGGGTACTCAAATGAATGCCCAACATTAGAGTTAAGTTCTCACTTATATAATCCAGCACATGTAAAATAAAAAACTAAAATAGATAGACAGATAGATGGATAGATGGATAGACGTTTTGAATGTGGTTTATTCAATTCCAGATGATCTGATATTTTATTCTTATTTTTTTTTCTTTTATAATAATAATAATAAAAAAAATTCTTGATCCCATAACGTTGGCTTGATAGGGGAGGGAGTGAAGATGGTTTCCTTGATGTTGCAATTGTTCAAACAAGATATTGATCTTTCCTTTTGGCTTTTAATTCAACTTTTCAAATTTCCAGTTGGTATTTTTTTTCTTGCTAGTGATAAGAACTACAAATAAATAAGGAAAAGAAAAGAAAAAAAAGCTCGGAAATATAATGTATTTTACAAATACAAACATACACAGTTCATAGAAAACGCCAGGGCTTATTTTTGTACTACTGTGTATTTGTATTTTGGGGGAACTTTTATTTTATTTGTATTTTATTTATATTTTATACTTTTGGTATTCAACAGAAAAATTCAAATAATCAGAAAAAGTCTTAAAGCTTTTTATTTTTATTTTATTTTTTGTGATTTTAATATAAATATATAAATAAATAAACATATGCATTTGACAAGTTTAGGTTTCCTGTGGGTTCCAAGGCAACCAAATGCACCCAGACCTGACCAGATTAACAATATATATATATATATATTATATTCTTGATGATCTTATTCTTCAATTCTTCTTCATGAAAATCCTCGGAGCATTTTCTTCTTTTCCCTCTTCTTTTCCTTCCTTTGTTCCTTTCTTCTTTTTTCTTTTTTCTTCTTTAAAAACTAGCAAGGAATTAAGGAACAATAGATTGTGTATATGATTATCATATATCCCAAGCTTTAAATATTTATTGCTGCTATTATGGACCGGGTCTTCTTTATAAATAAAAAGTAAATATAAAAGGAAAAAGAAACTCACTAGAGGTATTGAAGTTGTAAGAAGAAAGAGTTTGTATGTATCTTATATATATTAGTGGAGTTTTGAAAGTATTCGGAGAGAGCGATTGAATAACAAAAAAAAATCTATATAATAGTAAGAATGTATATATAAAAAAAAGAAAGAGTAAAATAGATGTGTATATAATTTCATGGCTGAACTCGACAAATATCTTTTTGTATTCCTTGCCTAGTAGATTTTTTTCTTTCTTTTCTTCTTTTCTTCTTTTCTTCCTGTTCACAAGGAACCTGTTACTGTGGTCAATAAAATTTCATGAACGACAAAGAAGAAATACAAAAAAAAAGAGAAAAACAAGGGACCTCAAAGTTAAAAAAAAAACAAACCAAAAAACCAAAAAAACACGACCTTTTCTTTTCTTTCTTTTTTTGGTTCCATGGTAACCAAATCCAGACTGAGTTTTAATACGGGTTTTTCTGTTTCTGTTGTTGTTGTTGAAATATATGTATGTATATTTATGTTTATAATATACAAAAAGGTTTCTGTGAAGTGACAAAGATAGAGGACAAAATTACCATGGCAATAAATAAAAATAAATAAATAAACAAATAAAGAGCATGTGCATGATATATGTATAAATATATTGACTGTTGAAAGTTGATCAAACTAAAGTGACGTACAGTATATTAAATATATTAATATAATTAATGATAGAAAAGTTTAATTTCTTTAACAATTTATCCTAAATTTGGTAAGTTTATATGTTTGAATCTAGTGCGGTAAATCTAAACAACAGCAACACACAACAACAACAACAATAACAATAAAAGTATATATATATATATATATATGGTTTGTAAATATGCACACAGTCATCTATACATCGATCTACATATTCATATCCATATCCATATCCATATATATATATATATATATATATAAAGTGTACGTATGTTTGTGTGTGATAATCAAAATCGAAGAGATTGAACCATAAAATAATAAGGTATCTTTTTGTAGGTTGTTTCAAATATATTAATATTGAACAAATCGGTAACAAGTTGACAAAGTTGTTCCTGAACACATGCCTAGATACATACTTAGATACATAGATACATAGATACATAAATACATAAATACATTTGAACATTATTCAACACATATTTATATACGTACATACATAAAAGTGTCAAGTGGGACAAAGGATCTAAAAACGAACAATTGTGACAATTGATTTTCCAGCGGTGTAATATTTTATACTCTTTTATTTTATTTCTATTTATGAGAATGTGGATTTTTCATACTTGATGAATCATAGCTCAATTTCTATTGGATGAATGCACTTTCTGGAAAGAGCGTACAAAGAATAAAAATAAAAATTTATACTTTTTTTTTTTTTTTCTTGCCCCTGATAACAATTTTATCCGAATGACGTAAAAGAGAATAAATTAAACCCAGGCAACACACAGTTGATTTTATATTCCTTTCTTTCTTTTACTCATTTTTGATTTTTGATTTTTGATTTTTGATTTTTGATTTGTTATATCAGTTTAATTATTATAATTATAATTATTATTGTTGGTATTAATTATCTGCTAATACATATACAATATAAATATATTTCATTTAATTTAATTTCATTTAATTTAATTTCATTTGTTCTTTATTAAATAGACTTTAGATAATTATTATCGGGTACTTCTTTAAGCGTAATGAAGTATTATTGGATATTGAGTATTGAATATTAAATATCATATTAGCAATAACATATTAGCCATATTTCATTTCTTATAAGCTATTAATAATTATTATTAATAATTACTCTTATTATTATTATTCTTATTATTCTTTTTATGATATAATAAAATACATAGACGTACATACAAACATACATACATACATACATACATACATACATAATATTTGTGCGAATAAGAATAAATATATAATATAATGGACATGAGCTCTACTATACAAATTCGCATGCTAAACATTCCAAATCCGGAACTCCAAAAGAAAGAATAAAAAAAAACCCTATTCTGCGTCCTTTTAAAGCTCTTAGGACATTTGAATTAACGCTCAAGTCTGAAGGTTTTTTTTTTCTTTCTTTTTTGTCCTTTTCCTTTTTCCTTTTTTTTTTCTTTTTTTTTCTTTTTCTTTTCTTTTTCTCTTTTTTTTCTACCTGTTTTTTTTTTGTTATTTCTTCTTCTTCTTCTTCTTCTTCTTCCTTTTTTTCTTCATTTTTTCTTGTTCATTTTCTTCTTCTTTTTCTTTCTTTTTCTTTTTATATATATTTATATAATATATATATATATATATATAACCTACTCTAATCTCCGTCAATCTGTCACCTAGGTTACCAAAAATATAACAGCACTTGTACGTACCTTTTTCATTCGAATTTTATCAGAGCACTACAAATCAATATACATATACATATACATATACATATACATACATATATACATATATATTATACAACAACAGCACCAATATCAATAAGCAGCAATCATCAATAAATAACAGCGGCAGAATCAATAAATACATATATATATACAACATATTTATATTACACCATCACTAAATATAATATAATATAATACAATATAATACAATATTCATATTCATATTAATATTCACACGATTACAATTCCAATTACAATTCCAATTATACTTATACTTATACTTATGCTTACATATATATAATTTGTAATTTCTATATACAATAACCTTCCCCAGAATTAACAGAAAATCATACCAAGAAAAAGTGAGTTGCAGAATATTCAAGGTAAGCACAATTCTAATAATATTAATTAAAATAACCTTTCAAAAATAGGAAAATCAAATAAATAAATAAAATTTTTATACACCCTATCTATTCTTAATTCTTAATTCCTATATTCTATTATATTCTATTATATTTCTATTTCTATACCTACACTTTAAACTCTTTACACAGATTGTATTATACTATACACATCTGTTTATAAATATGTATAACATATGTGTGCTTGTGTATTTTTTTAACCCCTTGTTTTGTTTTCTTTGTACACAAACATTTTTATAAAAAAATATGTATATTTAACCTTCTTTCCTTCTTATAAACATATATAGTATGCGAATCCCATCCGGTTGCTCCAAGCTTGAGAGAGCTATTATCATTGACAGAGTGAAAGGAATGATCTTTGGTAAGATTGAGATTTGAATAAACAACCAAATTGCTCCTAAACCAATAGATTTCATTTCCTATGTGTTCAACAGGTGCTATCCTTGGCGACAGTCTTGGACTGGCTACAGAAGGAATGTCTAGAGAACAAGTTCAAAAGGCATATTCAAATGGCCCCATTCGATTTGGAATGGACGACGATCAAGAATCAGCTGGTGTTAATTTCATAAGAGACACCTTTCGCTCATTATTTGATGAAAAGTAATTATTGAATTTATTGAATTTATTTATTTATTTATTTTTGCTTAATGTAGATCTTCTTTTATTTGATAATCTAATAGTACTTGTGATAATCGCTCATTTAATACATCTTTGTTTATTTTTAATCTTTTTTGTCTCAATAGTGATTTTGGCGATGACGCTGAACAGCAGCTCCTCATCTTATTTTCAATTCAAGAGAACCGGGGCACATTCAATTACAAAGACTATGCTACACGACTTTATAATTATAGTAACCGAGGCATGCGCGGCCTAGACAAGCAACCACTCGGAATTAAAGCAACCACAAAATCAGTCCTTTCTCGACCTCATTTTCTCGAAAGTCCTGTAAGTAATTATTATTTCTTAGAGAGAGAGAGAAAAGACAAAAATTACCGTATATGAATATTCACATGCACACACACACACACATATATATATATATATGAAGATCCTAACAAACCATCATATTTTATATCTATTTATTTATTTTGTGTGTGTCTGTGTAGCACCCTACGGCAATAGATGTCTGGCGAAAGGAAATAGATACTCGCGACGATAGTGGTTCTTTGGTTCGTGCAGCAATTCTGGGCGTACCAAAGTTTTGGGATGGCACAACAGTTATCCAAAATTCGGCTGAATGTTGTCGTATCACTCATCCCGATCCTCGCTCTGTCATATCTTCTGTCATTGTATCTACCATTGTAGCAAGGTAAGCTTTCTATATATATATATATGTATCTAAATTACCTTGGCCCCTTCTTCTCTCCCCTCCTTCCACTCTCCCCTTGTATACATTTATTTATACCAATATTTCTTCTTTAGAATGCTGCGTGGACAAGACCTAGAAATGGAAATACTGGACTCTAGCCAACCTTCACCTCTACCTTCTCCTCTGCTGTCAAAACCTAATCAATTACCACTCTCATCAACAAAATTACCTCCGACTCCAACATCAACACCGCCTACACCAACCAGCGCTACTACCCCTACCACAAAATGGACTGACTCACTCGAGACAGATCGTGTATTAATGTCACTCGTCAGAGCAGTGATTGACGCCAACAAGCGAATCCTGACCGCACCAAACACCGACCCACTTTTTCAAACTCCAGAAACAGACGCAAACCTGATGCAAGAGTACTTTGAGCAATTGATCAAGACTTGCTACCAGGAACCTCTTCAGCTCTCTCCACAGTTACTACACGAATCTCATGTGTTTTCCTGTCTAGGAGGAGCCAGCTATGTATTCACGCGCGTGATTCCAAAGGGTAGCGAGACCGAGTACTTTAAGCGACTGTTGATGGATATCGTGATGCAGGGTGGACACGCAGATGCAAACGGGTCGGTTGCAGGTGCCTTGCTTGGTCTGAGGATAGGGTATGGTTGTCTTCCGAGCGAGTGGGTTGTTGGACTCAAGAGGTGGGAGTGGTTAGAAGATAGAGTTGAAGAGTTTTGTGAAATGCTCTAAACAAAAACCTTCTATTATTTTCTATTATTTTATTTTCTCGATCTCTATCTCTCTACTCCCTTTATTTATTTATATATCTACCTATCTACCTACCTATCTATCTATCTATCTATCTATCCATATATTTTACTTTCTTTCACAAACCCAACAAAATCAACTCACAAACGTATGTATATACTGCACTACACTGCACTGCACTGCACTGCATTACACTACACTACATTACACTACACTCTTACACTTACACGTTATGCCATTTGTTTTACTTATTTCACTCCTTAATTATCTTTACATATATATATATATATATATATATATATTCCTTCTTCCCTTCTTTATTTTTTATTTTATTTTTTGCCGCAAGAACCTGCTTTTTTTTATCTTACATATATATTATATTATTCTTATTACACACACGCACACAAGCACAAACGACACCCAAAAAAAGACACTACAAAATACACACAAGCACAAACAAGTCAAATCAGGATGATTTGTATTTATCAAATTAAATGTTTCACAAAAAAAAGGGCGAAACACCAACAACAACAGCAACAGCAACAGCAACGATAACAACAGCAATAAAATGGAACAGACCAAGTAACAAAAAAAAACACAAACCTTTCTCGTATCTTTGATCTAATGGTAATCTGATTTGTATTCATTTCATTAATTATTAATTATTATTTTTATTAAAATAAAATTAAATTAAATTAAAATAAAATAAAATAAGAAAGCAAAAACCAATAGGGCTGTTCACACAAGTACAAGCAACCCAACCAAAAACAAAAAAGAATCTAAAGCCAAAAATAATGATGATAATAATACCATAATATACTCACACAACTCTATACATATTCGACTACTATGATTGCTATAATGTGTATTTTTTCTTTTAAAAAAAAAGAATAGTACTAATCTTGCTCATCACATCCACATCATACTGAAATGAGATTATGAAATCTTTGAAATCATACAATTAGTTTAAATGGTGATGATTACCATCATCATCAGAATCGGAATCGGATTATAACCTAACCTCAGATATTTAGTCATGCTTATACACAGACAGTTGTTACATGTCCATATTTTTATCAACCTTTATTGACAAAAGGTTAAATATAAATATATAGAATATATTTCTTATTCTGTTTCAATTGTCTCAAAATTATTTAGGAGTTGATGCAGTAAGTCTATAAACCAACCAACCAATCAACCAACTTATCAAACTCACAGTATAATAATATCACATATGCTTAATTTATAATGAAAACAGATATATTTTGTACATGACTTTCTTTATCCTTCTTTTAAGTGTCTTCTTTTGTTTAGTAAAGAGATTATTGATAGTATAAATTAATTAATTAATTAGGTAATTAATTAAATTAGCAATATAATATTCTCAAGGTTTGGCTGGAATATCTATAAGCAAATTTGGTGCTGATCTACAGCCCCAATATATTCACCATTACTTTATACTTGTTGTGCATATCAAAACCCTAATTCAATAAAATAATACATATATACATATACATGAATATGTATCTTTATGTATATGTATATGTATATGTATGTATATGTATATGTTTTTTTATAAGCTTTAGCAAGATTTATACTGTGCCTATTTTTCTTGTTGAATCTCAAATTTAGATTCACTTTTTTTTTCTCACCTTTTCTTTAGTCGATTTTGGTTTATGCTGAGCGATTTCTTTCTTTCTTTCTTTCTTTCTTTTGAATAATACGTATGATTTTAATTATTAAATATGTTAGGATTTGGAAAAACCTACTACAATAAGGGTTCTGTCTATCTTTCCTGGTAAATTTTACATATTCTATTGACCATCTGGCAGATTCCGGTACCCATCTTGTTTTTTTTTTTAAAAAAATGATACTAAAGTTTTAGGAATAAAAAATATTCTGGCCAAGAATTACCAAGTTTTATGATAGTTTACTTGGTGGGTTAATGAATTAATTATTGAGGTTAATTTTTAGAATTTAGAAAAAGTAAATACTGTAAGAGTGTTTTTATTAGCAATTATATAATCTGCTATGCTTTGCTTTGCTCTGCTCTGGATTGTGGAGTTTATATTTTATGTAATTTCAGTGCTTATACAACAGCCGCGGTTTGATTTTTATAATCATTCTTTCAACAGGTTACGTTAATAAGACTTTCGGATCATTGTAGGTATAAAGATATTATATATAGGCAGTTTTATATATTTATTCAAAGAAGAAGTATTTGGAAATCAAATCTATACATTAACAAAACGTCAAAGATGGAGAGTAGGTATGTACATGTATATATAAAACGCGACCTTTTTCTTTCCTTTTGTTTCCATGGCAACCAATACATATATTTAATTTCTTCCCACGTGAGTATAATGTATAAGATCTTATAGAAACAAGAGGTGTCTTCTTCTTCTTTAGAATTGTAGTATTCTATATATCAATCTAGTATATATATATAATTGTATGGCGCAATCGGAGATAACGATCAATATACCTAAAGGTATTATTAAATTTACAAAAATAATAATACTAACAACAATAACATCATAAAGTCTTGATCATTTTAAAGCTAGGCGGTATAAGTACTATTGAAACAAAAGAAGAGGAAAAAGAAAATCCACCTCTACCACCCTATCATATCCACTGTCCCCTCGCTCTTTCTTATGGTTGTCAAAACTGGGATATAAAATGTGCCTATTTTTCTTGACTTTTAATATGAAAAATCACCCGGGCTACTGTAGCTGTATATATATTTTTTTAAAAAAAAGTCTATTGTTGCAGTGAACGCGAAACTGAACTTCAATATTTTTAGATTTTAAAAAAGAAAGAAAAAAGAAGGGCAACAGAATAAAACGAAGTTCTTGAAGACAATACCCCTGTGACAAGCCCATTAACAAGATGACTGTAACTAAGCTTGGGTATTAAGATGCTAAAAGAAAAAAGAAAAAAAAGAAAAAGGTATATAATTACCTTACACTTGCACAAGTTGCATAAGTTACACACACAAATATACATTCTCCAGCTATAATATAAAAAAAATATAGATAATCTGTCAAGGAACTATTTTTTTTGCTATCCTCTGAGGAAGATTTTCTTGTTTCTAATTTTTTTGTTTGTAAATTCACCCAAACACTAGAAGCCAGAACGTAAAAGTTCAGGTTACAGTAAAGAAGTGTATACATATGTTTAAGAAATATTGAGATTTTTTTTGGAAATGTATCAACAAGTATTATTTGCGCAGTATCCGTCAAGTGTGTGTAGTCATGGTTACAAATGACTAGAATGTTATGTGATCAAATTACGATTTTTTTGTTAGTTTCTAAGGAGATCAAAAAGGCAATTTTGATACAGATTAAGAACTAAACAAGTGAAGAGCAAGTGAAGAGCAAGGACTATTCCTCTATTTGAGCTCATTTAACTCTGGATGACACAAAAAACGAAGAAAGAAAAAGGGAAGCCTGGTTTCAATGTTTGTTTAGTAGAATACGAGCCACAAATGAGGATTTTGGCTAAAATGGGGAGTTTTTTTTTGATAACGAACAAGAACAATCTTATTTTGAGCTCTACCTAAGGTTTCACTGCGGATGTAAAATGTATTGGTATATTTACTGGGAAAGGCTTAGTGAAATGAGAGTGTTCGATTCTAGTGTTATTACAGCCACAAGTTCCTGAACAGTAAGATCCATTATCGTTATTATCATAATATTTTTTTTAAAAAAAAAAACATATAGAAATAAATATAATTATGCCAAAAAGCTATCTCATATCCGCAAACACTAAACCCATATATAAAATAATAGTATTCTTAGGCGGAGTACTGTCAGATAAAAATATTGAAACAAATTCAAAAGGAAACACACACACACAATTGATTTACCTCTCTTTTTTTTTAACTCTGGGTTACACCGTAAAGCTTGTACTTTGTTATGAGTTTCTAAAGTTTGTGTCTTGGCATTGTAGATATGATAGTATGTGGATCTACTATTACTGACATTTGGTTATTATTTGATCCTTTTTTTTATAACTTTATATATAATTTGGAGATAATATATGTGTGAGCCTAAAGGCATTTGTTCAGTATCTGTACTGCCTATTATTATTATTATTATGTATACGTAGTATATATATATATATATATATATATATATATATAAGATTCTATTTTAAAAGTAAAAATAAAGTTGCTGACAAATAAAGAGAGAAGAAATTAAAAATAAAAATAAAAATAAAGGGTACAAACATTTACATCCTTTAATTTTGACAGCAAAAATGAATTTTAATTTATTTAATTTTTTATGATTAATTCTTTGTTAGCTAAAAAAAAATGTTAAAAAAAATGATATTTTGATATAATTTCAAGAGTTATATGTATATTTGCTATTGAACCTTTCAAAAAAGGAATATATGTATATATATATAATGCACATGATGTATAGGACGTAAAATATATTTAAAGAAAAAACCAATTGAAACCAAATACAGCTCTCTTAGTTACTTTCACACACTGAAAAATAAAATATATAATGAGTGTGGCGATAATAATAATTTCTATATATATAAAGATCAACCTTTTTTTTCTTGTTTTTAGTTGTGGCGGATGTCTAAACATATTTGTATTTTATTCATCTTATTTTTATTATGATTTGTGGCTAGGGCTTGGCATTTGGATTTGGATTTTTGTTATTTATTCATTATTCTTATCGCAATTATTAAAATCGGCATAATAATCGAATATTACTATTCTTTCTATAATAGCGTAACAATGCCTTTTATTTACATATATGAAAATAACCAGAACATAATACCAGAGAGAGAGAGAAGCATTCTCATTATTAGGCTTAACATATGATTGTGCGTGCGAAATATATATAGATCTAGATATAGACACTAGATAAAAGATAAAAGATAAAAGATAATAGATCATGGATATACATATGGATATGGATATACTACACACATTTTCTTTTGACAATTCTGTCAAAATACATACACAGATACATAATTGTTAATTATGTCAAGTATCCTTATGTGTTTTTTCTTCTTCTTCTCACAGTCTTCTGATTTTTTTTGTCTATTTGATGTGTTTTGTATTTATTTAATATTTACTATTACTACTAGTATTCGGATTAGTACTAGTATTAATATTAATATTATACTTGCGTTTTACAGCATTGAGCTAATGTATATATTGTATAACATTATATTACAAAATAAAATAAATTAGAAGATTATAATTAGTTGTACAAACCTTGTTGAACAAATCTAGTAATAATCTCAACTTTTATGTGTATGTGTATCTCACCCAAAGATTTTTTTTGTAAACCTTAAGATTGTTTTTGGAATAACGCACTATTCTATAAACAGTAGTCAAGTTGGCCAACAGACCTTCCTTATATAGAATACGCAGCAGCCGTGAGGACCCCCCAACCCCCTCCCCCCATTTTGTGAAATGGCCAAAAAATGTTCCTCATTTGTAAAATCTGTATTACGTAAAATCTGGTCTGAAAAGGTTTGAAATTTTTATTTGAGAAATAAATTGAGAAACAAAAAAGCGCAAAAAAGTGCAGAACTAAAAATTAGAGCAAAAATACCCTTGCAATACTAAATAATAATGTAAACAATATAAGAAAAAACTATGTAATAGCCCAAAAATTGTAGTAGTAACGACTGTTTACTACGATGGGAACGGAGGTAGTAAAGAAACAGCAACAGATGGAGAATATCAAAAACTATAGAAATGAAGACAAAGATTAATATTAATAATAAAATGGGACATGTTCAAACATTGAAATCTTACCTCTTGAAAGCAATAAAGAATAGATTCCACTATGACTTACCTAAAGCAAAAAGAAGCACAAAGTTAATAATAGAAAAACAAACTCAAGCTATTAAGATAAAGATATTTACCTTCGCTAAAGAACACAATGGAGCTACTCAAAATAACCGTAATCTAGAAAACAAAAGTATTAGTAAAGGCTTTATAAACCTATAAATGTACTCTGTTCAGAAAAATACCTTGTTTCAAAGTAAAAGGGCTTCTAATAACAAAGTAGATACATATTATATTTATTAGTACTTACTTGAACTAAAAATGAAAAGAAAGAAAAAAGAAATAAAAGAAATATACTAATCCTTCAGTTAAAATGTCAAGTGCGTGACGTCGGTTGGGATTTTTTTTGAAGTTTTTTTCTTGGTTTTTATTAACTTAGTATTTTTTTCTACAATACAACAAATTTTACAATGAGTGGGAATAATCACGGTCTTTACAAATATTTTTGTAGGTATTGGTCTGATACGGTGCAAAGTACTAAGAAATTGATATTACAAACAGATGAGAGGGAAAAAAACCATAAAATAAGAAACTAGAAAGCTTATTCCAAGAAAAGTCTTATCACCATGAATACCTTGGCTGCTGGCCTTCGCAAGTACGAAAGTCTTTGGTCAATTCTGAATATCCTAAGCCAATAAAATCTCTCATTTTTCTTTTTTTGCATTTGCTCTGTCGCAAAATATATTTTTTTCTTTTTTTCTGTCACAAAACTTCTTTTTTTTATTTTTTTCTGTCGCAAAAGGGTTTATTCTCTTTTGCTCAGTCGCATATAAAATATTTTTGCGCAAAATCTACCCAAAATAGTCTAAGACCCTTTTTTCTTCTGCTTTTCTTATTTTTATTTATTTATTTACAAGTAATCAGCCAATTGAAATAGATATTTTCGTTTGAGTAACTGTCTGAAACTCAAAACTTCTACGTATTTTTTATTTTTGAGCTTGAACCTTATTACAGCCAATAAGCACCCTTAACTCAAAATTTGGCCAAAAAAATTACCATAAACAGGTCAAAAGTCTTTGGGTGTGATGTGTATATTTGAAGATTTGTATCGCCTTTCCCATAAAGATAGTCTAGTAAAAAAGAAAAAAGAACCCAAAAGAAAAGTCTGACAATTGCTGGGCCATTTATGGTAATTATGTGGATTGTACAAAGGGAACACAGTAAAATGAAATCACATACTATATTACATTTATAGAATTCGTTTAAACTTGGGATTCGTTGTTTTATTTTTATATACAAAATATATAAATACATAGATATATAAATACATATATATATATAGACATACAGACAGACAGACAGACAGACAAAACACAATATATATATATAGTCATATGTCTATGGTTACTTGCTAGCATTATTCATTATTTTTACTTTTTGATTTTTATTATGACAGATGATTCATACGTTTGACTGACTGTCCGACTGTCTGACTGTCTGTCTATCTGTCTATTTCTCTATCTATACTTAATTATAATCTTATAGACTTATGGTCTAAGAGTCTTATAGACTTTGTTCTTGTGCTTGTGCTTGTGCTTGTGCTTGTGCTTGTGCTTGTGCCTGTGTTTGTGTTTGTACTTGTGTTTGTACGTGTGTCTTGTGGGATAATTAAAATGCTTTTTCTTACGTAGTTCTTATTATTATATTATATATTTACTTGATCCGACCTTTTTTATTTATTTATTTTACCTCGTTTTCAATATTTCTTAATTCAATAATTTTTTTGATTTTCTTAATTTCTTTGATGTTTTGAGTTTTACCTTTCAAACACTAACGCTAATAATAAATTCTATTCTTACCATTAAACTTAATCGTGTATATTTACATACAAACATAAACATATCTTACTATTATCTTATTTTTATTATGCTTAATTTTAAATTATATAACAAACAAATATTCATGTCTGTAACAACTGTACTTCTTCTTTAATTAAGTATCAGAAAATAAAGCCAAATAACCTTACATACCATACCATCTTATATTATGTACGTTCCCAAGTGTTAATGTGCACCTACATTCGATACTAGCAAGTTGTTGGTCGGGTATCACGCCAGACAAGGAAATATTGGTGTGTGTTTGTACAACATCAAACTTGTAGAATTGCCATGAAACTAGATTGTTGCGCTTTTGGATTAAACATATGACTTTTTTTTTAAAAAAAAAGTAGAATGAAATACAAAGGAGAGAAATAATAAAATAATAATAAAGCAGAATATTACAGCATCAATATGAATATGAGTATGAATATAAAGAGAAGGAGAAACGTATAAACGAACCAAACAGAAAATACAATACAATACAATAAAAGAGGGGTGATGAGAGGGGTAGAAAAGACAGGTAAAACTGATATACATTATCAGTTTTTTTTCTTCTTCTTCCAAATAATTTCTGTAGGGCAGACATATTCTAAAACAAGTATTTGCAAGGAAATAAATAAATAAGAGATCTAGGCGATCTCTTTCACGAGAAATGAACCCTGATTTCAACCCAAATGACTTAACCAACTCCTGGTGTTCTAGAAGACAATGAAAAATATATACACATCTTTATTATAAAATAATAATACTAATACTATAAATCAAATATTGCTTGATTTTTTCCTATTATATTTCTATTCATTTTTTCTTCTTCCTTTCAAATATAGTATATCGTACCATACTATGGTAATTAGGAGTTGTGACAGTCTGAAGGAGTCTATACATTTTCCCAAATAAAGTAAACAACTCAAGTGAAGTGAAATCTAAATAGTACAGAAAAACAATGACATTTTGTAATAAGTATGATTTGTATTTGTATTTAGTTTAGTTTAGTTTAGTTTGATTGGTTTGGCGTGTTTTGCTGTGGTGTGGTGTGGTTTGGTTCGGCTTGGTTGTGGTAGCCTGTGGCTGGTAAACTTGTGGTAAAAGTAATAAAAAATGAAAAGTAAAAGTAAGATAAAATAAAAATCAGTAGATCAAATTCAAAGATCAATTAGACAATCTGTTTCAAAAAAGGAAACAAAGGGGCAAGATTAATTCCAACTTTAGTAAAATGTTTTATGTGTAAAATAAGGCAAGTAAGTAAAAATGAGAGAAAGAAAGACAGAAAAAAAAACCGAGAGAAATAAAGAATATGTACATGTGTGTACATGTGTACGTGTGTACGTGTGGAAGTGTTTAGTCTAGCTCAGTATTAGTATTAGTATTAGTGCTAGCATTAGTACTCGTATTAGCAGTAGTATCAGTATTAATATTGGCGTTAGTACTGGTGTTAATATGTATGTGTGTGCAAGTATCTACATTCTGTTTTTATTCGCCCTGGTATTCGGTCATGGCAGTGATTGCCAAACGGAGGACTGAGCCACTTTGGTAACCCAGAGTAACCAAAAAAAAATTAAGAAAAAAAAACTTAAAATAATTTATACAATATCTTATTGTCTTGGATAGTATATATTGATATGCACAAACGCTTTTATAATATTAATAATATAAATAAACCCACTCTTTACAAATTAATCCATTTTTTATTTTATTTTATTACGCGTCGATCAATTTTGTATATAAATAAAATAAAATATTCATATATTCATTTGTTCACCTATTCATTTTTTTTGTTTATTTTTTCGTTTATTTATTTGTTTGTTATTTAATGTATTTATTGCTATAGTAACAAAATATTCTCACTAGTATCTGTTTAGAAATATATGTACCTGAAATAAAGTAAAATAAAGTAAATACTGCCATGGAAACGAGTGTTGTTTGTGTGGATCGTTAGTGTGTAACAATAGACTTCAATGTATAGTTACGGCCGGTTGACTGGATCTGGAAGGATGACAAGATTCAAATTTCGAACTATTGTGTATCCACAACGCCGTCTGACTTACGGGATGATCCGCCATCCCCTCTCTTCTTTCTCTCTTTCTCCCTCGCTCCCCCAACCACCACTGCCACCACCACCACTGTCACCAACATCATTATCATCATCACACACACACCCCTTCTTCTATATTTTATTTTATTTTGGTTTATTTTGTTTTATTTTTCTCTCCTCTTTCATGCTTGTTCCACAGAGTCTAGAAACAAAAAACACCGCCTACTATGCCAATCATAGTATTTGCTTCTGTCTATTTTCGATTTTCGGCTTTTTTTTTTATATTTTTATTTTTACCTACCAATGTGAAATTATTATTTCATTTTTATCACACAATTAATCAAATAAAAGAATAAAAATAAACATAAAAATACCAGTGGCTAATTTGGGAATTCTGCCATATGCGCCACAGCAAATCATTTTCGAGTGCGACTGTGGCGCCGTCAATCTTTTTTGGTATTATTTCTATATAATAATTTTAATCATAATCATCATAATCATCATCATTTTATATGTGTATAGATATAGACATATTTTTGTCCCTGCAACTGTGGGTTAAAATAGCGGGATAAATTTAGGATTTAAATGTGACAGTTATAAAAGCTTATTAGAATCCAAAGTGATCTTCCTTCTTCCCTACATCTCTTTCTTCTTTCTCTTACTTTATTCTCACTTTATATATCCTTCTTTATTCTTCTTATTTTTATCAGCAAAAAACAAACCAATAAACCAACCAAAAAAATCATTACTATTACTATTATCATTTTTATTCTTATTCTTATTTCTATTACTCTTCATCGTCTTCTTATATATGTACCTTCCTACTCTTTGGAACGAGCAAGATATCGGTTTATCATCAGATACATCACCATCTTCAACAGCAACAATTCCATTATCACCAACCATGACAGCTCCAATGGATTCCCAACCATTTACCCATCAGCCGGTTTACTCAGACCCATCTCTCAATCTTCTTTACAGTCATTACCTATCCATGGATACGCCAGCCTGCTCAGTATCCTGGACACCTCAACCCACTTTTACTTCTATGCCTTCAGTTCACATTACACCAGCTCCATTCAGTGTCCCATACTTTGCGAATGATTATCAACACCAGGACCTGGAATATTCATATCCATACAATAATCAGCCTCAACATCAACCTCAACCTCAACCTCAACACTTACACCAGCATCAATACACCCAGCCACCTTCTCCTACACCATATTATCCAGATGTTTCTTCTTCACTTTCTTCTTTTTATTATACCGAGACATCGCAAGGACCATCGCCAATTATGACCCGAAGCCTTGATATTCCAGTCCGAACCCCGCACCCACCAAAGAGTGGCAGTAGTACTCTGGCTAGCCGGTCGACAAAGAATGGCAAACAAAAGTGCAATAGTCGAATTGGAGGCCATAAGCGTACCAAGACAGCCGATTCATTACCGACTATGCGCTCTACTGAAGTAAGATGTGCTCATGCCAAGTACACCTCGTCAAGCAGTGTCGAAGGACGATCATCATCAGCATCAGCATCAATGCCTGCCTCCGCATCTGGATCACCATCAGGAAGAGCAGAACTGAAGAACAAGTCCGTAGATGGGTTAGAGACTGAATTGGGATTCTTGAGAGATGAGACAGTGTCGATTGTGATTGTATTGGATTCATTGAGGAGTGCATTTTTGGCCAGTACATCAGAAGATCCGATGGTGGAACCAAACAGACCTTTGGCAATTCTGACAGGCATCAGCCCAGAAACGCCTGTGGCTGTTCCGAGACCAATGATAGATCCAGGGACAGCAAGGGGGCCTGTGACCGAAAGTTTTCTAGGACGATCGAATTACACGCCCGATATGGACAAGGAGGTTCAGACAGCATATGATGAGTTGATGAGCCAGGTCAAGCAATTGGAAAAAAAGGTTGTGAAGCTAGAAGAGCAGGTCAAGGCAGTTCATGTTGTGCCCAGTCGATCGAAGCGGACGCGCAGAGAAATAGATGAAGACAATGATTATGCCGAGGGATCGAATTCAGCAACAAGATACGCACAGACAGCATCATCATCACCAGCAGCATCAGCATCTTCTGTATCGGCATCAGAGTCAACATCAGCATCTGTGGCAGCAGTAGGAGGAGCAGTATCAACATCAGAATCGGTATCAGCATCACCATCAATGTCAATGTCATCAAATTTGGGTACCTGTTCCCCGATTGGACCTTCAAATAGCTCAAAGCGACACAAACCACCTTTTGGAAAGAGCGGACTTGGATCATCTCAGCATCGACGTTTTTAACAACACGAATTATTATCACTATTGTTATTATTGTTTGGCGAATGGTTGTAACATAACACAACATAGCAGAAGAAAACGAAGAAAAGCAAAAGTAAAAATCTAAAAAGAAAGAAAATTAAGAATACCAGGCGACAATGGATTCTTACTGCAAACTTATGAAGAAAATCAAATAATCAAAAACCACCAAGAAAACAACAACAACAACAACAAAATACACTATACACTACATATAATCACCAACAGCAGAAACAACAATAACAGCAGAAACGACAACAGAACAACAAAAACAACAACAACTATTACTTCTACTATTTCTACTACTACTACTACTACTACATAGCAACAAATCGACATAACAACAAATCAACATAGCAACAAATCAACATAACAACAAATTAACATAGCAACATACACCATACAACAATTGCACGGTTCAAATGATATTGGTCAAAAAGGTCGCGTCTTTTTGTATGATTGTTATTATTCATTTTTCATTATCATTATCATTATCATTCTTCTTCTTTTTTTTATTTCTTCAACCGTGTGTTTCATGCTTTTTCATTTATTACGCCCATGGAAGTCCATCTGAGTTGATTACTACTTGAACCCAGCAAAAGCAGAAGCAAGAAACAAAGTACTCGAGCGGTGGAACCTCTATTTTTTCATATTTTATATATTCTTTTTTATATATATGTATATATTTTTCATGCCTTAATTTAATATCCGTCAGTGACGATATCAAATCAACCAAAAAAAAGAGGAAAAAAAAAGGGAAAAAAGTAAAAAAAAAAAAAAAAAAAAGCAGTAACGAACAAGACGAAAAAAAACCAAAAAAAGAAAGAAAGAAAGAAAGAGAAAAAGAGAAAGAGAAAAAGGCAGTGCAGATTTTTTTTTTTTAAAAATTTTATATATCATCATTCATTTCAACAAATTTCACACCCACCCACCCACTCACACACTACACTATACTACACTACACTACACATATAAAACATACAAGAAAACAAGAGGGGAACAAAGAAAAAGAGAGAGGTTTTTTCTTTTATTTCATTTTTAAAATTCTTTATGTGTAAAAAGTGTATTTGTGGCAGTGTGTGTTATTTTTTTATTCTTATTATATTTTTGCAGGCGAATATTTTTTATATTTTTATATTTTTATCATTATTTCTATTACCTTTTCATTGTATAAACCATTTTACTTGTTATTTTATGCATTCGCCTTGCAATTCTTCTTTTTTCTTTTTTCTTTTTATTCATTATTATTGTTATCATTATTACTACTTCAATTTGTTTCAATTTGTTTCAATTTGTTTCAATTTGTTTATTATTACTATTACTATCTATTATACATAAAAAAAATATAAATTTATTTATTCACCCAATCATCATTATTTTACACACGGACACATGTATTGATACATAGCATAAAATAATGTAGCATATGTTCATAACTACATATGTAAGCAAGATGTTGGCTTTGCTATACATAGCACGTGAATATGCGAAACTGCCCGGCATATAGATATCCAAATATCTCATATATAAATTATTTTATTTTATCCTATTTGAGACACAGAGACTGGAGACAAAGAAGGAAAGAGGGGAGGAGGGAGAAAAAAAAAAAGAAAAAAAAAGGGGAAAAAGGTAAGGGTAATGTAGGGGATAAAAAAAAGAGAGAGAGAGAAAAAGAGAAGGGGAGGATAAACATGGTCCCTTGCAAGCAATTGGTTTTTATAATATAATATATACAGTTTCACATCAGAAAGGCGGGGAGACCGGGATCAAAAAAAATAATACGAAAAAGAAAATACACTGCACAACCCATCAAAACTAAGCGCTCTTTTTTTTTGATATTTTTTTTTTGTTACTCCACCACCACCCCCCCCTCTCCAACCTTCAACAAAACCCCCCCTCTCTCCTCTCAACAAAAAATAAAAAAAATAATCAACTCCCCACTCTCTTTTGTATATTCAAATTAGCATGTTGAAGTTGTTGAAATCTGCGTCACCAGCAGTGGTAAATATACACATATAATAGACACATAATAATATCGCTACTTGACAAACAGCAAAGACTGTTTATACTCATTTATTATTATTAATATTAATGGCACATCAATGAACCTCTTTATTTATTTCTTTACTTCTTATATATTATCATTACCACTATAACAACAACAACAATAACAACAACAATAACAACAAACGAACCAAACAATCCGCACATTCATTCAATCATTCAATCATTCAATCAAATTAACCTGGGGATTCCTATTCAATAAAAAATAAATAATTCAATAAATAAATAAATAATAGTCGCGTGCCTCTCGTAAGTTTCGCTCTATTCAATTCAGTTCAGTTCAATATGTCAATAAGACTATATAATTTATTTATCTTTAAACAAATACAGGCACTACCACTGGTCGTTTGGCTGTCCGTGGTCTTCATGTAGCCAAGCCTGCCATGCAGGTCATGTCTACTAACCCTCTCCGTGCTACAGAGGCTTCGGTAAGAACAATAACAACGACAACAAATTTGACGTGTATTATATAATCAAGATAACCACTACATGTATCTATTTACTTGTTTACTTATATAACTTCTTTTAAAAATTATTAACTTAAAGGGTTCCATTGCAAGCAAATACCCCATTATTGACCACGAGTATGATGCTGTTGTTGTTGGTGCTGGTGGTGCTGGTCTCCGTGCTGCTTTCGGTCTTGCCGAGGCTGGCCTGAACACCGCATGTATCACAAAGCTCTTCCCCACTCGTTCCCACACCGTTGCTGCCCAGGTAACCAAAATAAAAGATAAAAATATTATTTAATCGCATAATATATATATGTATATATGCCTTTGTGCTGTATTCAATCATTATGTATTTATGATCTATTATCTAATTTTTATAACATATACGTGAATGACTTCTTGTAGGGTGGTATCAATGCTGCTCTTGGAAACATGACTGAGGATGACTGGAGATGGCACATGTACGATACCGTCAAGGGATCTGACTGGCTCGGTGACCAGGACGCTATTCACTACATGTGTCGTGAGGCCCCTCACACCGTTGTCGAGTTGGAGCACTATGGTGTGCCCTTCTCCCGTACCCCTGAAGGCAAGATCTACCAGCGTGCTTTCGGTGGTCAGAGTCTTAAGTACGGCAAGGGTGGCCAGGCCTACCGCTGTGCTGCCGTCGCCGATCGTACCGGTCACGCTATCCTCCACACCCTTTATGGCCAGTCCCTGCGTCACAACACAAACTACTTTATTGAGTACTTTGCCCTCGATCTGATCATGGAAGACGGCGAGTGCAAGGGTGTCATTGCCCTCAACATGGAGGACGGTACCCTTCACCGTTTCCGCTCCCACAAGACTGTCTTGGCCACCGGCGGTTACGGTCGAGCCTACTTCTCCTGCACCTCTGCCCACACCTGCACTGGTGACGGAAACGCAATGGTTGCCCGCGCTGGCTTGCCCCTCCAGGATCTCGAGTTCGTCCAGTTCCATCCTACCGGTATCTACGGTGCCGGCTGTCTCATCACCGAGGGTTCGCGTGGTGAGGGTGGTATCCTGATCAACTCTGCTGGTGAGCGTTTCATGGAGCGTTATGCCCCTACCGCCAAGGATCTGGCCTCCCGCGACGTCGTCTCGCGTGCCATGACCGTCGAGATCAAGGAAGGCCGTGGTGTCGGTCCCGAAAAGGACCACTGCTACCTCCAGCTCCACCATTTGCCCCCTGCCGTCTTGCACGAGCGTCTGCCCGGTATCTCTGAGACCGCTGCCATTTTCGCCGGTGTCGATGTCACCAAGGAGCCCATCCCCGTCTTGCCCACTGTCCACTACAACATGGGTGGTATCCCCACCCGTTATACCGGTGAGGTCATCAAGGTTGATGCCGAAGGTAAGGACCACGTCGTTCCCGGTCTCTATGCCGCCGGTGAGGCCGCCTGTGTGTCCGTCCACGGTGCTAACCGTCTCGGTGCCAACTCGCTCCTCGATATCGTCGTCTTTGGCCGTGCTGTTGCCCACCACATCGCCGAAACTCTCGAGCCCAACACCCCCTTGAAGCCCTTCGCTGCCGATGCCGGTTCCGAGACCATTGCCAACCTCGACAAGCTTAGACACGCCGATGGTGACAAGTCCACTGCCCAGATCCGTCTCCACATGCAGAAGGTCATGCAGTCTGATGCTGCTGTCTTCCGTACCCAGGAGACTCTCGATGAAGGTAAATACATTTTCTATATATATATATATGTGTGTGTGTGTTTGGGTTACAGACAGATAGACAGATGTTTTTTTTAAAAAAAAGACAAACTATAAGCACAGACAGACAGACAGACACATTTATTCTTATTCAATTAACTAATGAATTTAAATTAATTAGGTGTTGTCAAGATTGACAAGGTCTTCCAGGAGTTCAAGGACGTCAAGGTCACTGACCGTGGCATGATCTGGAACACCGATCTTGTTGAAACCCTCGAGCTCCAGAACTTGTTGACCTGTGCTGCTCAGACCATGCACTCTGCTGCTGTCCGTACTGAGTCCCGTGGTGCCCACGCCCGTGATGATTGCCAGGATCGTGATGATGAGAAGTGGATGAAGCACACTCTCTCGTGGCAGGATCAGGAAACCGGTGAGGTCAAGTTGAGCTACCGTTCCGTAACTGCTACAACCCTTGATGAGGCCGAGTGCAAGCCTGTTCCTCCCTTTGCTCGTGTCTACTAAACCATTATAAACTAAAGAAACAAAGGAAAGAAACAACACAAGAAAAAGAGAGAGAAACAAAAATACTTGAAAAGATAATATTAAGTGATTATTATTATTATTACTGTTCTTTTTCTTATTGAATTCTTGTAATGTTTTTTTTTATATATCTATTTTCTTGTTCTTTTTGTATTTTATTTTTATATAATACATATATACAAAAGTAATCTTTCCTGCATTAAGAATGAAAAGAACAAGAAATTAAAAAAAATACATATATATATATACACAAACAAGCGAAAAAAAAAGAGTATACTTCTTTATCAAATATTGAAACAGAATATATAAAGAAGTGAAATAAAGCAAAGAAGTATAAAGTTTCCGTATTACGGATGACATCGCCGTAAATACAATCTCCGCTCATTAGTTTTATTAAGTACATAAAATCAAGGGCATTTATAATATGTATTTATATATATAAGAAAATAAGGAGGGAAGGAAAGGGACAAAGAGAAAGTGAAGGAGGTGGGGGCATTCAATAGTTTTTGACTCTTACATATATTACTTGGAAATTTACAATTGATAATATACATATTTGTACCAAGTTGTTATTTGGATAATTTAATTAATTAATTTATGGTTAAAAAATTAAAAAATTAAAAAACTATTCAGAAATATCATTTCATATACGGTATATTACTCTCCCTTTTTATTTCTTTTTTATATTAACTTTTCTTGGGTAAATATAAGCGATATTTATTGCTAGTGCTTAAGCTATATCAATATACAATAAAGAAGAAAATAAATGTATAGACAAACTATGATTATATTGATTAAGAGGGTACCATAATGGGTATCTTTAGTAATGATAATAATATATGCTATTTATGTGCTTGGATACTTGAGAGATATATAATAAAGAAGTCCTCAACATCAATATATATATATTGCATCACATTAGGCATTTTTGGATATGTAGATATCAATGAGATTCTTTTATTCTACTACTCATTAAACTGTATTGGCACAAATTAAACTAAATCAAATCGAATCAAATATATATATAAAAGAGTGTAAGAGAGAGAGAGAGAGACGTAATGTAAGGTTACGATGAATTTTTTGCTTTGGTTTTTGTAAGATTAAAGGGGTGTACCTCTGCAAGCTTAACAGCCATTGTCTAACCAACAAAATAAAAGAGAAAAAAAAATGAAAGTAGAAAGTATGATATAATTTCTAAGCTGTAAGCTACACCAATTGTTACACACGTGACATTGGCTTTTACTGCCAAAAAGAGAAAGCAAGCAAGCAAGCACTATAAGAAGAAAGAGAGAGAGAGGGAGAGAGAGAGGAATAGAACGAAGAGCAATTAAGATAGACGTTAAGCTTCACGGGTTTGCAACATTGATTTTTCATTGGGTTACGGCATTTTATTACTTTTTTTGAAAAAAGCACTATATATATAAAATATATTATTACTTTATTATAACAATTGATACAATTTATAAATTTCTATTTCTCTCTAATCTTTTTTTTTCTTTCTCGTTTTCTCTTATTAATTATTCAAAATGCTTATCAAAGTCAAGGTAAGATTTCCAAAATGTTAACATTTCCAATCAACTCATTCATGTTCACTAGACTTTAACCGGAAAAGAGGTAAAGAACGAACGAACGAACGAAAGAAAGAAAGAAAGAAAGAGAAATAGATTAGTGATGTGAACATTGAAAGCTAATCAAAAAATAAAATAAAATTAATATGTACATATGTGCTTATGTATGTATATGTGTGCGTGTGCGTGTGCGTGTGCGTGTGCGTGTGTGCGTATGTGAATGTGCATATTTAGATCGAGATTGATATCGAGCCTAATGACAAAATCTCGCGCATCAAGGAGCGCGTAGAAGAAAAAGAAGGTATCCCACCGCAGCAACAACGTCTTATTTACACCGGCAAGCAAATGTAAGTTTAAGACTAGTGCGTTTCATTATTATTTTTTTTATTAATAGAAATAAAGAAAGATATAAAAGATAAAAGAAGTGTATAGGTTTAGTTTCGTTTAATGTAGTGTGTTCTTCTTCTTGATCTTTATTTTAATGCACATGATACAAGGATATACATAGATAGATATATAGGTATATAAATATATGACCTGAGAAATGTAAATAAATGTATATATAATGTGTATATGTGTATATGTGTATTTTGTATGTAGGGCCGATGATGTGACAGCCAAGGAATATCAGATTGTTGGAGGATCAGTCTTGCATCTTGTGTTGGCTCTTCGTGGTGGCTATTAAACAATATATCTATATCTATATATCTATACGTATGCGCGCGCGCGCGTGTGTGTATGTGTATGTCTGAGTATGCGTGTACGTGTGCGTATGTGTCGTATGTTTTGTGTTTGCGTCTGTCTATGTGTGTACACATAATTACACCCACACACATATATACACACATCTGTGTGTGTATATATATAAAATAATAAAGAAGTATATATACATAAAAAATATAAATATCTATATATCTATGTATCTATCTATTTATGCATGCGTTTGTATGCGCGTGTTTGTAGTTATACAGAAAGAAGTATATTTTGGGTAAAAGGTACAATCAATTCGGGTGCTTCTTCAAATACAACCATCATACCCATCATCATATGAAGCGTATTATGACAATGGACAGCCCAAACTCCTGGATTATCCTATATTATACATATAAAGATAAATACGTTGAGTTGAAAATAAAGATAGATATATAAAAGAGGAGTTATTAGTAGTAGGTATACTTACAGCTAATATCCGAATCTTGGACCAGCCACATCCAATAGAAGTATCATTATCGTTTGAGCTTGCTTCCAATTCATGGTCAAGTGAAGGATATACCATAGTGACGTCTTTGTAGAGTGGTGTAGGCATATTCCGAGTATCCTGGTCATACTCTGGATCATACTCTCCTGATCCTGTTGCCAGTAGCCAGTGAGAGTGACCATGGGTATGCCAGGGATGACTGCGACAGTAACTGTGCTTTTTGTGCGTAGACTGAATGACGATATCAATGAGTTCATAGTGCCCAATCGGATATGTGCCCAGGGTCGCATCATATCCTGTTTTTGATCCCTTGAGTTGTCTGTAATTCGGCAGGCGTCGCTGAGATGTCTGCAGTCCATCGAGAATAGGAAAGGCAGGATCCATGTAAGACACGCCGTTGATGTACCACCGTGTACTTCCATCAGGATTTTTAGAATCAGTCGACCGCAGCACAATTGTCCTTGAGGCTGGCCGATAGACAACTGGATCAACACCGTGGTAGGGCTCAAGCTGAGGCCAGATCCAGGGCGCAATCAGCCTGGAAGGGAATTCGGGATGGTCGCTTGGAACGATCTTGTTTTCACTGCTGTCATCTCTAGCGTATGTATAGCGAAGAATCGCAAGTCCATTAGAGTGAGGGTCAGCATCCTCAGCCCAGCGCCGGATTGTGCCAATTGTGTAGTCTTGTGGTATCTGGTCCGTGTGCAAAAGAGCCGAGATTCTCTGGCCGGCGGCTACTTCTATATATGTGGTCTCGAATGGCTTAACCACCTCTCCGTCGACTTCAATTATTGTCAGGTTGTGATGAGCAATTGCGAAGCCAAGCGTGCGGAATGTGGTTGCGCCAATGATGCGCAGGCGGTAGGTTTTTCCAGCCTCGACCGGAATTACTGAGTAGCCCTCACACCTGTCTGGGACTTTTGATGGTTTGTAAATTGTTTTTCCGTTGATCAAGACACTTTCAGCATCTGGCAGATGAACAAATTCAGGGCCCATCATATAGTTTTCAAGGGTGTATCGATCCCTGTGCCACCACTCGCTCATAGTAATTATTCGCTCATCGTCATAGGTAAATGGGCCGGCCTGCAGACGCACAGGAGTTGATAGAGAAGATGATCCGGATCCGGGTGGCATTGCCTCAGGGGGGCGTGAATCGTCCGAATCGTAGACGATGAATGGTCCAAATACCGTTTCTTCTTCAAGGCCAACATGGGCATGGTAAAAGTAGGTGCCAGCCTGGTTGACGACCCGGAAGTCGTGGGTATATTCGTAGCCCGGTGGAATTGGGTGTTGAGTCACATATGGTACACCATCTGCATGTCCGGAGCCGTACTGACGGATACCGTGGAAATGGATAGATAGATCGTTGGGATTTCCGCCGTGGGATTTTCCATTGCCGACAAAGTCTGGCATCAGGTTTCGAACAGTGATCAAGACACGATCTCCTCGGTTGACTCGAATGGTAGGGCCTGGTAATTGGCCATTTACAAGCAAGGCAGTCGAACGCTGGTAGCAGTCTGGATCAATGCGGCTATTACTGACATTTAGTTCGTACACACGTACTCCATTTATTTCAGTGTCTGATAGCTGTAGCTTAGCAACGGATTCACACAATACCAATGGTAGGAACATAAAAATACACAGAAAATAGAAGCCAGCCATATGAAACATTTTTATTGTTATTGTTGTTGTTGTTCTTTTTTTTTGTCGATGACGATGACGATAATGATGATATTGTTGTTGCTGTTGTTAATTTTTTTTAATATAGAAATAGAGTAAGAGAAGTGTAGTGGTTATTAATTGGGTTTGACTAAATTGGACATTGGACAAGAATTGTATCTTTATTGAAAGAGAAAAAAAGGGAAAAAAGAGAGAAACCGATGGGTATATATATATACATCTCAACCCACACACATGGATAGATATTTATGTATTTATGTATGTGTATGTGTATTGTTTAAAAATAACACAATCTGTAGCAAATACAACCAAATGGAATGCAATTCTGAATGGCGTGAATAAAGCTTGCAGGCTAGTCACATTCTACAGGCTCTTGGATATTGATACAATCTTGTGGATATGCAATATATTCCTATCAGGTGTAACCTGCGCAGGCAATCTCGTAGTAACCGATGACATGTAAATCAATAACAATAAACAAATAAATATATAAATAAATAAATAGTCTAAAAGCCAAAAGAATAAAATGAAAGTCAATCGGTGTGTGCATTAGAGGTAACATACTAAGGTCTGGACCTGTAACAGTAGGAAAGAAAGCCAAAATGAACAAAAATATTTTACCAAGTAAAATAGACTTCTTGTACAATTCGAAAGGGCCGTGTACAAATTTGATTTACCCCAATAATTACTCTCATAACCCACACAAAACCCCCGCGTTTTTCTTTCCTTTTATTCTTTTTTTTTTTTTATAAAAAAAAACCCCATTTCATCTCCTACTCTGTAACACCCAATCTGTCTTGGAATTCAACTGTTCGAATCACCTAGTAGCCTTTGAGTTTTATCATCTTTCATCTTTCATTTATCTTTTTCCTCTTTCTTCTTCTCTCTTTCTCCTTCTTACTTCTTCCTACCTCTTGGTCTTCTAATGGAAGCTATCAAACCAATCGACATCACTTTTTGCCAGTTACCACCCGATCCCCCTGTTTATGACAATTCTGACCCAACTGCTATACGCAGGAAGCCCGGACGGAAGCCAAACCCAGCATCGCCCGCTCTACGTAAAGCTCAAAATAGAGCTGCTCAGCGTGCGTTTCGAGAACGTAAAGAGCGCCACACCAAGGATTTAGAGTCGACAGTTCATCAGATACGTGAACATAGAGACAGGCTTCGGATTGACAACGAGAGACTCAAGACAGAGTCCGAGATCATAAAGTCCGAGAATTGGTATCTCAAAGGAATAGTTCTTACGTTACAGCTGGTCTGTTTGCAACACAACCTTGTAATTCCCCAACATGGCCCTTACGTCAACGATCAAGCTCTCTCCGCCCTCGCTCAGTCTATACCCCACCCCATTGCATCCTACATACATGCCAATGCCAATGCTAACAATAAAATATCAGATGTGCCAGTAACAGGAACAACGGCAAAAAAAACAACAACAACAAATGTCACTCACGTACAACAAATCCCAAGGGAGTCCGAAAAATACCTGTCCAAGGGTTCAATTCTAGTCAACAAAGACGGCTTGCTCCACCCTATTCCAGGAGTATCAATGTCATCGCACCAACCACTTTCCAACTCACCCACCACGTCAGTCAACCGCCGCTCAGACATCGTACAATTGCATTCCCACGCAACAAATCTACCTAGGGAATTAAAAGAACCGGCTGCGTCTAACCTAGCAGCAATCGAAGCTCTCCGTCTTCGTCTTCAAACAGGACCAACCAATCAATCAACTCCGTTTACCATCCAGCCTACTGTATTGCAGGTAGGCTCATATATACACAAATTAGTTGCCAAGTAAACAAAATGTTCACAAGTGTCTTCATTAATTCACTTACTAATTCAATTTGTTCACTCAAACTTGTTCATTGGTTGGTTGATTGACTGATTGATTGAAAAATACAAACAAATGCATATCATACATCAATACATCAATACATACATTAACAACCAAACAAACAAACAAACATATACACAATAAGTTGACCATTCCACACGACCCTCGTATTGACCTCATCCCAACCCCTCACATGCGCGACCGGATGATCTTGTTCCGCGATCAATTTGATCTCGATGACTGCTTTCGCTGTTTAGTGGGAAATTCTGTTTTTCACGGCGGAGATCCTGCATTGGCTGGCAACTGGCAACTAGCACCAGAATTCTTTGAAAAGTTTTGGTTCCTGACGATCGATTATGATTTGCGTCGTACTACCAATCGCTGGAGACGTCTTCAGGGTCTTCACGACATTGCACCAAATGCATTTCAACGATCACAACCCCAGGTCTCCTTTTCGGACCTTTCATCATTTTTCGGACTGGCCGTGCACCTTGGTCAGACATATGGCTCACCTGAGAGCAATAACAGCAATAACTACAGCAACAACTACAGCAACAACTGCAACAGCAACAGTAACAGTAACAGTTACAATAGCAATAGCAATAGCAATAGCAATCTTAATAGCTACAATAACAATTGTAACAGCAATTATAACAGCAACAGTAGTATCAGCAGCAACAATACATCTACATCTTCTATATCGGATAACCAAAATATATCATCAGAAGCTGGAAGTATGTGGGACACCTTGTGGATGGAACAGCAACGAAATGACTTTGGTAAAAATAAGAATAAGTTTATCTTTATCTCTATTTACATGTCCTGACATTTGTACAATTGTACATTTGTACATTAGATAACATGCTCAACACCATGGTTGATGCCAGTCCAATCTATTGATAGCTATGGTGATAATGGCAATGAAGAAAAAGAAGAAGAAGAAAATACTTGTTTCATCTGAGCTTTGTATAATCCTAATCTCTTTTGATCTGTTTGTAAGTTCTTAATCTTATTCCTTTTGCACCTCTTTGTATTGTACTTCTTTATTGCACCTTTTTATTCTTTTTTCATTATTTATTTATTTATTAATTTCTTAAAAACATATATATATATACATATGTATATTTATACTTCTCTATACACATACACTGTACATACATTAAATAAACTAAATACACTACATGTACTGTACTCTGCTGTACTGTACTATATACACATTACATACACTACATATATTCATACCTTTTTTTTGGGTTCTTTATTTCTTTAATTCTTTTGGATTTTTTTTTATTAACAAGCTTAAGAAAGTTGTGTGATTATTAGACTACTTTATCATTGCTTTCTATTTATATATTTATATATATATAAAGGAAAACTATAAAAAGATTAGCTTTTTAAAAAAAGTATTTTCATCTTTGTATTTGTATAATTATAGAAATGTATAAAGTAAATAAATAAATAAACAAGTCGAGTAGACTCATTTGATAGAAATTCTTTTTGATTTTGAGATTTACTTTTTGCCTCTGCCTCTGCCTCTGCCTCTGCCTTTGCCTTTGACTCTGCCTCTGCTTCTGCCTCTGCTTCTATCTTTACTTCTGCCATGTGCTTAGATATGTCTGTGTGTGCTTGTGAAATATGTATATGTATATAGAGATGGTCGTGTATTTGTATGGGTTATATGCAGCTTCATTTAATCTTCAAAGTAAAGATTAAAGCAGAGATGTGTGTCGAACTGCCAAAGCTATTGCATATGCACGCATATAATCATAAACTGGTCCTTTGAGATCACCCTGTTCCCACCCAAGTAAAAGTGCACTCTGCATCATCCGTAACACATGCACCTCCCGCAGAGCCTGGCTTTCTTGCCATTCTTTGTACGCCACAGACGCGTCTTGGATAGCATCCGACAGAGTCGAGGGTTCAAATAGATAAGCATTGCTGGTCTGACCAACCAAAATAGATTTACCAGGTTGGCGTGGACGGTCCACTAAAAACTCTTTTAAGCCCCCTGCACCTGTCGATATCACAGCCGCTCCAAACGACAACCCCTCTACCGCCACCAGACCAAAGCTTTCCGTGAGGCTTGGCACAAACACAAAGTCGGCTGCAGCGCGATAGTAAGTCAGCCACTTGGATTGTGCACTTGCCGAGGACATCAGCACAACGTGTTCTGGGTTCTTCTTGGCCAGGTCTTTGATCCAAGAAAGTGGGTAATTGTTCGGCTGGCCAATAATCGCAAACTTCATGTCGTGCTCAACAAACAATCGTACAGCCTCCTCAAAGATCTCCAACCCTTTGTTGTATTGGAATCTGCCGACAAACAGGACCAGCGGCCGGGTAAAGTCTTCAGGGCTGAGTTGGCCCTTTTCAATTAAGAATTGTTTGACCTTGTCTTTTGCTAGACTTGCATTATCTTCTGGGGAATTCGACAGCATCCAAGGCAAAGGCGAAGATTCTGGCTGGGCATTCTTGAGGAGCAGTCGCGCATATGGAGGGAAGGCAAGCTGCTCTCGGACTAACTGTGGGTGATCGAATGGGTTGAGTCTAGTAAAGTCAACACCGTTGCTGATACCAAAGAACCTATCTTGCATAGCCTTGCGCAGCAAAGAATCCATCACAAGTTCTTTTAGATAGAAATCCAGTCTGCCCTCAAGCATGTCTGCAACCATACTCCGGCTCACAAAAGTAACCACATCTGCCTTTTCGATGGCCAGACTTGCCATAAACATCTGGTCCCCATAGACATATGCTGGATCAACCTGACCGAATCTCTGGACATTTGATACCTTGTTAGTGTACTGAAGCTCATCCAAATAGTCGTGCATGGTGTACACAACCGCCGGTCGCAAGGACCCAAGATGATCATTCTCTGCAAGTGTCTGTAGATACTGTGTCAGATATGCATTCGTTGCCCCATGTAAATGAACCACGTCGACCTGAGGGGCTTTTCCAAAAGGCGCAAACAAGGGCTGTTCGTCATATGCAGTCGTAAGATGTGAGATGAGTTGTCCGACTGCCTTTAAAAAATACTGGTCCTTCCACTCTTGGGGTAACTCTTTTGGCGAGGAATATATTTCGACCGGAGCTTTGGCCCGGAAAGCACGGTTGAGTGGACTAAGTTTGCCTGGCCCAATCAAATACACATTGATAACCTCACTCTCAAGAGTTGCATTTGGTACAACTGGATACTTCATCAAATAAACCGAAAATTCGACAGGCTTCGTTTGTCCACGGGTGTCAGTGATATCTACGCGCAAATCAACCAAACGCCGGACACGGTTCCTGGATCTCACAAACGAATACATGGGCATAATAACCGACACATCAAGTCTTCCGGTACGTTGTTGTGCGGATGCCATGGCTGTCAGCACTTGTCCCATACCTCCCATTGTGGCAGGACCGAATTCCTTTGTGACATGATAAACAGTCGTGCCTGGCTTAAGATTTGGAGGTAACCGAGTGCTGAGATGCTTATAAGAGATAGGTTTATATTGTCTTAATGCTATTAATATTCCGCCCAAAAAAAAAGAAAAAAAAACGAAACAAAGAAAAGAAAAAGAAAATCTTGAATTAATAAGAATTTAAACATGACCCGGGTAAATAACCTTGCACATACCAACACGAACGTCTGGCTGTGTTTTTTGCAGCATCGTTAATCCTGTAATGACCAAGATTATTTCAACAATACCGAGGAAGCCGATAAAAAGTCCAAGTAGCTGCCACCACGATCGCTTCTGGAAGAATCCGAGTGGATTTCGGGATGAGATGGTTTTTATGATCAACCTGATCGACAGAGGTGTCCATTTACGATGTTCATTTGAGTTGATGGGATCTCCTGCAAAAGACATTGCAAAAAAAAAGAAGCAGCAAGAGAACCTTGTTATAAAGATCCGACGGGACTTGAAAGAATAAGAAGAGAGAGAGAGAAAAGAGGGAATAAAGGGACCCTGATAGAATTCTAGGATTTTCTTATTTCTACATTAACACACACACAAAAAGAGAGAGGGAGATAGAGATAGAGATAGAGATAGAGAATTAAATGCCCTAGCTAATTACCTTACGATTTGTAGAGGTATACATACTCCCGGACTCCCATACACTTGACTGACATATATGAATTGAATTGAATTGAATTGAATTGAATTACCATTGCGAGTGTAAAATTATGTATAATACTTGTTGTATTCACAGAATTCAATTACAAGTAGCCAGTGTTGTATTACACATGTGTGGCTGTGGGTGTATGTGGCGTTGAAGTAAATAGATGATTCAGCCTACACAGTAAAGATATCTGTAGTTTTCAACTTGATACTTGATCTTTTTTTTTTGTATGTGACTGAGAACAATGGTTTCCCTTTTTTTTTTAACATTTTTTTATACAGACAAATATATTCATACACACACACACAAGTCCTTGTATAAGTCTCCTAATCTTTTTATTATTATTATTATTATTATTATCATTTTATAATGGCATTACCTCGTACACACCAGGCAGCATTCACACCTCAAGAAGTAGAATTCCTGTCAGGAAATGAAATCCTAACGATCATCCCAACCCAACGCATCAACGAAATAGATCTCATTCAAGTAAATTATTACAACACACAACACTATTCCCCTTGACATTTTACCTTAAAAAATACACACAAACACACACGCACAATTCTACTTGCACATGCACATGCACATGAACACACATACACACACAATGTACTCTATAGAAATCAGTTGGTCCATTTCGTCCTCCTCTCCAGTCAAAAGTTCCACTCTGGTTGGCAATCTTGATGAAGAAACAACACAAATGTACTATTGTTTGTCCTGACTGGCTTACTGTCGAATTCCTTAAAGATCGCCTGAAAGAAGAAGAAAACGATGCGGATTTCAGTAAATTACCATTCCATTATATGGAAATGGCTCAACTGTTATTGGAAAAGTATGCGTGTGTGCAAATTAGGACTATGAGGAGCAACGTTTAAATGACATCTCTTTATTTATTTATTTTTTAAAAAAAGTGCACGCGATGATGTCCCCAATTCAGAACAAGTTCGTACCTTGCTTAAAGATCTTCGAGAAACTAGACAAGCAAAGTCGAGAGTTGGTTTAGCTGAATTGGATGATAATTGGCTTGGGGTAAAATCGATAGAATTTGTAAATTATAAAGCTGTATTTCTCATTACTGTCATGTATGTAGATGAACAACCTGTCATTGATGGAAATCAACGAGATCCGCCCATTCTTTACGCGTGCTTATGATCAGATCCGTAGACTTAATCCCGATGAACCTGATCGTAAAGCAAGATCAGCTAACTAAAGTGAACCATTCTTCTTCACCACTTCTCCACAACAACAACCACCACCGCCACCTTTTTCTAAAGAAAAGAAATATAGTTCTACAACCTGTGAATAAATACTACTTTTTTTTCTTTTTTTTTTATGTATATATACATATATATGTTTGTGTGTGCATGTGCATGTGCGTGTGCGTGTGTGTATGTATGTATGTATATATGTATGCATATATATATATATATATATCTCAGAATAATGCAGAAAATGAAGTTTAAAAGAAACTGAATATGACATCTAGACATGACGAGGGAGGATAGAAAAGGGTTGAATGGGTCGTGTGTTTTCAAGATCCAAAGCGTAGAACAAGCAATCTTTGGTCTGCTCGAGTCGATTAGTTTGACGGTAAACCTCACCAAGATAAAACCTATGGAATTTTAACATTGAATGAATAAATGAATAAATAAGCAAACAAAACAGAGGATATTGTCTATAATCCCCTCACTCCTCATCAAAGTAATTTACCATGCTTCTGCAGAGTCCCAGCCATTGCTCTTGGTCACTGAATCCAAAAGACCTTCTGCAATCTCAAGATCATTGTTCTCTATATATGTTTTGGCCAACCAGACTTTACAATCCACATCATTAGAATCAGCCACAAGACCCTTTTGGAACGCCTCGGTAGCGAGTTCTGAATGGCCTTGAGCCAATCGAAGGCGACCCAGCATACACCATACGTGTGGGCTAGTAGTCCATTCGACATTTTCAGCCTCCTCAATTGCCTTGGAAGCTTCTTCTAATTTACCGAGCTGGAGGAAATAAGAAGCTGTTAGTAGCCAGAGGTTGGACAGAACCCGGTGTGATCGCTGAATTCTTAATCTAGCACGGGTAGTAGGGCGGGTAGGCAGTGATGAAGGTTGGAAGAGCGATCGAGTGCTTGTTAATGAAGGTGCCAAGCTATTAAAGGATTGTGAAGACCCTCCCATGGGGTATAAATTGCGCGAGTCTTTGACAACCCACAAAAGTGTAAGATATTGTGAAACAAACAAAAAAAATTGATTGATAGATCTGGATTAATCTTGTTTCTTTTCCCTTACCTGCAACAGATTGTTTACTCATAGTTGCGTTCTTCTCATTCCAAAGACCTTCGGGAATCTCCTTTCTAGCTCGTCGACCACTACTACGAGAGCCAAACAGGTGGAGTCCGTGGTGTGTTTTGTGTTCATTTTCACTTTCTACAGGTGAGACACCAAGAGAACGATCCTGTCGGCCATTGACAGACGAAGTTGATCGAGCACGGCTGCCTAAAAATCCTCCGCCTGGGTAACTTGGACTGGAACCATCGGGGGTCATGCGTGGCTGATCCACCATACTACCGATACTGCTCACGTTGCTCGAACTTCTTCCGCGTCTCATCTTCTGCTCGGCTGCTAATTGAATTTCACTAAGATTTCCAAAGGATCCTGAAACAACAATCTTGTGGTTATTGTAGGCTGCAGCAGATGGGTCGTGAGATAGACTTGTAGAGCTCATAGAATAGTCTGGGATAGCAATTTTGCTATAAGATGTAAATATATTCTCTTGTGACTGCAATGCAGCCTCCGCTCCCAGAGTAGCGTTCAACAGTAGGCTTTGAGTGATCTGTAATGAGATGTGTTGTTCTGATATAGCATATCCAGCCAAAGTGTTTTTAGTGCCACCACTGTATCCACTAGCATTTGTCTGGTTGTCATCAGACGCATCAATCTGGGATTCTTGTAACCCCATATCGCACACCTTTATGGCATAACTGATATCGTTACGGACAGGGCACGAGCATGCAAGGGTGAGCAATTGCCAGGACGGTAAGTGTCCAGGATTGGCCTGTATGGACTTTGTGATAGACTGGATTGCCTGAAGAACATCTCTCATGTATGCTTGTTCAAGAGCAAGCTGATAGTGGGACTCCCAGGCATTCGGGTCAATGTCGATCGATTTGGTTAAATAGTGCACAGCTTTCTCGTGATACGTAGGACGCAGAGCGGGATCACTGGCTAGTAAAGAAGAATTTTCATACATACATTACTAAATCTGTGTATATTTCCAATTATATATATATATATAAACTTACTCTGAGTAGCCAGCAAGCTGTAGGCTACACCCACAGATCTGTACACTTTCCCTCCAAGATCTGTCCATTCCTCGTCTCCCACTAGCTCCTGGTTAATCTCTCTTAACTTTCTCAACGCCATTTCAGCCATTTCCACAGCTCTCACGCCTAAATTGAGTTCATTGCAATAAATCTTTACTGCTTTTAACAGCACTCCTAATACATTGTCAATCGATTCGTGCTCAATACTGCGGTGTGAGGCCATTTCCTGATCTTCTTCATCGTCAGTGGCAGAGAAATTAGGAATAGGTATACTGTGGCCTTGAGCATCAGTAGCCAATGCAACCCCCTTTGACCTGTCTTCTTCCCAAGCTTGAGATGTCAAACCAACCAGATACATGTATGAGTGGAGAGCGTGTTCGGCTTCTTCGTATTCTCCCAATAGAACCAATGTATTAAACAAATGACGTGTAATCCGGGGCGAGTTGAAAGTATGTTGAGCAGCCCTATCCAAAGCCTAATATATACATAAAAGAATATGATGTTTTTATATTATTATAATAAAGTAGGAAATAATATAAATAAATAAAGCTTTAACATTTTTGTTACTTTATATTATTATTATTATTAAAAGTACCTCAATAAATGCTCTGAATTCAATAGACGATCCTCCGATAAGCTTGAAATCTTCTGCCAACTGATCAACGTAGTCTAAAACAGGCTTGTTGACCTCGCCAGATCGAGGAAACTCCATGCCAGTGTAAAGCATTTTCTCATAGACTATGTGAATTGAACTAACTTCAATTGCGAATAATTGACGTTCCAGCTGTGCTCCATTAAGTCTATTGTACAAGTATATTAATACAAGCCTACAAAGTCTATATCCTCTCTCTTTCTATATATAATTTGAAATTCTCCTCTCTTTTTTTTTTACCCAGTTGTTTCTATAGGCTGGTTTTTTGGAGGACTATAGTTGCCCTGGCGATAAACGTCGGATAGGAAGCGAAGAGAATGACGCGAGATAACCATACGTTTGTGCATACGCCAATTGAAGTTTTGTGTAGTAGTAATGTCTTGGTAAGCGCGCAAGATGCTTAAAATATTTGGTGTAGATTGTGACCTGATAATTCATTTTCAAAAAAAAATAAGCTATCAAAATATTCTTTTCTTTCTTTGTGCATTTATAGAATGGCACCTACATTTCACGCAAACCCAGCAAAGTACCTCTATAAAGAGCATCTTCTGCCCATTCGACTAAAGCAGGTTCCTTTTGTCCTTCATGACTATCAATAAATGAAGCAATGTCTTCGTAACTAACCAGGGCATCTTCGATATTCCCGGTCAATTCCAAACAAATGGCTACACATATAAATTTTACACAATATTCAGCTGACAATACTCTTTACACACTTTCTCTGTATCTATTTAGCTAGTTATTTCCAAAAATAAATTTACACACTTGATTACCTTTGATAACCCTTGCCTGTAAAAAGAGAATGAAATTGTAGCCTGTCTTTACATCAGGTTTCAGTGACTTCAATTGATCCACATATTCCAATGCCTTTTCAAATTCGCCACTCTCATGGTATGTGCGAGCCAATATTACTTTGGCGAGCTAATAACATAATATATATTCGTTAAATATTATCTAGAAGAAAGGATAAGAAGTATATATTGTTGTGTTTAATGTAGTACCTCCTTAGTGGTATGATTATCAGAGCCTGTTGATATCTGTAAAACAGACTCGAGTTGGTTTTGAATAGGTCGGACTTGGTTTGTAGTAAGACGAGGAGGGAGAGTGATATGTGTAGGCGAGTCTTTAAAAAATGAGGCAGAGTCGTGGGCATTACCAACGAGGTTCGCGAGGGATGCCTCTGCAAGAATAGTCTTCTCGAGAACTATTTTGACGCCGTGAGTTTTTCTTTTCTTTTCGAAGGAAGAAGAGAAAATTTAATCTTCATCATCATTTGAATGCTTACCAGCTCCTTCGGGATTGTGCTTTCGGTATCGTCGAGCAAGTTCTGGAATGGCTTCCCAGTTGCCTCTACAACGGCAACTGTCGATGTCCTTTGCAATCTGAGTAGCTTTAGGTGTTGTCATGAGTAAAAGCAATCAGGAGTTAAAAGTATAATTGAGTGAGCGTAGACGTGTATATATAGATATATAGAATTGTGTGCGTATTTTTTATGGTTGTAGTTTATGAGGTTGGTAGGTAAAGAAGAAGAGTAAAACAACTAAAGAAATAAAGAAAGGGAAAATAGAAGAAATTATGATACAAGGGGGTACCCTAGTATACTTATAAGGAAGAAATAAAATTAAAGAAAAAAAAAAGAGTGAGTGAATGAGTGAGTGAGTGAGTGAGTGTGTGTGTGTGCAGGCCAAGTTTTTTTTTTCTTTCTATGTCAAGCGAGATAAACGGTCAAGCGCCTTGTCAACCCAGAGGCGTTGCGTATGTCCGGAATTGGAAGGAGGACTCCCGCGTGAATAGAGCGGACATCCAAGCAACAAGGACGTAGAAATAGAATGTCAGGATCAAGAGAGAAAAAGATTGAAATGAACAAAATAAAATAAAATAAAATAAAATGAAATGTGAGCGGGGAAGAATATTGTCTTTGTCTTTCCTTACTATTATTATTATTATTATTATTATTATTATTATTATTGGTTGTTGACAAAATGATCCTTCAAAGATTCTTTTCCACAAGTTTGCGATCTTCATTTCCTCGTGGAGTGAATAGTACAACCCATTTGACGACCAAAAACAGCAAGTCATTCAAACTCGTATCTTTCCCAGAACCACCTGAATTACTACCGAAAGACAAGTCATTTGGTAACCGTACATTTGCCAGACCAGTACAATTTATCAAGAGTGTATCTTCACTTGAACAAGCACCCGCTCGAGATCTTCCAGAGGTATGACAGCAACAACCCTCGCAATATGTATATATATATATAGAAATAGGAATGATAATGGTAATAATATTAATAATATTAATAATAGGTTGCATTTGTAGGAAGAAGTAATGTTGGTGTAAGTTCAAAACGGACTACCTCTATATACCTCTTATACACAATACAATAATAATAATAATAATTCTTTCTTCCTGTGTGTGTGTCTACTAGAAATCAACATTGATCAATTATCTGACCAACAACCATAATTTGGTCAAAACATCAAGTAAACCTGTAAGTAAAGATACAATAAACTGTTTCCAACCAAAATAATATGTACATATACAAAATATTAAATCAATTGGAAGGGAAAATCCTTTATTTACAAAACTAAACCAACAAAAAAAAACCTTTTTCTCATGTATATATATATTATAGGGTCATACACGGTTATTAAACTTCTTTAATGTGTCTGACAAATGTACTCTGGTTGATATGCCTGGTTATGGGTTCAGATCGCGTGAAGAATGGGGAGATTTGATTATAGACTATTTGACCAATCGCAAACAGTATGTATAAAACTTGATGGAAGAAAACAACGCCAACGATAACGCCAGCAATAACATATACAAATTTAAAAGAAAAAGAAAAAGAAAGACTTACGATATAAAAATATACATATAAATATGTATTCATACGTATTAAAGATTAAAGAGGCTGTTTATTCTCGTTGATCCAACCGCCGGCCTCAAGGACACCGACAAGCAATTGATGGAGATGTTGGATAAACAGGCAGTGTCTTATCAGATAATCTTGACAAAGAAGGATCGATTGAACAAAGAGGCATTTGAGACATCCAAGTCAACCATTGAACGTTACTTGGTTGACAACGCCATCTGCTGTTATCCCGAGCTATTATCTGCAGGCAAGGCACGACGTAGTAAGAACAATACTGATCAGACAGCAGAGGATATAACACGTGTGAGGTGGGCAGTGTTATCAGCAGCAGGTGTGAATGCTTAAGAATAAATGAATTCTTATTCTTATATTTTTATTTTGAAAAATATAATATAATAAAATAGATGGCATACTTTTTTATACTTGGTTTTTTTTTGTTTTCTTTTTGGGTTAAAAAAAGCAGCAAAAGAAGCATATTTGGAAGGGTGGAATGGATAGATAGAGAGATAGAGAGATAAAGCATAAATCTTTGCAGTTGTCTAATTAATTAATTACTGCTGTTGACCGCTGCTCGAGGTCTGCAGTCAGTTTCGGAAAGTGTACGAATATAGATAGCATCCGGAGAATGATCTCTTTCTCCTTCGTCATAAGTATAGCTACTAGCAATAGCAAGTGTCTTGCCGTCAGGGCTAAATGCCAGACTGGAGATCTCGTCTGGGAAGCGAGGAAACTGGCGAATGCGCTTACGATGGACACCATCCCAAATGCTTACAACACAGTCAGATCCACCCGATGCAAATGTGCCATGGGTAGGGTGGAATGCCAGAGTATTGACAGGATAGACAACCTCGGTATCATTGATGGTCTGTCGGTGAGATTTGAACGCGTACTTCTTGGCCTGTGATTCCTCAGACGTGTCAAAGAACTCCAGGGCGACGCGACCTTCGATAGACGCGCATGCATAACCTTCACCATTCGGCATACACCTGATTGACTTGAGCATGTATTTCAAAGACGTTTCTCTCGTATAAAGCGGGGCGTCCATGTTGCGTACATCATACACATGAACCTGTCTATTGGCCATGGCTACGACCAGAATGTTGTTCTTTGTATCCATGCTAAACACTTTCTGTGGGAGAATCACTTTTTTGATCTCGGCCTTTTTTTCTTCTAAACGAGGATCCCAAACTTTCAAAGTCTTATCCCATGAACCAGTGTAAACATTCTGTGTTTCTGTATTCCAGCAGATGCTTCGAATAGCCTCTTCGTGTGAGCCCAACAATTTGGTTGTGTTTGTTGCCAGATCAAGCCTAATAGTTTATAGCAAAAAAATCGTGTTTTGTTTATGTTTGATAACATCCAAACACACACACATATACACAAGACAATGGTTTGGTTGGTTGGCTTTTTTCTAAATAAAAATTCTATCTTCATTCATTCATTCATTCGAATCGATTCCTACATTGTTAATTTTTTGGCAATTCCACCACTGTAGGCAACTTGTCCATCGCCAAAGCATACATCGAGGACAGCTCCTTCGTGATCAAAACGTAAAAGCTGACGGTTCTGTTCGATATCGTAAAGGCGAACTGTCTATAATAATTAAGCACAATCAGTTTGACTTTTTCTTTAGTTATTCTTCTTTGTGTCTATATCTTGCGATTAAGTATGTATAAATTAATAGTAAACAAAAATAGTAAAAAAAAAAAAAATCTTACAGAATCCCAAGAAGAGACAAGAAGTTGATTAGAGTCCAGGGGATTAAACACTAGACTTGAGATTCCGTCTCTTGGAGGATCAGCAATTTCAAATTGAGTCGATATCGGTTCCTGCATTTTTGGTAATATGTATATGTATAAAAAAAATGAAATGAAATGAAATGAAAAAAAAAATACAATTAAAAGAAGGCTGTCATCGACTGACACTCCCCACTTTATATTATATTGTATTGTATTTGGGGGGAGGAAGAAGGCGGGTTTTTTTTTATTAGTTAACCTGTCGGTGGTTTAAAAATATGCGTCACGAGAAGAAATCTTTTTGCGATCGCAAAAAATACAAGTTGTGCTAACAAACGTACAATCTGAGACTAATGAAATATTCAATCGTCAAATTTGTTTCAATTTCACCAATTCAAAAAAAAATAAGAAATGATGATATATATAAATATATTGATTTGAAGTAAAATGCAATTAAGGATATATATATATATGTGTATGTATGTATGTATATTCCACTATAAGAAAAAAAGGTGGATTTATATCAACCTTTCCTTTTTTCTCTTTCTTGTTATCTTTTGTCCAGTTTGGTTTAAAGAAATTAAGAAATAAAAGAGGGAAAGAGATAAAGAAGATAAAGAAGATATTTGAACCAAAATAAAGAAGAATAAAAAAAAAAGAAAAAATGTTATTGGACAAAAAAAAACACAAAAAAACAAAAACAAAAGACTGGTGGAGTTTATGAACAAAGGATAGATGGGAAAAGAAGATATAGAAAAAGGGGGTGACAGGAGTATGGGAGGAAGAATGTAGAAGAGTGGTATTGGTGAGTCTGCTTAGATCTGTTGGCTGTAAAGAAGTAGTAGTAGTAGTAGTAGTAGTAAAAGAAGAAGAAGAAATGTGGGATTGAATGTGTATATAAGTTAGAGGTTAGAGGTTAGAGGTTAGAGGTTAGAGGAGCTCAGACGTGCTTGTATCACGGATACATTAGGGACACCTCTTTCAGTCTAAAGACAAAACGGAATAGAATAGAATAGAACAGAATACGATATTAGAATGATATTATATCATAGCTGTATAAAGAAATTATTCAACACAGCAGTACAAACACTATACCTTGATATCTACCGTGTCTGGAAAAAGAACATCTTCTTCTGGTCCTGTCAAGGCACATTGGTAGAATCCGCATCTCTAAGTGTGTAACCAACCCCACAGAATTTTTTATTAATAAGACCGCGTGGACACAATTGGGCAATTAAGTATTATTTTTTTATAGGTATAGTTGAATGCATATGTATGTATATATGTATAATCATAATAACTGTTCTCAATTTTGTTTTCAATTTCTTACCTCTGACCATGGTAACCGACACACCCAGCAAAAACAAAAGCCACACAACGAGCAATCAACCTTGTTACAGCCCTCATCTCGATGGATAAGAATAGAACACGAGGGGCATTGCCGACTGATCAACAACCCAAAAAAAAAAACAGCTAATTAGCTAATTGCAAAAAGAAAAAAGAAATAACTCACACTTCAAAAGCCCATACACACACACACACACTGTCTATACAAGAATGGAAGAAAGAAATAGAGACTTGCCTGTGCTCAAGTGTCCACTTTACTGTCTCACTACTTTCAGAGGGTGCTTCTGATTCAAGAATGTGTCTCATTGCAGCTTCACATGTCATTTTCGGATGGGCATTTTGTCCACACTGAAGACAAAAGGGGGTGTTGCAAGCGCGACTAAGACATATAAAAGAAAATTAATATATATATGTATGTATATATGTATATATGTATATATGTATGTATGTATGTATGTATGTATGTATGTAGGTATATATATGTATATATGTATATATGTATATATGTATATATATAATGGTGAGACGAAAGAGGGGGTGGTGAGGGATAGAAAATAATAAAAAAAAGTTGAAGACTATACCATTCATGGACAGGGAAAAAAGAAATGTGGGCAAACTGAAGCTGTTTCCAAGTGTCAGGTTTCATATCCAACAAGAGGATACGATGTGAGATTGCAAGTAGATTAGAGTGATAGGCTGTAGAGTCTACTACTGTTCTGAATAAGAGAAGCATCGTACGCCGGTAGATTTCGGGTAGAGTGGCGTTGTGCCAGGTTTGATGGTCGTAAATCTGTAATAGTTGATCCATTTCAGGGCCCTGGCAGTAAAATGGTAGTGTGTCCAATAGATCTTGGATCATTGTATGGACTTGGACTTGGGTTTGATTTTGTTTTTGAGCCTGAGCTTGAGTTTGAGTTTGAGTTTGTTGTTGTTGTTCTGAAAAGACGGCATTTTTATCTTTGTATTCACATGGAAATGCTTCTGTTTCGCACTGAGGACAGCAACGTGAATAGGGTCGATAGGGGCGGTTGAAACGGTTATAATGCTCGACTACGTGGGCTGGCACAAACTGACTCCATTCACTTTGTGGGATTTGGGTTTGACATACTGGGCAACGGATCTTCGTTACCGTGAGGCCCCAGGAAGACATGACTACCTCGGTAATGTATCTAGATAAACAAATAAATAAATAAAGACCATGAGCATAAGTATAAGCATAAACATAAACATAGACACAAGCACAAGCACAAGCACAAGTACACAAACAACAACAATAACAACAAAAAAGTACAAACACAGAAGATGGTCCTACCTGCGGAAGCAATCAAGACAATATTGATCGCGACAGTGGTCAAGACAGAGTTCAAGCCTGGCATCAAAGCATATTGAGCACCTCTCTAGCCAGTAGTCCATCTGCTGTTTTCCTTCTTGTTCGTGTCGCTGTAGATCGGCATCCGTGGCACGGTAAGGGGTCGGATGGTGCTGATGGGAAGGGGTGAACTCGCGGGGGCGTGTCATGTGATTGAGGAGGAAGTTTAGTATGGTCGACACCAGGGCAGCCACCAGAAACAAGGGAAACAGAACGATGTAGGTGATGCATGTGAGTAGACGGCTGCCAAATACAATGTGGGCTACTAGCTGGAGTAAGGATGATAGGCCGACTAGGGCAGGTTGAAGGTAGTCCAACAAGTTGAGCAAGATTCCTACTTTCTTCTGAGGGTCAACTGGAAAAAAGTCAATTCTGCTGGTATTCAAAGACATATGGGTATATCTGTATGTATGTATTTATGTATGTATTTATGTATGTATATATGTATGTATGAAGGTATGAATGTATTGATGTATGTATAAAATATATATATATATATAATTTATACAAGGTATCTATAAGATATATATATATATATATATATATAAGTGAGAAAAGTAAGAAGAAGAGGAAAGAGATGGAAAGCCAGGCTTCATCTTCCCAAGCAAGCGCATGAATAGGCAGCCATTCTAAACTCAGCAGTCATTGTTCTGTTGGACTACATATATTATTTTATATTACTATTATTGCCATTATCTCTAATGCAGCTGATTGATTGATTGATTTTTATTTCTGCTCATGTATCTTCAGCCATTCAAACCTCTTTATATATAAATATCCATAATTGAATTTTTTTTTGTTCCTTTATAACCCTAGCCTTTTGCCTATATAAATTCTGTACTCAGAGACTTCTTTCATTTTCCCTTTTAGAATAAAGAAGTCAAGGGAAACAAGAAAAAATAAAATAAAGAAAAAGTCAAATAGGTTGTTTATTATATTTGAAACACTAGTATATTTCCCTGAACTTTGGTGTATCTGTATGTGTGTGTATGTGTGTTTCTGTCGGGTCTGATTGTCCGAGACTTCCTTTGGGTCGATTTCATCTTGTAACACATCTTCCCACAACAGGACATGACAACACCCAAATCAAGACAAAGCAAGCACTCAACATGAAGTAAAATGTTGAAGCCAAAACAAATAAACAAATAAGCAGCCAACTTAGCAAGCAATCAAACAGATAAATGAATATTAAATTACTATTATTTCACCAGACCTTTATAAAATTCTCCCAAAAGAAAGTTACTTCCGATAAGGACAATACACATATATAATATATATTTAACAAGAATTTCTATAGATAAAACTGCTTGTATAAAACAGGGCTTAGAATAAGGATACATGTATATAAAAGGAGGGAATGAAAGATCTCTTGTAGAAATAGAGATGGAGAGATAAAAGATGATTATTCATGTAAAATTAAAAGTGTTGTACACATTTGCCCCTTGAGTACAAATCCAAATATATATATAAATACATAAACCTGTACACAATGCACAGCATAAACATAAACATAAACATAAACATACACTTGATAATACAGGCTCGCTAAAATGTACAGCGCAATGTATAGTATTTAATGGAGATATAACTTCTTCTTCTTATCCTTCTTATTCTTCGTCTGCCTTATTTTATTTTACAAGAGGTATTTAATTGAATACAACAGCTAGAAAGAAATAAATATAATGTCGGCATTCCTATAATATGCAAGTAAGAATGTGGTCATATGTAAGTACAAGATCACTAAAGATATGGATACAAAACAATCCTTAGCTTGTACTTCTTTTTTTTCGTTTCTTTCTTTTATCCTGCTGATTACAAGCAATAATAAAAACACACGTTAATTGTAGCTGGCTAAAGAAGTCTCTATTATTTGCTCTTGGCACCAACCCGCCAATCAATTAATAAATTAATTAATTAATTGATAGTATATATATATAAAGAGTACCAGCCAGCCAAATGACCATCTTCCCACACACACACACACACACACACTAAAGGGAAAAAATGATACAAATCTATAGAAGCAGAAAATATTCGTCAATTCGTATCAAACTTGCTTCAATTTATTTATTTATTTCTGTATTATGTTTGATTTACATCACAACCTCAGTCTTGTCTTCTTTTTCTTATATCTATATATCAAATATTCATTCCCATATTTCTAGCTCTTTATATCCTTCTCTTTTATATATAACATTATATAATACACTTCTTTTTATATGGTAAAGAAGACTGTATGTTATAGTAAAAAAGAAGAAGAAGAGCACTCCCTCCATTCCACTGTACACAATCTTTCTTTCTTTTGATTTTTTCTTGAAATGAAATCTTAAATTTAAACATGTACAACCATGTTTAGAAAGAAAGAAAGAAAAGGAAAACAACAACAATAACCAAAAAGAAAATCTCATTTTTTCTCAAATACACCAAAGATGTACTAGACCAAGTTTCAATAGTTGGGAATAGTTGACACTCATATGAAAATTTTGTCATCCCACCACCACAGCTACCACAACTACCACAGCCACACCTATGGTCACAGCCACACTCACACTCAAACTCACGACCATGTATCTATCCAGCTGTATTCCCTCAAACCAATTACTTGCACCGAGAAACAAAACAAAAAAAAAGGTTAATTTTCTAGGTACTAATTCATTATTATTATTATTATTATTTTTAAAAAAAACACACTTCAAAGATACCATAGCTTATATTCATTATACAGCTACCTATTAAATAGAATAGAATAAACCGGTTCCTGTTAGTAGGCCTAATTTTTTGTCCAAGAAACTCATAGTTAATTCAATTTGGCCCCGCAAATCCAAATTCAAAAAAAGAAAGATAATACTGTCAAATACGATTAAAGGCGTGTATGGGGGGCATTAATGGTCTCAAAGCTTCATTAACAAATAGAAACTGCTCTTATTTATATTTATATTCGTATTTATATTTTGTTTTGTCTATCAAATAGTGTCTTCAGATATCGAAAACATTTATAAATTATATTATATTATCTATGGATTCTTTTTCTTTTGTATTGCTATAAAAAGCTGGATAAACAAGTAGTCCAACATTCAATCGGAACATACTTAAACCTGTTGCCATTAATTATACCAGGCACAAACGCCATCAATAGACCCGGTCCTGCCTACATCTTTACAGGAGTTAAAAACAAGGGCAGTAAAACAGGAGCCTAAAAAAACCCCCTAAGTAAATAAATAAATCTTTTTGGAAGAAAGCAAACCAAGATGTGGATTTCTTTTGATAAATTTATAGAGTCAGTTAATTGATATATATATTGTCTAGGGATCTTGGCTATTAGAAAGTTTTGATAGAGATAATAATACTATATACTTTAAAAAAAAATACTGTTATTAGTATTAATGACCATCAAATTAAAAATTAGACCCTGAGGCTATCGACATTGAGATATCCACATCAAAGGACCTGGATAGACCCTGGATATCAATTGGCTCTCTCCTGAGAATCTAAATAAATGAAAGAAAAAGAAAACGCTGCTACTACAAAAGCCGCGTATTATTTTGTAGGTAGCGTAATGCTATCACTTGTGTACCTAATTTAATTCTCAAGATGATATGGCCTAGTAAAGTGTTTCATTTCATTTCATTTTTTTTAAAAAAAAACGATAATAATAATATAATAAGAATAGATTAACTTGAATTAAAATACATAAATGCAATTGTCCAACATAGCATATCACAGCATAAGACAACATAACACAACATAGCTGAGCATAACATAGCTCAGGAAGTAGTTTATTACAAATTGTACAGAAACTATTATCTAATCAGATGCCTTCTTGTGATAATAATAACAGTGTATATAGAGAGAGGGGGTTTCTTTTTCGTTTCTAACCTATGAAAAGCATAGATTTAAGATACATTCCTGTGATTTGGTTGAAATCTGAATAAGTATAATTTTGGTTTGTTTTGTAGACCGATTAAACTGTTGCGAAATACCCCAAAATGTTGGCCCAAGTCAATATTATCCACATAAGAATTATCCTTGGGAATGAAAATTAAAATAAAGAAGTTCATTTCATTTTACTTTTATTTTTGGTATCTATATAGTAATAGTTGTGTTTTAAACCTCTTGTGAATTTCAGTAATCCTAACTAATAAATTATCAAAGCCTCCCTGTTTTTCTTTCTTTCTGTCTTTCTGTCTTTCTTTCCCAAGAACCTGGTGTTCTCAGTATTATATGTCTTTTGTTTTTTTTTTTCTGTATTATTTTTTTGTATGTCTTGAGTAAATAATAATTACTTAAATTATTCAACAAGGGTCGAGCTCAGGAGAGTTGGTATTGAAGGTGGGCGCATTTGCAAGATCACAAGGCACTATGTACTTGGCTACACACACACACTCATATATATATATATATATATGTATATGTATACAGAATTGGATGTGTGAGTTGATTGTAGCATAACCTATCGTTTATGCCACGTCCTTTTATGTGCTGGATAGCCAAGCTAATTCTATTCTGCACATCATAACATTCGAGAAACTTGACTGAATGACCTGTTACTGTGCTTTTTGTTTTTATGAGACTCGGTCTTATCACCCCCCCTCTCCACTCCGCCCCCTTATCTTTCTCTTCTTTGCATAGACTGTCTGAATAGCTTTCTATTTTCTGTGGTAAATCTCTAGATTATATAATTCAATATACTGTATCAAGATCCAAAATTCAAGGTTAGATGTGCCCATGTACCTGTGTGTGTTTATTATTAAAATTACAAATACCATAAAAATATATTTCTTTGAACTGATTACACCAAGTTTCATCGATTGTCTCTTTTGTAATCAGATCGCATAAATGTATGTCCTTTGTATTCTCTCTCTCTCTCTCTCTCTCTCTTTTTCTCTCTTTCTTTTTTTTTTACAATGTGTGTCATATTGACGTTACATATATATCTGAGACGTAGTTGATTCTCAAGTATAAAAATCAGGGCCTGCTTCGTACTACTTGTGTACGTATTCAAGGTGCTGTTTGATGTTCTCCTAGTCACTCCACTCCACTTTAATCCACCCTAGTCCACTGACTTTAATCAGTTTTTTTTTAAAAGGTATATGTATATTCACAAACTCATAAATAGTATAAATACACATATACATATCTCTTGCTAGACTTTTTTTATTAATGTTATAAGAATGTGATTAATAAACGGTCTTGCGCTATATGACGCATTCAGGTAGTTCTCAAACATCAGCTTTAAAGTACCCGACTTTATTTTTGGTTAGTGTGGTGCGTAGGTTTATTTGGACAAAATAATTTTCCCTTTTTTTTTCTTTGTTGTTATCTTCCTCTCGAGTTCTATGTACTAACAAGATTTGCAATCATTCTTGACTTGCAATACACTATTATACAGCTACAAAAGTACTGTAAGTAGGTAGGTTTGTTTCCCAAAGAACATAGCTTACTCTTGTGTGCCCCATTATTAGAATGGACTTAGCATAAGTTTACCGTAGCCGTAAACAGCATAAGTATGTCATTATTTGCTGTAACCAACCCAAACCAAACTAAAACTATATTTTTTTATATTTATTTTTTAATATTATAATATATATATATATATATATATAAAGAAATAAAGAAAATATTCTTGATACAATACAATATGATGTAGTTTAATGTAGGGCAGTGTGAAATAAAAGAAGGTCAAATAAAATAAAATTGAGGACTGTTCTTCGTTTTGCTTATAAGCTACTGTGTATGTGTGTGCTTTGCACTGTAGCCAACCAATAAACACAAAAAAAAAAAAGTTGGAGGCAGTATTTAAAGCTCAGTGATCGTAACTTTTTCTGTTTAAATGTCCTATATTGAAGCGCCGTCCTCGTACAAAGTTGCGCACTCGTAACTTTTGATATTTAAAGTCGGATGTTAGAATGCTGACCTAATAACTTTTATAGCCAATAGCATGCCAGTTTTTAGCCTATTAGTTTTACTTTTTGTCAAATACGGTTTATGGGATTTTGGATTATTTTGGATTTAATCCAATAAAATACTCTAAACACTACACTATTAAATGAGGGCATATATTACTCAATTGATTTATTATTATTATTTTTATCAAAAAGTATATACCTGTTAATCTTGACAACCAAAATGTAGATCATACAAATATTATTATCTTTTTCTCTTTTGCTTAAATTATTCTTGATTGTCAACTTACACTGATTTTTGTATTTTATTAATTACTATTGGTAGCTATTAAGTGTGTTTGTTTTAGAGGCCTTTAAAATTTTATACCTTTTTATCGCTCGGTTATATCAAGGATACTGAATGGTAAGCTATTAGATTCGAATAGTTTTATTATATGTTTGTATTGCGTTGAAGAAGTTGGGAAAAAGGTGTTTTGCAATGACTGGAAAATCACGGTAGGGGTAAAAAGTGGGATATTATTTTTGAGCTACAATAATGTATACCTCTATTTCTTTATCGGATAAACTTGGGTAACCTTGTGTGCTTATCTGTCATTAAAGTGGCTAGGAGTACCATAAAAGCTAATAATGATAAATGTGATTATGGTATTGTTTTCCTCTTAAAAGCATTAATATCAATCATCATTCCCATTAATAAATGGGCATAGTATTGTGCTATATATATATATATGAGGCTATGGCCTTTTTTTCTTCTTCTTTTTATCGTTTCTGGCTATGGTGAAGATTGAAGTATTTACCACTCAGTGTGTTGTTGATTTTCCCATAAAATGAACTTTGACTGTACAAGAGAATATAGATATAAATATATATATAGAGAGAGAGGAGATGTACAGATTTGTGTTCTATTATAGTTATTTAACTGTTGTGTAATAAATTAGTTGGTGTAAAGTAGCAGACAGAATACTTCCTCGATCCCCTTAATTATTATTTTTTTGGAATATTGAATTTCCGCTCGTAGTTTCTGGTTTTTTTTTGTCTTGCACATAAATTTAAATGCATGAATTTTCGATTTCTTTGTTTACGTCTTTAGGATAATGCCTTTTTTTTCCCCTTACTTGTAGTTTTTTTTTCATGCATGTAGGCCTTTAGAGATCTGCAGGTGATGACATATTCGTTATCCAAATTCCGGTCACAAATAAGTCACTCGTAAAAAAGGAAATGTCTATAAATAAGAGTATTTTATTTTTACTTTTTTCTTTACCACACCATTTCTACTTTTAAAACACTGTGATTGACTGAAATATGTGTAAGCTTGGTGTTGTTATCTTTGTATATCCAAGTAATTTGTTTCCATTCAGGCATTTATTTATTGAATTTTGTGCATGTTTTTCCAAAGCCTGTTCCATTTATCAGATTGCTTAATTTTCTCAGATTCAGTAAATTAAAAGAATAATATAAATTACGCAAAAAATAAGATGGTGGCATTTGCATTAAGCTTCTTTATTCATTTATATATATATATATATATACATATTAAGTGCTTAGTACTTAAGCTATGTGACAACCCCTCCAACGCAACAATAAGACAAGACCCTGTTTAATTAATATAATTAATGTTTTAATTGACAATAGATATATATGTATATAAGGATAATTAAATAAGGAGTAAAAATAAGATAAAATGCATTGGCTTTGCTTTTATATTAAGTAACTAAAAAAAAACAGAGAAATAAGAAAGAAGAGAAATATTAATAAAAATGGGTTAACCTATCAAAGTTTTCTTTTTTGATTCATTCTCGGACAAGAACCCTGAAAGAGGTTTAACTTTCTTTCCTTTTTCTGTACATGCAGGAGGTAAGTATCACTCTGTCACACTAGCACACATTGAGGCACACACTGGGGCACACACTGGCACACATAAATGAATGGCTTTTTTTTTAAAAAAAAAAAAGAAAAAGAAAAAGTATTTGTAACCATAAGACATTCTATATTTCCTCAGATTATTATTGTTATTATTATTATTATTGTAACTATCAATTATTCCCAGGGTATTCCAGGGTACAAGAACACTGCTTTAATGATGTTGTATAGACTACTAGAGCAAGATTCGGTGCAACAGTACTCCAGAGAAAGAGGAGGGTTAAGACTGATACATGTAATTACACACCCGATAAAAAAAAAGACCAAAGGCTGGTGAATGACAGCTTGACAATTTTTGGAAATCTGGCAAGATTCTTTCTATTGTGAAATAATAGAGAATAATGAATATGTAAATGATATATGCAAATGTAATCCAGTTTGACTTCATTTGACTTCATTTGGTTTGGTGTGGTTTAATTTTTTGGTATAATACTTTGGTCAATCTGGTGGGAGTAAATTGCATGAAAATCCAGTTGAATATTGCTGGGTACATTGGTTTACAAAGGATAGTAAGGTATGTGTATGAGTGACTTTGTAGGATCCAAGATGCACAAGAAGATACAATTATCATTCGTTAAAAAAAACTGATCCACAATTTTATATAGACATATGAAAATACATGAATTTAATCAAAACTCTTGTCTGATAAACATACATACATACTTTCTTCTTTTTATGATATGTATTCAAAGTACTATCATTATCATTATGACTCTTTGCTTTTTTTTAACAAATGTATATATATTCCCTTTATTCCCTCCCAGCTACCGACCTCACCCCTGACTCCACCACTATTTTATCTACAAAGTAATACTGACATTTTTATACTTTAAAAATTATGATTGACAAGCCAGTAATGTCTGCCATTCAAAAAAAAAAGCCTATATATATATTTTACTCTTCAGGTGTCTGCTGTGTCCAGGCCTGGGATGCCAAATATAACGGATGGCGCTCACCGACTACAAAAGGAAGTGTGGCACGTTGATAATAATCGGGACACACCCTGAGCATGTCAATGATAGTGTCGAGTAAGTGTGCTTGACCGGCTGTAACACCTGGGGCATCCGCAAACGACATGGCAGTGATGTGAACATGGAAATGGTAGTACGACGGCTGGTAGTGAACAAATAACCGAAGCTGGTGAGGCTCAAGATCAAATTTGTCCTTGGCCAACTTATGGGCCGTCTTTCTTATTTTGAGCAGCAGTTCCATGTGGTCTGGATTGATCGATCGAAGGGACAAGATATCGCTCCGATTGGCAATTGCTACCCAGTACAACGACTCCTTGGTTCCATTCCACTTCATGTCCGGTAACACCACAAATCCGGTATCTGACAATTGATCTCCTTGGTTGCTACGATAAAGCACCACGTCTGCTTCCGAAGTGCCGTCCAGGATATTTTGGACCCATTTTGTTCTGCTTGCCGGAATGGATTCAATAAAAGGCAAAGTGACGTTTCGGTACAGCGCAGGTGTCTCTGACACCAGAAAACGTGCTTGTGCTTCGTACTTTTTGATGTGCAGCTCTGTAGCTGGAAAGATGGCTTTGACGTGCGTGTTAGGCTCTCTTGTCGTTACACTCGCAACTGCCCAGCTGTAAATGTTGTTTTCTACAGGGTCCACGAGCTGATGAGTAGAAGATGCCAAAGTTGGAATCGCAATCTCTGGGAAATGAGCCTTTTCAAAGGTCAGGATGCAATCTTGATTGTCAACCTTTCCGAGTACGTAAAGAAGCTTTGTTCGGGTGTCGTGTGATAGTTGACGCGTAAAGACGAACCTTTCGAGAATCTCGTTTAAATGAGTCATTTTATTTTATTTTTCTTGTTCTTTAAATATATAAAATAAAAATAAAGTGTAAGCAATAATTATTATTATTATAATATAACAAGAAGTCTGATATAGCGGTGCACCAAAAATAAAATAAAATAAGAATTATTATGAAGAGTTGTACAAACGTATGATGGCTACCAAGTTTGGGAAGCTCAGTTGTAGCAACTCTGGACCTTGATCATAAAGACGAAGAAGAAGAAGACCAAATAAGAAAAAAAAAAAATAGAGAGAGAGTCCTCTTTGTATTTTAATAGAATTGCTTCTTCTTCTTCTTCTTCTTTTCATTCAAGCATCTTTCTGTGTGGCTTTACTATTTGCCCCCCTCCCTCGTCTTCCTTCCTTCATTTGTCTTGTCCAAAGTTTTGCTTGTATAATTCACCTTTTTATTCCACTCACTTTCCCTCCCCCCTTGTTTTTTTTTCTTATTTTTTTTTGTATTTTATATTTCTTTTTTCTTTTCTTCTTTCTTCCTTTATTTTCTTTTTCTTTTTCTTTCCCTTGTTCGAAGCACATCTTTTCTATATTTCATTTTTACCCTTTTCCCTCCCAACGTCCTATTGGTCCTTTATCTTTTCTCCATATCCCATATACACACACAACCCTATTATTATTTTTTTCTTTCTTTCTTTAATCCCCCCCTTGAAATGCAGCACAAACACGGATTCCAACCCAAAGATCCTCGTGTCATTGATGAATACGCTCAAGATTTCGATGACGACGACGATAATCTCTTTGAAGGCGTAAGCTTGTCCGGATCATCCGGTACTCCAAAGCGGTGCACAGGAACCCAGGCTCTGGTCGAGTTCCTTAATACAACCAGCCCCGAAGAATTCCAAAAGATTGCCCCAAAGCGGTCAACGACCATGTTCTTTAGGCGACGCAAGAACAAAGCATCAGGTCTCTCGTCTTCCGTTTCAGCTTCATCCTCACCGTCGTCTTCATCCTCTCCGTCGTCTCTATTACTTACTCCACCTCCACCACCACCGCTCAGTACACACTCTTCGCCAACCACGAGCACACGGTCTTCATTGTTCTCTAAACGGACCCCAGCATCAAAAAAGAAGAAATCATCCACACGACTCTTGGAGGATTCATTTTTGGCAAACACACTTTTTGTGCCCAAAAGAAGAGAAAAGGTTGAGAATGAATCAGACAGAAAGGTGATCTGTCACCGATCACTGCCAGCCTATGAACCTAGAAATAGACGGGATGGAGAAGACGAAGATGAAGAAGAGGAAGAAGAGGAAGAAGAAGATGATGATGGAGATAATGTGAATAACAATAAAGATGGCTACAGTGAAAACAACAATAGCAAACAGCAGGGTAGAGATAAAAACGTGGCACTGGCAGACTCAGCTGAAAGAGAGACCGAGGCGGTGCTTGGTTCTTTTCCTCAGGCGGCAACCGAGGCATCTATTGTAGAGGCAGGATTGAGACAACGGCTGGAACGGCTGAAGGTTTCGAACCAAGACAAACCGAGCAACGTGCTTGCTGGTGTGTTGGCCAAAGAACATGTGCGGGCATTACATGCCTTGAATCAAAGTCAACGGCAAGAAGAGGAACAGGAACAAAGGCTCATTAGCAACAACAACAACAATAACAATTATAATAATAATACTCCGAAAAATAAGAGAGTCCGCCACGTTCAGGTCCAGACAATGATAGCAGCAGCTGTTGGCAATGGTGGTGGTGGCAATAATAGCAATAGCAATACCAGTAGTAAAAAATCAAAAGGAGATCGTGGCTCGGGTCCGGCATCTGATGCACCATTACTAGCCAGCCACCTGGGTAATCTTGAAAGAATGCTTGGTCAGGAAAGACAGGAGCGTAAAAAAGCACAGGCGGCACTGGAAGAGACGATGGATCATTATGAGGCGTTGAGTGGATTGGCGTACAAGAAGATCCGGGAACTATGGGAAGAAAAGGAGCGGTGGGAGCATTTGTACAATGAGCTTCGGGATCGAGTGAACGGAGAGGCTGACGGCAAAACCGAAGCTATCGCAAAGGGTTCAAAGGATAAAGACAAAGATCACAATTTGAAACAATACAGTCTCCAGCTGCGGAAAGAATGATAAATTCTAATAACCAACAGCTTAATAATTTAATAATAAATAATAAATAAGAATTATAAGAATTATACTATAATAATATTAGTATTATTATTATATAGATATTACACAAATGTATATATTTAAATAAATAAATAAAAATAAGAAATATATAATTTTAGTATACCCTCACAACAAGAGAGAGAATTATGTAAATCTTATTGATTTTCTAGTTAGTTTAAGCATCAACAAGAAAAGTCTAAATATGTATAATAGCCATACATACACATATCAGATCCAATACTCCCCCCAAAAATATATATATAAAAAAGAACCTTATCTGAGTTCACAAAAAAAAAAGTATATATAAAAACTGGGTTCATTTGGAACGCATGGGACACCAGCAAAATAAACATGAGTTTCAAAATAAGCTAAAATCCTTGGCCAGGATTCACACAATACTAAATACATACATACTAAATACATACAATATATATATATTGATGGTGAAAATCGCATGATATTCGGTATTTTATTATTTTTGATTTCTTTCTTGGCTTCTTTAATTTAGACTATAATCACGCTATTTAATAAATTGTTTTTATTTATTTTTTGGTGTCATTGTTCTCTGTCTTTTTATATATTAGCTTTGTGTAATAGAGAAACTAAGTTTGAACGTCAATGTCCCTGTTTCCTTTTTACCTTTCTCCCCCCATTAACCAACTATAAACTCAGAACCAAAAAAAAAAAAAAAAGGTTCTTTTTTGGTTGTTGGTATTAATGCCAAGAATGAATAATATATATTCAAAACAAATTAGATGTTCTGAATTAAGTTTTTTTTTTTTTTTTTTTTAAAAAAAAAAGGATTATTATAATTGGCTGGAGTGCTAATTGATAAAAAAGAGTATATCTCATATTTTTATATACATTTTTTTTTTCTAACAACAAAAGAAGAAGATAATGGAAAGAAAGGTTTATGTAAACGCTTTATTGAATGGCCACTAAACATTGATAAGAAACACAACATTTGATCCAAATTATGTCTAGATCCAATTGATTTTTTTTTTGATATATATATTTTCAAGGTAGTACCTACAATATACTATGCATACTATACATACATACATAATGTATCTATGGATATTTGCATTGTCTTTACATGCTCTCCGCACTCTAATGGTAGTTTGTAATTGGTTTGGATAAAAGGCTCCCTATGGATAAATAAGATCTTCCAGTTGAAAAATAATGAAAATAAAATAAAAGTACAAACACTAACAATAATTATAATATGATATATTTAAATCCGTCAATTGAATCTCGTGAAAGTACAGAATCTCCAAAAGTTCTTCAAAAATGAAACAATAAAATAAAGAATAATATCCCAGGCTGATTTTTTTTTTTCACTTTTATTTTATTGTATTGGATCAAGATGTTTCTAGAAATTTAGATATTTATTATTGTAATAATGATACTAGCAGTAGAAAACGTTTCCTGTTGATCTAATTTGAAGAAAGTACATGGGGTATAATATTATTTTCCTATAATTTTCTAATTTTTTTTGTAAGCCAAAATGGATTCTAACTTAGTAGTACAATTTATTATTACATAGTTTCTTTAGCTATTAAATGAATGACTATAAAAAAATCATACTTTTTTTTTAAAAAAAAATTATTTTATTTTATTACATATATCCATTGTGTGAAGTGTACATGAGTGGCTTATCTATACACATTTTGGACCTTGTCCCTTTCTCCACCACCTCGGACCAAAGAAAAAATAAGAATATTGATATATAAAATAAAATAAAATATGTGTGTTTTGTGTACAGAAACACAAATGCGCACAAGCATAAGCACATTTATATACACAGACATATAATGAACACGCGCGTACAAGACACACGACTACCAAAAATGAGAAAATAATAAAATTTTGCTATATTCTTATTACATTTTGTACAATGTGCTGACGAATAAGTGAGTACAAGAAAGAGAGTAAAAAAAAAATTTAATTAAAGAAAGTAAATCATTATGATGATTTACGATGATAATGGTCAAATATTGGCTCTAATACGTTGATTTTTAATTATATTTATCACCCTTCATACCCCTATATTATTATTCTACTGGTTCTAAAGATCGAGAAATATGTATACGTATGTACATATTTGAAAAAGGGTAATGAATGCTAATGGATATCGAGATAACATCAATACTAATACTAATAGAGATAGCTGCTAATAGTAGTAAGCATGCAAGAATAAATTTGCTTTGCTTTGATTTGATTTGATTTTTGTATATATTCTCCTAAAACGGGATCAAATATGGTGTTTGCATGTATAATTCTATATCATTTATATATACTTCAATGTAAATTTTGACAGCCAAACCATTAAATTGAATTGAATTGAATTGAATTGAATTAGATGAAAATAAGGTTTTATATATATATATATATATGTATATATGTATATATGTACGTATTCGTGCTTGTATATAGTGTGTCTGATTGATTGATTGGGTGAATGAGTGAGTGAGTGAATGAGGGCTTGAAAGGTTGAGACTTGTAAAATAAAATAAAATAATAATAAAAAAGGCTAGTTAACTAACTAACTAGGTGTCATATAATAGTAATACACACGTAAATATTCAGACACAGAAATAAATATAAATCTATATATCTATAGCATTCTGTGAACGAATAAAATAACGTGTGTAAAAGAGTGATGCCGAGCGTTTAAGTGTGTACGTGAGTGAGTGAGTGAATGAATTTTTGGTGTTGGTTTTGGTGTTGACTTTGGCGTTGGTTTGAGTGTGAGTGTGAATAAAATAAATAAATAAATAAATAAATAAAAAGAAAGAAAGAATATGTATGTATATATGTAAATATAAATATATAAAGAAAAAGAAAATCATGAGCTTTTTTCTGATGAGCTGGTTTCTGAATTGGGTGACAGAGGTTCTGCTTTGCTGGGTGTTGAGGGAGAGTTGTGAGAAAAGCGGGAGGGTGGTGAGGTGACATAAGAAACAGGTTCAGATAGACCTGCTGAACTAATAGAAGATGCACTGCCGACACGCGCGCTAGTTCGGCGCATGGCTTTGCCACGACTTCCACTCGTGGCCTCAAAATTCTGCCAGATATAATTTTGGCACTTGTCAGCATTTGGAAGGTCTTGAATCATTTTTGCGATTGTGTTTTTGCGAAGCCCAAAAAAGTCTGGACCAACCGGGTTGTGTCCATAGTCCATATTACGAATAGCAAAAGCCCTGAGAGTTTTAAATATATAAAAAATAAAATAGGTTTTAATAATAATAATTAATTTTAATATTCTTGATAAGCATCATTACCTTCGAACGGCAATTGTCCACACAGTAGTTGGGGTTGGTCCTCTCCAAACTTCACCTGGGTTGTCGTCTGCGTCTAATTGGAACTAATAGATTCATGTTAGTGTTCGTGTATAAACAGGTGATCCACAGGTAAGAAAACAGAGAATCAACAAAACTTATTAAGTTGCGTGATTACAGGGTTTTCTTCTTCTTTTCATTAATATATATATTGGGTTGTTTAAATAAGCAGTTAAAATAATGGAACAAACTTTACAATAGGCTCATCTCCTCCGTCTAGGATTTGACAGGTGTATTGAGTATCACTGTGTGAGTCAACCATGCTTCGATACCATCTAAAAACAAAGAATATAAAAGATAGATATAAATTAGTGTTTAGTTTAAAGATTTTTTCTATTACTATGGCTACTACTATTATTTTTCATATATAATAATAATAATAAAAAAAAAAAGCTAAATCTTATATATATATATATATAAAAGTGTTATTTACTTTTTAACGCGATAACCCACAGGGTAAATGTAACGTTGATTGTGAAACGACGCTCTGTCCCACACAACTTTGCCAAGATCTAACACGGTCCATGAGTCGACTTCTGCGGGCAATATGTACATGCCAAGGGTGTTCTTATCAATTTCCACATACGATCGTACGTCGTTTGTATTCGGTGGTTTTGTGTCACGCTTTTTACGTCTTGACTGATGATAATAGGCATCCACCAAAGTCTTAATATTCCCAGATGGGTAAGGTTTCCCGTGTGAACTAGGCTTGGCAGTAGCGGAAACTCCAGCTGTTGTTACTACTGTTCCAATATTACCACCAGCAATATTACCAATACCAGTACCAGTACCAGTACCAGTATTGGTAATATTATTGTTATTAGGGATGGTATTAGTGGCAATAGTTTGCGCGGAAGAGTGAGTATCAGAATGTTGCATCTCAGCTTCAGAGGAATACGGAATTGCTGTTATTGATGATGACGATGATGATGCTATTGTCATAATTTCGTCTCTGGCTGGAGAATGTTGTTTTCTTTTGGTGCTGGGTTGTATCCGATCCGTCTCGTTTGTTACATCCGACAGAGGCCGTGTCCAGGGCAGAGATGAAGACGAAGAAACGGACGTGGGAGAATCTTCTAATCGAGGGCGTTTAACGAGCGGCACAAACGATTGACCGAGAGCTCTATTACTGATGTTATTGTTATTGCTATTATTATTGACTGGATCGAAATTGGTGTAGTTTGGAGTGGTAGAATAGTCCTGTAGATGCAGAGGTGGTACGAATGCGTTGGGTGTGGTATTGGGTGTGGTTAGCTTGTGAGGGCCGTGGAAATTCTCGAGATGGTTTTGACTGTGCGTATAGTTTGGATTATGAGCGTGTATATGAGCGTGCGATTGAGGTTGATGTTGGTCGTCGTAGTGATCAGAGTTTGGACCGACGCGAGGGTCTGGTTCACTCAACAATAATTTCATTGATGGTAACGTTTGGGAATATGAGTTCGAATCAGGGCCATTAATATTTTTGTCAGCGTGTGGTCTGTGATGCACCTATTATTATTATTATTTTATTTTTTTTTTAAAAAAAAGTATAGAGAGATAGGTAAGCACATGAATATGTATGTATTAAGATAAAGAACGTGCATTTGTCAGTCGATTTTAACAATAGTAATAAAGGTTGTTATTAAATAACTAAACTAAAGTATCTAACATGAATCTGTTTTTTGTTTTGTTTTCTTACTGGGTGAAGTTGAATGAGGACTTGAATGGTGTGAGTGTAAGGAGCAGCATCTGTCTTTTTAAGTTTTCCGGTTACTTGAGTATTGTTGTTGTTTGAGAGAAGGTTTGATAGGAGACCGTGGCCTTCCCAGATCAATGTTTTCGAATCTTTTGGGTCGTGAGATGGGAGGAGGTCTTCAAAGTTTGCACTGTAAATTGCAGTATCGTGGGAACTGTGCATCAATTGATCTGGGCTGTTTAATAACAAATATTTGTAAGTATGTATATACGTTAAATTATTTTTTTTAAAAAAAAAAGTACCATGAAGAACAGACGGATATTAGGCACTTTTTCAAGGGAACATTGATCCAGCTATCGTTTTGTAATTTTGAATCGATTGGTATATCAAATGAGCAGAGACAGTTTGTATCCTGGCCTTTGACAGAATAAAATATCTTGACTATTTTGAATTGCAATTGCAATTGCGATATTTTTCATTTGATTTGATTTGATTTGATTTGATTTTTTTTTTAGTTGCGATTGTATTAATAATATAAAGATTATTATAAAATCGATATATAAAAATATTACTGCTTTGGCAATAAACACACCTTTCCCGGTAAATGTTTGAGTAGGACAGGTGAGGTTTTCAGGAGATTGAGATTCCAAGGGAGCCTGTTGAATCATTTGGTGAATAGACATTGATTGCTGAGACATTTTATTCGTTCTTCTTCTTTTTTTTTGTATATGTATTGAATGCTTGAATGGTTGGTCGATCGGCTGATATCTTTTGTGCCGTTGTGAGATTTTAGATAGATTTCGAGTATAAAGGACGGCAGATTGTTGGATAAGATAGTCTTATTGCTAGCTGCATCACAGACAAAGAGGTCGAATGCGTAGTAAGGTTTTGTAGTCTGTAGTGCAACAGGAAAGAAAGCGTATATATATATATGTGTGTGTGTATATTAAATATTTAAAGAGAAATTTTCTTTTAAAAAAAAAAGAAATTAAAAAGAAAAAAAATATATGTAAAGGCAAAAAAGAAGTGTATATATATTTAAATATATAATTTTTTTTTTCAAATGAAAAATAAAATAAAATTTACACCCCCAAATTATCTCCACATAATATACACAAACAGGCAAGTAGAAATACAGAGCGAGATAGAGAGGGAGAAAGAACAGAACAAGAGAACAAGAGAATGGGTTGGCGGGTTGGCGGGATTCCCTTTTTTTTTTCTTTTTTTTTTATAATGGAATATATCAACAAATAAAGCAAATTGCTAGAATGGACGCCAATCACCAACTGACCTCTTTTATAAGCATGTGTTTTATGTATGTATGTGTGTGTGTGATATGCTTTGTAACGATGGTAACAATGCATGTACACAACACACTCTACAATAGACCTATCTATTTTTCCCTTTTTCTCTCTCTCTCTCTCTTAATGCATATGCATATGTATATGTATATGTACCGTTATGTTGTTCTTATTGTTTTACACAGCTATCCGAACACGTGGGGAATAGGCTTACAAGATACATAGTACCCAAGTGGAGTCAATATGTGTGTATATGTATGTATATATATGGAATCAAGGTATCACTTGCAGTAATCAGATCTTGTAGATATCAATCACTACACACATACACACAAATATATATATAAAATATACTGTGCTTATATATTTCTTTTAAAATTATTTTCCTTATTTTGCTTATCTTATAAAATTTACATAAAATTATTATTATATATACACAAGTGCATGCTAAGGAAATATGGTAAACTAAGGATAAAACCCTTATCCGGTCAACCAATATTCTTATACATATACATATACATATAAAAAAAAAAGAAGGGTCTCACAGAGCACGCCATCATAACCATTTCTTATATTTTATTTTATTCTTCCCTGATTGAAAAATAAATAAAATAATTAAGTAAATGACCCTATATATATATAAATATATATAAATATATATACATACATGCACTCGAACTCGCACTCATACATAGCTACATAGTTTACATAGCACTGTATACTACACTGTCCAATAAAATAAATAAATCACAACAAAAGCAAACTAAACTCAGTGCAGCAAAAATCTACACACAGTCGAAAAGAAAAAAAAAGGATCTGTGTAACCTTGGCGGTTTGACAGCTCAAAAACTCATTTTTTCCCAAAGGTCGTTCTTTTTTTTTTATTTTATTTTTTATAACTGTATAACTGTATATATGTATATATTGGTATTATTATTTATATATACAGTATATACAACAAATAACTATAATTAATACTACAATTTACTATTGTTATTATAATTATTATTATTATTTGTGTGCCAAGAGATTTGCTATATTACCTGTGTTCATCAAATATATCACGAGGCCAAGTAGGACTAGCTGACTACTTTTGGAATAGGTCCAATTGAGTGTTTTTATTGGCTACACTAATTCATATACTTCTTAATTGTTTGAAAAAAAAAAGTAAAGAAACAAAAACACCATATCAAATCACATACAATAAAAGAAATTTCAAAAATAAAGCAAGATATATAGAAAGAAAGGATAAAATAAGAGTGAACAAGTAACCAAATGAGAATTTAATAATAATAATAATAATAATAATAATAATGATAATTGTATAAAAAAAAAAGAGAGAAAAGGTAAAGGGGAAGGAATGTGTGAGATTATCTCTTGAAACTTATTGATCCAATGTAAAAAAGAACGTGCACTCTATTGAAACCATTGTATTGGAATCAAAATCAGAACCAGAACCAGAACCAGAACCAGAAACAAAGCCAGGACCAAAAAAAAACACACACACACCAAAATTGAAATCGAAATCGAAATCAAAATCAAAATCAAAATCAAAATCAGAATTACAATTACACTCAGTAGGTAAAGAATTATCATTAATATCAATCACTCGTAATACTCCAGACCACACAAATATAATAGCAATAATAATAATAATATATATTTTTTCTTACCCCTCCCTGTAATTTACTTAATTGGTAACCTTATTCAATTCATCTAAATAATATACATATAGGCGTATAGATAGATAGACATATATATATTTCAAGTCAACGTAGACTTAATTCACGTGCAAGTACCTCTTTTACCAAACTTCTGCATGTACACCCAAGCCGCCAAAAATAATAATAATAATAATAATAATAATACAATAAATAAATAAATGGTCCTAAGCTCCGTCGGCATTCGCTTCACTCTGTTGCGCGCCTCAAAAATAATTAAAATAAAATAATTATTAATTATAAGAATTGAAACAAATGAAACAATTGAAACAATAAAAGTTCAATTTAACTTGCGACTTAAAAACAAAAAAAAAACAAAAAACAAAAAAATGTTCATACATACAATACTACGCACACTCATACCATACACGCATACGTACCTACTACAGCATACTAAATACTACGCACACTCACACTCACATTCTATATGCTACACAAATACACCCACAATTAAATAAATACATACATACATACATACATACATACATACAAATAGATAGATTTCCTACAAACTATTTCTTCTTTTTATTTTGTTTCTCCTATTACTTATTATAGTATTATAGCCAGGTGTGCGTGCGTGTATATCAATCAATCATGTCAACCGAATCACGCCTTTCGTCGTGGATCTTGAAAAACAATAAAGATCTTCTCAGCTCCAAGTCAACCCGTCAGTCATTACTGATCACTCAGGTACCGATCCACACTGGATTGGGAGAACGGCTCATTTAGTCTCTACAGTGCCATTATGCAGCCAATTCAACCAAGAGCTCGAACATCCTAGTTCTCCTCCTGACAGACGGTCAATATTGGATTCCTGCTCTAATGGATACCAAGAAGATAAAAGAAGTATTAGAGTAAGCTTTTATTTATTTACTTGTGTGTATGCATATTGATATACTTACTGCGAAACTATTATCATTAAATTAAATTAATTTTTTTTTTAAAAAAAAAATCGTATATTAATATTGTTCTTTTTGTCTGTTTGTAGAATATCTCAAGCACTAGAAAATCATCTGGCAAAACTCGTAGGCATGGTGATCAATATATCAAAGACCATGTTCGCTGTATACAGAAGAGGTGATGCACTTAGTCCACACTTGATAGTCCAAGAATATGAACTAGCAGAGTTGAAGCAAAGCGGTCAACAAACGACTCCCAAAGAGATCCATGAACATCCAGACATCAAACTTTGGTTGGACGAACTACAAACAGCTATGCCAGAGTGAGTTACACACACACAGACATATATATATATACATAAAACAAATTGACTTGCATAATTCTATCCATTCTTTCTAATGTTATCTTGCCAAAAAAAAAACAAAAAAAAACAAATAATCATTTAGTTTGGAACAAGAGTCGATCAATGAACTCTATCCGTCCAAAGGTATTTTTTCAATAAATATGTAGGTAATACATACAAATATATTAGGTAATAAACTTCTATACTTGGGCCTTGTCTTTTTTTTTCTTTCTTTCTTTATCTCTCTTTCTCTTTATGTGTGTATATAGATCGTAAAGAGATTGATGGCTTCTTGAATCAATACGAGTCTGTTGTTTCTGGATTCGAGTACTTGATGTTGCACTACTACAACGAAATCATAAAGGTAATATATAAAGAAGAGTTAGAAGCAGATCAAACTAAAGATTCTCATTTTGGTTTTACACTTGCCTTATCAAGACAAATCTCAAACGATCAAATAATATTGATCATGTCAAGGAATGGAGACAACGCATGAAGACCAATGCAAAGAAAAGAAAAGTGGTATGTTTAATATTTAAACTACAAAAGAAAGAAGTAAACAAACAAATGAAATCAATAGAGCACTTGGAACATAATCGATAGCGGTAGAGACTTGTGGAAAGACAAAATCGTAGATATGATGAGTTTGATATACTTGGATTACAAAAGTGATGTATCATCTGAAAAAGACTTGATATTCGACTCTTATCCGACTGAACACCAAGAGGCCAAGGATGATAATGGTAATGATAATGGTAAAAAAATATATATTTAAAGTCAAGATCAGTGAAAAGACTTGACAATCTAGACTTGTTGTATACTAATAATTCTTTCTTTCCTTTTAATAATAATAATAATAATAATAGAGGAAGAAGTATCTGGGCAAATAAAAATAGAAAACGAATCTCAAACTGCCATAGACCACAAAAGCCATGATTCTAATACTAAAAAATCCACTGAAGATCAAGACACCCAGTTTTCATTTGATTCAATCAAAAACAACACCAACAACACCAACAACAACAATGCTACTACTAGCAGCTGGTCAAAAGTAGGCCAGAATTCATCTTCTTCATCGATTGATTCAACTGAATTTCTTTCCCCAGTTGAACTCCCGGGCTTGAATACAGACCACGATATCTCTACAAACTCAATATTGGGACAAACGGAAGGAGTGGGCAGTTATGATTTTGAAAATGTTTAACATCCCCCCCCCCCCCCTTCAAATCATGCCAAAAAATAATAATAACCAAAGATGAAACACATAAACACACAGACACAGACCATTCCACTAATTCAATTATGTTCATTCAAACGTTATATTATATTCTTATGCGAGTGAAACTACAAGTCTTTTATGTCTTTTTTGGCTTTTTTTTGTATGTGTGTGTATATGCGGGAAGGTATCGAGGGAATGGTAGTAAAGTAATAACGAAAGTATATAAGAAAAAAAAAAGAAGAAGAAGAAGGAGAGATAGAGAATAATAGTTGAAAAATGCTGCATGTTTCAAAAAAAAACAGGATCAAAACCAGAAAGGAGAAAGTATGATGATGATGATGATGATGATGACGAGGGTGGTAAGGAGGAAGAAGAGGGGGAAGAAAAAGAGAAAGAAGAAGAAGCAGGGTATTGATGAAGAGAATGTGAAAGTAAGAAGAATAATAATTTATGAAATACGATAAGATACGATACGATATATAGAAAGAAAGAAAGAAAGAGGGTATTTTAATAGAGTAACAAGGCTTTCATTACCACCAACAAAGAAAAGAAAGAAAAGGTGCATGCTCGAGTCTAAACTCCTTGTTCTTTCTCTACATAGTCTTGTAATTGTCTCACGGTCGAAGCCAACAAGAGGGCATCTCCTTGTTGCTGTGTAAACTGAACGTTGGACTGCAAGCCATCGGGTGTGGGCGTAAAGTCAATTCGACACTTGACCTGGCGCAACTTCCCGTCCTGCCCCTTTGTCTTCATCTCGGCTTTGTAGCGGACGATGCCTGCCTTGTCTTTCTTTTCGTAGGACCGAACCTCGACAGTTCCATTCATAATACGACGCATGGTTTCCAGGATCTCGTTGTTGTTGCTTGTGGCCTGCACAGTCAGGCTACATACCTTGGGCTGCTTAAAGAAAAACAGATTTGAGAGCCAGGACGACTTTGGTGCCGTGTTGCTGGTGGCTACGGTGATGGTCGAGCTGTTGGATAATAAACTGGGCGTGGTGGGGCGGTGGGGTCCGGTGCTGGTGGTGCTGAGGTTGCTTCCACGGCGATCAAAGGAAGGAAAGGAAGCCTGGCTTCCTTGGCGCAAAGGAGCCAAAAAGTCTTTTGAAGGCAGTGGCATATTTGAAGCAGTAAACGCAGGAGCATTCCGTGTGGTGATGGAATCTCCGGGTGTAGTTGGTGCTGAAGAGACATGACTACTACTGCTGTCACTGTCACTGCTGCTACTGCTACTACTACTCAATGTGCTGTCTCCAGAGAATGTGTGGGTTGCTGTTCCTAGTTCTGTTTCTGCTGTAGCTCTAGCTGTGGCTGTGGCTGTGGCTGTAGCTGTAACTGTAGCTGTAACTGTAGCTGTAGCTGATGCAGATGCAGATGAAGAAGAAGTGGAATATTCTTCTGCTTGTGGTGCCTGTGGTGATAGAACAGGATCTTCAGAGGATGCTGTGTCTGTTGGTCCAAACACAGAAAGATCGAGTTGTTTCCGCTGTCGACGGTTAGAGCCTAGACTGTTTATCGTAAATACTCCGAATTTTCTTCCTTCGCTCTTTTCTTCATTCCCAGAAAATAGGTTGGGCACACGAATAGATAGGCGCTTGGTGTTACTTGATCTACCAACTGTGTTTGGTTGGACCGGTTCAATCTTATTGCGTTGGAGTGCATTGCTGGTTGGCCGAAGTGTAGATTTAGGAGGCAGAACAGGTTCGGTCGTGTTTTCTGTCGGGATGATGTCGCTTTGAGGTACCTTTGCAAACGGGTTCCTTCGTCGGAGTGTGCCAGAAAGTGTACCCCCAGAAGAAGTATTCGATCCAGACTCTGATCCAGACGATCTTTTTTTTTTTAAAAAGAAAGAAAGAAAGAAGAGAGAATTGATATTAAAAAACAAAACAAAAAAAAAGATTCCTTTAGAAAACTTACTTGTCTTTACTATGTCGACGAGATGAAAGAACACCTTTGACAAATCGAGTATAAAATGTATCGCTTTTTTTCAAGAGCGGATCACTATCATCCATGGTGGCGCCCTTTGGAGTTGCTGGGATTGGAGGTAAAGGTGGAGGAGGCATGAATTCGGATCGACGTGTGTCTGCTCGCATGGTAGCGGCTGAATATCTTCGGGCAACTGATTTTGGTTCCGGGTCGGGCATCCACGGTGCTACTGGTCGAACGCCATTATCTCCCTTTCCGTTATCTACCATTGACAAACATCGACGATCACGGTCAGGATGGTGTCCTATGGTACGGTACCGACGCTGAGAAGGATCTGCAGAAGATGTGAGGATCTGCAAATCTTGTCGAATGAATGAAGTTTTATTTTTTATTTTTATCCTTATTCTTATATATGTATGCATGTATGTATGTATGTATGTATGTATGTATGTATGTATGTATGTATGTATGTATGTAAAGTTTTATTATATTACCTGGTCGTCCAAAGTGGTACCGATCATCTTCTGCATTGTAATCGCAGTAACTGTCTTCATCGTGGTCTGTTTGCCAGTATCGCTCGGCATGCTGCTGCAAAAGTACATAAACGACCTTTTGCATATTGTGTCTATTTGATATTAACCAAATAATCACAAGTAAATACAGAATACTAATAAAGAAGTGCTATCAAAGGCAGGCCTTACTCTTTGCTGACAAGTGCTTCAATGACTACTTCATCATCTGTTTCTCCCCAGAGAAACTTGATGGTTTCCAATAAACGATCATCAATATCGGAAGGGCTATTGACTGGACGACCAATCTCATTTTCGGTCGGTGGAACAGGCAATGCAGACAGATTCATAAGTTCAGACTCACGGAACCAGGGGTGAGCCATGATTTGTTCCATCTAATGAATAAAAGAAAAATAAATTAGCTCTTTTTTTGATAAATATTATATAATCAATCACAATAATATTCAGCCTATCCATACCGTCAGGCGTTTGGTTGGATCAACTACAAGAATACGGCGAATGAGATCTTGTGCATTGCGTGAAATATCATCAGGCATTGTGTATTTTCCAGACTTGACCTACAATTTTGATGAATAAATTAATAATATAACAAAGTACTTTATTATTATTACTTTACCTTTTTTAATAATTGACGGATATTCTCATCGTCAAAAGGTAAATGTCCGGTCAAGAGTGCATAGAGAATAACACCACAAGACCATATGTCAGAAGCTGAACCATTATAAGGCATGCCCTATATAAATAAATAGTTAATACATTATTAGCTAATCATTCTCCTAAACAACAGCCAGTTCCACGCGGAGATGCGAAGAAAAAGAAGAAGAAAGAGGAGTGGGAAGCTCATTGAGCTCTCCTTGACAAGGGCCCGTGCAGTTTAACCTACAGCAACAATTTCAGGGCTTGCATAGTGAGGAGATCTAGATAAATAAGAGGCGGATTTAGATTCCTTTCCATCTTAATTCCATCTTAAGAAAGGAGGTAGCACTAACCAACACACTGCACACCCAAAGAGAGAAGAACAAAGAAAGAAGATATAATTACCCGCAGCTTGTTTCCAGCATTGAACCGGCTGGTTGAAGAGAAGCCATGCCAAAGTCAGCAATCTTGATATTATTCTGAGCATCCAATAACAAGTTTTCTGGCTTGAGATCTCGATGACTATTTGATAAATGCAGGGTGTTAAGGTACAATGTATTTAATTGAAATTTCGAAATTGAAATATATATATTTTATTTTTTGAGTGAAATGATAATTTTGCACGTTAAATCGTCGTCGTTGTCGTCGTCTTCTTCTTCTTCTTCTTCTTTCTGTTGGTATTGGTAGTAGTACTTATTATAAAGGTCGTTGCTTATGTTGATATTGCTACTCTGCTTTTGCAAATCCACAGAAATGTTTCTCTCTCTCTTTTTTTTTTTAAAAAAAATAAATAAATAAAAATAAAATTGACTCACCAAATTAAATGATGATGGCAAAAATCCAAACCCAAAATTATCTGTTGAAAGTGGTGGCGTGCTTCTGGCTCGCCTAGTCTACCTTTGCTAACAAGATACTCAAACAGTTCACCACCTTCGACATACTCGAGAATAAGGTGTCTGCAGGGATGGTCGTGATTCAAAGAATGGAGGAGGAGAATGAGTATGTCATGAGAGGAAATAATAAAATAAAATAAAGGAATATTAGTGAATTAGTACTATTGTTTCTTACAAGGCCAATTATGAAGTATATCTATATCTATATATGCATACTATACTATAATATACAATATAATATAATATAATATAATAAAGTAATGTAATGTATTGTAAAATAATTCAAGGAGGTAAAAGGCGAGGGCAAAAACCGAAGAAGGAAGGAAAAGGAGCAGTGTGTTGTTGTATTTGTTTTCTAGACCAGCTTTCAACAACACAACACCCACTGTAACCACGAGAATTGACATGAACTAAACACAAGATAAAAAGCACATTTGTATAAAACGGAAAACAAGATACTTTACAGATCCGGGAGTGCGGCGTCGTCTATCACATCCACAAGAGACATCACATTGGGGTGACGGATCAATTTCATGATAGCAATCTCTCGTCTAACAGCCTTTTCGATAGCTGGGTTGGCAGCAAGATGGGCCTTGCTAATTATCTTGATAGCTACCTGTTCTCCTGTCTGTCTATGTATCCCTAGTTTGACTCGACCTAAATTTACATAAAGTTAAGCAGAAGAAGCAGTCAAGTAGTTGTTACTATCAGTATCACTACTTTCTTTTTATTTTATTTTGTAGACTATATATATATATGTATGTATGTATGTATGTATGTATGTATGTATACATAGATAGTTAGATACTTTACCCGAAGCACCTTTGCCTAGCGTTTTTCCAACATAATAATCTCCAATGGTCTTGCGCGCTTTTTGGGACACGCTATGGGTAGACAGGGTTCCTGAACTACGCCGACGATCTCGAATCGATTTGGAGGACTTGTTGCTGGGTAGGATAGATACGGGTGATGCGACCGACTGTCTTCTGGAAGATGCTGATGAGCGGTAAGAGTAGTCTGGCATTATTGGGTTCTTTGTAGAGTAGTTGGGACTGGGGTGTTCTGGAAATGAAGGAACGGCAATATGCATATTAGGATAAGTACGATTAAAATAATCTAACAGAAAAGTAAAAAGGAAAAAAAAGGAAAAGGAAAAAGAAGAAAAGAAAAGAAGAAGAGAGAAATGGAAAAGAAAGAGAAGAGGTAGCTAGTAAGATGGATCAAGTCTGGACTGAATTATATTGGATACCCCAAGGCAAAGATATAAAAATATATATAATATATAAAGGGGGTACAAAGGGGAAGGGGAAGGGGAAGGAGTGAAGGAGTGAAGGAGAGGAGGAGGGGGGGGGATGGTAAAAGGGAAGTGAGAGTGAGAGTGAGAGTGAGAGTGAAAGTAAAAGTCAAAGGGAGGAGGGAAACAGACGGGGTCAAAAGAAAGAAAGAAAGGCCTATAAACTAGTGACAGGAGAGAAATGGCTCAGAGAGATGGCCAGGGGAAACAAACTCGAGATAGGAGTTCACCGGCTTTGTGGCTGTCCAATGTCTCTCTCTCTCTCTTATTTTTCTTTTGGTGACTCCTGCACGCCAATATATCATATTGGCTACCTTACTATATATGCAATTGTATAATTAATCGTGCTACAAATGGGTTATCTTTGCCCTGTCTCAAAAAATTCACAGCTCTTTCACAACTTTTGGTTTTTTGGCTGTAGAAATCCAAACCCATTTGACTTGACTGCATTGCAGAGAGCATGTGTTACTCTATCTAGAGGCATACTTCATTCACTGTTCTCTATTTTCTTTACATTTGCCATTTTGTTGACCCTACTCCCCAATCTCCCTCACTGTGCATGCATTTTCCAAACCATTCAAAAATCCACAAAAGAAAAAAATCACATAGAGAGATAAGTAAAAGAATGAAAAAAAAAGTTTACAATTATATACATATATTAATGATTACCAATTGTCAGTCTGTATTTTGTACAAAAGATTTGGGCAAATGAAAATCTTCAAACCATAAAGCCTTTATAAAAATGAACCATACAATAGATCAAATGCCACAAATTAATGTGACAAACCTAATTAAAGTAAGTAAGAAAGAAAAAAGGCCAAAAGAGGGGTCAATTATGGAAAGGTAAAAGATACCATGCGTCTCTGTCTAATCAATCGATTGAATCCGCTATACACACACACACATTGTATATGACCAGACTTTAACAAAACACAAGTCAATAGAAAAGTATAGACTTATAATGTGAACTGTTACACACGTTCAACTTGTATTATCTTTTATGTACATATTGTCTTTTGGTTTCTTTTGTACTTCTTGTCTTGAGAAGATAGAAAGAAGAAGAAGAAGAAGAAGAAATCCCAAAAATTATCGAAAGTAGCCTTCACCAAACACACACCACTCCATTGTCCGCAGGTATTGTGTGCGATTGTAAAGCCGCTTTGTAAGATTGGATACTTCCACAGCGTATTCGCCCTTTCTATGCGCTCCATCCATCTCCTGTTGCAAATACTTCTCTAATTGAACCATATTCTCAATACCCTCCAAGCGCCACCATGCGATCTCTGTCCCTCCTGTAAAGCCTGGACCGACAACAACAACTCCGTGTGCCCACCATGCCTCGCTATTTCCGTAGCTGTGTCCGACACGCTCCATAGGTGGTGCCAGAAGATCACTAAATAGCCAGTACGTATTTCCCGTGTTGTCTGTTCCGGCACACTGCAGTCTCTTCTCGGCCCTTTGTTTGGCGATCATAAACGCAAGCTCCTTTGCTTCCATATCAGCACGGCTGTCTCGTATCGTCACCTCAAGTTGCTCAAGTTCACCTTCTGCCTCAAGTCTCATAGTGTCCTTGCCTACCGCCCGCAGCTGACTAACACGGCTCAATAATCCATTTTTCTTCACCTTATTTCTCGAATCTTCTTGCTGGTATGTCTTGCGTTCGTTTTTGAGTACAAGTTCCTTTTCCTTGAGCCCCTTGGACGAGTCATTGAGCTGTTCACGCACTTTTACATCAAACAGCAGCATTTCCAGCAGTCTCTGTACCATCCCGAGTTCGTCCAGCGAGGTTAGCGGAGATGCCTGACGTTTTAGGCGGCGGAATCGCTGGATGACCTTTGAGACCTCTTGCCATTCATCTTCAGTCGATGCCTTGCTATCTCGAAAGGTTGGAACAGGCAAATCACCAAATCCGGCTGCGGCCAACATTTCGCCAACATCCTGCCAGCGTTTTGCACTCATGCCCTCTCTCTGAAGAATCATCTTGAAGGCTGCGTCTCTCTCTTCCCTGTGGATCATGGGATCATCCAGTCCTTCCTCCTCAATCCACACCTCAATAATCCGTGCAGCCATGTGTGGTGCATAATGACTGCCGCCAGCCAAATGATCCAGACCGATGTTCTTTGGTATGGTTTTGTTGCTCGTGGCTCCTGTCTCATAATAACTTGTGCTGATGATCAAAAGACAATGCCAGACCAAAGTGGCAGCCAGCCGCTTGACTCGCCAATCGCATTGGACGTTCTGGAGAGTGGCCAATATACGCGGTTCAATGGCGCATATCTCGTCAAATCGGTAAATAAATTCACGGATCTGTAGACGCACCCATATCTCCTCTTCACTATGCAAAAGGGTAACAGGGACAAGCTCAGGAGGGTTAATGGGGGTAGATTTTTGTCCAAAGGTAAGTCGATTAGGTCGCGAAATATCTGGTGTCAAGGATATCCTTAAAAATATATATAATATATACATAAAGAAAAATTATAGATTATTAAAACCGGCTTTTCTTTTTCTATATGAATATATGACTCTTAAACATACTTGCTCAAGGATACAGATAAAGAAGATGGTAAATCAGATGTCTTGTCGTTACAGAACCTACAATGATCTATCAATAAAAATTGTCCTTCACTTCAAAGTCTTTGTTTCTTATTTTCTCCTATTTAATATTTCTCTGCGTGTATTTTTTATATAAATATTTCTTTCTGTTCCTTTTTGTTTCTTACTTGCACACACATATGTCCCTAGATCCATGTTCATATTAGTCTTCTTACATTGACAACATCACAGACATACCTGCATACAGGGCATGCCCAGTGAAGGGGAGGTTTATGCTGATGACGAATAATACTCCCTTTACTTGTTACGTAAATCCTGTCTTTTGATTTAATACTTTCGCGCGTCTCCCCGTACAATGTCTCAACACAATGTTCACAGAATGATAATGTACATGGTTGGTTTGTGGTTGAATTGACAGCCGAGCAACTAAGACGAGGTACACTAGCCTAAAAAAAAAGGCAATCGAATCTCAGTGGATTCAGTCAAATTTATACTTGGTATGGAAACATACATACATACATACATATATATATATATATGCACATACACCTTTACAAGAGTATAAATCATAAAGTATAAAGTATAAATATTTATATATACAACTTTATACAAATGTGTGTGCCGTATATATATATGTATATGTATGTATATATTATGTGGTTGTGTTTATATCTTACATCGCATTGATCCACTGGACATGGGGTTGGATGGACCTGATCAATCATGCCTTAATCAGACAGTTATCGACAGTAAAGATCACTCACTTTTTCTGTAGTCATTTGTATCGTGTTCTGTTTTTTCGGAGGACGATTAGGTGTGGCCTGTGCTTTGCGTTTCTCTCGGGGAGGTTCGGCAGGTAGAGGAGCAAAAAAGAGCCTTGGATCTGTCAGGGATCGCGTCTACATGCTATGCATTCATTCACACATTTATGGCTGGGTACCTTGTCTGTAAAAAGCTCTTTTTGAGTTCTGTTGGTTGAGCAATATCCTTTCCTGTTGCCTTTCTCTTCATGACAACGATGCTTATTTTCTTTCCTTTTTTTCTCTTTTTCCTTTTTTAAAAAAAAATCACAAAAATTTGGACAACCAAAAAAAAAAAAAGAAAAAGAAGGCTGCTTTTCGGAATTTTAATGTCAGCAGTGGAAGACAGTTTGTGCCTGAGAAAGCTGAAGCACCAAAGTGTATAGTACATTCTATTTTATCAGTTTTATCAGCAAACCAAAGTAGGATTGTTATAGTATATGTGTTTATTGATATCTATACTAGTCCGCTTAAACGCAAGTCCTCCTATCCTTCCGTCCTTCCGTCCTTCCGCTCCTATTACTGGCGCAGTTGGTCTAGAAATAGGAAACTGCAACGGCTTTTTTGTTAAAGTAGTAATGATGGATCTATATATACATGTACATAAAGTCCATATATTTTTATCTATAATTCATATTATATGAGTGGTGTGTTTTCTAGATAAAGCATTTTTTTTAAAAAAGTGAAATATTACAACTATGATGTCAGATGCAATTACAAATACAAATATATTTATAAATATAATATTATGTGCCTTCCGTTTAAACGCTCTTAGGCGTCAAAATATAGCTGTATTACCATTTGTGTACATTTTTCTTTTTTTCTTTTTTGGTCCAAAAACTCACGGCTAGTTTATATAGCCATGATTCTGACAATTATTGCTGCGTCTTTTATCTTCTTCCCTGTTTCATACGCAATGTCACTATTCGATACTCTCATAAATAGCTCTCCACTAGTTAATGCTCATTACTTCCATGACGGTTCAAGTCATGCCCTAACAGAACAACTGGCATCCCAGGACCGGACTCAGCACCCGCTTGTTTTTAAACAAGCCTTTGAAAAACTAACTGAAACCCGCTACGAACTCACTTATTCAGTCAAAGCCCTGCGCGATTCCGTCCGATTACGCCATCTGGAGTTTATTATGGACTTGCCTATCAAAGGTCATACTATGATGGCAGAAGGTTTCCAAAGCTGGAGTTTGTCCAAGGAAATGGACAGCAACAGTCGCCTGTCATCTATTCCTACTCTTGTTGCCTGGAAAACTAAATTTGATCTTCAAAGGTAATATATTATGCATACAATGATACACACACATATATATAACAATTCAACTCACACCACATTTCTTTACACCGTATTACATATTCTATTTTCTTTGTAATTTAACATATTTGGATTCAATTGTTTCCACAAAAAAAAAGTGATTCTCCTTTTTATAATTACTCTGGAAAACCTGGTGTAATTCACTCAAATGGGTATACCTATTTCCGTGACCCAGAAGAAGAGAACATCTTGTTCCTTGGCTCAGTATCCGAAAACACCGGATACACTTATTTCCAAGCAGATATGAACAAGGGCCATTTTAGTATCTACAAAGATATCGATGGCAAGAACCTCGCAAAAGGTGAAACCTTGGCCATAAAGATCTATCTAGACTACCGCGAGGATATGAGCGCCATCTGGAAGGATTATGCCGCTTATTACCCAAAGCAAACCAAAGCTCCCCGCCGCCCATTGACAGGCTGGACCTCTTGGTACAACACCTACGAGAAGATCACCGAATCAGATGTACTGGACAACCTCAATGCTATCAAAGAACACAAGTACCCAATCGACCTCTTCCAAATCGACGACGGCTACGAAATTGCTATAGGCGACTGGCTTGACGTCGATTCCGAAAAGTTTCCTCGAGGAATGCAAATACTGGCAACTGAAATCAAAGAAGCAGGATACCTTCCTGGATTGTGGCTCGCTCCTTTTGCAGTAGGCGTAGACAGCAACATAGTGAAAGAACATAAGAGCTGGATTGTGACAGACTCCCAGGGCAATCTTCTCACCGCAGGCCCAAATTGGGGAGGTTTCTATAGCATCGATATTTACAATCCAGAGGTCCGCGGTTATCTTCAACAAGTATTTGACGTCGTTATAGAGGAGTGGGGATACGGTATGCTCAAGCTCGACTTTCTGTTTGCGGCTGCCATGATCCCACGTAACGGAAAGTCTCGTGGTGAGATTATGTGGGATGCCATCGAGTTAATCCAGGAGCTCACCAATGATCGCGCTATTCTTCTCGGCTCCGGTGTTCCCCTTCCATCTACCTGGGGCCGTCTGGACTATTGCCGTATAAGCAACGATGCTTCACCTTGGTGGGATAACTCTGTACTCCGACTGGCCAATGTCAGAGAGCGTGTGTCGACTAGCAATGCCTTGGTCTCAACCCTGCACAGATGGCCAATGCAGTCTATGTTTGGTACTGATCCAGATGTCTTCTTTATCCGATCAGAAAACAACAAACTCACCGAGGATGAACGTCACACCCTTTTCGCTATAAACGTTATCCTTGGCCAGATGGCTCTGATGTCTGACAATGTAGACACTTATTCCGACTCTGAGCACAAGCTTTATGCATCATTATTTCCAAAAGCAGAAACCGAAGTCGACGCAGTAAGACAGATATCCCCAGATGTCTATCAAATATCATACCACAGCCACCGCCATAACTACAGCACCTACATAAACCTGTCTCCTGTACCGCATTCCCTCAAGTTGTCTGATCGCTATTACTTCGAGCAAGACAACGTACTTTTAAGTGGACAGGTTGTGTGGCACAAGCCCTCTGATACGATTGAATTACGACCACACCAGACTAGAACCCTACTTCATGTAGAGAATGGATTCGCAGGATCCACAGGACACATAATCCCTGGCTGGGAGATTGAGAATTGGGAGGGTTCTGAAGAAGGATTAAAGATCGAAATTCGAGGTTCTCTAAAGAACGAAAACTTCAAGATCTTTATCCACAACGGCGAAGGCATGCTCCCGGAAACAGTTTACATCAATGGTGAAGAAGCTGATGTAGAACATATTTCTGTAGAGGGAGACCTGCACATTGGCCAAGTAGTGGTCTGAAAACACCACGTAATCGTTGTGTAGTATATACTAATTCTAGATTCCTTATTGCTAACTATCATCTTTTATCACATACATATACATAAAAAAAAAGTATAATTCCTTATTGTAATTTTTTTTAACATGATCATGCTTTTTAATGTACTTTAAGATACCCCTCCAAAAAAGAATCTTAATAAATTTGTGCGATTTTATACGTCTAATGTCTCTTTCTCTTTCTATACATTTCTTTTCTCTCTTTTTTTTTACATCTTGAAGCCACTGTGGATAGCAGCAACACCAAATGTCAAGTTTTCGTATCCTTTACCAACAGTAGAGAATCCAGCATCACGAATGATCTTTGCGAATTCATCTTGGCTATAAAATTGACGGATACTCTCAACAAGGTACTGGTAAGAATCACGGTCATTGGCAATAACCTGACCAAGAGTTGGGATGATATCGAATGAATAGATATCGTAAAACCTTTAAATAAATAAATAAAATTAGCAAACAAACAAACTACTCTGTGTTTATTTTAATTATAGCCTTCGTTTCTACTTACTTTCCAATTACAGGGTTATCAACCTTGCTGAACTCAAGACACATGAAGCGTCCTCCTGGCTTCAATACACGGTATGCTTCCTTGACTACTCTATCAACGTGTGTGCAGTTACGGATACCGAATGCAATCGTATATACATCAACGGAAGCATCAGGAATGGCCTCCAAGTTCTCAGCATTCTGGACCAAGAAGTTGGCTTGGTTTGCTGTACAGAGAAATTATGTTATCAAAATTGCGTTTTACTTCTTCTTCTTCTTATTCTTTCAGTTATCCAGTAATAGTAATAAATATTCTATCCTACACTACACTGCAATTAACAAACAAAAGAAAAATCAAAAGCAAAAACTTACTGTGAGCATACTGAGTTTTCTGGAAACGCTTCTTTCCTTCCTCGAGCATGTGAGGGTTGATGTCAACCATTGTTACACTGGCTGTCGAATCGCGGTGAATATTCTTGCAAAAGTCCAAGAATCGCAGGGCAATATCGCCTAGTTTACGTTTCTAGTATTAGGTACCAATGTTGCCGTTGCCCTTCGTCGTTGCCGTCAATGTTATTTTATTTTATAGAAAATATATCTTGCCTGTTCCACCTGCAACATCGAGTAACTTTGTACCAGGGCCGGGTGCCATGTTGCGGATAAACTCGTCTTTCCAGATACGGTGGATACCCATGCTCATTGCATCGTTCATGATATCGTAACTACCTGCAACATTGGCGAATACGTTGTGGACTAATTATTGAATTCAATAATAATAATAAAAATAAAAAAGATATACAATTGTTTGGTTGTGAGTTAACAGAGCTCTGCCCCTTTTCCTTTTTTTTTCTTCTTTTTATTATAACACACCCAAAGATTCCTTCTCATTCTCAGCTACATCACGGAAACCGAAATGGGTAGTCTTGGTTTCCTTGGTTTCCTTGGTTTCCTTGGGCTCAACGGTCTGTAGACGAACGGAGGCAGAAGAAAAGGCTTTGCGACCCAATGAGAGCACGGGTGATAGTTTCAGAGAACGCACAGGGGCAAGAAAGAGACGCGACATGGAGAAGGGAACTTAACTAGGTAGTCCCCGTTTCTTGATGGTTGTTCAAGGTTGTAAATCGGTGTTTACTAAGCCACTCGGACTCCCTGTGTGTATTGACAGGGCAGTCTTCCAAGGCATTATATAAGCATCTTTGATACCAGAGCTTTTATCAAGCATAACACCTTTTTTTTATTTTTACTTTTACTTTTTTCTTTTTTTTTGACATTATGGGTTTATTTTATCAAATTATAAATAATATATATATATATTTCAAAATGTTTTATAATATTGTATTTATGATTCTTTTACACAAGTTAGACGTGTGATTTGGCATATTAGATTAGATATTTACATAAAGAGATATTGGTAATATTTTCTTTATAAAGATAATTTAATATTTATTTAGAAATTTGGGGATAACCAAGAATATATATATATATATATATATATATCAATAATAATCAATGCTAATATAGTATGCGTATTAATGTTAATCAATAATTAATTAAAGGTCAATGCCATAATATCTAGCATATATATTATTTTATATTGAAAAATTAAAAATGATAATGACAATTTCCAAGCGATTTATCCAAAAATAAGACAAAGCGATTATATTTAATAATTCCAAGAACTACAGTTATATCCCGCTTTATCTATCAAACATGTGTATTTATGCCCACCTAGTAAAGATTCGCTGTAATGCAATGCAATGTACTGTATTGTAAGTTATTGTAATAATCTTTCGGTCCAATGTTGTTATCTTTCAAAGGTCATAGATTGTATATCACTTAGTTAGTGTTCTATAAAGCCTCAAAGTCTTGTTAGCAAGAATAAAAGAGAAAGAAAATCAAAAGGTATATATCTTATATTGGTTTTTTTTTCTTAATCAAACAAAAGAAGTTCAGAATCCATTATCCATTCAACACGGGTTTCTGAATCGAAGACAAATCCGCTAATTTCTGTCAAAACCAGCAAGCAATTTCAGAAACTCATGTATCTTCCTATAGTGTTACATCCGCAAAATAGTGGAAATGCTTTATTTTTCGTAAAAGTAGAGGGTCATATCAGGGGTATAAACGAAAAGCGCCCCCCAAATTTGTCTCTGAAGTCACCATTTTTCCTGTAGTGTATAGTACCAATACAATAAGAACGGTAGATGATGATTTGGTTTGGTTTTCTTTCTTGTGAGCAAGTGTGTATGTGTGTGTGTGTATTAGTCAAAGAATCATACTTTTCTATTAAAGAAATGGAAAATATAATCGAATTGAGCAAATAAACTTATAGGAGAATCTTCATATTCTTTATCCTTTCTTTTTTTAGTATTTTATTGATCTTCTGTCACGCTCTGCGTGCAGCTTTTAAAATGCCATCAAAATGGACTTGATTGAAAATATAAGAGAGAGAATGTAAGGTGGAGAAAATAAAAGAATATTCTTTATCCTGATTCTACAAGAAAGAAAGAAAGAAAGAAAGAAAGAAATATAAGCTTCAGCTGTCCATGGTATAAAACATGGTTTCACAAAAAATGTATTTAATTTAACCAATTTATAAAAGATTCAAACCTATTTTATACAGTGAAACACATTTGTAAGTAGCATTTTGGGATAAAAAAATGCTCAATATCATATAATATTCAAGCAAGAAGTAGCTTAAATATTATATAAGAAATAGTAATGGTAAGCCGTTTAATATTTCACCTAATAACTTAAGAATACTTCTTTTGTATTACTTATTGGAAAATACAATCCATTAATGACAGTTAGTAGCTCCTAAAAGCGAGACCTGCGTTTTCAGATTGTAAATCGTATATGTGTAAAAGGGTGAGTTATTCGATTCCTTTTGGCTACAAGAACAGAATTTGTCATTATAAAAAGCCAGAATAAAATAAACTGAGGATGTACAATGCTTCTAAGAGACATAAAGAAAACCAGCCTTTTCTTTAGAATAATGCTAAATTTACAACTGGTATTGACGTCGTACATGGTGTTTATTGTGATGACTGAAGAGTATTGAACAAAGAAGTTTTCTTTTTCTTTTAATTTTCTCTCAAGTGCAACATCGCCATGCTATAGTCTATATAACATTACACAACTCTACAATTTTCCCAGCCCAAGCCTGAAGACGTTAAAGAAGCACATGCTAATATTCACAAATTTGGTACAATTACTTGGTTTTAAAATAAATAAATAAAAACAATAACAAACTCCACAATAAAAGCGAAGTATGGAGTACGACTTGGGTACAAACTTGTAACCCGCAGCAAGATACTAGTAAGACATCAATAAAAAGTCTTACATGTGTACACTACATTATATTGTATTTACCTTATATACATATAAAAGAACTCGGCCGATAGAGATAAGTAACTGTTTCAAGTACTCTACCAATCCTCGTTAATTCACAATACTATAAATTTGTGGCAGCACAAATAACTCAAGATTCCAGGGATACTCATTGAAATATTGGACATTGAATATCTCAAGTAACTTGGTGTCCAGAATAGACAGCATGTTTGTTTATGTCTGTGTATTTTAAAAGGCTAAAATAATTCAGTGACCAGCTGTATCATGGTACAGCCTTTTATTTTTATTTTTATAAGAAAGTATATATTATTTAAGCGAGCTGGACTTTGATGATTGAAAGATAAAATGAAAAGCATTAAAAGAGCCCTCGATTAAGATGTAAAGATAAATAATAATGAATAATAATAATAATAATAATAATAATAATAATAAAATTAAAAGATAAAAGAATATAGAGATAGAAAGAAACAGCTCGGTTGATATCGACAAAGGCTTCAGAAATAAATAGATAGTAAAAGAAAAATGAAATAGTAAATAGATAAATAGATAGGTAAGTAGTAGATAGATAATACACATTTAATAGATACAAATACAAGGATGAGAGAGAGCGAGAGAGAGAGAGAATATAAGGGATGAAGATAATACTAAACCAAACGTATACAGGATTTAAAGAGCAAAGAACTGCTCTCCATTTTTTTCTGACCGACCTCTTGAACTAAATCTAATTCGTAGCTCAAATATCATATCGTTCCATTCTCGCCAGAGAGATCGTTTTCCAAAGATGATAAAAAGCCATATGCCAACAAGACTGACAAGTGATTCTGCTGTAACCATAAGCCCGAATGTTGGCAGGTAAGGACTGACAATCGAAGTGCACTCGTTTTGGTGATCACCTGCACTTTCTAACATACAAGTCAGCCATTTTGAAGCAACTGTTACGTTTTTAGAGAAGTTCAATAGGTTGGAAATCTGGGTCATATAAAAAAGCTATAATAAAATAAAGCAAAATAAATCAAATCAAATTTAATACCATGTTTTTTTTTTAAAAAATAATAATAATAATACAAATATTATATGTGGTTCTTACCCAGTAGAATACGACGGTCCCACATGCAGCAATAGCTAATATGAGAGCACGCCATTGGATTTTAACGGCTGTAATAACATGTTTATGTCTCTTTGCTTTGGCAGGTCGCATTCCAGTTGGGTCTCCATTTGATAGCGACTGTGACATGTCAGACTCAAGGCCTTCACGAATAGCAATCTTTGAACAAAGAAATAAAACATAAGTATATGAATGTATGCATATCTATATTGACTTTAGACTATTGTTTTCTTTTCTTTTCTTTTTTTACCTTTGCAATGTAAAAGAATGTAGCAATATGAAGTAGGAACGATGGGCAGATAATAACAGCCATGGGGTAGAAAAACAAGGCAAAAATATGTTCAATTGACACCAAGCAAAGATTGGCGAATTCAAATTTCACAGATTTAATTCCCAAGGCAGTACACATTATGACTGTTGGGATTCCCCAGCAGATAACATTAAGCAATATATATCTGTTGGTAAAGAAACTAGAGTTCCAGACGGTGTGTAAATGTAGATTGACAATCAGAGCTGCAGCCCAACAAGTAGTTGCAAACGAAGAGAATATAAGAATGGCACCTAGAGATTATATAATAGTCAGATACCTATTTATAATAATAATAATAACAATAACAATAACAATAACAATGGTGGCGTTAACTACCTTGAGCTGCACATTTATAGTTGTTTTTCTGGTCACTTGGTGTGATATCATCTGCGCATTGTAAGCCATGTTGGTCACCAATTGAGAAGAAAACGGTCATACTGAACAAGAAGATAGCCAAAGACAAATTCAAGATAAGAAGAGAAGGATGTCGTCTCTTGTCAGGTAAAACAAGATAGCTTATCAAAATAACAAAAGACGCTATGGCTGATATGAATCGCATAATGTCTGTGGCTAAGAAGGCAGTGCGTGTCCAATTCTTTTTGTAAAACTGGAAGGATCAAACAATTAAATGAATTTTTTGTGATTCTACATAGGTATTTTCTTTTCAGTAAAGGCTTACCAAATCCTGCGAAGGACAAGGAATACAACAACCATACTGACAGTAGTTTATATACTCTATACCCCTGTGCTTTTCAGGTGCAAGATCAAGAGTAAACGGTGCTGGGCATTCTACTGAAAGAAAGTCTAACGGAATTGCAGATATATTGAATCCAGCAGCTGCTCCAGATACTTTTTTTTAAAAAAAAGGTATTTTTTGTTAGTTTTAATTTTCACTACAATCACTTTGGGGGGTTCTTTTTTAGCTACAACTTTTGTTGTTAACCGTTTTTACCTAATGGCTCAATTATGTTACATGTTTCATCCGGTTGCAGAGGTGTACCAGGAACCGGCATTTCAGAGGTGCAGTTTGGTAAAAGATGCATGGCTCCTGATGTCATTAAAACATTTGTACATGAATCTACGGTCTTTTCACAGGTTGATTTACAGGCTAGATAAATAGTGGGGGCTAATATACAAACATATTAAGTAAGATTTTGGTTTGGTATGTTTGTCAAGTAGGAGCATTTTTTTTGAGATTTGATATTTGATATTTACTATTTGAGCTGTCAGTCTCGCATTTTGGATAGGCAAGGGAACAATGGTATCGATTGAATGCATCTGTACAGCCAGGAACGATTTTGCTGTACCAGAGGGTAAAATTTGGTAAAATGGCGAGCTGATGTTCGATATCTGCAAATGATTTGCTTCCTAGATATACTGGATAGTCGATATATTCCTGACGTTACGAACAGGGTAAGATGACTGGTATATTTTGTGAGTCTGTAGACCACTTACTGAACAAACACCACCAGGGTATTTTGTACAAGCTGAATCATTAGAAACACTAACTGCTGCTGCTGCTGCTGCTGAATTACAAGTAGGCTTAAATTAAGATGCAAGTGTGGGAAAACATCAAAAGGTATTTCGAGCTGAGTCTACTTACCATGAGTAGACATTATTTTTTTTTGTGTAGTTGTTGTGATTGTCGTGGAGTGCGTAGACGACAGAGACCGAGACTGGGCATTAACAAGTTGAAGTGATGCTGCTGTAAATAGGACAGCTAATTGAAGAACTGATTTACTAAATATCATCGTAGCTCTTTCGTGTGTGTGTGTGTGTGTGTCTGGATCGATATGGTATAAACAGGTGGGGTATCTTTTCTGTTTGTTGGTTTTTTCAAGTATGCACTGTGCTTATTTTTATTATTCTTTTAATAATATAAGTAGTAAAAAGAAATAAGAAATAAGAACGACCCTTCTTTGGGTGTAGATTTCAGGAAAACGTTATTTTTTTTAAAAAATAAAATAAAGGAGAGCGTACGGCTAGAAGAGCGTCAAATACTAAAGGAATGGACTGAATAAAAGAGAAAAAGAAACGGAGGAAGACCCACGAGAATGGGTAAAAAATAAACTGTTATAATATTCGAGAAAAATTTCCATTGATGCCACAAGAGTGAGTCTTGAGGTTACGCGGGACTTTTGGTGAACTGGAGATCTTAAAGAAGACACTTGATTCTCTCAGCGTCACTGTGCCCGCTCGACCCAAATGTGTGTGTGTGTATATATATAAATATATACGAATTAGCGTAGTTGCAAAAAAAAAGTAAAAAAAAATAGAAGAATAAGAACTTCTTGTACACCGTTATTCAGACCAATCAATATCTTGAAATTGTCTTCACTAGTTTTATAATAGAAGCAAATGAATAGCCAAAACAATAATATATGGATGAGTAAATGAATCCCAAAGGTGGTTATAGTTAATTATAAGTATTATTAACATAAGACCACCTGGACTTTCTTATGTTTAACTACTAATATATATATATACATGTATATATAATCTAAAGCAATCAAAGGCGTTTTTGTTCATTTCTCTTTATTGCCTTGTAAAGAAGTGTAACAGAGTAAACTATGCTAGACTTGGCCAATTATATATATATAATTTCGACTAGATTATCTTTGATAACCAAAATAGTACTTAATATTGTATGCCTGACATCAACATATTATCTATATAAACAAATTGTTAAAGGTATTGAATCACATGGTATATATTCTCGATCTGTCTTAAAGTTCCCCAATAATTGTAAAAGGAAATAGAGATTGGAAGAGATCTAATGCCAGAACTCACTCTTATGCTGTGCCTATTTACACTCCTTTACTTCCTTTTGACTAAACACCCAAGAGTCGTAAAGGGCCCGTATCTTCAGAGTGGTGTCTAAATAGGATTATTAATATTATTTCCTCCCTTATTTTATATAAACCATTTACTTCCAGTTAACCGGTAAATGATCATGTTTTATGTCAGTTCAAGCGGCTCCTCTCTTTAAATATACTATGCACAAGACCTAATTACGGGAATGTGTACCCAATAAATAAACCAGTTTCTTTTGTTATAATACAACATCCATTTCAAGTGTTCGTTTGTATCAAACCTTATATATATATATATACAAGCGAATATGCGAATGTAAAGCTAGAAAAGTGCCTCTTTGAGAGTGTATATCTCAACTCACAAGAGTTGTATTGAGCAAGAAGTTTAAAAAGTCTCGTATCAAGAAATAAAAAAAAAACTGACCCCTGCGGAATATTAAAAAAATCTATCTTGGGAATTCCATCATGATTTTCTCAGGGAAAGATTTCCGCTTAGTATACAATAGATAGTTACTTGAAATACACCACTGCTTTTTTCTTTACTTCGGGCTATACAATAAAATCAGCTTAAAATTTGGCCAGTATACTCGTGCCAGAAGCTGTCAGTTATTTCATTAGTACAATACCAAGATATTGGATAAATTGAATCCGTTTTACTGATACAGTTTCTATAATTATTTTGTAGTCCAACGCTTTCCTAATCATTATTTACTATCTATGAAGGTTTATTTCCCACATAGTCTACAGAGATATTGTATACAGCTGTTACTAAGCAATGGTCTAATTCTTATTTCTAAAATAGAAAGTAAAGAACCATACGTAGTAACACACACAAGATAGGAAAAAGGTAACCATGCAACTACCATTTAATAGAAAATGAAATAATTTATCCACCAGAATTTTAAAGAAGTTAGTTACATGGACTTTAACTAAAAGATTGAAAGAAATGGAGAAACGTTCAACTTATAAAAATAATTCTCATTAGGTTACGCCGAGAGTGAATCCTTGCCATATATTCTAATTCGAATTGGAGAGAGTAACTCAGTCATAGAAAAAAAAATATACCGAAAAAAATATATAACAAGACCAACAGGCTTGTACAAACCCATACAATAATTGTTAACCTTATCAAAAAAAAATCTACAAATGGGAGTAGTATAGGCATATGTACACTATATATATACATTGCTTTCTTTACGGTTGAAAAACCTTTTTGTATGGAAGCTTAGTTTAGTGCAGCCTATATACATCTCAAGCGGTGCTTTAACAATTTTTTCTGTCAACTAAAAGAAGAAGAGTGCTTCATCTGAATAATTGTATTCTGTAGCTCCATAAGACACACCAGCTTTATCATATCTCTCTACTATATCTCGATAAAATAACATATGTATATTTGACATATTCTAAGGATTCATGGTCATTTAGTTATCCCTATCTCTATTATTATTTTTTAAAGAAAAACAACATGCACATTCTAGTAGGTTCTATTTTATAACTAGATATATATAGCTATATATGTATCAACCGACCTATTCTTAATAAATATTAAGAGTTTTGGTTGAATTATACAATATAGGGCAAATTTAAACTGTACCAATTGTCTTTTCATTTTTTTAAAAGAAAATATGATAGCTTAATTTATTCCACTCAACTACCTGTGATATTTTTTTTAGTGTATCGAATGTTGAAAAATACAATGGCTAATGCTAGTTCCTTATTATTATTCTTGTTATTATTGCTATCCTCACTCTACAGTTTGGGATTTACCATGTTTGGTTGCTCGAATGTGTATAGCTGGTATCTTGGGTTTATTTACCAGGAGCTGAATGGTAAAATACAACCGCGTAGTGGTTCACTATGTCGGCCACTAAATACAAACAGAATAAATGGTTATTAACTTGGTCAAACAGAGGCACATATAAACTTTAATACCACGAAAAAGGAAAAATGTTTGTGTAAGTGATACACATAACAAAGTATCTAAAAATCAAAGTGTACTATATATGCTTCTTTACGAACTAAAATAGCAAGCCATTCTCTGTAAACTGGAAACCTAAAAAAGAAAAAGAAACCCGACCTTTAGTAAAGAGCAGCATTGTTCTGCTTCTTGGAAAGATCAGTAGTTTGCTTCAAAGTATTGGTGAGCTTCTTGCTAAAGCTGGATGAGTAATTATGAAAATTTTCACGAAAATAAAATAAAAAAAAACCGGGTACTTTCTGGTCGATTTGAACTCTAAATCATTAAACATCTCATTTCTATCTCCCATGTCTCCTTGTCAACTATTTTAATGTGAGAAATAAAAATGCTTACATGTGGCATTACTTTTGTCGGAATTAAGTCCTTTAATGCCTTACTTTGGAACTTTGATCGATTAAGGATTAGGGATCAAGGATCCAGTTGTTTCATTGCAAAGATTATTTCTTTTCTTTTCTTTTCTTTTCTCGGAAGGTTCTATGGCTTAATTAGAATCATCTCAGATTTATGGACTGAATTTTGACGGGTTTAAACGTTGTCTAAAAGACGTAATATTACTTGAATTTAGCAATTAATCATACATAATTTTTGCTCTGTACCGATAGGCCAATAATAATATATATATATATCTTCGAGAAAATACACTGCTTATACTTGAAAGTAATGTTGCTCTGCTTTACATGGAGTTAAAAATTACTACCTCGTATTCGAGAGTCTACAAGCTAAATCTAGCTTCTTGTGGTAGTGAATGACAACAGTACATATATCAGTAAAACTAAAAATAAGATATTATTATATGTCACTTGATAGCTATGAGAATTATTTACTAGATCTGTCAAGGTCATTGCTTTCCCATGAGAGCAACCAACATCTTATGGGGTTTAATCCATTAATATATTAAAATATACATGATAAGGCCTCGAACATATTTTGATAATTATGTAGAACAATTGTGTGGCGTATAAATGTATGTAATGGATTGTATATTTCTTCTGGCTTGAGAATTCGGTCATGAAATATATACTTTTACCCTGTTACAATATCAATACAGCTGTGTTCAAGGGTAATATAGATCAATGTTCTTGTATCGAAAATTCTTATTATTATTATTTTAAAAGAATCTTACTAAAATAACAAATATTCTCTAATTTCTTACACAAAATATCTTGTAGGCCGTATCTTGCCAATATTTTGCCACCATGTATTGATGTCATACCACCAATACATTGAGTTTAATCTCAAGAAAATGCTCACAAGAATATAGTCACCATTTATAGAAAGTAGTATCAATACTAAAAGAAATCCATAACTACAAGTATATATGAGCTTTATCACTCTTTTTTTTTATTCCATTCTAGGGTCTGTTTACTTTTTCGGATTCAATTTTCAAATATATCTTGAAGAGGGTTCGGTTAAACCTTTCTTAAAAATCTGTATTTATTGTTTGTGTGTGCTTAAAGATGTACAGGAAGTTTAAGAACATTCTTAATAGAATATAGCTCATCGTAAGAGTAGCTTTCATTTCATTTCATTTATTCAATTCAGTAATAGCTTTCTTATCCTCGAGATTTGAAGCTTAAGGTTAAGAAAAGAAAAGAAAACAATTTATATAGCTATATATATTTTAAACAGAACAAAGAACTATGCACAAGTTTTTTTTTAAAAAGTTTTTCTTTTTTTACTTGTGTTTAGATGTGTGAGAGTAAACCGCAACAAAGTATACTGGTCATTAGAGGAATAAACTCAAACTTGAAGAACAAAAATAAATAAAATAATGATGCTTTGGATAATGCCAAGTATATTAATTAGCCATCTTAAGAATGAGAAAGAGAAAATCATCAAGCAAATTATTGAACCAGCTATATAGTTTCGGGATTGTTATTCTTCTTTGAAATGCTCATACTTTTTTGAGCAATATATCTTGCTCCCAGGCCATTACCTCTGTTTAAATTGCGATTTCTTTGTGAGACATTTAGGTGGTTTATGCTTTATTCTGTGGAACTAATATCTCACCAAGATTTTATTTTTCCTTCCTCTATCAAGCTTACCAAGATAGGAAGTGGGAAGTAAAAGAAAGAAATACACATGTATTTTTATTGAAAGAAACTCCTCACTTAAGCTTCATCTTGGTGTGTACTAATAGCCATTTATTCCTTTAAATCCGTGCCGTACTTTAAAAGAAAGAAAGAAACAATCGCTATATTTAGGTAGTTTTATGCTGGTAGAAGTACATACTTGTAATAAGCACTAATAATTTTGAGTTTAATACAATACTATAAGGGTCACAGATAATAAATTCATGCTCAATGTGAGTAAAATAGGCAGATAGCGTGTATTAATAACAAATTTAACCACGCTATCATGATGTAACTATCTGGTAGAATAATACTACGTCCACAAACATCAATTGAAGTGCCAAAAAATGACAATGTGCATAAAGCAAGCGCTATCTAACATGTAATATAGTTAATATCCTAGGGTTTAAAGTAGACCTCCAGTAATGTGGACCCAAACTTGCATTAGCATTATGATCATTTGTCTCGAATACATACAGGAACGTGGAGACCTAATAGCTTGTCACAACCGTGTGAATTAGATGATAAATTGCCAATTTTTGAGTTTTAACACCGAGTATAAGCTCAGTAATATATACATACTGTATTGATCTTTGATTGTTAAGATATATATAGTCTTTTATGTACTTATATAATGACTGCTGCAATCATGATCTTATATAAAGCAAATACTTTGCTTAAAGTAGAGTATAAAATTTCTATAATAAGATCTGCATGGCCTGTGCGTTGTTTCTCATCTTACAGTCATTTTTTTTTCTGTGGGGAAGTTTAGTTTAGTTTATTTTAATCCCGTCTCACAAAAGTGCATTGATCACCTTACCTATAAATATTTAGAAATGCCTATTTTATTATTAGATGTACAGATTACTGTATATTGTTTTACAAGAGCTGGAGCCAAATACTTAGATAGTATTTCCCGCAAATATTTACATTAAGAGCTCTTTATTACGCTTGAAATATAATTTAAGCATTTAATAGTAGTGCTTTTGCCAAAACCTAGTTGTAAACAGTCCTCGACAAAAATCTGTGTGTTTTAGATTAAGTTGAAACTAGAATTGTTTTCTTCTTAATTCAAGTATCTATGACAATTATTTTTCTTTGAATTTGTTTGACATTGTTTTTTTTAAATAATTTATAATATGTTTGCTTCTATATACGATCATTACTTTACGTAGCTGATGCCATCGATATTGTCTAAAGCACTATTGATCAGCAGAGATAAATCCGCAGCTATTTTACTAAGATTCTATTCTGCTATACTACCAGAGTGTATGTCTTTCTTCGGTTGGCGTAAAATCTTACATTCATATATATACAGAATTATAAATAAATAAAACAGAGGTGGGAGTATATACCATAAAGCTTATACAGTCAAAGTTTAATATAGTGATAATGGTGGGAGAAGAAAAAATCACTATATAATTTATAAATTTAATATAGTAGCTGACTATTGCAAGGATATTTTGATTTGTGCATATAATAGACAGATATGTGGGGGTAAATGGGATTTGTGAATATAATCAAGTTGGTATACTTGAAATATATATTGTGGCAAAGGAATATTTATAAATAATTAATACTAAAGACATGTATGATTAGAGTAGATAATGTAGATAATGCTTAAGATGGATTAAAGAGTATAGACTTTATAGGACTAGTAATTGGGATACCAGTATAAAATAAAAGTAGGTATTTTTTAAATAAAAACCAAAAAGGTTTAAGCACTCAAAGTTTCCCACTTGTTTGTAGGGATCATTATGTATTGTAAACTTTGAATTGATGAAATCATATTTTTTCTGGTTAATTAGCTGTCTTTAATGTATATACTTATATTATATACATCCTAAACTTTGATATTATATTGGAATAATATGTATATCATGTATATATATATATAAATTAAGAAGATACAGGTGCCTGTCTATCTTGTAGCATAAAGCTACATTTTCATATCATCACTATTGTTGTTACTGTTACTGGTACTGGCAATTTGGCTAGTGCCATTCATAGTTCTCTATTCAATGTTCCATAAAAGCTCTATGTTTTTTTTCTCTGCTTAAAATTGTTAGAGCTCATCTCTGATAGAAACAGCTACACCTTTATTTCTTTAAAACCCGTTACGAGCCTCTCGTTTCTCTTTAGCTTTTTAACTCTATAAAATATCGTTGAAAGTACAGCACAGTCATGTTTTACTTTTTAATCAAACTCAAACTTATTCCAAAAAATATTACAGACAAGTGTGGTACCTGACATACTTTTTTTTTGAAAGAACGTCAATCGTCACTTCAACTACTTTAACGGAGTTGAATTTCACGAGTTCCTTTTCAGTGAAGAGGACTAAAGTAAATGGAGTCTTCCATCTACTTTACACATCTCTTGCATCCTTTCATCGCTGATGCATACACCTGCAAAAAAAAACCAAGGGAAAAAAATGCGTGACTATTTTCATATGCATGTGACTACTAGAGCTAAAAACTATAAAAAAAAAGCATAAAGTAAACAAAAAAGGACGCAAAAAACAGAAAAAGACGAGCGACAACGATGCGAAACCTTATTTACCATCAAAAACTACAATTCTATTCATGCAAATGGCTCAGAGGCTTATATATAACTCTCATCATGCTCTTGCAGAAATGAGTTTGTCAGAACATTGCGCATTAAAGATCAATTTTCTATTTTTCTCATTCAGCCTGACATCCGATGTTGATTCGCGTATCCTTTTAACAGCCACTCATGATAGAAAGTAATAGTTTTTAGGGTAAAAAACAGAATGTACACGCGTTTAAAAATTGTTAACCTCTTGAATGTACTTAGTATATATACATACAGTCGATGTCTGATCGATTTCTTAGAAATATAGTAGAGTTTTAACTATTACAAGTAATATCTAATTTTTTTTATATATGACACTAAAAAGCTGTCGATAGTTATTAATAGTGAGCAATATTGTATATAGCAAAGCTTCAAAAGAAGACTTTTTAAAAAAAAGCTTCCGGAGAGAATTACTATATCAAGATTATTTGCTTTACGCGCTTGATAGTCATTCTTTTCTTCGAGTCCCCAACTTCCCAAGCTGTTTGCATGTCGGTGTATTATATTTTGCAGGAATGTACTTTAGTCTATCTATAATACAAAGATTATTGAATTTATCGCTGAATTGTAAAAGTTTAATAAGAAAGGATCGTTTTGACCGAAATGATAAATTAAATACAATAAACCAGCTATATGTTTGAATTGGTTAAGTAAAGTGCTCTTACAAGTATAGCTGACTTGGTGTAGCATGCTACGACCCGTCATTTAAACGTAGTCTGATATCAATTGCTTACATATTGATCAAACCACCTCATCTTTTCACTCTAAAAAACTATTTACTAATAGATTTTTCGATATTTACACCACAAGACTATATTTGATCCCAAAGTTCCCTCAGGACATACACCTAAAAATAAATCAACATTATGTGCCTTATTCTATTAAGTAAAGTTATTTATAAAGTTAATTTATGCTGATCAGTGCTTGTATGACTACCAGCATACCAATATTCATGGAGATATCAATAAATTAAAAAATGACAATATCGATATTTCCACCACTGTACTTTGCTTTTAAATATCCGACAATAAAGATGTGTGCAAATAAAGTTATATTAATAGAGAGCATGTGGGTTTGTAACAATTTAATGGATGATTACTAAAAGTTCACTTCCTCTCTAATATAAGTCAGGACAATGGCTTCAGCTAAGCATAAACAATATTATATTAGGTATATACTCTTATAAATACAGCCTTACACTACTAGTATACATTGTCCAAAATATATATTTATATATCTTTGTGTGTAATAACATATGATATGACAGCTTAAAGTAGTACGCTAAATAACTAACAAAAAGTGTCGGCTTCCATCTTGGAAATGTCGTGCTCTTAATGTCACTGATTTGTGGGTGTTAGCTGATATTATATAAGTATTTTTCTCTTATTTCAAGTAAGGCACTTATTGCCAGTTGTCACAGATCTGTGGCCAAGTTATCGCTTTTATGATAATTCATATAGAAAAAGAAATCTAACAAGAGTCCCAAGTGTAGTTTACTTTGCTTTTGGGATCCTTTATATACACCATGTCAAGCCACGTGACTGCTTTTCCATCTCAAACAGTTGCATATTCTTGAATGCACCATCATTTGCATCTCCAAAGTAAAAGAATCTTATGGCCGACGCACAAAACAAGAAGACTAGCTCTTCAGCTATTGATGTCGCTGATGCAACAGATTCTGCCGCAAAGTTTGGCTCGAGACTTTTACAGGATGAAGAGGCTGTGTTCAGTCAGAATGCTTGGTAATAAAAAAGTGAAAGTCTGTTTGATATTGATCATTTTGACTAAGGTTATATACAATTCAATTTACAAAAAAAAGGGATCATGTTGAATGGGATGAGGAGCAGGACAGATATGCTCAAGAAAGAATTCAGAAACATCTTTCTAGCCCAGTACCTGAAGAGGAGCAAGGTAATATATTCGTTATCGTAAAGAATATACACTTATCGTCCCTTATTTACAGAGCAATATTATGCGCAGCCAGCACACTATTGGAACAACTTCTATCAAAAAAATGAAAACAGATTTTTCAAGGATCGTAACTGGTTGAGACTCGAGTTCCCAGAACTTTTTCTGACTGCTGACGCTGATGTAAATTAATGAGCCACTTGTGTGTATGTGTGAGAGTTATCCAAAATATTTAAAAAAGAAAATGTTATATTTTACTTAATGTAGGCTGGAAAAAAAACTGTCTTTGAAGTGGGCTGTGGTGCCGGAAATACCATGTTTCCCCTTCTCCAAGAAAGCAAGAACCCAAACTTGTTTGTCTATGCCGCTGACTTTTCGAGCACAGCTGTCCAGGTTGTTCAGAACAATCCTAGCTATGACACCTCTCGTTCACTTGCTTTTGTGTGGGATTTGGCTAGTCCAGATATCCCTGAACATATTCAGCCTGAATCGCTTGATATTATTGTTCTGATCTTCGTATTGTCTGCACTGACACCCGAACAATGGGAACAGGCTATTACAAATATGTACAAGGTAATGATAAGAATAATAAGGAAAATAAGGATTATCGAGTTTAAATACACGCCAGTCATATGCGGATACTTAAACAAGTATTATTTATACTAGATGCTGAAACCAGGAGGACTTGTCCTGTTTCGTGATTATGGTCGACACGATCTTGCTCAACTGCGCTTCAAAGAAAAGCGTTTATTGAAAGAAAACTTTTATATCCGAGGAGACGGAACTCGAGTTTACTTTTTTACACCCGAAGAAGTAGCTGGACTGTTTACATCCAAGGCTTCCGAAGAAACTGGACCTCGGTTTGAGGTAGAGCAGAATGCAGTAGACCGACGTATGATTGTGAACCGAAGCCGAAAGTTAAAGATGTACCGAGTCTGGCTCCAAGGAAAATTCAGAAAACTATAACTCTAATACGATAAACGTGCATGTTTGTTTTTGTTTTATGTACGAATTCAAGTATACATTTATACATATCTTTTCTAAAAAAAAATATTGTGAACAATTAAGAGAAATAAAGCGCAGGCGCAGTTGGCTTTGTCCAGATCCATAATAATTTAAAGAAGAAGAAGGAAGAGCCAAAGTCTGATAAAGACCTTTTCTCAGGATGGTTTAATTTAAAGCTTGCTTAACTGCGCCAAGGAAAAAAAATCTATCCAGGAATGGAATAACGAGCATAATTGCACTTGTAGTGAGAAAACTGTTTATTGCAGTGGTTTTCAGATCGAGATTACTAGTCTACTTCCAAAAATAAGCAAAATTATTTATTTGTGGAGAATTTATGCAAAGAAAAAAAAATCGATTTTGAAGATGGTCAGGTAAATACTTGTAAGAAACAATTGATTATAAATATATAGATATATATATAAGAAATATTGGTATTGAATGCAGCTTACTATTAGAAAGGTTTTGAAATATTGCATTTGCATAGTTGCTTCAGCATTCTCATGATCTACCCTATATTATTTTATAGCATTATGTCTATTAAAAAGTTGTTAATAATCCCAACCATCATACTCTCTTGAGCAGTCAATTATTTTTTGAGCTTATACCGAGCTTAAGAAAATTGTAAATATTTCACTTTTTTTATTAATTTACTTGAAGGTTGTGAGGGTCATGTTGAGATTTCCTCCTACCAAATCCAGAAATTATACAACTCTTTTTTGTTGTTGTTGTCATTGTTGCTGTTGGAATTTACAATTATATTGTACAAAATTGTCTGCATTTGTTCTCTTGTCCACCCAAGATGTAATAGTGGCACCGTACCCACATTTAACAAACAAATGTACAAAACCATTATATCGTACTACCATTTGATCTTTCGAGCCAATCAATTTCTAGAGAGAAAGATCTGAATGGCTGATAGTACAAATTTACAAAGATTTACTCTTGTATTCAAGACATGGTGAGGGTCTTGGCTTTTTTATCACCAAACACAAAAGAATATAGCCCTTGAATCAATGGACAGGGTGGACGTGCTTTTCTCACGAGATACAGTACGGAATTGCGTCAGAAATAATCCAGATATTCCCTAAAAAGTTATAAGTAAAGTTGAGTTTTATTAGTTTGTTTTCGTCATTATTCGACGAATGAGCCCATGCAATAGACAATGTCTTGGTAGGGATGGTCTGCGCAACTTTTTTTTTATATAGAAAAAAATCAAATCGGATAATCGCTTCTACAATAAGTAAATAAATAAAGTCGACTCATATTTACATTTTTTTGGGGGGTACAAAGAATACATTCGAGATTTCTATCGTATATAACTATTAGTGGCCTTAATATCGTACAGAAGAATATGGGGACAGTGTATAATATTTTAATATAGAGAACTGGCACCACGCTCTAAAAATATCATGGTCTTTCTCGACATGACATTCTTCAATTAACCTCAAGAATACTTTGACATTATTGGATATTGGTTTCTTGATACTGATTTCTCTAAAAGATGAAACACAAAAGACAAAGGGATTATAACCTTTAATTATCTTTTTTTTTTTAAAAAAAAAGACTATCAATTCTTTTGGTTGTTATGGAAACATTTAGAGAAAAGCGTTGTCTACTATTAGGTTAATGTTTTAGCAGAACAGACCAATAAATAAATAAATAAATAAATTTTAAAAAAAGCTTGTTCTGTGGTTGGATATAGTTAAATTTTATTTACACCCTGGTCCTAATAGTCTATTGTATACAATTGCGACTCCAGACCTTTATTATTATTATTTAAAAATGGTAAGTAAATCATAATAATCCCGGTTACATTGATTTCTTGCAAAGCAAAAAAAGGAGAGTGAATTGAATGATTTGATGGGTCTCAACACAACTAATAAGAAGACCTGGATGTGTTAAGAGGTAACCCTATTCTTGATTGGATTTTCTTTTTATAAAAAAATCACGTTCTGGATAGAATGGTGGGTGGTGTAATATCTACCCAGATCCCTCCCATCTCCCATGTATTTGAGATGTTCTGGCTTAGATTTTAGTGGATATAAACCTAAATGAGACTACATATATAGAAATCACCCTGTCCAATGTACTCAGAAAAACTACAAGAGCTCAGAAAAACAGGAACATGGCAATAGAGTAGCAGAAGTAGTGAAAGTAATAGAAGTGCTTGTTTGCATAATGACAGACTGTTGTAAAATAGGTTTGGTAGAAATAGATAAAAGAAAGGTACAGAAACTAATCGTTCAATGAGATATAAGGATCTATTGAATTTGTGCAATTATAGATATACTTCTTTTGGGCAGATAACGACTATTTTGCCCTGTAGTTCGGTTCACTTTGAGATAACGGAAGATATACTATGTTACTTTCGAATGTTGATGCTTTCATATATTTTATCAACAGGGCATTGTCTTTCTCTTTGGACAAACACAACCGGAACTTCAAGAAAAGCAAACCGATGTGTATTTTGCGTTTGAAGAGTCATACTTCCCATCCAATGGGAATATCTAAAATGAAAAAGAATTGACTTACATTCTACACTCCTATACATTTTTTTTGGTGAACTTGTTTTTGACTAGCCCGGGCCTTGTAACAAACCCGGTCGCTCTCTATTAGTATTATTATTTTTACCTTGAAAGATTTCTATTGATTCTATTGAACGATGTGCACAATTTTTGATCAACATCTTTCTATCTTGCTCTTCAAGTGTACGTGTGTATATATGTGTGTACAAGTGTGTGTGTGCGTGTGCTTGTGTACGATGTTGCCGTGGGAAATAAGGGCCCTTTTTTTTATAGTGTATTGTATGGTTTGGGACAAATTATTCTATTCCATTTTCTTATTTTATTTTTTTATTATTTGAAACCATAACGTGGGGAAGGTGTAGTAGAATCTGAGCATTAACTGAAACGCCGCTACCCCACATCCTCCTGTACCTTTAAGGATTTCAGTATGTTTTACGTGTCTGTGATCCAACAGGTGCGGGAGGTGTGGATGATCCTAAAATACTCCAGAATATGACAGCATTAGCTTCATCCCCAGACTTACCCGGAGAGCGGGAAATACTTATTGACTAAAACAAGAAGAAGAATGATAATTTGTAATAAATCAAATAATGGAATTTAGTAATACGCTTAATAACCAAAATATTCGAGCATCTCGGACAGAATTGCGTATTGAGGCCTATTGACCATTAATAAAAATTTACGGTTGACTCATTATCCGTCTATTGTACCAATTTTATCCCGCGGAAGCCCTCCAGGGAATGGAGATAGAATAAGGTAGAAACATATCCCTCTCGAATAACGATTGGACGCTGAATGGGCCAACATTTCATAAGCACGAGCAGCTTTGGCCAGTAAGAGTGATATTCATTCTCAACGCGCTTCATTAGCCGTCATTTTACGCGCTCTCCGCTCAAAACTAGCCTAGACTCCACCCCTTGATTTTTTTTTTTTTTTTTTTAGGATTTCTTTTTTTCTCACGCCTAAACCAATCAAATTCGTCGATTTGTGTCTCATTTCATTATTTTGTCTTTGGACACTAAATATAGTCTGGCTGTGACTCGGCCATTGCTGCATCTGTGTTAGCGAACCCTTTTTGGCCAGAACAAAAGGCTGATTAACGGTTGCTTGGTCCATATGCAACAACAAAAAAAAATTATTAAAAGCCGAGATCATATAAATACTCAAAGCTTTCATCTCTAAATATAACTCACACTTCTTTTTTTTTCTAACTCTCTACACATTTTAAAAAATGACGGCCACCCTTGCGCCACCCTTTGCCTCAGACAACTCCTCTGTCGATGATGGCTGTGGTTACAACGCCAACGTTTTCGCTGGAAAATCTGAGCAGATGGTCCAGGTGTGTGCTCATCTCAATGAGACTGGTTTCCTTCCCAAGGAATTGGTAGAGAACGAGGTGTCTTGGTTCTACAAGTAAGTTCATTAGAATATTTCGCGTATAAATCACAAAATTCCTTATCTCTCTTGCCCACGATAGCAACCTTGGTATCGATGACTTCTACTTTGCTCTCGAGCCCGTCGAGACAATTGCAAACCACATCATGGCCCTCTATGGTGCCAAGATTCTCTCTTATACCAAGCACGAGAACTCCCTCGAGATTAACCTCGAGAAGGAATCCGAAGACTCCTCTGTCTATATCCACTCTTCCCAGCCTGGTGTTTCCCAGCTCCAGGGTCCCCAGTGTGAGAGAACGTAAGTCAATCAAAACAACTCTCCGGCTCCAATTCCTAACTTTTATAAAATAGCATCGACGAGAAGTACCTCAACACATCCGTTTCCACCCAGAGCTACCGTGTTGAGTCTTATCGCTCCTCGGCTACAGTCTCATCGGACTTGACTTCCCAGATCCGCTCCTACTTTGTTACCAAGTGCCAGTTTGTCAACCCTGAGCCTACTACCGAACAAGAGACCGATATCGAGCAGGTTGCTGACCAGGCTTTCCTCAAGAAGGCTACTGAGCACACCAAGAAGGTTTATGAGGGTGTTATGCGCAATGTTCTCCAGCGCACTGGTCCCGTCATTGAGATGTGTGAGGTCCAGGGTAGTCGTGAGCGCCGTTTGATCATTGGTTATCGTCAGAGAAGCACCCAGGGATTCTTCTCGGCTATGTCTGATCTCTATCATTACTACAATCTCTATTCTGTCCGCAAGTATGTCGGTAAGTCTAAAAAAGAGCTTTATGTCTAAAAGAGAGTTCAGGGGTAAACAAAACAAGAGGCAAGAATGTCTAACATGTATTGAATCGTCTGATAGAGCAATTCTCCAACGGTGTGACCATCATGGGTATCTACCTCAACCCTCTTCCCAACTCAAAAGCTGCCCCCATTGAGCACTCTATCCACCAGGTCATGAAGGAGACCTCGCTCCTTTACTGCTTGCCCAAGACTCCTTTCCAGCAGTTCTTCAAGACAAACCAACTCTCTGTCCAGGAGACCGTTTATGGTTATGTCGGCTGGATTTTCTCTCAACACTTCCTCAACCGTCTTGGTAAAGAATTCATGAGCCTCAACACTATTCTCGACCGCTCCAACCCCGTCCACGAAGAAGTTCTTGGCAAGATGAAGAAGCGTCTCCGTCAGGATACCTTCACCCGTGAATACATTCTCGATATCATCCAGCTCTACCCCGAGCTTATCAAGCTGTTGTATGCCAACTTCGCAAAGGTCCACTATGTCAACCAGCGCGAGGCCTCCCTTCAGCCCACTATGTCTTACCAGCGTCTTTCCACCGTCGAGAATTTGACCGAGGAGCAGTTGGTTAAGAAGATCAAGAGTGTCACCTCCAACGCCCACGAGCAGCTCGTCTTCGAGGCCTTCTTGACCTTCAACAAGCACGTCCTCAAGACCAACTTCTACCAGTCTACCAAGGTTGCCCTCTCATTCCGTCTCGACCCCAGCTTCTTGCCCGAGATTGAGTACCCCTCCAAGCTCTACGGTATGTTCTTGGTTATTGGTTCCGAGTTCAGAGGTTTCCACTTGCGTTTCCAGGACGTTGCTCGTGGTGGTATCCGTATTATCCGCTCGCGTAACCGTGAGGCCTATTCCATCAACTTGCGCACATTGTTTGACGAGAACTATGCTCTCGCTGCTACCCAGCACCGCAAGAACAAGGATATCCCCGAAGGTGGATCAAAGGGTACCATTCTGTTGAACATTGACTCCCAGGATGTTCCTCTTGTTGCATTTGAAAAGTATGTTGACTCTGTCCTCGATCTCCTGATTATCGGTCACACTCCTGGTATCAAGGAGCCCTTGGTCGATCGCCTTGGTAAGAATGAGATTCTCTTCTTTGGTCCTGATGAGGGTACTGCCGAATACATGGACTGGGCTTCCCAGCATGCCCGCAAGCGCACTGCCAGCTTCTGGAAGGCTTTCACCACCGGCAAGAGCCAGTCTCTTGGTGGTATTCCCCACGATGTGTACGGTATGACTACTCGCTCTGTCCACCAGTACGTTTTGGGTATCTACCGCTCGTTCGGTCTTGAGGAAGAAAACTGCACCAAGCTCCAGACTGGTGGCCCCGATGGTGATCTTGGCTCCAATGAGATCTTGATCTCCAAGGATAAGACTATGGCTGTCGTTGATGGTTCTGGTGTACTGTACGATCCCCATGGTATCAACCGTGAGGAGTTGACTCGCTTGGCTGAAGCCCGTAAGATGATCAACAACTTTGATATCAGCCTCTTGTCAAGCGAAGGTTTCCGTGTTTTGGTCGATGAAACAAACGTCACTCTTCCCAATGGCGATATTGTCGAGAATGGTCTCTTGTTCCGTAACACTTTCCATGTCAACCCCTTGGCCACTGCCACCATCTTTGTCCCCTGTGGTGGTCGTCCCGAATCCATTGATCTCAACAATGTCAAGCATTTGGTCGCCGATGATGGTACCCTTCGTTTCAAGTACATTGTCGAAGGTGCCAACTTGTTCTTCACTCAGGAGGCCCGTCTCCGCCTCGAGAAGGCTGGTGTTGTGATCTTCAAGGATGCCTCGGCTAACAAGGGTGGTGTTACATCATCTTCTCTCGAAGTCTTGGCTGCTCTTGCTTTCAACGATGCCGAGTTTGCCGAGCATATGTGTGTCAAGGATGGTGTTGCCCCTCCTTTCTACGAGGAGTATGTTAAGGAAGTCCAGAACATCATTGAGCGCAATGCTGCTGCTGAGTTTGAGGCTTTGTGGCGCGAACACAAGAAGTCCAAGGTGCCAATCTCTATCCTCTCCGACGATCTTTCTGTCGCCATCGTCCAGCTTAACGACCAGCTCCAGACCACCAGTCTCTGGCATAACGCTTCCCTCCGCGAGACTGTCTTGAACAGAGCTTTCCCCAAGCTCCTCCTCGACACTCTTGGCCTCGATACCCTCCTCGAGCGTGTTCCCGAAAACTACGTCAAGGCTATCTTTGGTGCCCACCTTGCTTCCATGTTCATCTACAAGTACGGTCCCCACCCCGATAACTTTGCCTTCTTTGAGTTCATGCGCGAGGGCTACTACGCTGACGAGTAAATCCATATATCAAACACAGAAAATACAAAAAAGGATGTACTCTAAAGCTCACAAAAACAACAACAACAACAAATGAAACAAGAAAAGAGTCTTTTTTTTAAAAAATTTGTTTCTTTTCCTCCAAACTCTTCTTCAACCTATCTGTAAAATTGCATGCCATTTATAATTTTTTATAATTTCTTTATATCTATCCCTTTTTAAAATGATTTTATTATTTTCCATTTTTTTGCCTAATAAATATCATTGTCATCAATATCTATCAATAAAATTTTTGCACTATGTCTTTCATTGTTATCAAAATAATATTAATTTATACTATACATTGTTTTCTTTTTTTTTTTTTTAAAAAAAAATAGCATTTGTGTCAGCTTTTTATTTTATTTTATATATCTAAACTTTATTTATATATATAAATTTAAGAAAGAAAAAAAAATTAAGTTCAAATGCAGCCAATCAGCGTTTATATTTTTTTCTTAAAAATGACAAGAAGTACAGAAAACCCCTCCCCTTCTCCTTCAATTGATCCTTCTTTATTTCTTTTAGATTTTTTTTTAGAAAAAAAAGGTAAACTTTAATGTGTGCCCGTGTGAATATAAAAGACTCAAACGCATTCGAAATCAAATGCTTGTTTAATTCAAATCAGACTCTTTTAAATCAATAACATGGCTATCACCAAGAAGGAAGAAAACCGCCAGGCATTCTTGGATGTCTTCAAGGTCCTCAAGGCTGACATTCTTAACGAGCTCCGCAAGAACAACATGCCCGAGGACGCTTACAAGTGGACTGAAGAGGTAAATAAATAAATAAGTAAAGGCGCGAATATTTTTGGGATGAGTAAACTCATTCACTATTATAGAATCTCGAGTATAACGTTCCTGGTGGTAAGTTGAATGAGATGATGAGGAATGACTTTCAGGCAAAATTTACTTATTTATTTTTCTTTCTTTAGGCAAGCTTAACCGCGGTTTGTCTGTTGTCGACACCCTTCGTATTCTCAAGGGTGACTCTATTACTGAGGAAGAGATCTTCAACGCCTCTATTCTTGGTTGGTTGGTTGAGCTTGTAAGTTTCAAATCAGAAGAAAACCGGAGTAGTGATACTAAGATATGATTTTCGTGTCTCAGCTCCAAGCTTTCTTCTTGGTGTCGGATGATATGATGGACGCCTCAATTACTCGTCGCGGTCAGCCCTGTTGGTACCGCAAGAATGGTGTTGGACTAATTGCTATCAATGATTCCTTTATCCTTGAAGGTGCCATCTACGTCTTGTTGAAGAAGTACTTTAAGAAGTTCGACTACTACGTTGACCTTCTCGAACTCTTCCACGAGGTATGGGCTTATATTTTGTGAAACGTTGATATACCTGATCCTTGCTCCAGACTCATCCTGTATCATTATAAAGGTATCTTTCCAGACTGAGCTTGGACAACTCTGCGATCTTATTACTGCCCCTGAAGATAATGTTGATCTCAGCAAGTTCTCTATTGCAAAGTAAGTTAAGCTTAACCTGGAAGTCAATACACGCGTGCTTAAGGTGTGGTTGAAAATAGGCACAAGTTCATTGTTATCTACAAGACTGCATTCTACTCCTTCTATCTTCCCGTTGCTCTGGCCATGCACATGGTAAAGGATCTCAAGTCCGCTAATGTGACATTTCTGATTTACTTTATTTACATATGAATTTAACATTTGTGGTGTGGATTATTATTATTATTATTATTATTATTATTATTTTAGGCTGGTGTTAAGAATGAAGAGGCCTACAACAAGTCTAGAGATATCTTGATTCCTCTTGGAGAATACTTCCAGATTCAGGATGATTATCTTGATTGCTACGGTGCCCCTGAAGTTATTGGCAAGATTGGCACTGATATTATGGACAACAAGTGTTCTTGGTTGATCAACCAGGCTCTGTTCAAGGCTAACCCCGAACAACGTGCTGTATTAGAGGTAATTATTGCTATAATTCTTATGGAGTGAAAATTGTAGATTATGTATAATATATATTCATCTTCATCTTCATATTCTAAACTATTTTCTCTCTTCTCTTCACAAAAAAAAATTCAAACTATAAATGATAGGCCAACTACGGACAAAAGAATTCCGAGTCAGAGGCCAAGGTTAAAAAGGTCTTTTTGGACTTGGGAATTGAAAAGATTTACAAGGATTATGAGGAAAAATCCCACAAGGAACTCTCTGATTTAATTAGCCAGTTGGATGAGAGTGTTGGCGTTAAGAAGGCCGTATTCATTGAATTCATGGATAAGATTTACAAGCGTACAAAATAATTATAAAATATATATTTTTCTTTGATTGGCTTATTTGCCCTACGTCATATCGATTTCGCGCTGGCTGGGGTTATCCCTGTGAGCAAAACAAGGCGGGGCCCAATAGGCAAAAAGAAATTTTTCTAGCCTGGCTCAGTGCGCCCTTCCCCCTGCCTAGTTTCTTCTCTCTCAGAGTAATTCCCTTTCAGGTTTTAACATTGCAAATGGCTTCCCGATTCACTCGCTTGACTACCGTCGTCCCTCAGGTACAACAACAAACCTTACATCGTATTACATGTTGTACTCATCAACGTGCACACCCACACACCGATACAAAAACATATATTATTTTTATATATATCATATAGTTGGCTCGCGGTTATGCTGCTCCTGCCAAGACCGTCAAGGTAAAAAAAAAAAGCAAAACAAAATAACTTTGAACGCGACTTTTAAAAAAGTAAATATGAATGCTTACTCTGTTTATCATTCGAAAATAAAATATATAAAGGTCCCTGTCACTCTCTTTGGTCTTAACGGTCGTTATGCCACCGCCCTCTACTCTGCTGCCGCTCGTCAGAACGCTCTCGATGCCGTTGAGAAGGACCTCAAGGCTCTCGATGCCCTCGTTGTCAAGGACAAGGGTGTCCAGGCTTTCCTCGAGAACCCCACCATCAACCGTAAAGTCAAGCTTGATGGTATTAACGCCTTGTTGTCCAAGGCCGGTAAGCCCAGTGAGGTCACCAAGAACCTTTTCGAGACTCTCTCCGAGAACGGTCGTCTTGACCAGACCACCAAGGTCATCTCTTCCTTTGCTGAGTTGATGAGCGCTCACCGCAATGAGCTCTCCCTCGTCATCACCTCCACCAAGGTATATTATTATTATGATTATTACTGTTTAAATTTTTAGAAGTAAGAGAGATTTGTGTGTATGGAATTATAAAGGAAAGGAGAGAATATATATGTATATATATGTGCGTATTTGCGTGTATGTATGTGTAGAATATGAAACCGGAAACTCAATTAGCAATTTTAGGAATTGGACAAGGCTACCTTGAACAAGATTGCCGAATCTCTCCAGAAGAGCGGTCTTTCTGAGGGTAAGAAGCTCCTCGTCTCCAACAAGGTCAAGGCTGATATCCTCGGTGGTCTCCTTGTCGAGATTGGTGACAAGAGCATTGACTTGACTGTTTCCACCAGACTTGCCAAGCTCAACAAGTTGGTCACTGGTAAGTTAATGAGGCTATAGATATATATTATACTATAAACTGGCAAATGAAATGCTAATTCGTGTTTCATAGACTCCATCTAAACATTCCTACTGTCATTTGTCACCATCGAAACGCATACGCACGATCGAATCTTTTAAGCTTGTAAAGAGAACAGAAAAAAAAATACAGACTAAAAATGCCAATAAATCAACATAGCTTGATTTGTATACTTGCTTTTCGTTACCAATTTGTTACACAGACAATTCCCCCTTTTGCCTCTCCGGTATTGCAGAGGAACCAAAAAACAATAAACTTTGCTGGTTTCCTCATGGCGTTATCACCCACTCTAGTAATCAATCACCAGAATGATGGTTCTCATGCCATCCCTGATCTCTCAATTCTCCCACCTTCCCCTACATACCCTGCCATTCCTCCCATGTCACTTTACCACCCAGCACTCCTTTTATTAGACATAAAACATTCTTCAAATAACAGTAGCGTTTGCTTTGTTCACGGAGACTCACGCCCAGTATTCTTTCACACCCCAAACACCTCCTCGTATATCCTCCAGGATCAGTACCAGCAACCTGTGTGGTCACTTACAGCCCAAGATTGGCGGACAATGGTGTTTGGCTCGGCTCACAACACCATCCACCTTTCGATTTCAAACCTCACATTCGAATCCCATGGCCACACATACCAATGGCGAGTCGTGCCACTCTCTTCACAGTCTAATTCTTCAGTCCGATATGACTTTCGTTGTTATCATGTCGAGCGGCAAACATTGATGGCTGAACTCACAGACGATGCTTCACGTTTCGTCTTGTGGTCAATCCCACCTGTGCGCCCTGTGAGCAGTTGTGGCCCAGTCACTAACCCATTCCGGTCCCTGCCCACTCAACGTTTGTCCATGCCAACAATGACAACAGCCTCACCTGTTGAAAATATACTTCTCGACCCACTTGCATCATTCTTGGTGTTCTCGGCCCTCCTCTTTTACCACCAAAATATTGGTATCGGGGCGAAAAATACCGAGAATTCAGAGCCAAAAACAAATACTGCAGAAGAAGAAAGAGGAATGGAAGATGACACCAGTGTTGATTCATATCATTACTATGCCGAGCAAGGTTTGGTTGATTTCCCTAATTCTGCAATGTCCGTCAAGAGTTTGGAATTGAGTCCTGGCTGGTGGGGATATGGTTGGAAATGTTGTCCATGTTGCATGCCGGGTGGATGGTTCGACAGTATGTGGATTAATGTAAGGAAGTCAGTCTTTCAATGCTGTGGCCGTCCCTCGCGTTCACACCACAGACGACAAGGCTGGCAGCAACAATCAGAGTAATACTAATGATGGTATTTTGCGTGTGGGGTTTTCTCCTTTTGGTTCTTTACTTCTTCCGTTGTATATATAAATATTCCACTCTTATAGTCCACCTCTACCTTCTTCTTTCTCTTCTCTTTTGTAGTTTTAATTCAATACGCACGTCCTCTTATATATAAATATATGAACATATGCATAAATTTTATATATGTATACACACAAATATATAATACTCCATATATATATTCACACACAAACACATTACAAACAATAAAATGAAAGAAACAAAGAATCTCCTTTTTCTTTCTTTCTTTCCAATAAAGAAAACGAGCCCAAACAAGTTACTTGTCTGTAAATATATGTATTTGTATATATTTTAAATCAAGGGAGCAAAAGAAAGAGGTCCACCTCTCCAACTTAATGGCGGCGGGACTCGGCAATGACAGCAGACAACTCTTCAATCTTCTTCTTGGCACGGAGGAAAGTACCGAGCTATTGTAATAAAACAAAGAAAACCAAATAAGAAAAGTGTTTGTTTGTTTTTATGAAATAAAATAAAGAACCATAAAAACCAAACAAAAAGGTTATCATGTCTGTATTTGCATAAATGAAGCATGTATATATGTAGGTGCATATATATGCTTGTATAAAAAAACGTACTCTCTTCTTGGTAAGCTTCTTGGCACGCTTATCCTTGGAGTTCTTGATCAATTCCATGACACGACGTTCATAAGGGGCAAAGCCAACGACCTCACGGACGATGCTGCGAACAAAGGTGGTGCGCTTGGAAGCAGCCTAAGACAACAACAACAGCGGTAAAATAAAAGAATAAGAACACATGTATACACAAAAAATGAGAAAGAGAGAAAATGTTCTATCAGTGGCCCTGTATATAATTGTACTCAACCCAGACTCTCTAAAAAATCCATCCATCCATCCATCTTTTTTTCTTCTTTCTCTTTTTAAATGCTTTATTTTATAAAATCAACGTACTCCCTTGGTGTATGAAGGGGTAATCTTCAACTCGCGACGAGTGACGATGTGGCCCTTGTTGAGACCAACGGCAAGACCAGACTTCTGCTGAGGAGCCATTTGATAGTATGTTAGAGGTGGAACGAAAGGCTTGCTGGGTTCGCATCGCGAGGAGTGTGCCTCCCCCCTCCCGGAACACTTTCGGTTCCCATCCGGAGTATCACGTGCTTATTTCAGTATCCGATATTTTCGCCGGAACATTGACTTTGATTAATGCTTTGAGAAGATAATTCATTCATTTATTATATATGTAATATGATATGATATATATTATGTTAGTTTATAGTACAATAATACTAAGATATCTTTGATTGCTAATTTGGTAAAGTATAAACAAATAAACTTCTGAAAGATATTTGTAACCATAGAAACATAATAGCTTCATATATATATGTATAACATAATAATTTTAGGTACATCCAGTATCAATTGTTTACCATGGAGATTCTTTTATTATTAAAAGCCTTAACAAGCGAAATAATAAAAATAAAAGGCAAAACGATAAATAAATCAATAAAGCATATTTCATCCAGCTTTATGTTCCTTAATTTTCCCCTCCTTATTTTACTCCTTACGTATTTGTGTTTTACTTTCCTATTGATTTTTTTTAGTTATTTTGGCAGTGTATCAAATAGCGTCTCAGCAGTGAGTATAATATGATTTGCATGTTATCTTTTATTTAATAAATTATATATATGAAAATAGAAGTTTTTTTTTGAAACATTAACTATAATTTGGTTCTTTGGAGATCTTTAAATGTTTCATTTGTATTGTCAGAAAACACAACCTTAATAAATCAATACTCCAATGCCTTTTAAATTATTGGTCGCGTATAATATAATAAAAGTTCCTTCCTTAAAAGAACATGCCTTTTTACATTTAAATTAAGCGATCACACTTTACAGCTAAAGCATACTATGCAATAGGCCAACATTGGCAATGTGTAATGTAAAAAGTAAAAATAGAAGCAAAATTCATTATTGTAATAATATAGGTCACCAATTTCTCAAGAGATACATTTTTTTTAAAATAATAATAATAAAAAGAATACAATTATATTATACCATTCTACCACAAGTCAGGAAGATCATCTGGCCATTGGCCTGATTCTCTAGTCTGCCAGTAATTACCATTATAATGCCACGATAATCCTTTTGACTCTTGTCCTTCCACTGGGGCAAGCTGGAACTCTTCAAATGGATCATTTTCTAATTTGAACCAGCGTGGTTTACACTCGATTCCCTTTTGTTCGTATTCTTTGCGACGTTCTCGTTGAAGCTGCTCTATTCTTTGCTTCTCTTTATCTGCCTCTTCAACATGACCTAGTTATTACCAGACGATAATATAAGTTTACATTAATATAACTTACAGCATATTTTCCTCTTCATCTGTTTATTTATTTTTACCTTGCTCATAAAGCGATTGGTCAGGTCGTAACCGACTGTCAGTCTTTGGAAGTTTGTGATCCTCAATGGCTGTTATTTCATTCAATTCTACACAGAATCGTGTAAAGCCATAATACTTTTGATAATCTTTGACGTGTGGTGGATTGGCGTGCCACAGGATAGAAAGCGTCGATCCATTCATATCAACCTCTTCTGCCATCAGCTCACTCCATTTTCCAACCACTCTGCGACACTTTTTACCTTGGCTGTCATACAAAGTAGCTACCACCTCATCCCTCTTAGTTGGTGCGCCAAACAGACCACCACCTGTGCCTTCTTTGAAAGTCACAGATGCGTAAGCACCCGAAGTATGGTCCTGCACCTTCATTTCGCCTACATGTTCAAGGTATTTTTCGCCCGCTATCATGTTTCGCATCCAACTCGAGGGCTTGAAATACGTGTAGTGGTCATCATGACCGGTGAACGTGACGTGGAATGTTCCCTCTGTCATGAACTCCATAGATTTTCCCCAGAATTTACTTTTAACTTTAGAAGCCTGCCAGTATTTGTAATTCTTTGAATCTGCATGAGCCTGTATATAAGTAAATCAATTAGTAGTTTTATTAAACAAGTTTCTTTGTTCAAAAGCATATTCCCTTGCTCTTACTATAGCTATTATACTTACAGCAATAACCAAAGGATGATGTGATACTTTCTCTGCAATAAATCTGAACCCTTTATCTGGACGAATGTTTTCGTAGGTCTCGGTAAGCATTGGATTAAAAGGCTTATATATTATATATTATGATTATTACTCAAAATAGTTAATTAACTGATTCATTCATTTGTTCTTCAACCCACTAGCTGTAAAATTACCTTTCGGCCAGTACGGTATTGAGAGGAAGCATAGCTTGAGATGGCGAATACTGCGACATACATAAGCCGGTCCATTGGATCATCCATACTGGATGCCTTGTCAAGAAGTTCCGAGTACTCCAGATCCTCGCATGCTTTTTGAAGTATACTGATAGGCTCATTCATACTCACAGGCATGGCGACCTGTGAAAGATCCTTGCCAACATTTTTACGGAAGATCGATATAGCAGATGCAGGATCTCCTACAGATGGAGATGGAAGAGTCTTGCGTCGCTCCTGACACTGTCCTACTCTTGTAAAGTCGATTGTTTCTCGTTGATGCTTATCGACTGTAATAATAAATATCAGAATAATATTTACCAACACATACACACACACAAATATATAGATATATACGATTATGATTATTACTATTATTTTAAAGAAATAAGGTTTATTACTCACCAAGAGATGTAATATCTCCATTGTTACTGTCTCGTTCGTCATCGTCATCGTCATCATCGTCATCATCAGAATATATTGAAGAGTCTGATACATCTTCTTCTTCGCTCAAAAGGTTCTCTTCCGCATCAAAGAACATGTCTGACATGGTAGAGATACGTGCAGAAGACGATTCGCTTCCAGACTTGTACAGACCTCTGTACTCTCCTGCCGATCCTCCTCCTTCTGCCTCTCCAACCTGCCCTTCTTGAATAGAATACAGATTACGGCTTCTCGGTGAACCTTGATTTTCTGGTTGAACAAAGGTCTGGAAGGCTTCCTGTACGTTTTTCCACTCTGTGGTTTGTTGTCGCATTGCACTCTGGATGTGATCCTTATCTTTTTCAAGCTGTGTGTAGAATGCGGTGATGTGCGGCTTCAAGTCCTCCAAACCTTGTATCTGACCAACACGGTTGAGGATATGTTTGATATGATCTGCATTCTGCATATAATTTTCTACTTCAAACTGGACATTACGGGCACTTTCGATACCCTTTGCGATTACTGCATTTACAGGTTCTGTGGGACCTTGGAGCGCATCAGCACCCGCTAGGTCGGGTACCTGCCAGTTTCTTGGATTGCCGCCATTTTCACATCCTTCGGTGGCCTTGAATCGTTTGAAGGCAGTAGACCAGAGCGCAAAGTCATCTTTGTCGAGTGCCTTGAGATGGTAGATCACTGTTCCGGAGTCTATGTGTATCATACGCTGTGGCTCATTAAATGTCAAGGTAGCAACTCTGATTTGAATAGCGCCACGTTTGACACCTGTGGGTGATGTAGCATATGATAATATACCAGCGTGGGACAATTGAAACCATCGCTTAGCCCAACCTTTTGTGAGAATATTAACATGTAAGATTTTAGTCTACGTAAACACACATACACACACAGAGAGAGATCCTGATATTCTAATTGTTGCTTAATTGACAATAATAGTTGTAACTTGTTTCTACCTTGCAATCTCTTGCGTCTCTTTTTGAGAATCCAGCCCACCATGTCATTTGCATTATCTTCAAAAGAATCATTGGCTTCCTTGTCGATAAGGGTTACTGAGAACGACAATACTTTTGGCGTGGTTCTGGAAAATGTGTTGTCTACAACAAAGTTTCTGTAAACATCACACATTCTTTCACTTTATACATAAGAGTGAAAAGTCCAAAGACAGAATGATAAACATAATAATAATACCCTACCAAATACAAGGACATAATATCCTGGCTCTTGGACAACAAATGATCCAGAAGTTTTGTTACTAGATGAATTGTAGTGCTCAATTGGGAGTATTTCCTCTAGTTCGCCTTTTTCTTTCAATTTGTCTTTGGCAATTGATTTTGAGCGGGGTCTGGTGTGAGTAGGAGGGTTGGTTTGAGGAGCAGAAGAAGGGTCAGTATCCAAAAAGCTTGAACGGTCGTCGTCTGAAGGGGATTCGATTCCTAATGTGGATTTTGATGTGGACAAGCTCGGGCGAGTGTGACAAATGCGAAATATATATATATGTATGTATTTTTTGATTTTTTTTCTTTTCTTTTTCTTTTTGATTATATATATATATATATTACTAAGAAAAAAGTGCAAATTTAAAGACACTTACTCTGACTATTCGTTGTTAGGAGACTGTGGTTGGAAGACATTGTGGTTGGAGTACGGAATTCGTGGTGAGTTGTTGAAATTTGACTTAGTTTCTGCAATCGCATTACTGGTTGAGTGGCAAGATGTGGTGGGTCATGAATGCGTTTGTAGAGACCGAATGCAATGTTTTTGCGCTTTGTGGTGAATGTCCAGTGGATAGACATGCCTTTGGTAGGTACGTGAACATAATGAAGATATGTGTCCCTTGGTTGAATTTGGACTACTTCCATTGGTACGAGTTTGTGTTTTATTATATTCTACTACTATGTGCTTTGGATAGAATGAAAAAGAAGAGAAGGGAATAGTAATAATGTTAATAATGATGATATTAAAGGGAAACAAAAGACACAATAACTTTCTCGTTAGCTAATTATGTGATAGTTTTTTTTTTGTAATTAAAAAAAAAAGGCACCCAGATTATCGTTAGTGCGGCACCTCAATATCATAATTTATTTCTTATGTAAATAAAATAGAGAAAAAGGCAGAATTTGGATTCTTTGTGCTACCTGAATGTGACATCACACACAGAAACTCAAAGAAAGAATGATGAAGACTTTTATACATAATTTATCTTTCGAGTGAAGCGTGTGAAAGTAAAATTTGACTTCATATTTATTTTTTCATTTATTTATTTTTTAAAATTTTGTATATAAAGATGTTTATATATAAAAATGTCGTTCCTCGTCGGCACAGTCACCCTACAAATCAAATTAATGACAAGAGAGACTGTTTCTACCACAAGGGTAAAAGAACATTATGATCTGGTATGCGTCGAAATCATAAGATTCCTGGCAATGCAGAGCTATTGTCCGAAGACGTAGCATGCATCGTGGCTGCAATCGTTATTTTTGATTAAAGGAAAAACAGAGCTGGAAACTGGAATAGCCTTTTTATAAATAATTTTAAATCTAAATTAGGAAATTTCCGTGACTTGCAAAAATGTGACTGGTGTAATTTAACGTGCTCCAATTGAAGCTTCATTTGATTGTTTGAATTTAAAGCACGACAGACAATTGAAATCCATACATTTTTGCTTCAAATGAAATAGAATCTATCTCTACAAGGTGTTCCTACACTGACTATGTAACAGTTATGTATGCGTATTATCCAACATGTATTCTACTCTACTATTCACAGTTATTTTGAGTGTGGTATGTGCATATCAACTGGTGTAATAGGAGTTTTGATTGTTGTAATATATTGTATCATAATGTCAACATAAATTATACGTGTACATGTACATGTACCTGCATTTATACCTGTACCTATGGGTCAGTGGTAATTTTTTTTTGAAAATAATTTACCCGAACACCTTGATGGTCAACGCACATTACGGGTATATATCAAAAATTGACCATGTACAGAACCTGTAATGAGGTGTATTTTGACAAATTATATAATTACAAACACACATACATGCGCGTATTTCTATTTGGTTAGAATTACTTTTAAGGAACAGTGTGAGAGCTGCGGAATTATTTTTTATATGCTGTTATAATACAGACTTTTCCTATTTTCCGTCTTAGTCGCTGTCTCAATAAGAAATAGAAAATAAGGCCTATTTTTGTATATTGATATGAAGTAATCTCTTTTTAAAATATGTACATTATAAAGTACTGCGGATCATTTTATTTGATATGTGTGTGTGTAGTGTGTAGTGTATGCTCGATAGTAAGTGAGCGTAATAAATTGAGTGAGTGGGTGAGTGGGTGAGTAAATGGTAATGAAGAGAAGGAGTATTAATAACAAATTAGGATCTCTGACTAATTACAAGCTCAAGGAACTATTGAATTTGATTTGATTTGATGATTTGATTTTGTATGTATATAAATAAATAAATAAATAAATAAGAGGGTTAGATGTTTCATGATAATATTTTGAATAATATATATATATATAAATTTACCTGCTCGTAGCTAATGTAAATCCAGCCATCATTATCAGTATCGAACCTTCTGAAGGAGTCAGTGAGTGTCTTTACGCTAACACACGCCTGGACAAAGTTGTCAAAAGTGACAGTGCCAAGGCCTAAAAGATAGATAAATAAATAGATAAATAAAAGTAGATATATAGATAGATAAAACAATAATTTGGCTTCAAGCTATTGTATACACATGTACTCCTTCTCACACATACACATAAATGTATGTATTACATTGATACATATTCCAAAAAGAAAAAGAAAAGAAAACTAACCATGACGATCGAACTTTTGAATCAGAGTTCCAACAAATGTATCAGTGAGGTTATAGCCAAAGGTTTGCAAAGCATTTCTCATCTCGGCACGGTCAATGCTACCAGACCCGTCCATATCAAATGTCTGGAAACATCTCTTCCAGTCTTCAATATACTTCCACAATCCCTTGAATTCCTCAAAACTAATCGTCCCAGTATTATCTGTAAAATAGATATAATATATAAATACAAAACCGGTCATATGCTTGATCACACACTACACAACACTACACTACACTACACATATGTATACATAATTCACGTTCTAATAAAAACATGTTCACAAGCTCGTATGTATCTCACCTGTATCAAACATATTGACCATCATACGAACAGTTTCAATGTTAAATGGACTCCAGTCGCCATTGACCAGGGCTCTCTGAAGTTCTTCTACGGTAAGTTCACCAGAGCCATCTGTGTCCACAGCACGGAACCAATCGATCAAGTGATTATCTGGGGCAGGGCGTGGTGGTTGAGAGACAGGGCGCTGACCTACACATATAGCAAAACAAACAAGCAAACAAGCAAACAAGCAAATAGATAAGTATATGAGTATATTATTAATATCTTTTTGCTTTGAGCTCTCTTGTCAAAAAGTCTTACCGTATGTTGGTGACTGTGGGTTTTGTGGGTTTTGATGGTTTTGGTACTGCTGGCCCCTGTTGATAGATCCTCCTTGCCGGGGAGTGGCTGGGACAGGTCTGTCATAACCACCAGGGTTGTTGCTGTAGTCATAGCTTCCCCTGTTGTAGTTGTATTGAGGGTTGTAGTTTGGGTTAGCCATTGTGCTTGATATTATATTATTTTGAAGAAGTAAATAAAAAATGAAATAAAGTAAAAAGTAAAAGAAGAAGAAGAAAGAAGTGGAAGGAATGAAGATAAGTTAGGATCCTAAAATACAATAATTATTATTTTGTATTTTTCTCTCTCTTTCTATCTAGTGACCTGGAGGAAACAGGGTTTCACTAACCAATTGAAACCCCAAGTGTAACTCTGAGCTGGCTTGAATGAGGTGACGCCAAGCCTGTAGCTTATACATATACATATACATATACATATACATATACATATACATATACATATACATATACATACATATATTCATATATAAATAAAGAATTATATAAATAAAGAAATAAAATATCATTATTACAAACTTGATATATGACGTTTAAATTAGGGTATTTAGCTGCCTGTCTATTTATACATCATACAATAGAGCTAAAACCAAAATAATAGTAATAATACGCTGAGCTTATTCAAATATGTAACCATGGAAACCATCAAATAAATAAAGAAGAAGAAGAGGTGAATGCAAAGAGTGGGGATCAATAAAGATACATCAAACATTGCTTTTTTGATCTTCTAAGCTTAGAGATACCGGTTATTGAAAATGTTAATGAGCTTCTAATCTATCGATAAGTCGTGAGGGGACATGTTTAGTAGGAATTTTATCTCTCCAGAGCTACACTTGAAGCTTTAGATTATCTATCAGTGAAGAAGACTGATTTTTACTTTTTGAGTGCCTATATGTGAAATGATCCAAAAAAGGTAATGCCATTTGGCTTCACCATCAACCCTCATCATCATCACAAGTGCTCTTGACAAAATACTAGGCTTTTTAACTCCGTAGAAACCATAAAGAGGATACCAAAAAGGTGACTGCCGGCAGTTTCTTTTTCTATTTTTTCGCTTGTCCAGATATTCCTACCATGTTCAGAATGGCAGCTTTGGTTGTTCTTGATATCAATAATTATATCACAAAAGTTTATTACTTCTATATTTTTTATTTATTTATGGGTTAATGAATATAAGTCCTGGATCTATATTTTCAAAATCAAAATGCTTTACAGCTATATTATTTATAGGCGCGACAATGATTGATATTAAGAACAACCATAGCTGCCATTCTGAACATGGTAGGAATATCTGGACAAGCGAAAAAATAGAATGTTGACAGTCGCCCTGAATCTTTTCACAATTATTCCTTTTTTTATTTATTAAAAAAATGTTAGAATAATATCAACCCTATCACAGCAGAAAGTACCAAAGTATAGTGTCCGGGAAACTATATACAACAAGAATGATCGAGAGAAATAGCTTTGTCAAGTAAGAAGCAACTTCCGTTCACCAACCTATTTAATGTGCAGAGTATTTGGACTACTTGCAAAATCACGTATCTTCCAGCCAATTTTAATTAGTTGACCAGTTTAGACAATTGCTCAGACAATTGCTGTTTTTGTTGCTTAAAAAACAAAACTCATGATATTTATTTATTTAATTAATAAAAAAAACGACAACTTCTACCAGCTTGAATGTATAATTTATTTATTTTTGGTTTGTTTTGTATTGTTTGTTCCACTGTCTGTCTGATCATCTGGCTACCAAATGCTGCGCATTTTGTCCCACAATAGGAAGAAAGTAAAAAATATTAAAGCTGAACACACGTTGAGTGCTACCAACAACGCACGTGTATAACTAAATATTTTCAACACAACAGTTTTTCCCTCCAAAAAACCACATACTGCACATTTTAAACAGTGAAAAAGTTATTTGAATATATCATTTTACCACCTAAAATTCACTTGGGGATTATTTAGTGTATCTGCATGCTCAAAATATGGTAGCATTCTTTCATTCAAAAAAAAATCATATTTTAGTTGAGATTTTGTCTGTGAGATTTTGAATATGAATTTACCGCAAAGGTTATTTTAGGCAGATTCGTTTTATTTTGCAACACTACACCCAAATCAATCAATAACCAACCATGTTTTCTTTAAGGTTTCAAAATATTCCATTCAATTCAATTTTATACTTTTTTTTTTCACTGTCAAATCACAAAACAAAGCATATAATAAAAAGTACATAGTATTGAGTCAAAATTTTTCTTTTGTTTATTTATTTATTGATTTGTATAAAATTCTACCATTCAATTCCATGTCACTATATCTACACCTTAACCTATCACACTCGCACAAAGGAAAAACCAAATAAAAAGTATTCTAAGCTAGTGCTACAAAAAGAATAAAAAATATATAAAAGATTCTCCAAGTAAAAAAAAATTTCATCAGTAAACATAAACACAAACACATCAAAGCACAAGGCAACATCATGACCAATTCACACGGACAATACAAGACTGAGGAGAAATGAAAAATAAAGAAAGAGTTTTGAAAAAAAAAAGATATTAAGCACATCTTTTAACACAGTAATAGATCAAGAATAAAATTATATAAGAAATAAAATAAAAGCAGCTCAAGATGTCTTTATGAAAAAAAACTATCATTGAAGCCACAAATATTCTATAGTTCAAACATTTTTTTCTCAAAATTACTTGTATCTTATCTCACAAATTCAATAACAAAACAGCTCATTTCTCAATCATATCCCTCAGTCTCGCTTTTTTTTTGCAAAAAAAAATCCTTGTGACTTACTTGGTCATGATGAATGCCATGATACTGTACGTAATAGCACAGGTGCTTTGCAATAAAAAACATCAAAAGGGACTTTCTTTTTTTATATGTACGTATTTTCTTTTCGATTTTATTTTTTATGTAATAAAAAAAAACAAAAGCTATTGCAAAGGTTCATGACAACATCAAGACGGGAACAATGGGAGGGTTTAGAATTAGAGATAAAGATCAAAATCTTTACTCTTCATCATCTTCCTCGGCACCACCGGCAGCAGCGGCTCTCTTTCTCTTGACACGACCGGCACGGCCACCACCATAGGGGGAGGTCAAAGCAAAGTCGATGTGCTTTTGGGAGTCCTGTAAATTTTGAAAAAAGTAAGTCACAAATTCAAGCCACCGAAAAGACAGTAACTAAAAAACAACAACAAAGAAAAGAGATATTTACCAAGCGGACGATGAAGGAGGGAACGTTGACGATCTGCTTGCCGACACGGATGTGACGCTGACGGATGAGGACACGAGCGTGGTGGATGGACTTGGCAAGACCGTGCTTGAAGACCTGGGTCTGGAGACGACGCTCCATGAAGTCCTCAATCTTGAGACCGAGAACGTAATCGAGCTTCATGCGGGAGTCATCGAGTACACCGATGCGTACGAGACGGCGAATCAAGGCGTTACCCTCGAAGAGACGCTTGGGGTCCTTCTCGTCCAAGGTCAAAAGCTCACGAGCAGCACGACGGATCTTGGAGAGGGTGAGTCCGACACGCCAGACTTCCTTCTTGTTCTTGAGACCGTACTCACCGACCAGCTTCAATTCCTGGTCGAGACGAGCTGACTCGAAAGCTCTCTTGGGGACCTTGTAGGTCTTGGAGTAGGTTCTGGAAGCACCGGTCATTTTTTAGGCTTGTCAGAAGAGGAAGAGGAAAAGGAAAGAGAAAGAATCAGAAAAAAAATTGTACCTTGATATTCTAATTAATTTTTTTTTTTTTACGGATTTTTTTTTTCTTAAGTACTGAAAAAAAAATTTTCTTTTTCGAATAATTGATTGGCTGATTAGTTTATCCTATCCTTTTTGAAATAAGCCTCCCAAAGGAGATCCAACCAAACAAACAAAAAAAAATACACCCTTTTGTTTTAAGTCCTCATCCCATTCCCCCTCCAGCCTAATATATGTATATATGTATACATCTATACTATAAAATAATAATATTAAAATCAATAAAAATTATGTTTTTTTGGTTACTTGATCTATATTATTAATATGTGTGTTTCAATACACTTCTTTAAAATATTTTGTATATCAAATATACAAATCAATAAAATAAACAATAATAAAGTACAGTACTATAATTCGTGACATCACCCAGCCACCGTTATTGTTACCAGTCAATAATTTCAAAAAATTGAAGAAAAAAAAAAAGATTAAAAAAATAAAATTCAAGGCCAACCGAAAATTTTTCCAACAAAAAGCAAATACAAGCCCGCGCCAAAGAAGGGTCTTTCTCTTTTTCTGTTCCTTACTTAGCCGTGTGCTCAATTTAACAGGTAAATCCTCATTGACACTTCATTAACAAAAGACAAGACGTCTCGAATACTTTTGGCATTGCTGTCTTGACAATGCCATAACAAGTTTTTTTTTCTTTTGTGTACCCTTTACACATTCATACACACACACACACACACAACTACAACACATAACAACACACTACACACATAAAATATAAACACGAAAGTCAGTGTGTGTGTGTGTGAAATAAGAGAAATAGAAATTGTATAAGCCACCCATCGAGATTCCTTTTTTTTTATACATGTTACTCATTAAAGCTTTTTTTTGCTTCTTTCTTTCTTTTGTATTACTTTGAATAAAATCACTATAGAATGCCTCACTCATTTGGTCGTAAGTATCTCTCTTGAAGAATAAGAATTAAAATTAGAATATCGTTTAGAACACGGACTTTCCCTAAGATAATTCAAGAAATCAATATCAATGATTCAATACATACAAACATACTATATATATATATATATATTTATTTATTTTTCTTATTGTTTGAAACACACCAGTCCGCGCTCGCACCCGCCACATGTTCTCGCGCAAGTTCCGCGACCATGGTGCTATCCCCTTGTCTACCTACTTGACCATCTACAAGACCGGTGACATCGTTGACATCAAGGCCAACGCCGCTGTCCAGAAGGGTATGCCCCACAAGTTCTACCACGGTCGCACTGGTGTCGTCTACAACGTCACCAAGTCCGCTGTTGGTGTCATCATCAACAAGCGTGTTGGCAACCGCTACATCGAGAAGCGTGTCAACATCCGTGTTGAGCACATCAAGCACTCCAAGTGCCGTCAGGAGTTCTTGGACCGTGTCAAGGAGAATGCCCAGAAGAAGCAGGCCGCTAAGGATGCTGGTGGTAAGTTAATCATTAAATCACATGATAGTTGGATTAGACTGGATTGGATTGGATCGAAGTGAATTGGGGTGTGCTAGATTGAATTGAATTGGATGTGTACAAGGATACAAGGATACATCTATTTACATTTACTTATTTTTCTGTGTGTTTGTTTACAGTTATCGTCAGCATGAAGAGAGCTCCCGTCCAGCCCCGCACTGCTCGTTACGTCTCCACTGTCAAGAACGTTCCCCAGACCATCACTGCCATCCCTTACGAGACCCTTTTGTAAGAAGGCATATTTTTCGATTGCTGTCTTTGAGTGCATTTGTTCTATGGCTAGATGTTGTGTAATAAATGAATGACCATTTTAAAAAATAATAATAACATAAGAGTTGTTGTATGATGTGTGTACACATTTGTGAAATGTCTGTTTTTGTTTATGTAATTTTGTGTATAAACGGGCTTCTTTAAACACAAAAGTTCTTGTATAAATCATGTATTTTATTTCTCTGTTATTTGTATGAAGAAGCATACAATCATTAGGAGGAGAGGATGATGTTTTCTCTCTCTCTCTGTCTTATTTATTTAATTGATTCTAAATGTGAGTCTTTTTCAATTTGTTGCCAAGAACATCGGTAGCACCTTCACTATCTTGATCTTCCTCTCCTTCTCCACTTTCACTTTCACTTTCATCTTCATCTTCATCTTCATCGTCTTCTTCATCGTCTTCTTCGCTGTCAGTGTCATCGAATGCAGTGAATGCTGTATCACGATTGTTGTTCTGATACAAGTCATCTTCATTGTCACTGTCGCTGTCGGGTCTATCACGAGAATTGGTATTTTCTTCTTTGCGTTCACTGTCTTCTTCCAATTGCTTTAAATAATCGTTCTGGACCTGAACCACTTCAGCAGAGTCTTTGCATTTGGCATAACGAGAAAGTAGTCCACTAGATTTATGATGTGTACAATATTAGTTATTAAACAAAGGTAAGCAAATATATCTATTGAATAACTCACCCATTAACCTTTTTAAAAGCATGACCCCATTTGAATTTTGCCAAGAGAGCCTCACCGTGTTCAGGATAGCCTAAAGATTTTTTTATAGAATTACAGTATAAAATTAGATAGTGTAGTTGATTGAATATTTGAGATTATTTATATGCTATATACCTGTAATGTAAAAGATTGCAGCAAGTGCTTCGGCACAGTTTAACTTCCATGGTTTACCATAATTGACAGGGTTTGTAGCTACGAGATAAGGCACTAAAAAGAAAACGCCAGCCAAAGTTAAGATCAGATAGAATCTTTAGATTATGATGACAAAGACAAATAGGTATTTATATATTTGTTGGGGAACAATACTTACACAATCTATCTGTTGGTCCTCTTATTTTAGAAAACGGCACCTCGTCAATTCTGGCCCAAGAACAATCGACTACACCAGCACCATAAAGTTCAACAATTCGTCTGTCAGCAGGAGATACTGCCTTTTCACCCACTGGACTTTTATTTGTACAAAATATGTCGTGTATTTAATAAAATATGAATTATTATTATTATTTATGATGAAGATGTTGATAACGATAAATATGAAAATTATGAAAATTGTATAAAGTATTATTAATATTATTATTAAAAGTTAGTAATGCTTTTATTCAATATTATATTATATTATATTATATTTTATATACGTATATTTTGAATTTAATGGTATTGTATTATTATGATTACTATTGTTTTACAAAGAAGACCTATATACTTCTTTGAAATCTCTTCGTTCCTCCATTTATTTTATTCCTTCATTCATTTCTTCATTTAATTTAATTTTTATTTTTTTTTAAATAAAATATAATAGACATAATACTATTATTATTATTATTATTATTATTATTATCATTATCATTACCTGGCTACAATGCCTCTGAATCGCTGGGATGTCTTGAGCGTCTTTAGCATATTGCATCGAGACAATTTTACACCTGAGCACCGCTTGGGATCACAGTGCTTGAAATCCTATAAATAAATAATAAAATGTATATATATGTGTGTTATGCACAAATTGAAATTATCAATAAAAATCAAATCAAATCAAATCAAAACATTTATTATTAATAATAATACTACAATACAATAAAGGCTCATAAACACACTCACACACATGTATACATATACATATATATACATGTGCTGTGCTGTTCTGTGTCGTTGTGTATTATATTATACTATATATATATATTAAAAAATAAAGCTTACCCACATAGCAACAGGCATAGGAATAGATGACTCTCCTTCATTATCTTAAAGTAGTATACATGTATTTAATTATTTGCCTTTGTGAAAAGTTTGTGCTAATTACTACCTTGCTCTTCTGTTGACTGATCTACACTTGGTTCAGCATAACGATCGTAACGAGATCCCTTACTATTTTTATAGTGAGATTGTGTTTTTTTTATGTGTGTGTGTAAACGTGATTTTTTTTTTATTCTTCTTCTTCTATAATATTATATTATATGAGTTTTACGTTGCTCTAGGATGGGCTGTTTTTTCTTGGAAATTATTCTTGCCCATTGCTTATTGTTCGTCTTAAATTATTATTATTTTACAAGAGCACCAGACAATTTTATAAATAATATATATATATATAATACAGAATTCTACAGTACAATATAAAATAACTTAATAATAACAATAATGGGAAAATAATAGGGACGACAACCCTTTTTTTGTGACGCTGTTTTTAAAATAAACTTCATTCTTATTTTTTTTTAGAGTTTCTTAATTTGGTTAATTAATGATTGATTGATTGATTGATTGATTGATTGATTTAAATACAAAATTAAAAAGTAAAAATAAATGTGATTTTGGTATTCTAAAGTTGCGGTGGCTTTTTTTTTCTATTGCTCGTATTTTTCTAGTGCTTATTGTTCATATTTCTATTGCTGTTGCTATGTCTATTGTTCCTTTTTTTCTTCTTTAATCAATTTTTATTATTATAAATATTATCGTTGCTATGAAATAAATAAATAAATAAATAATAAAATGAATATTGAAAAAAAAAATTAAAAAAAAAAGCAAAATTAAAAGAAAAAAAAATGGTAAAAAAAATAAATAAATGAAGTGATGTTATGTGAAGAATGGAAAAGGATGTGGGTAAAATGGGTAAAATGGGAGTGATTGAGTGGGTTGTTTTTTTTTGGTTGCTTTTTTGTTGTTGTTTGTTTTAATATGTAAATGTTTTGAATGTGTGAGTGAGTATGTAGTGTGAGTGAGAATGGGCATAAAAGTGTGAACTTTGTGAGATAAATGCTTGTGGTTATGAGTTAAAATGCTTGTGGTTATGTTAAAATGCTTGTGGTTATGGTAAGATGCTTGTGGGGGTTTCTTTAAGAAGATATATGAAAAAATGAAAAGAAATGCTTGTGGGTTTGTGTGGAGTGAAAGATTGAGTGCAGTAAAGTGAAGTGAAATGAAAAGTGAAGAGAAGAATAAATAAGAACAATAGAAAAAAGGGAAAAAAATAATGCATTGTGGTGTGTTGTATCGCTTAGCGATGAATAAAGAAGTGCAATGCAAGGGAACATGATCATAAATGTATATATGTACACGTGGGAGGGTGAATAATGATAGAAGATGAAGAGAGAAAGAAAAATGTATACTTAGAAAAGCAATTTTTTCCACTTCTTGAGAGTACGTCCCAGACGACTGCCTTTGGGTTGAGAGCAAGAGGGCTCCTTTTTGCTGGAGGTCTTGAATGCAGATACGCTGAGCTTCTTGAGTTGGTTCATAGAGTTGTTTCGCTTGGGTTCTTGTAAAAGGTCATCTTCGGCGAGTTCGACAGCAAGCTGTGACTCATCCCACCAAATCTGACTGGCAGACCGGTTGGTGCACTGTTTTACAATCGCATCATACTTTTCGTTTTCTGAACATGAGGGCTCGACTACGGTGGAGGCACTTGATTGCTTCTTGAGACTTGGGCGACTGATATTCCATGAAACTGAATCATCGTCAATTGCTGTCAGTGTCACAAGTCTCTCCTCGGGAGGATGGACAGGCAAGGGGGAGATGACGACTACACGGTCATTAAAGGAGACGCGTCTGGCACTCGCGTTACTGCTGCGTCTGCTCTTGCGAGATTCTGTAGGACTGTGGGGCTCACAGCTTACGAAGTCCCTGTCGAGGGGGTTGGCACGTTGCGAATAAACAGGGTAGGCATATTCGATTGAATACCGCGACTGGTATGATTGGTATGAATTACGGCCTGTTTTCTCGTACGAGTGTCGGCTGGGTTTTTCGTCCACAATGTTTTCGTAAGTAAGAGAGTCTGCTGAGACAGATCGTAGTGGCATAGGTGCGGTTGCTCTTTTGGCTCTTATGGTTGCAGAATAGGCCTGCCATTGTGCTTCTGAAGTCCGAGATGGTGAAGGAGTCCGGACAGAGGGTGAGGGAGGAGGCGAAGAATAATAGTAATAGGGAGATGTTTGCTGACGATTTACTGGTGAGCCGCAAGTTGAGCTAGAAGAACAGCTAGAAACTGAAGACGAGAGCGAAGGAAGATTGCGATGGTGCGAGCTAGTATTACTAGTGTGTCTTGAGTGGGACGAATTCTGGCCATATGAATAGCGTTGATATTCAAACTGCTGTTGTTGTTGTTGTTGTAATAGTAATAGCTGTTGTTGCTGCTGCTGTAGCTGTTGCTGGTGGTAATAAGACATCTTTTGGTATATTTATTAACTTTGGTTGAATCGTAGTAATTGTAGTATAAAGCAATATCGTGATTATGAATATTAATGTTGTGGTTATTACTAATGTTCTTGATAGAAACAAGTAGTAAGTAGATAGATAGATAAAAAGCAAAGAGAAAGCGAAAGAGATTAGTATAATGGTTTGGCGTATCGATCGTCTTGGAGGGCTATTTAAAGGCTAGTGAACGAGATACAAATATTGCTCTTAAATCAGACCTCATTATCTTTCAAATACCTGGTGGATATTAACCTTGTTTAGTGATGCTTATTAAATAGGGCAACCATTCCACGTGTGATTTGCCACAGAAAAAAAATATATAGAGAAAAAGACAGAGTTTGTGTGTGTATATGTTTGTATGGAGAACACTCGAGCCCAGGGTTGTTTCCATATATACGACGTGATACAAGAAATGAATAGAAAGATTTATTGTGCGGTGAAAACATTTTTTTTATATATATTTTTATTTTATTTTTATTTTGCTTGGCTCATGCTGTTGTGAATTTTTATTCTTATTTGGCCCTTCTTCTTCCTTTTTTATTACGTTATTATATTAAATTATCTCAACTCTCCTTATGTTCGACCTCTTTAAGCCGTGGAGATTTAATTATCAAAAGAAATCGGCGACCTTTTTCAACTGAATAGAGCATGTTCCTCATGTTGCGGACATAGATGGTAAAGAGTTCCAGAGTGTACAAGAATCGCAGTATGAGCCATGTGGCTATTTGGTCACAAACTGAATAGAAAATTCAATAATATTTTATATTTTATATTTTATTTTATATTTTATATATAAAACACATATATATATTGTATTATTCTTATTTGCGATCTTCCTAAATATCCAATCATTTATTTCTTTTTGTTAGATTTCATTATCCAAATATACAAACACCGGACTTTCTCATTACACAAGCACACACACATACAATTATATATGTAAAATATTATACAGATACAGCAATTACATAAATACATATATTATATATATATATATTATGTATATCATTGTATCTATATAATAATAATAATAATATATAAAAAAAATTAACTTACCACCATTATGAGGTGATAGCCAAACTTGGTCTTGACCTATAAGAAACAACACATAATTTACCAGGCGCGTGTTAATAAAACAGCCAAAGAAATGTATATAAAAATTCTTATTCAATACAATAAAACTCTACTCTAGCTCAAATTTTATATATAGATCTTACCGGTGGGTCCGTGAACACGGGCTTGTCTACAATAAATGTATATAAATATTTCAATCTTATTACTATTCTTATTCTTATTGTTCTTACCGCATGTACTTGGCTGAAGGGCAAATGCTAGAAATTATTCAAATCAATTAAAAAAAATGAAATTCATATTTTGTTGTTTTCTTCATATTGATGTCTCACCAGCATCCTGGAAATCACCAACCATTGCTCCACGGATCAACCATCCCAAAGCACCTAAAAAAAACATATAAGCTCAAGTATACATAATGTGTATATACATAATTCTGCAAAATCACAAACCTCCTGCTTTGGCCTTGTCTTCACTGTACAACTCGGCAACCTTTTATATATAAAGATAATAGATATAAGTGAAATTAGAGATATTAGATATATATTAAAAAGATTAAAAAGATAGATCAACCTCAAATAAATCATGTCAAAATATCACAACACACCCCCAGCCAACAAACCAACAGGGCAGGCAGGCCAGCCACACAGACACTTACCTTGTCGAATCGCATGTTCTCTTCCTTGATTTTAGCCATCGCTTCCATCACCTAACAAATCATCCCATTCCTCACTTCAGTTCCCAGCTAAATCAAGAAATTTCACACCCTGTTTGGCACTTTTGAGTGCACAAAATCAAATATTCTATTTTACCCTTCCATGCTTTTCACACAAAATATGTCGAACCTAAGAAAAATATATATAGAAAATTAAATACTTGAAAAAATAAGCACCCCACATCACTTCGCACACAATATAATTACTATATAATAAAATCATATTTTGCTTAAAAAAATCTACAATACACTGCCCATAATCCACACTGATTTTATCCTTTTAATTAAATAATATTATATTATTCAATTACTGCTACCACAATGATAAGAGTAATAATAGTAACAATAATCTTACTTTGACAGCCGTAGCTGGTTTAAGCTTCTCGACACCCTTTTTGGCAGTAGTATCTAGACATTAAACAGTAATAAAAATAATAATGGTAATGGTAATAATTCAACATTCATAACCGTCATTTCATTCGACAATTCAAAGTAGTATTTTATTTTGGCCATCTAGTAAAGTGTGCTTTATATATACATATACATATATATTTGTAATGTGTAATTGGTATCATTATTCCTAGTCTTGGTTTTATTATGTACCTGATCCACCCTTTTTCTTTGAAGCATCCTGTTTTCCCTTTGCCATTGTAATATATTTTCTTTTTTCTTCCTTTAAAGCAGATGTGTTGGAACAATAAGAGATCAATACAAATCTCCAATTGTGACTTTTGTTTTTCTCTCTCTCTCTCTCTTTATGTGTGTATTTTTTGGGAACCTTGTACTACCAATGCAAGCTGGTTAAAAAAAAATAAAAAAAAAAATTGCTTGTTTTCTTTACTTATTTTGGTAGTCAAGGCCTTCACTTGCTGGGCAAATGATTTTTTTATTTGGATGGTTTTACTATTAAATATGCACTGATTATATCCTATTAATTAAAAACTTTGCTTATATACTACACAAAAATTCACAACTTTATTTATATTTACATTTTAGTTTAAAATGGCTCCATTATGTGCCCGCTTTGACTCAAAATACAACACTCATTTTTGTTATCTGTTCCTGATTTTGTAAGAGGCATTTCTATTTTCTTCTCCTTTCTCTCTCTCTATTTCTTGACCCTCCGGTTAGCCCCGCAAAATATGTTTTTGATTTTGATTTTTTTTATTTTTGATTTTATATTTTACCCTTGTCAAGAACATGTTGAGCTCTAAAAAGAAGAAAAAAAATATAAGACAATTGATTAGTTTTGTCTTTTTGGTTTCATTATGTTTCAAATTTCAACTCATAATTAAGGTACGTTTACCAATCAAATCACCAATAATGTCCATATATATATATGTATAAATCTGTAAATGTACAAATGGCATATAGGCTTTACCAAAGAATTGGGTAGGTTTCTCCGGATGAATTTGTGACAGCCAAAAACAAGTGGTCGAAATTTGTGTTATTGACTTTCTTTTTTTTTTATATATATTTTATTTATTTTTACAGCTCCATAAACATCACTTTCCTCCTTCTGGACCTTATCAAATCTTCTGTCATGTTGAGCAAAATCTTTGTACCTTCAGTTGCTCGCCTCACAGGTCAAAGAGCTTTTACTCAGCTCTCTAGACAGGTCCTCTCTCCTGCTCGTGTGTCTCAAGGTTTGTATACTTCTTCTACACTCAATATAAAAGTACAGTTACTAACCGTACCTTTTTTTTTTAAAAAAAAATTGAAAATTGAAAACGTCATTTAGCTCAATCGATCTTCAGATCCAACCAGAACATTGGTCACCATTTCAAGGATCTCAAATACACACCCTATGCCTTTATGCACACTGAGGCTGCCCTCAACCCTATCGTAGCCGAAGTTGAGGATATTGTATCAGAAATCCCAGAGGAGGTTATTGTTAGCGTAGAAGAGACCGTACCTGAAGTTTCAGCAAAGAAGAGATTCGACTCCATCGAAGCTATCAACCCTGTCACCCAGCGCACCTTGAGCAAGCTGTTCAAGTATGAAGAGATGTCCCCTGTCCAAGAAGCAGTTCTCTCTAAACTTCCCAACACAAATGACATGTTTGTCAAGGCAAAGACAGGTACCGGAAAGACTCTTGCTTTCCTTATCGCTGCAATTGAGACCGCAATGGCTGGAAAGACTCCCAAAGACCTCCAGTACTTTGAAGGAACCTCGATCATGATCATTTCGCCCACTCGTGAGTTGGCTAACCAGATCGCCGACGAGGCTGCTAAGCTCTGCTCCCACTATCCCTTCAAGGTCCACTGCATGGTCGGTGGTGACTCTAAGCGCCGTCAGATTATGGGTTTGGAACGCAGACGTTGTGACATCGTAGTTGCTACCCCTGGTCGTCTCAACGATATGCTTTCCAGCGTTCCCAACTTCAAGAAGATGTGTGAGAACCTCAAGGTTCTTGTGTTGGATGAGGCCGATCAATTGCTCGACATGGGTTTCAAGGCCGAACTCCAGCGCATCTTTGCCAACATTCCCGAAGAACGTCAGACCATGCTCTACTCTGCCACAATCTCCCAGGACATCCGCCGCAACCTTGGTGACTTTGCCCTGTCTCCTAAATACGATCTCATTGACACCGTCGGTAAGGATGACAACACCCACGTCCACGTCAAGCAGTCTGCTCTCGTTGCTCCTTACGGCGAGCAGCTCGGTCTTGTCCGCAACCTATTGACCAACTACGAGTCTGCCAACACCGGTAAAGTCATCGTCTTTTTGCCCACCACAAAGTCCACAATCTTGTACAGCCATTTGTTCAAGATGCTTATGCCCAACCGCACAATCTATGAGATCCACTCCAAGAAGACTCAGGAACAGCGTACCCGTATCTCCGATCGCTTCAGAAAGACATCCGGCGGTATCTTGTTCACTTCTGACATCTCTGCCCGTGGTGTTGACTACCCTGGTGTTTCGCTCGTTCTCCAGGTCGGTGTTCCCTCTACACGTGAACAGTACATCCATCGTCTTGGTCGCACTGGTCGCGCTGGTCGCGAAGGTGAGGGTGTCATTCTGCTGGCTCCTTTCGAAAAGGACTTTTTGAAGAGAGAGATTGGTGATCTTCCCGTACAGAACCTCATTGCCCCTACCATTGCTGATGAGGATATCGAGGCTACCGAACGTCTCACCAAGGCTGCGTTGAACTCCATTGATGAAGACATGGTCAGAGAGGTTTATACTGGCTTCCTTGGCTACTATGCTGGTCGTGTTGCCACCCTTGGTCTCCCCCGCGCATCTGTCGTTGAACATGCCAACGATTTCTTGCGTGGCTTCGGTATCACAGACATTCCTCACCTGTCTCCCCGCTTCCTCGCACAGCTTGGCCTTGGTGGAGGTGGAGGATCTAGAAACGGTGGTGGCAGCGGTGGATTCCGTTCCCGTGAAGGTGGATTCCGTTCCCGTGAGGGTGGATTTGCCCCCCGTGAAGGTGGTTTCCGTCCCCGTGAAGGAGGCTTCCGTTCCCGCGACAACAACAGCAGTGAGGGTGGTTTCCGTTCCCGTGAAGGAGGTTTCCGTTCCCGCGACAACAACAGCAGTGAGGGTGGTTTCCGTTCCCGTGAAGGAGGTTTCCGTTCTCGCGACAACAACAGCAGTGAAGGTGGTTTCCGTTCCCGTGAGGGTGGTTTCCGTTCCCGCGACAGCAGCAGCAGTGAAGGTGGTTTCCGCAAGCGTGAAGGTGGTTTCCGTGGTCGTCAGTAAAAGAAACGATTACAACCCAAACTCAACGTCAACGTCAAAATCAAAGCCAGGCAAAAACTTGTAAACCCACAAGAGTATCCTCACCACATCTTCTTTCTTTTCAACTCATGCATATAATTTTTTTGTTGTTTTTTTTTTCTTTCTTTCCATTCTCTCTGTTTAACATTCCCCCTATTTTCTTCATTTTTTTTATTAATAATAAATATGGATCGCTTTATATCAAATCACAAACCAAAATCTTTGACTTTGTCCATTCTCTGTGTATGCGTGGTGGTTTACTAAAGATTGTTATGAAAGAAGTATAAGAGATATGTGCATGTGTTTATGTGGACCCTGCCGATTAATGTTTTGTTTTTGAGAGATTTTTTTTTTAAAAAAAAAGGGGGGGGGGGGGAGATTACTGTGCCGCATGTGGTTGTATGTGTGTTTTTGGACTATGTTTTCCAGAAATGTCGTGTGGCTTCTGTCACATCTGTCAAACCAATATATGTATTTATACAGACATACAATAAAAGAAGAGGAATATCAAATGTACACATGAATTTTATTCCAATATTCGATAGAAGGAAGAAAAGAAAGAAATCCCTAAAATGGGACAATTTTCTTGCTGTTCAACATCCTATATATTTCTATTATATATTATATGTATATCAAATTGGCTTATCTTTGATCAGGTCAGATTCTTTGGATTCCCTTTTTTTGTGAGTTTATTGTATAGAATTAGCGACGATCTTCTTCTCTTGGTTATCGTCTATCTTTCTGGTCATTAAAGTATATTTATGAGCCTATTTATTTTTATATTTATACATGTAATTTATACCTATAAAGAGTTATTCGCATTATCAGTGTATCTTCTTCTTTTAAAAAAAAATACACATACACAAGAGGTACAAAATCATAAAATATTTAATGAATAAACTTGTATACTTTGTAATATATAAAACCGAATAGAGAAAAAGAGAAAGAAAAGAAGAACAGTTTTATCGATAGACATGCGCAGTATACACGCCCATTCATACATAATAGAGACGCATTTACATATAGATAGTAATATGTTTGTGTGCTATTCTTATTTATTGTTCAATTGTTGTTTAATAAAACCCCCAGGCATTCGAATTACTCCATAAAGCCAACTGTCAGATGAAGGATTTCCAAGGTCATACCTTGACAATTTAACCCTACAAACTCAGTTGATTAAAGATGGAAGGCCTAGATAAATTAAATCGGCCCACGAGCAATTCCTTGTTCACCCATAAGAAGAAATTAAAGGTTCATTTCCAATATAAATATATGCATTCCAATAAACCCGACTGGTCTGATCGGATCGACACAATGATAATCTAATGTAACACTACGCAAAGTCCATCTGTAAAACCCAGTACATTAATAGCTTACACAAAAGCGTGCTGAAATAAATAGAAAAACAATAAGAATAAGAATACACACGCACACAAAAGCTACAAAAGTACAAAAGTACAAAAGTACAAAAGCTACAATTAAACCAAAAATAAAATAAAAGCTCAGATGATGTCCACTCGGTAACAATCTACCTTAAATTCAGACGATGTTAACTTTTTCTTTTTTCTTTTTTACTTTTTTGACGAATCAAAATTAACTTGCGAACATTTTGCTTACCTTTTTTGGATAAAACAAAATATAGTAAAACGCATCTGTAAGGCGCACAATTCGAAAAAAAAAAATTAAGGTGCATTTTTGAGATAATTTTTTTAAAAGCTTTTTTTTTGTATTTAAAAGAGTTGAGCATACATAATATTAAAAAAGAATTAGTGTAAAGATGTTTAATAAGTTAATAACCTAAGAATATCTTTCTGTACTATTTATTTGAAAAGAAAATACATTCATAACGGTTAGTAATTCTTACAAATACGTCTTACAAATCTCGCACTGTCGCCCAGAGATCAATACAAAATATTCGTATCGAAATTGCCGTTTGTGACATAAATTTGGACACAACCGCAAAAGCAAATGGCGATTTTGATATGAATAGTCTATATCTTGTAAGAAAAAAAGTAAAATAGATGTGTTATCTCTCGAGAAATAGGCTAAGAAAGGTATACTTTTTATTAAATAAATCGACCCAGTAATCATTATTTACTTTAATTAAATTTATACAAGAGATAGGCCTTAAAGAAGTGTGGAGTAAATCCATCATACATAAAATAAGTTAACCTTCTCTTAATATTTGTGACTTGCATAAAAAAGACGCCTTTATGCAATTTGGAAAAATAACAAAAATTCCCTTATTAGGATATTTAAGGATATTTTCCAAAATATTTATAACTTTAAAATGCGTGTTGCATAAAACAAACAATTTGGTAAAAAAAGACATCTCTCGCTGCCCAATATTTGTTTAGTAAGTTGCAGCAAGTTTACACCCTCTCTATTTCTATGTAAGCCAATAATTGTTCAAATTAGCTATTGTCATGTTTGTGTGTTTCAATTTTCTTCCGGTTTTCAATATTATAAAAAAGATTGTTGATTTACAAAAAAAAAAAGAAAAAAAAATATAGAAAGAAAAAGAAAAAAAATCATTTGTGTATATATATATAAATAAAAGTAGATAGACAGATAAGTAGGTAGATATGTAAATAGAGAATATAGTCAATATTGGTTTGTGTTTTCCTTCTTCTCTTACTGTGAATTTGACCATCTAAAATCTCTGCCTTATTTGTATTTCTCTTATCCTTATTTTTATGTGTGGGGCACTGCTCCAAGTGGGCTAGGTGAACCTATATGTTGAGATTGTATACCAGAAACACGCCTATTTTGTTGCTGAATTTGATGGTGGAGCTGATGCGGAGGACTAGGACTCATATGATGTTGTGGTTGCGGTTGTGGTTGTTGATGATTTTGCTGTTGCTGTGCTTGTTGTTGTGCCTGCTGCTGTGCCTTCTGTTGAGCTTGCTGCTGTGCCTTCTGTTGAGCTTGTTTTTGCTGTGCTTGTTGTTGCGGCTGTGGTTGCTGATGATGTACCCACCCTTGACCTCCTTGTGGTTTTCCATACATGGGAAAGTTTCCAGGGGCATTGGGTTGTGGCTGGTTATGGTATTGTTGTCCTATGGGTGGAGTAGAATTATTGGGCTTGGGAGGCATTGGCAAAACATCAATTAATCTCCAACGCTCTTTTGCATATGTTGGTGTAATGTTGGCATAAGGAGGTAAAGGTTCGGCCTTGTCTGTCGTGGGAAACGCAAAGGGTTTGTTGGCTGGGAGAGAGCCTCTGTAGGCAGTCTCAAGTAGAGGCAATGTATTCATAGCATATTGGACGTCTTCTGGTTTGGTAACATCTTTGGGTGGGACCTGATTCAATAAACTGTGCAGACGATTTTGAAGGGTTTGGGCTAAAACAATAATAATAATTAAATTTGAGGGTTAAATACACGCACTCAAATCTAGGAATTCTCGGTTGTCTAAAGCTTATTGCCTTTTTTTTTTTTGAAAAAAAGGGAATCCTTACCAATCTCCTTTTCCTTGTCATCAGCCTTGGACCATCTTGCATCCCCTAAGCCAAACCTATACTCTTGGCATTCGAGCAATTTCTCCAAAAGTTGGCCATTTCTCTCTAGTACAATATCGATATCATGTGGGCTGTCTATCAATATATCATCAACACTAAATGATCCATTCTCTGAGGCCTCAAGGATAGAGTCTGCATCCAGTCCTTGGTCTTTGAGCCAATCTGTATCTATCTTGAGCTCATGGACACCATTTGATTTCTCAGGTTGAGGACTAGGTTGGGGACTAGGTTGGTGATTATTGGTATCTTTTCTACGTTGAGATTGCTTTGGATGACTAGGCGGTTTCCCGAGTGTCTGGAGATTTCTTTGTTTCTTCTCCCATCTTCGGAATCGTTTGGCTGCTCTTCCCATGTATGTGCTCTCATAAGATACATTTGCGTTGTGTGAATCACACGCAGGGGCAAAGCTCGAAAATGCACCATAATCCAACCACTGGACTACAGAAAAGAATGCAGAAAATATTAGGAATATGATGTCGTTAAAGGTTTATAAACCTACTGGGAACAACATGTTTGTCTTCATGTCGAAAGATCTTTGGTGGGAATCTGGGTGGGAGAGGTACAGTAGACTTCAGAGAAGGTGGATCAAATGCAGACGGTGGAGTAGGATACACAGCAAGTTCTTGGATATTGATAGCTGATAAAATGACAAAGTATTTAGATACAAGTAAATACATAAATAACTGTGTGGATACAAATGCTTTTAATACCTACGTAATGAACTGTCTTTGGCCTTATTGGGTACTGCATCTGCAAAAACAAATCCATCTGGTGTGGGTCGAAACAGAGTGGTCTGCAAAAACACAACATCATCTCCTTCTAAAGCTTCTGGTTCACCGAGTTTTCTTTTCAAACGGTTGTTTTCTAACCGGAGTGTTGCTGTATAAGATTGGTATAACTTGGCCAGTTCTTCCTGTTTTTCACGACTGGACCCTATTCTCTCCAGAGCCGCTCGAAATAGTTGATCCAAATCATGCTAATATTTATAATTTATATTATAGACACACACAAAATAGATAAAATATAAACCCTATTGCATATAAATTTCTCTTTTTTTTCTTCTTACCTTGAAAGCTTGTACATCTATATATTCACCAATCGCTAATCTGTGTTGGATTATTTGAACAGTGATTGGACTTGATTGATCCGATTCATTGTCTGACAACAGTCCATGTCTATCACCTCTACACATACATACAATGCAATAAGTCGGATTATTCTTTCTTCTTATATATATATACAAAGTATAAAGGTACTTCATTCATTCCGCACTTTAAAAGTATTTCCATAAATTGATATGATAGTTCTTGAGGTTTTGTTAAATTCGGATTTTTATGTTGAAGGTGAGTTTGTTGCTCATTTTCTTCATTTGGTACACCATCGTTTTCCTCATCAACAATGTCGCCCTCTTCATTCTGCGAGTAATTTTGAAGTGTGCCTCTTCCTGTTCTATTAGAGCGCGTCGATGGCATTTCTTTCCTTTCTTTTCGTTTTGTTTTTCTTTCTTTCTTTTTATAATCGTATTAATAGTAATAGTAATAAAATTAGAATAATAATAATAATAAAAATAATAAAAATAAATGGCCTTTTGGGTCAATTCGCAGACGGCTAAACGTACTCCGCAAAAGAAGGTAGCACCTACAAAATGTATGAAGCTATCTGCACCCACAGCTTTTTGATAAAAAAATAACATAGTACGTAATATGTGACGTCGATATGCTTTTAGTAAAAACTACTGATTTCACCAAATTGTTCACAAAATGAACCAAATGCTGCCATGACGGACTTTAAAAGTGCAATTTTCTATAATGTGTTACACCAAACATCCTACGCAAAATCTTGCGCTGTCGTCTTGTCTATAAGGATACTAAAAATAAATTAGTGTATTTGGGCAAGTTCTGCCGTCTTAATGGTCTTCTACATCAAAAACTTTATTAATGTCCCAAAAGAAACGTTAATGAATAGGCCTCAATACAGCATTTTACGGAACTTATATAGGTTTTATGTAATAATAAGCTGTAGTACACTTCCAAAAACAGGTCTATTTTTAAGAAAAAGAATTATTTAATTAATAGCCCCAAAAGTGGAAGATAGCTCGAAGAAGTAGTATGTACCACACTTTTACTAGAATGCCGTTCTAAGAATCGCTTATATTATATTTTACTTGCTTCTCAGTGTAAGTCTTGTTAAACTGAAAGATATTTATATTGTAAACGGCAGAGTTTACCTCTTATGTTATTATTATATAATGTGTTTTGATTTTATTAAAGTATATAATAATTATATTGCAAAATGAAACAATATAAAGTAGTATGAAGTAGCAAGCAAAAGGCAATAACAAAGCCTTGAAACCCCAATAGTATCTCTCCTGAAATTAACAAGCTGTGTTTGGTACTCGTATTTCTTATTATACCGAATTTCTCTTTCGATGTATTACAAATTCGTTCCTAGTACGTGAAAGAAGGATTGGATATATTAAGAGATATGAGCACCAAACACAGACTCCTATTGAGCCGAGTTAAAAACTACTTTATATGCTGCAATATTATATTAAGTGATTTCAGTAAAAGCGTAGTACATACTACTTCTTCGAGCTATCTTCCACTTTTGGGGCTATTAATTAAATAATTCTTTTTCTTAAAAATAGACCTGTTTTTGGAAGTGTACTACAGCTTATTGTTACATAAAACCTATATAAGTTCCGTAAAATGCTGTATTGAGGCCTATTCATTAACTTTTCTTTTGGGACATTAATAAAGTTTTTGATGTAGAAGACCATAATTGCAAGATTCCGTGACACAACAATAGAAGTTTTCACCACTACTACACCGGTCAGGAAATGAGACTATTCAAAGACGAAGTTCCTGTGAGGGCGCCAAATTGCATGCGCAGTGACGGCTACCTGTAGAACTAGCAGAGCAGACGTATCTGAATGCTTTGGGAAATTACCAAGGAGGAGGATGTTGCTTGCCACCAGCGCATTCTATTTGGGTGTATGACGAGCTAGCATGATTCTCTAAGCACGGGATTTAGAAGAGCAAGAGAAGAAAAGTGTATATGGTCCTCTGTTGGTGCAGAGTACAATATACAAGCAGTGAAGAGCAGGATAGTAGGAATGATGTGGTGGACACGAGCAAGAATTGGGACGCAGTTCCACAGAACATTCCACTAGACATTCTAACAGTGGTTTAGGATGGTTGGGCGCCAAACCCTCTTCTGATGAGCAGGAGTCAGGTTTGTTGTCTTCATCAATGGGGCCATATGTCGCCGAAGGGCACCTATAGTAGCTTGAGCGAAAAGTTTGTTATCAATCCGAAAATTGTGCAAAAATAAGGCCAGATAGTGTTAAGTGGAAGGGTCGTCGGAGTAGTATATCATCCTGGGCGAGCTTGAAAGCATCAGAGACATGGATACCTTTCAGTAATGGAAAAGGGTTGCTAGTAGTATCCGGTTTATGGAATATAACGCTCAGAGGAAATTGGAGTACCAACCTAAGAAGAAAGGTCACTCCCTATGTTATTGCCAGTAGCCAAACATAAGAGCAGGCCCAAAAAAAACCTTGATGAAGCATATGTATGAGAAAATCAGTGAAAAATGGGCTTTAAAGGTGTTCCCCAACGTCCTCAGTGTATTACCTTAAAAATCTATAATCGATTCAATGGTCAAATATACGAACACCAGCTATTATCATGGTATTAAGGAAACAATAAACAATAATAAATAACCGATATTCTGGTGAAAGTTGATCATTTATCTAAACAAGAGCATAGTAATTACTGGGCTGGATCAATTTTTGGAGAGATAATAAAGCAATACAAAGAGTAACATATACTAAATTCAGCCTTTAAAATGACGAGTTATTCTCATTGAAAGCTTTACAAGTACTTTCAATCCACATTTTCTATCTAAGATATAATAAAAAATTGGTCACTCGGGCATAAGTATGCAAAGACTAATGGGCCTGAAAATACAGGGCCTTATGAACTTCTTCATGGTGGCGTTTCCACTCGTACATATCTTCTTCACTTTGACGTAGCTATGGAGACGGTATGTTAGTATTAAATTATGTCTTACTAAAGTACCATATCAAAAAGGCTTTAAATTAGCATGTAACAATAGCCAATTACTCCTGGTCATTGTAGAGGCTGAATTTATTATCTTTCATTCTTTCATTACTCTATAATCTCTCCGAAGATTGATCCAGCTCAGTAATTACTATGTTCTTGCTTAGATGAATGATCAACTTTCACCAGAATATTTGCTATTTAGTATTGCTCATTGTTTCATTAATACCATAATAATAGCTGATATTCCTATATTTGTCCATTGAACCGATTATAGATTTTTTAGGTAATACACCGAGGACGCTAGGGAAAACCTTGAAGGCCATCGGTGCTGAGTTCCAAGCATCCAAAGTGTCAAACAAGAGAAAGTTAATAGAAAGTACGTGGCTTACATGAAACGAAACGTTGTCACGTATACTTCTTGTACTCTAACCTTATCCTACTCTTCTAATGCCAGCAGTTGAACCTGATCAAGACGGATTTGTTGTTGTCGAAAAGGCTTTTAAGTACAAGGCAACAGATCGCAAAAAGAAAGGAAGAGGAAAACGGAATGAGAAGAACAAGCATGTGTTTAAGGACTATGACGATTGGACTATTGATGACATCAAGTCCACTCTTACTCAGCGAAAGTATGTAAAACGATCTATGAAAAAGTTAATTGAGGCAAATTCTAATCTATCCTTGCATTATTATTATTTAGAGAAACATTGATTGAGAGTCGATTCTATAAAGAGCTGTCAGGCAAGGAAGAAAATGAAATCAATCATATTTCAGGGACCATTCCTTTTTTTTTTAAGAAAAAGGAAATATTTCTAATAAATCTGTTGATAACAATAGATATATTTGATGAACATCTTGTTCCAACTGGTCCTCATGACATTATCTGTTATGGCATTGGATCTATGCAAAAATCAAAAAATGCGCAATATCAATTTGAATTGGCACTCTTGATCCGTGAATTGTTAAAGGTAAGTACTATGTATTTATTTATATAAAAAAGGGGAATATGCTGTAAATATTAAATGATTGTTTATTGCTGTGGATTTAGATTCCAGGAAAGATGTACATTTATGATCCAGTCATGACAGATCTTGATAAAAAGGTCTGCAACGAACAGGAAATTGAAATTATTGAAGAAAATGAAGTAAGAGTGACGGATAATATACAAAACAAAACAAAAAAGTCTAATTGTAGATTAGGAAGGCAAGCGAGTTGTAACCAAGCCTACTCTGTTTTACATGCCTCATTGTGGAAGAGGCCTTTACAGCAATACCTTGAGTGTAAATTGGAACCAAGAGAATCTACAGAACATTACACTTATCGGAAATAGATTCGATATGTACGTTGGAAGGTATGTATACGTATCTATGTGTATTTTGTTACTCTATTACATGATGTGTGTACCCGCATAAAACTCATTGAAATTGCTTTGAAAAAAAAAGTCAATTGGATAGAGACTTGAAGAGAGAATGTCCTTACCTTATCCCAGCGGTTGAGATCATCGAGACTATATCATTTCCAAAAGAATTCGACAACAATCAGATCTTTAACGATCTCTCGATACAGAAATTTATTAACACAAAGATGTCTGCAAAAGATAAGAAGTTTTGGGATCCTATACCCATCAGTACTCCAAAATCTGATAGCGACACGATACAAGAATAGATTAATTATATATTTGTAAGGTACTTTGAAGTAGATAGGGAATGCCAAAATATATACGACTATGAATGATAATCAAAGTAAATTGGCTGGTAAATAAGGAACAATGTAATGGGGTATATGTTTGTAAATCATCCTCATTTTATATATATATATATATTACTTTATTTTACAATCTTCCCACTGCCACTTGGACTTTTTTCTTTTGAAAAAGGTGGCCAAGTTTTTAGAGAAAGATTTATTGGTTTTTTGGTATACTGTTTCTTAAAGGAACCCAAGTTGGTCCAAGAATAAAATTAAATTAGCTTAGTCAACTGTTTGACCAAATACTTTTTCACTTTTAAATTTATTTTTATTTCAGTGTGCAGCTTTTCTGTGAAGATGGCCACGGAAGTATTATGAATGAAGAGGTAAATGAACCAACTTTTAAACTTGAAGGAGAAATTATTCAGACTAAAAAGAGCTTGGCTGGTTTTCGTCAATCCACCAAAAATCAAAAGTCTCAACTTGAAGTAAATAAGCGTGATGTCGTTATGGAAGACCCTCGGCCTAAAATAAAATAAAGAGCTATTCAGTACAATATTTACACTGATGAGAATATAAGAAGCTATTTTTCCTATTTATGAGAGATTAAGGAAACCAAAAGACTTATCTAAAGCTGGAGATGCTAATTTCAATGCAGCACAAAAATGGGGGCAATATTATGATAATGATCCAGAAAAAAAAACATCGCTTTGAAGGAGACTAACCGTACTTTTAACAGATTAGTTAATCCGTTAAACGGCGCGCGCAAAGAACACTTAATCAAGTTGTTTTTATGAGGGCGCTTCTGTGACAATTCAGTACGCAACTGACTATCTGATATAAGATTTGCTGGGGTAGAGATAAAGAAGTATATAGTCGCAGAGTTCATAAAATAAGAGTGTAATATCTGTCTCAAAGTAGTAAGCCGCTATGTTATTGCCGGAAATTTCGAAAGAAAAAAGACTCTTGAAGTCCGCGCAGCTTGGATCAAAGGGTAGACCGAGAGGGGCGCCGATTTTTTGAAGAACTGTGTACTTGTTAAAGAGTCAGTTTTTGACATCAGCATCTACCGTAGAATAATATGTCAGAAAAATGTTCGGTTTCAAGTGTTGCGACTTTCTCTACTAAAGCCCATTCGCAGACTATTATTGAACCAATTTGTGCTTGTAATATAGTCAACTTGACCATGATAAAGTCTGGAAATATCAAAAGGAGAAAGGTTGTTGACGCCAAAAAAAATAGAAGCACCTGAGGATAGGATTTTCGCTTCTAAGGAAACTACTTTTGGGCAACATGTTCAATTCCTCAATGATAGTATATATATATCATGGATGATTTTCCTGAAATGCGAGCGTTCCATATTATTTTGGATAATGCTCCAATTAATATACCAAATATGATTAGCCCAGTTATCATTAGAAGGGTGTATATATCGGTACATCTTCTCCTCTTACTCGCCCGAGCATAGTCCTATTGAGCAATTTTGGGTCGTCTTGAAGAGTAAAGTGAAGCGAACAAAGTTTAGTGATGTTGAAATGCTCAGCTCAAGAATCATTAAAGTGAGTAAAACTATTCTTGTGGAGAATTTGGATCGTTTTCTTCATCATCCTCTTAACCAATTTGATGGCTGCTTCAATAAAAATCCTATCCAGACCATCATCTTTTGTACTTGACCAAATTGGTTTGATCAGAGTCGACCAAGCTAATTTTATTTTTTTGACCAACTTGTTTTCAAAAAGAGAAAGTGCAATTTAATTTCCTTTTTTAAATCAGAGTGTGCCCAAAAGACCAATCAATGTTTCTCTAAAGTTCGATCACCTTTTTCGGAGAAGAAGAAAATGTCCAGGCGGCAGTGGAACGACTGTACAGACAAACTAACAAACAAGCAGTTAAAAAGAAAATATGTAAAAGCTTGTAAGTCTCTCTGTATACATTTATTTGAGCGTTAGACGCTTCTTTATCCAGGTATATATTGTGAAAAAGGTAGCTTTTAGCCAATAAGTAGGCCATTATTGCACTAAAATCTAAAGTATATTCTTTTTGAAACCCTAATTAGGCGGAAGATCTTTAAAGGCTAATAAATGCACTTTATACCAAAGACATGCTTTATAAGAATAAGATCGATATAGACTATACGCATTTCTCTCTGAACAATTTGAATTTACAAATTAGAAAATCCACTTTCGAATAACTTTTATATTCTTTTATTCTGTGTCTATAAATTAAATTATTCCGTACAGCTCATTATACCCCATAAAACAAGAAGAAAACATTCGCCGATTCCCTCACATGGGTATGCTATTTGTGGGTGCTTGTGCTTCCGTTGTACAGGTTTCTTCTTTGCCATAGCGGCTATTGGTTTGTTTGTGGAAATCACACAGCATGGCAAATGCGTAAGAATGCGCTCGGCCAACAATAGCGCCATATATATACATAGAGAAACAACACACTTGTTGTGCAAAGTCTCTTCTTTTCTCTTTTATACCTAACAATTACATGTCTTTTCATAATTACCTTTTTCCCTACGAAAGGGTGTCGCCTTTACTCATTCCTGAAATTGCAGGTCTCATATGCGATGTTGCTGATTCCAGAGATCTACTCAGTTTGGTTCTTACTTGTAGAGTATTTTATGATGCCGCGTCTGCTCGTCTGTGGCGTACACTTCATCCACGCTCCCTTATTAGCTTGCTAAAGGTCAAAAGTACACTTGAAGGGAAACACCGAGTAAAAAGTTTGTCGTGTGATTATCACCAACTCATACAAACATTTCGCTGGTCTTCCCGCGACGACCCCACTTGTCGTAAATTTGAACTCGAATTCTTTGAGTATTTTGGCTTCCCCAACCTTGTTCAACTCGAATTCTCATATATGGCAGCACAAAGCCAAACACTCTACAAAATTATTGCTGCTAGTCCACATCTACGCTACATTGATCTCTCTCATTGTTATTGTTTATCAACACAGGCCATATTACCACTCTTCTTTATGCCACATCACCACCTACAAACTCTGATTTTGTACGGATGCGGTCAAATTGATCCAGACACCCTGGCAACCCTTATTATGCACCATCATCAAAGCTTACAATGCATTCGCCTCACAGATATCAACGATCGGGTACTTGAATCTATTCAGCAATGTGTTGGCCTAAAAGATCTTGGGCTAGAACATTGCGCCGAGGCCAAGCTATCTGCAGGTGCCCTTTCACGCTTCAGTCGCCCCACAAAAACATACTCCGGATTAGGACTTGAACGGTTACGGTTACGAGACATTGCAAGTCTGTCATCTGATCATTTAAGAGGAATTGTTGATGGTTCGCGGTACTCTTTGTTACACCTCGATATCAGCGAATGCAACCGACTCTCAAGCGAAGGATTTGTCTATCTCTCCTCTCAATGTGTCTTGCTTGAAACTCTCTTATTGGCTTATCAAGCAGGTGTTGAGGATGAAGCAATTCAAGTAAGACCAAAAACATTTTTTCTAGCTTTTAATTAATTGTTTTATGCTTCAATATATATATATATAGCTTCTAGTTCTGCATTGCAATCGTCTTAAACATCTCGATGTCTCTGGGTGCAGGTCGTTAACAGATGAGGCGTTCCGTGCATTTGTAAACGAGTCTGACATAACGCCAATTGCATTGGAGACCTTGGATGTGAGTGGATTGGAATCTGAAATCTCACGATCCATTCTCGGTAGTCTGTTGATGAAACTGCCTTATTTAAGAGAGATGAGTTTAGGTGCAGCTTATGACAGAGAAGATGCCAATAAGATCCTTGAAAAGGTTAATCGCGTACACCCGTCTTTTCACATGGATATTGATCGAACTATTTCACGCGAATGAAATTATTTGATGGCTATAGACAAATAGGAGATGTATTGTATCGTATTGAAAATTAATAGAAAGAACTCTCTAACAACTACAATGGTTGTTGGTGCTAATTATTGCTGACTTTGGGGTTGTTTTGTCAAAGCAATCGCACTAAATTCAGTTTCATCTGGGTCACGAGCCATATGTTGCTGGATAATCTTGGCTGCACTGGCAACCAGATCAGTACACTTTCCATGATTAATTGGGAAAGGCTTGCGACCATCCAATTCGTACAAATGATCATCAACCTTTACAAAGCATGAAAAATGTAAATTCACTTCATCCCCCAAATCGGGCGTTTGTGTCTGGCCTTGGTTGGCTGCCTCTTGATGAACTGAAGAGAGTTCAGTACAGTTCTCAAGCAACTCGGCTCTCTCATCGGGAGACATTGGAGCTGCCTTTTCTAAAAGATTACTAAGTAATCCTGGGCCTATGTTTTTTTAAGTTAGAATAATTTCGTGAGGAAATAGCTAATATCATATTTAATTTGGCAACGCACCGACTATTTCATTATCATTATTAGCAATCGCATGAAGAATGGCAATCATTCCACATGCATTGGCAATCGTCTGCTTAAAGAAGATAAGGTCTGGGCTAATGTTCTGCTCATGACGCGCTAAATGAGCTTCTTCTTCCTCCTTAAACTTCTCGTAATTTTCAGTCAATGGGAATAAGAAGATGATGGCTGTAACAGGACGAGGGATCATGGCTAGTAATTCAGGCTCAAAGCCTATTCAGGCGATAAGGTATGATTTAGACTTTCTCGTCAACATTCTTATAAGATCTATTCTAAAACCACTCTTACCGTAGACATCAACAAAGTTCCATTGACTATTTACTTTGAGTCTATGGATAATCTATTGCATAAAGAAGTTGGCTGTCTCTCAAAATAATAAATATATGCTTCCTTTTTATTACCTTATTCCACACCTAATAAAAGAGTCAGTATAATATAAAGCTAGATTCAGACTGCAGACTTACGTCTGGATTAGCTTCGAGTGGTAGCCACTTTTGTTCAGTGGGTTTATGAGTTTGTTCTTCCTGCATATTGTGCATAAATCTTTAGAAAAAGAAAAAACGGGAAGAAGAGTAGTTTCGAAAGTAAGAAAGAAAGACAGAGGTTGAATGACGTAATTCCAAGTCCGATGAAGACGACCGAGGTTCGGTTTGTTTTGCTTTGTGGTGAAGGTATGTTTCGGGGGAATATTAAAAGACTAATGTATACAATTGATTGATAAAGATATTTTTATATGGGGTTTACGTGGGCATGAGCAGCCATTATACGTTGTAATTCCTGTAGAAATCAAATTAATATCAATCCAATTTTTTATTACAATATAAGCAAATCTTACATTCTGAAGGTCTTCAAGACTAGAGAGATTTGCGCCGTCTTGTTGCAAAACAGGCCCACGTTCATGTGTATCCAAATATGCACGCCCATACTTTACAAGTGCTGCAAGCTCAATATCTGATATGGTATCAAGTGCACGGCTTGGGGGCTGACTAGGCTGAACCACCTTTTTGAGGATTGTCGAGAAATCATTGGCTCCTTTTGGCGCCATAAGAGCATACTGCATCTGTTGGTTAGGTAGGTTTGTACTTCGAAGCACACCATGTGGAAGTATAATATCAATATCATTATCTCCATAACGTGCAACCTCCATCCACGGTCTTGATGGACCCACATCACTCGATTCATCAAATGCCATCAGTGCAGAGTCCAGCTTCTGTAACATTCGTGCAGTGTCAGGATCAAGGATCGGCACAGGTGTTGTTTTCCGTTTAGGAACCACAGGGGCGGAAGCCCCAAATTGTCGCAAAATAAACTGCCCGGGCGTCAATAAGCTAGCATGATCTCGAATCACATCTCCCAAAGACATTGTGTCTGGCAGAACCTTTTCTTTCCCGGATAATACAAGAGTCATTCGGTACCGATTTCCTTTGTCTCCTTCTGTTCTGTCATAAGCAAGATGGAATTTATCGAGGGCAATTTTTGTGCACTCTGATACACTACTGCTAGAAGGAATTGCGATAATCTTATCAATACGCTCCTGTCCCATTTCTGCTGACTTTTTCTTTGATAATCCACTCTGAGATAAACTTGGTGGTGTGTACAGCGAAATCTTTACGTATAATTCGCCTTGTCGTTCATTCACACGGCGAATGCGTTTGTGTAAATAGAATCTAATTTGACTCTCTTCGAGTTGCTTTCTAGCCCGTTGTTGATTAGAGACCGTCTTATTCAGACCAAAGTCACCACCATTCAAATGTTGTGAAAGTTGCTTGATGTGGTTTAATGGGGGCATAGGTGTTGTTAGGTGTGCGGTTAATGACTGAAAGATAACGAGTGGTTTATCTTGAGGAGCTAAAACAATTTCTTCGTTGTCCATTGGCTTTAGAGAAAGATAATATTCGATTCCGCTTGTACTCAATCGTCTCGACGCTTTTGCTTCAATTTGCGATATGTGAAATCTTTCCATAGCTTGCATCAGCATTTCCTCTGCCTTTGTTTCCTTCGTTACTAAAACCGAGTTATATGTCGCACCCACGTTTAAATTTCCTGCGTATACTCGTAATACACACGTCGTTGCTTGTTTTTCTGTCTCTCTGACTATATCCGGTAGAATCACTGGATTCTGCCGTGTCTTGTTACGAGAGAAAAGTCGCCATAATGTATCCGATGTTTTACGCTTCGGATCTTCTGATGTTGGACTAGTTGGGGAAGCTTCAGGAGGATCCACTGGTGGTGTGGAAATAGAAGGCTCTACGCTGGTATTGCTCTTATTAGATATTGGATTAGGCGAATTTGGATTTGTATTTTTGTCATTTGTATCTTCTTCAGCCGAAGGAAGAACGCCTTCAGACTCCTCATAATCCTCCCGCCACTCTTCGTCTTCATCTCCAATTATCTGTGACTGAAATTTAATCTTATTTGATAGGTGCACTCGTCGAGCAGGGCGTCGAGATGGTCGTTTTGGCTGGGTTGGGAAGGACTGTGGACTGGTGATCTTGACACGTCCATCAATCTCAAGTGTACTCGTTTCTTGTCTTGAACGCCTACCTCTGTATTTCGGTGTTTATTCAACCGGGCAAGTCTCTCAAACGGAGTCTATATATAGAACTATCAGCCCTTCTGTCTTTTTACTTGGTTGAATATTTCTTTAGTTAATATATACTCGCCTCAATATTTTCAGCAGGAATATATCCCATTTCTGAGGTTTTCATAACCTTAACCATCCACCAATATGAATTACTATCATCTGCTAATATGAGCGTATCTCCCTTTACAACAGACGCTTGGCCGTCAACTGTGGCTACAAACGTGTGCAAAGCGTATACGAGATCAAAGTTGATGTTCTCGTCAGGAATGCTTAGCGATGAGGACATTGTCGAACTGTCATCTTCCTCCTCTTCTTCTTCTTCTGCTGGACTTTCTTCATGGTGGTCAGCTAGCTCAGGGATGGATCTTGCCTTACTGGAAGATGCGCCGGCTGTAAGCATAATGATCTATAATTAAATATATATGTGTGTGTATGTGTGTGTATGTGTATATACGTGTATATATCTGTGTGTGATCAAAGAAATAAGATGGCAACAAAGATAATACTATAGGCTTTATTCTGCATAGAGAAAGCAATGAGTACAAAATAGTAACAACAATAAAAAAAAAGTAAAGGATATAAGAAGAAGTGTGGTTTTAGAACGAATACCCGAAAGCACACGATTAATGATTCCACGGGTGGGTTTGGATCTAGACTTTATGACCGCCATTGTCAAAACGAGGAAAATAAAATGTGACAATCAGGCCATGGTCGCACAGTCCATAACGATAGATTATTGAGGTACAAATAAGACTTTATGGTTATCAGACATAAGCAACATGCTTTTTGTGATGTATATGGTGGTATGAAGGTGAAATTGTTTCGCTAAGACATATACACAGAAGAATGGATGCTATGAGAGAAATTAGAGAATATCGTCTGGACAAACTTGGCTAGCTTCGGCCGTTGACAGGCTGCAACAGAAAGCTCTTTTTCGTAAGGCATAAAATATATATGGCTGTGATTGTCCCGCGACAAAAGGCGAAGAAGATGAGCAGCCACAAGTGCAATACCCTGAACATCTGAATTATCAATATACGTTGGTTGGGACACATGCTCCTGAAGGTGACAGGCCATGTCTCGCTTATCTTCAAATGAATCCACGCAGTCAGTCCACATGCATCCAAACATCTCTTCATCTTTTGAAGAAGATCCAACATGGTCTTTGATGACATGGCTTTGAAGAAGGGATGGGTTTCTAAAACTTTGTGAGCAATCAGTCCATTGGCACATCATTGTGGGACCTAGAATTATCGATATGAAAGTAATATATGAGTATGTTATATTTATATCTTGTCTAGGTTACTCACCGTCTTGTAAGATATTCATCTTAATCTGGATACCACGCACATATGTCCCTTCTAGAACAGGACCTGAACCATTCGCCATAGGTGATATTGTAGGAGATGCCACGGGAAAGGCAATCTTTAAAACAGTATAAAAATCTTTGATTTTAAGAGCCTTTTCATGGTCAAATCGCATCTCATACAGCAGATACATGTCGTCCAGCGACAAAACTGTCATTGGGTCTGCGACTTCAAATTTATCTTTAAGCCTGAAAATTAGATAAAGATACACCTATAACATAAGATTCTTTGTTTTTTTTTTGTACAAGGCACACAAGAAACTTACCATCCTAAGCATCTATATGGTTCATCTAGCTGTTGGTATTCATCCAGGGGAGGTAGACATGGCCCATGTGCATGGGTCTCTATTTGAGGTGATCCACTCATGATGCTTTGTGTAGGACTATTCGATCCGCTTGATGAATCGTCTTTAATTGTAATAGGGTCAAAGAATTTGGACTTTAGCATCAAGAGTGACACAAATATACCAATGTCAGCTCCGGAATGCATGGTCAATAATTGTAAACGGAATATATTCGACATGCGTGTATATTGAAGCAAGTATTCCAGTACTGTTCCGGTCAATTCTTCATCGTTTACCACCAACAAATGGGTAACTCTCTCTGCAATGTGTGTTGATCCGGGGATCAAGTATAGCTGGTTTTCGGGCAAAGTAGCCAAAAGGGTCAGGGTTCTTAAGGCTCCAATCAATAAATGTCTATTGGTTCCATATATAAGGGACGCCAAACAAGAAATTACTTCGTCTGCGTGGCCTGCAAGTAACATATACGGTGCCATATTTTCCATTACATCGATACAATGTGTGTAATAAGAGCCGGATGAGAGTACCAGACCACGCACCAGCATCTGGCGGAGACGCTGGCTAGATCCCAATATGCGTGCATTGTTTTCGATAAATGAAAAGTTACGTAAAATATGAACCACCGTCAATATTCGTCTACGTGCCATTTCTGACTTTGCTTTATGAGGATCCACATGGCATCTGTCAAGGCTGTCACTCATTAAATCCATTGCATTCGGTTCGGTTCCCGGAAATGTGTTCTCGACTAGGCAGGGCTCAGCGCAATGTAGTAAAAGATCCAAAAGAGTAGGGATCTTGTCAAGTCTAAGTTGTTCGGGGCATTCGAATGAAAGTGTTACAATGCTATTTAGAGCCCATTCAATGTCTACTGATGTGCCGTACTCTAATCCGTGAAGGATTCTTTGTCTAGTATCGTTGTCAAATTGCTGGGCTGTATTAAGTTATTATTAGAAAGTAAGAAGGTTATTATAGTTTGTGACCAAGAATGGTTAATTGATAATTAATTATCACATTCACACATTTATATAAATATATTTATTTTATTACCTGCAGAACACCCAGAAGACATGCCATCGGTTGAATGAATATGCTCAGGAGGGGGCTTTTGGTGATGTAGTTCTGAAATCGAACATTGGCTGTGTTCATCTGTTATTGAAATTTGTTCGAACGATGGACAGCCTTCCAAGGCAAGGGCGGGGAAACCAGGTGGAAGGGCAAACACATCAATAGGTTGTTGTGGTTGTGGTTGTGGTTTTGGTTGTGATGCAGGCTGGTAGTGATGGTGGTGGTGATTTGCGGATACTTTTTGATAGGTAAGATCGGGTTGTATTGGTTGGTAAGCTCGAGTGAATTTATGAGAAGATGGCTTTTGAGCTAATAAAATGACAAACGCCAATGAATTATGAAGACCGTATTCTGTCTTTAAGATTGATTATGCTTACTCGGACTGCTATTCTTCTTGTAAGATTTTCCAGCTAGTGTAGATGCCTTGTGTGCTTCTGGTCCAAATAATTCTTTAGGAGGTACCCACGTTTTGCGCCAAATCTTCTCTTCCTCCCATCCCAACTATACACGCCACATATCATTACTTTCATTAGTACATACTATCACATAGTATTCCAACCATATATCCAATATAATCTTACCAAGTTTCGGATGTAAAGTCCTTTGAGGATATAGGCACTGTTTGTGCAGGTAGAGGGGAATTGAAATATTTCTCCTACTTTTTTCCAGCTGCGATTCTTGGTGACCTGTGAAGAATCAATTTTTCAATTTTTTGTTAAACAAATGTCTTTCTCTTTTGCTCTTTTTCTACCTGATCAAATCCACCGGCCTCGAGTACAGATTCGTATAACTTTAACAAATCGATTTTTTTTCCTCCCAATACTGGCTCGGTTTGAAGTCGAGTACTAAAGAAGAAACATACTAAACTTTTGACCGGTTGAAAGAGAAAAAAACTGGCTCGGCTTTTACCTTTTTCTAGAATGGAATTGCATGAGATCTTGAATAAAAGCATTGTATTTATCAGATCGCTCAATGTCATCTACAGCATTCGACATGGCAGCTTTTAATCAAGTATTAGAGCTACAAAGGTGGCAAAACTGCAAAATTCTCTAGAGCTAAGAGGGCTCAGGGCGTATCGTGGTTTAGGATGGTCTGGATGGCCAAAGCACGCAACCTTTGAGGTACTCGTGGAAATGCCGTGACTTCTCTATTTCATGTCCGTGCTGTCGGTATTCTAAACTATAGGTACCCTATGGGTGTCTTGAGCTACGTGGTTGACTTTTTGAATCAACTTAAGTGGGCAGCCATGAAGCAGTAGAGAAGAATGGTGATACAGTCACTTGAAGCAACACAGCCAGCATGAAATTTTAAGCCAGTTAAAGCCCCCCCCCCCCCCCCTTTTTTTTTATATATATAAAAAGTACCAAAAACAAACAAACAAATAAATATTTTTAAAGAAGGATCCACCCATAGACTTGGTTGTTTGAATTTGTGGGGCATTGAAAGTACAACGTGCGGTAACGTGTTTTAATGTGTCCTAAGAGTTTTACCCTAGCAAACCATCAACCACTTTAGGTTAATCTGGGGGTAAATTGAAAGAGCTAACGCTTATGTTGTATATCTACATATAGTGTATTTTTTTAATAATCGCAAATTTCAAGAACTAAACATGTTTTCTGTTTACGTTGTTAATAAACAGTTTCTCTACAAATGCCATTCACCAGCGTACGAGGGAAATGACAAAATTTCTAAAATAAGGACTCTAGTTACAAAAAGGAATATACTAAACGACCATACTTTAAAAAGCTCATCTTATATAGCCAAAATGAAACAAATCATTAACAAAAAATAAAAAATTAGAAGGGTATTTTAGTAAATGATTAAAAAACAGATGCTGAATAACAATCAGAATCGTATATGACGTGACTCAATTCCCTCGATGCAATTCCCTCGACAATTCCCTCGTACGCTGGTGAATGGCAATAAAGGGACAATCATTTTTGGCTTTGTGTCATTAGTTTTTTGGAAAGTGACGCTTATTTTTTGGTTATGGACATTCAATGTTCTCAAAGTGACAAAATTTACCATTCTCACTGTATTCAAAATATAAAGCAGGGAAAGTATAATTGACCGAGAAATGATCTAAGAAAGTTGGATTAAATTCAGGGCAAAGTTTGGAGATTTTAATCGTATAAATATTAGAGAGTTAGATTTTTTGCTGGTGACAGCTCTTACTCGAATGTCATCAGAACATACACTAACAGTTTCGATGTAAAGTAGGCAGAATTGTCTCCTATAGACCACGCACAATCTTGTATAATTGGGTCAACATCCCTCCTTAATGATACAATTTGTGACCATTTATTATTCTCAAAAATTGTCCATATTTCGAAATTGAATTATTAGCAGTGTTTTTTAAATGTATACAAAAGTATATCATATTAAATGATGTAACACTAATACAGGATATTTCTCGAACATATGTATTTTGATTCAGTTGTCGTATGCTTAGTACAAATCAGCTTTTGATATAACAATTTTCTTTTTTAAAAAAAAAAAGGAGGGGGATAGAAAAGGGAGATGGGTCGAACCAGATCGGACATTGATGCTGTTCACCAACGTACGAGGGAATCATCGAGGGAATTGCATCGAGGAAATTGTATTGCATTATATAAAATCCCGATTGTTATTCAGTATTTGTTCCTTAATTTTGTACTAAAATACCCTGTCCATTTTTATTTTATTTTTTGCTAATGAATTGTTTCCTCTTGGCTATAGAAAATGAGCTTTATAGAATATGGTCGTTTAGTACATTCTTTTTTTGTAACTAGATTCCTTATCTTAGAAAGTTTGTCAAATCAAAATCGAATAAATTACTATGAAAAGTAATTTTTTTTTCAATTCCCTCGTACGCTGGTGAACAGCATATACTATCAACATTGCACATTTTAAAAAAGACCCAGAAATGGGTAGTGCTGCTTGCTTCCATAGTAAATTATCCTAATGAATTAACTGTCCTTTCTAGCATGTTTAACGGTGTCCTTAAATGCGTTTTGTCACGCTAACTCCAATTCATTTTTACTTTGCCTTGTTCAATATGAGCAGCATAAATATACAGATACATAGTTTATATTGTAGATAAGGAAGGGAAAAAATGACTTGTACTTTATTATTGTTATTTATATAAGCATTTATTATTTACAAAGTAATGTATATATGCACTATTTTTTGCTTTTGCTTTACCTCTCACTGTCGGTGTTATGTTGTTGTTTTTTTATCCTTCTTGTTAAATTTTGAAATCACTTGTCATCATCAAGATAACACTCCAGTAATTTTATTTTGACTGATCTGTTTCAGGATAGTGTTGTAGGGCTTGTAAGAAGTTGCTCGGTGAGTAAAGCAGGTTTAGTTGTTAGAGGTAAAAAGATACCAGTCACCCATTCTAGGCTACAATAATTGATGTTATCATCATCTGAGTCGTCACAATCGAAGATTTCTGAAAATGAAGCTGGTTGTATAAAAGCTTCGTTTGATAACGTGGCAATATTGAGACAAGTTTTTTTGAGTGATTTCCATTGTCGTATCCACATAATTAGCTTATCGACGAAGAGGTTCAAACTACTGTATAACGAAAGATCGAATCCAACACTATTGACATAGAGGCTGCGATCAATGAACTTCAAGGCACACAAATCTACCTGTATTCCAAACATTTGCATGTTTTGTAAGATGATAGTTTTCTGCTTCTTTGGTTTTCCTAACATAACCAAATCATTGACTGTACATTTTGATTCAGCTGCAAGTTTAAATTTGTCGCTGTAAATCTTTTCAAAGCTGTACGAAGCCCTAGCAGTCTCAGGATGGCATGTGGCAACAACCTTGGATACCTTGCATACAATCCTACCGTCAACTTTACAGCCTATCGTATGTGGCTCATTGTCGTTGTTTATACGCTTTACTGCAGCAGTGGTATCAGCTGACGTTTCTCCCCAATTGGCATAGAGTTCAGAACCATCTCCAACCAAAAGTTCCAAGACTTCGCCCCATAGCTTCATTAAAAAATCGAGTTCGGTGATTTTGTTGGTTGGATTTGCAAAAATGTATGTGTGTTCTTTGTACGCGTCAATGCTAGGAAAATAGAACACAAGTCAGAAACTGCTCATATTAAGAAGAAACTACACTTGCATATGGCCAAAGACTTTAAAAATCCACTTATCAACAGATTGTGCAACTCTTATAGTTTCCACACCAATGTAGTAAGCTTCTTCTTGTTGTCCGCTCTTGATTTCCTTTATTACCTTTTCTACTTTCTTTTTGGTGGCATTGACACAGTTGATTTTATCCACTGGTGTTTCTTGTATCGCTCATCGCAGTGAACTTTAAAGTAGTGACGTAGCTGTACAAATGGCCCGAAGTAGTTGAATAGCACTTTTTATTTGTTCTTTAATAAAAGTGTCTTTCTACCCGTATTCATTTTCTTGTCACCGAGTTGGACATTTACAACATATAACCAACACACCATGTTTCAGCATCAGATTGGTTTGGAAGGTGCTTGATAAGATAGTCCCATTGGTCCTTTGCAAATAACTTTTTTTGGATACACTCTTTCTGGTTACCAAGATCAAGGATACCGTTAAGATAGAAGCCGCAAATCGATTGCTCTTCAGCTGACAACGAGTCATAAACTTCATATAGCTGTTTGCCATAGGACCTTAATGTTGATGAAATGGAGCGGTCGTTAAAAAATAAGGCTATCGTCTTCAACAATACTCTATAAATAATAAAAGCTGTCAGTACATATGTACTTGTAGATAAATATCATGACCTACTTGATTGGCGAGCGACTGCGGACTTCTTGATGCCGCTGTACTTTTCGAACTTGGGGCTCTGATCCTTGTGTATACTTCTTGCAATTATTTTCATAATCAGCTTGTCGATTTAGATTGTTATAATACTGTTTTTTATCTTGTTATAAGATCCGGAATTCACCAACCTCATTTGCATTCATCAACTACTTGAAATATAGAGAAATATGTATATTGGATAATCGTTGTATAGTATTCAAGTTAAAATGAAGCTAATATTACAGGAAAATAATAGTTAAGTTGTTCATGAATCCACTTGGTTACCACTGGATCTATAGCAGCTGGATTGAATAAGGCATTTTGTAAATCTTTTCCAAACTTGTTCGCGACTTGTTCCCTTGCCATCCCTCCACAGAAGTTGTCGTAGTAATAGCTCTAATCAAACTCTAGATTTGCATGGATAAGATATCCTATTGAATTTGAAAAAGAGAGTACACTGTTTTTATTGTGAAGTATGGAAGAAAGTCGCGCTTTACAATACATGTTTTTTTGAGGTTTTAAAAGAATTATTCTCAGTCACGTTATGCTGCACACATATCTATTTTTCTCATACTGTTGAGTAGGGATCTTTATCTCATTTATTCTCAATAACTAATCTCAAATATGAATCATCTAGAAACCGATATCTAGAGGTAAAAGGACTGTTAATATATTAAGATGGAAGTAAAGCTATTTGTATTTATATACGCCATTACAATGTTTTTTTTAGTTTGATATACAGTGCTTCCACTCTCAATTTACCGAATGTTTGAAGTTAATTTGACCAAAATATTGGTCAATTAATTTGTAAGAAGTGGTTAATCTATTTTCGAAGAGATGGTCAAATTAACTTCGAACATTTGGTAAATTGAGAGTGGAGGGGGCTTCTCAAGCACCCGCCAAGGTCCTAAATGTTGGCAAGGATTTCTATATACGGATTGGAAATAGTTTCCTAATTTAATCGAATTTGTTGGCGATTCAGAGCATCTCCAGCAGTATCTAAACCCAAATACTAAATATCCAAATTAGGATTTCCCGCGCTAGTACAAATAAAGCAATTTAGTATGAAGAATATCAAGGTCACTCCAGCAGTTTCTTAACACAGATTCTAAAGAGCTGATGATTTTGGTGAGGTTTTTCCTAAAGGCTGAGATTTAAAATCGAAAATTCAAAGTCATAATATAAAAAATGGAAATTTAGTAAATGATAGAATCTAAACAAATTCTGAGAAAACCTACAGAAGTTTAGATTTTGATTCAAAAAGTTTAGATCTAAATTCCGGATTTGGATATTTAGATTTTTGTTTAGAAACTGCTGGAGACGTTTTTTTGGAAAATCTAAACACCAGTTTCCTAATTTGGATATTTAGTATTTGGGTTTAGATACTGCTGGAGATGCTCTCACCAAAGTTTTGACAAAGGTTACTAATTTAGGAAACTATTTCCAATCCGTATATAGAAATCCTTGCCAACATTTAGGACCTTGGCGAGTGCTTGAGAAGCCCCTTACTGGTTAGTACACAGCCTACATAAGATCTTAGTGTGAATATTTGTATATATAAGTTGGAATTTGTTGATTATTTAAGGTAGTATAAAGGGCGAAATTTTTACTTATTTGTTTGTTTATATACTGCTTTCTTTTCTCATGCGGTTGTCATAAAAATGGTCATGAGAACAATGTGACAATGAAATGTCAATAAAGAAATATACGATTTTACTACTATGACGACAAATTAATTCAGGTACCTGATATATACCTATGTATATATGTGTAGTACTGTCTATAGGGATTAATTATCTTAAAAAACACGCCCTCCCTCCTTTCGTTGGCTTTTGGGTTTAATAAAGAAATCCCGAGGTGAGTTACACAGGAGCTCAAGGATGAGCGGACGTTGAATCCAAAGAAAGAAAGCAAAGAAAAAGAAAGAAAAACATACCCGATAAGAGAGAGATGAGAATACAATTCATTGGTCACGAGATAAGTGGTAAGCCTTTATGAATTTATGCTCCAGATTTTCTGATTTTATTCTCGATTGTCTCTAATTGACATTGTCTTTACAGCATGTCGATTCGTCCGATGGGAGCACGAGAAGAGCTTCCCTCTGACAGCCGCAGTAATTCTAGACATGGCACACAACACCATCTCAACAACCATTATCTACCTCCTATTCCGGTCGCCATGCGCCACCCACACTTGATTGGATCTGTAAGACAGTACCGCTCTGAAGAACAACAAGAACAACTACAACATCACATTGTATCAGAATCATTTATTCCAATGGCACCAGATCTAGTTAAACCTCCCCGCAAACGAAGGCGACCTCCATTTTCATATTCATCACTCATTGCTCAAGCAATTCTTGAGTCTAAGGAAGAACGGATGGCACTTCGAGATATTTACAATTGGATAACTGAAAAGTATCCAGCACTATACAATGCCCAAGATACTGGCTGGCAGGCAAGAAATTTCCTTTTGTTGCTATTACTATTATTATTATAATTGTTGGAGTTTAACAAAAAATAATCCTTGTTATTAGAATACCATTAGGCATAATCTCTCTCTCAACAAGTGTTTTAGAAAAATCCCTAAATCAGAAAATGAAACTGTCGGTCGAGGGAAAGGTGGTTACTGGACCATTGATCCTAACCATATGGCCAAATTTAAGAATGGCTCGTTTGCTAGAGGAAGTGCTTCAAGTATGCGACGAAAACCAACGCGAGAGGACTCGGATAAAAGGCAGTCCCCATTGCCAGAAACAACGGCTGATAGTGCTGGTTCACTGTTAGCCACACCTCGAGATAATTACCTTTTGAGTAGGCCAGACAAGACATCTAATCATTCTTCTTGTGTCTCACCTTCCATAATCCCTACTGTGTCTCCTGCTATGAAAATCCATAACCTTCTCAACTAACTAATTCATACTACCTTGTGTCATTGTACTTACTTCCCTCAAAATTTCAATATTTTCATGTTTATTACATAAGCTCTTTTACCACTTGCTTTCTCTTTTCTACTGTATAAAGTCTTTTATTCAACATTGTGTTTATTCATTCGTCTCAGATAAGTGAGTGCATTGTTACGTACACTATACGTATTGAAGGAGGTGGGACTGCCCTTGGTAATACGTGACATGTGAAGATCTGTCAGTGAATTATCTTTTTATTTTACTTTATTTTTATTTTATTTGCTTGCATTGATTATCTTTGGTACGCCTTTATTCTTCTTTTACTCTTGTGTATATTTTTTGGCTAAATGAAAAAGGTTCATGAGACTTTAATCCCGTTGGAAGATTACAAGCTTCCTCCATTGGGGCATGCAATCTCTGGTGCAGTTGGCTCATCCATCGCTAATCTATTCGTGTACCCTTTGGACATGTAAGTATATAGCCCACAAAACCCGACCCAAATCTCATATAAGTACTAGTGCTACTACACGTATTCAACTTAATTCCAAGCAGGCCGAAAAAGCTAAAAGACAAGGTCTTTTAGAAACGATTGCAACTATTTACAAGACAGAAGGTGGCATTAAAGGCCTCTACGCTGGACTTGGATCTGATACAGTAGCATCAGTCCTATCAAGTTTTATTTACTTTTATTGCTATACAGCACTAAGAAACGTTCAGGAAAAGATTAATACAAAAATGGGTAAGGCTACCCAGCTGAATGTAGCCCAAGAGCTCTTTTTGGGTGCAGAAGCAGCCTTGATCTCCAGATTATTCACCACACCCGTATCCAACGTTACCACCAGACTTCAGACAGCAGGACATCATAATAAGAAAGGTTTTGTGGATATGATGAAGGATATCTATGAGGAAAAGGGCATAACTGGGTTTTGGACAGGTAAAGTAAAGCGGAAGAAAATGAAGAAAAATAAGGTTAACTAAACAGTTAATAAACTTGGATAGGCTATCGTGCTTCGATCATGCTTGTTTCTAACCCCTCTATCACGTATTTTGTGTTTGAGAAGGTAAAAGACTTGTATCTCAGAAACAGCAAGAACACCTTGTCTTCTTTCCAAATATTTTTACTTTCTGCCGTCTCCAAGAGTATTGCTACCGCCATCACATATCCCTTTATTTTTGTGCGTACAAAGATGGTGGCCGATGTCAAGGGCAAAAGTGCAATCGAAAATCAAAAAAGTATTTTGGCAATTTTTAAGGATACATTTGAGAAAGAAGGGGCAAGTGGTATTTACAAGGTAAAGGAGATTTGATATTTTGTTTTATTTTATTTTAAGATACATTATGGCGTGCTTATGCAGTATTTTATTATGATAGGGTATTCGTGCGCAAATCGTCAAGGGATTTTTTAATCAGGGTATCATGTACATGATCAAGGACTATGTAGCTACTTACCTTACCTTGGTATTTTACGCTTCACTCAAGCTTAAGTTCCGTAGGCAACAAGCTTCATTATTATAGATAGACAATTCCTATTAAATGTGTTTGGTTCAAATCCAACTCCATATGTCGAATGAAAAAAAAATTGAAAAGACATTTGAAAATCAGCAATACAAAATGAGCTTACTGTTATTTTAGTTTGTTTAATGACATGCTTGAAGTATAATTTTAAGCTCAAGCAAATATACTATTTTTACAAAAATTGAGCACTTTAAAAATCAGCTTTACTTGGAGTATTTTCACTGGTTAAATTATATTTTAACGGTAAAAAGGCAAAGGAAATAACTTGATTTCTTGTAAAAAATAATAGTACTTGAGCCCATATACAGTCACAATCAAAAACGTTTCGACCTCTGAGCCCAAAAAATGCATGAGAGAAATCATGGCATGTATTCAACATGCAACTGCTCCTCAGTAATAAAAGCTAAAGCATTCAAACTTCAAATAAAAGATTATATATATGTTTATTATTGAAATATAGAAAAAAAAAATAAAAGATCAATATTTTGTATGACCTCCTTTGGCCTCAATTACAGCCTGGCATCGATGCTGCATGCTTCCGGCCAAAGTTGACGAAAGTCCGAGACCTATCCTTCGCCACTCTCGTTGCATTACAACCTTCAGATCTTCAACATTGTTAATACTGGCCCTCTCGTCACTCATGCGCCTCTCGAGAGCCACCAGAGATGCTCGATGGGGTTGCGATCCGGGCTTTGAGCGGGCCAGTAGTCAAAACCTCGGATCTCATGGCTATCTTTCCACCACCTCGAGTACGACCCAGTATGACAGCTGGCGTTGTCCTCTTGGAACACGAAGCTCCTGTTTTGTTCCCGCGAAAGATTTTGGAACCAAGGGAGGAAGTTCTGAGCCAAAGTGTTCACGTATTGGTCTTGGTTTACGTTACCATCTAGGAACACCAAAGGGCCAAAACCACCGGCCCAGAAACAGCTCCAGATCATCACACTACCCTTCCCCCACTTGGTTCCTTCGATGATATTTTCTTCCTTGAACCTTTCACCGACTTTCCTGATAGCTCTAGCTCCTCCATCATTACCCTCAACTGTGAACCGTGATTCATCTGACCACACTACACCTCTCCACTGGTCATCTGTCCAATTCACATGCTCACGGGCCCATTCCAGCCTTCTTTTCTTGTGGCTTTCGGTTAAAGCTGGCTTGTGAGCTGCGATATATGATCCGAAGCCCAAACGCTTCAGACAACTGATTATTGTCTTTCTGCAGACAAATACCTTCATGTTCTTTAAGGAAACCCTTAGCCTAGAAAATGAGGCAAAGGGGTCCTTACGAACTATTTGAACAAGGTGTCTTTCTGTCCTCTCGTCAATCTTTCTAGGTCGTCCGGACCCTTTTCTTGGCTCGGGCGATCCTGTCTCGTCCACTCTCTTAATGATGTACTTGACAGTTGACAGACTCATGCCAACCACCAATGAAATCTGGGTCGCCCCGTAATTTGCTAAATGCATGTACATGATGCATCCGTATTTATAGGGATCGGCCTTTTCATATGATCCGTGGGTGTTTTCTGATGAATTTGCGTCTTGCATGTTGGATTTGATTAATAATATTGGGAGAAAACAATGTTTTTATTTTTATTTTTTCGATTTTTTTTAGGCATTTTTTGCGGGGGTCGAAACGTTTTTGATTGTGAGTGTAATATAGTACAAAATAAAATAAAAATCTAAGAAAGGGAAAATACAATGACCTTGGGATGGGTATTTTTAACCGACTTAGTAATATTTGGGCAGCCTGGAATTGAACTTAATTGAGAACATCTTGAATCTTTTTGAGTAGCTATATACCAGTATTACCAAGTAACTCATTTCACCCTTTAAAAAAAGAAACTCGAATGAAATAATGAAACACATCTTTACATAATATCACATAATTGAGTATTTGGATAAAATGTTTTATTCATATATTATATTGTATATACATATTTAATTATAGAGTAATGAAAGAAAAGTTGAAATAAAATTTTAGTTTTCCAATACAAATCTATATCTAGCCTTTCCTTCTCTCATTGCCTTGACAGCCTCATTTGCCTCCTTCATTGGATACTTACTTATCCAAGGCTTTACATTGTGAGCGGCAGCGAAATTCAACATGTCCTCAATTACGGCAGGTGAACCAATAACTGATCCAACTATGGAGATCTGATGCATTGCCAACATCATGGCTGGGATTCCAGTCAAAGGTGTCTCAGGAATTCCAACAATAATAAAATTCCCATTGGTCTTGAGGAGTCCAAGGTAACTTTCCCAATCAAAGTTACTGCCAAAGCTAGTGGACAGAATATGGGTAAAGGTTCCGCTGTGTTCATTCATGCTTTTTTTGTCGGTAGTTAAAATGTAATCATCACAACCAAGCTCCTTTGCATCAGCACGTTTGCGTTCAGAGTGTGAAAGGGCAACTACAGAGGCTCCCATGGCCTTGGCCCATTGAAGACCGTAATGACCCAGGCCACCAATACCAATTACGCCGACCTTGTCCCCAGGCTTGACGCCAAAACGCTTGAGAGGAGAATATGTTGTCACACCAGCACAGAAGAAAGTAGCGGCAATCTCGTTGGACATGTTTTCAGGGACCTTAAATACAAAATGTTCGTGACCTCTCCACTTGTCGGCATAGCCACCGAATGACTTGTCACCATTTGGCCAACGACCGTTGTAAGTAGGGATCATGCCTTTCGAGCAGAGATTTTCGTCACCGTTTTTGCAGTTTTCGCATTCGAGACAAGAACCACTCTGAGCCCCAACACCAATACGGTCACCAACCTTGACTTTCTTTACTTTTTTACCAACGCGTGTACACACGCCGGTAATTTCGTGACCAACAACACAAGGATAGTCAGTTGGTCCCCATCCGGAGTCAATGGTGTGGATGTCAGATCCACAAATACCACAGTGGGTAATATCCATTTCAACAGCATAATCGTCGAATGCTTTCAATGGCATTTCAGTCCATTCAAGAGGTTTATCTGTCAAATTGAAAATAGCTTTAGAGTTTGCTACAAGATAATAAACAATAGAAAAGGCTTACCTTTGTTGGGGCATGCCCATCCGTGAAAAGTATCGGTAGACATATTGTGCTGTAAAAGAGTACTTTGCAAAGGCCTTTACTCCCGTCACTCTTTTATAAACATTATTCATGCATGCTAAAAATCTCGAATATAGAAAAGAAAATTAAAAAAAAAACAGTCTTTTGAAACACAAGCAAGTTTTGTATAGTTATCATATCACTGGAATACCTAGTCTTAAATCAATACCCTTTACTGTAGTAGGATGTCTCGCCAGTTCTCGAGAATTAAATTTTTAGTTAATGAGATTATATATTCATCGCATTTGCCAATGAATAATTTACAAGAAAATGAAGTTAGAAACAAAAGAAAATACGAAAACACTTTGCGGTTATTTGCTCATGTTAATTATTATTGGTCAGATAACAATCCACAGTATTCTCAAAATCTAATTCTTGAAAATTAATAGAACCCCATGCTGATCCTCAATATTAAACGTGTGTACGATTTGAAATTTTTTGTTAGTCAATAATAGTGATTTAATATTGACGTGGTTCTCTTGCAGCATATAGTAGAGATGTTAACTTGTATAAAAATTACAGTACCAAGCGCATATAATGAATCAAACACTGGATCAATCAGAGTAATGCATATTTATATAGCTTTAGTTTGTATGTTTTCTCGACATGCATTTTTTAAAGGACTAAAAAAAAACATTAGAACATATTCCCCGAAACTTTTCAAATCGTACATATATTTAATAATGGGTTCCTATTTTACATGAAAACAGAATCTCCTTATTACTGGATTCTGTGTAAATAATTCCGTGTGGCCCTTTTGGAATTATGTATTGCTATTTATATATAAGCAGAAAACAAGCACAAATTGTTTGAAGATAGACACTGTATACTCTAAATATATCAGACTGCTTATATAATCTTGATATATTATAATACTTTGTGTGGACAGACTAAAAAGCTCGAGATTAGTTCAAATACATCATCATCAGCAGCAGCATCATCAGCATCATATTAGAAAGACAGGATGAAATTAGAGATCATGTGATTTAGCCCTTCTAATCGGTCACGTGTTCTCTAATTTACTTGCTATTACTCACTAAAATAAAATGTAAAAACCTATACTACTTGGTAATTGTGTGCCGTACACTATTACCAGTAGGGAACAGTTACATAGAACTTAACGTAGCCCAATGGGGCCTTTTTATAAAAGAAAATGGGCTAATACGGGATTTAATCAATACAGCAACTAGCCCAACACTTCTTTGGCAATAACAGTCTCCAATAATATCTTTTTATATGTAAGCTTTAAGAAAGTGTACAGATGTATGCTCGTATAAGATTATATTAATTAAAAGAGTCTTGTATTACCATATTGGTCAAAGTAATTACCTGGTACATGACACCCTATTTCCAATACTATGAAAAATAGCCCTCACATATACATATCTATATCGTTTATTTGATGTAATTTCTCTTTATAAATAAGTTTCAATTGGTTTTACTTTTGCCATATGTCTCAAAGATTTGTCTCTTAGTCAAAAAAAGTTATAATAACCTTCATCAAGAAAAAACAATTTTCCTTTTCCAGAAGCATATCGTTATTTTGACCAAACCTTATAGTAAGCTTTCTTTATTGAAGGATACATTATAAAGAGGTTGATATACAGTTTATTTAATATTAAAAGATAAAGAAATTAAAAGGTATTTTGTGTAGAGTGAATGTAGTAAGGGTAAAATAAGGATATTAAGCATACAGTTATTTTACCAAGCCTAGCTATTTACTTTTCTGTATATACTGTTTATAATACAAAAAATTTTCTGAAAATATTAAAAACCCACAACTTTTGGAAAGCGGGAAATAAATGCATATATAATATTTTGGGACATTTATTTTAATCGACAAGTGCTTGCACCTCTGTCACATATTAAAATTGGAACGATACAGAGAAGATTAGCATGGCCCCTGCACAAGGATGACACTAAACTTCTGAGATGGAACGCTCTACGGAGCATATTTTTTTTGTTTTGTCACCACTTGATATTATTTTTATTTATTTTATTTTTTGTGTCAAATCTTGAAATTACTTATAAAAGGATACCACATTGAGGAATGTCAATCTTACATCATAATGTACAACTTTATTATCCACTAATGCACAATCCTTCTCCCCTTCCTTGTTAAATGCATATCAATCTCTTCTTGCTCCTCATGCTGTAGATGGCTTTTGTTATGCAGTTCCATTAACACAAATCACCACTTTTTTTTTGCTGACAATGTAGCATTCTTTTTGGCTTGGCTTCAAATGTCCAGCCCATGTTCAACTTGAGCTGCGCAACATTTTTTGTATGTATTTAAAAAGGAGTCTGCGTACTCAACATTGTCTAATTTTACTTTTCAATGCAAAATTAATTAATTAGGAAATATGTGAAGTTGCTGCGGTCTGTGTCCCTTCATGGTTACTTGTATTTGATAAAATTAAGTGGTTCTAATACTATGTCTTCCATCAGGTGAAAATATTTTTGTGAATTTTTTTAGTCCTACACCCTATTACATATCTCCTATCAAAAATATGGCCTTTTCAATTCAGGTGGCAATAGGAAAAGACTACCAAGTCAGAGCCGTTTGGAGTTTTTTGAAGTTCTTAGTCTGTCAACGCCAACTATTATTAATTTTAAAGAAGTTACTAACATTATCTCTCTACTATTTTGTTGTTTTTTTTTCGAACATAATATAAGTATTATATACCTTAAAAAAATCCTGCGATAGTATCAAAAATATTGAATGTATGTTTTTCTTATAATATAGTTGTCTGATGTTAGCTTAAGACTAAGTTATAAGATAGGAATAGTGGATTTCTTGATGATAATATTTTATAAAGTTTGTATAATATGAAGGTTCTTGACAGCTTTTGAAAAGCTTATTGATATTATTAATTAAAAGATGGAACTTTAGGAATAAAATATCATCGGAAAATCCCTTTTATGGTTTTTTGAATGATTAAAACAAATTATTTAACGTTTACGACCAATGCTTCTTTAAATATGCATATTTGTATAGTAACACTCGTATGCATGTTACACTTCCATTCATTGGATATCTTACACAATCTAGGTGACTTGGTCTTTACTATATTCTCCCACCTGATTAGTTTCAAATATCCAATACTGTTTTTCTGGCTTATACTTTTTGACTAAAAATAATATCCTCACCATTTTCTTTATATTTCTTTAGAATTCTTTTGCTGAAACTATACTTTGTATACTTTGAATAGAAAATATTATTACTGTCTATTGATTTATGGAAATATATATGCATACTTACATGTAAAGACATTTTGGGATATATACAATAGAATTTTCAAATATATATATTGATTAATAAGTACCGAGAATCAATAAAAAAAAGGTACAAAATAAAAACGCAGCTGCTAATATATATTAAATTATGATAATGTGTATTTTACTTACATATTATAAACGCATGTTTCTAAGATAGGTATTCAAGTATGGTTTGAAATACAAGTAAATTATATTTAAATAAAAAACAGAGTAAGTAATATACTTGAAATTTGCTAAATAGTTGATATTACCTTTGCCTGGACCGTGAGTACTTCAAGATGTTTTATTCAGAGAATAAAGTGTAGTTTTCTATTAAAACGTGTTTTGGAATATTTTCAAAATAATGAGTCAATGAGTTACTTATAATATATTTGAAAAAGATTGTCATAGACTCTCTTGAATACTTGCTAATAGTATATGCTTTCTTGAATGGGCTATAATATGTGTAGTGAAGGAAGAGTATAAAATGCAAGTGGGTTAGTAAAAATGTAGATCTGAGTAGTAAACTACCCAAAGTATTAAAGAGATAAAAAAACAAAAGAGAAGAGATGAAAGTAAAAAAAAGAGGGTGTAGTTATTCTATTATGTAAATTTAGAAAGATATGAAAAAGAAAGAAAACAAAATTTAATATATAAATAAATATAAAATTATACTTTAACTAGCACATTCTTATAGCTTCTATCTTTTAATATTGATAAATATAATAAAAGTACTTATACTTATAACAAGTACGTATGAACTAAAATTAATAATTATTTAGTATTAACATACATATTATTATAATAATATTAAGTATGTTTTTTACTGAGTTTATTGTAAACATCATGTTAGAATAAAACTATATATAAGAATAAATAGTTTATATTTACATAATGATAGATTTCACTAGTTATCTTAACAAATATTTCTTCAAGATATCTACTAGTATTTCATTATAATAGTTTTATATATCTTCAATTAAATATTCAAGACAGGTATAATGAGGTATTCAGAATTGTTATAAGGTTAGTATTTCAATAATAGGAAAAGTAAATACTGCGAGTGACATTTATTAAAGAGACAAGATAATATTATTTATATCCGTTACTATTAAAATCTCTGTAATTCAAATCTATATTGTACAATATTTGGTTTATACTGTATGAGTATGTAGTATATGTTTGTCCAGTGTATAATAGTTTTGGAGATTGGTAACTTGCTGAATTCATTAGTAAAAATGGACTAGTATTTGATTTTGGAGTCTGTTTTTTACTCAATTGTGATATGTATAGTACAGAGACATTTTTTATTTATAAATAAAAAACAACTAGTATATAGTCTCAAAGTATTTCTATACAACTTCATTTTCAATTTTTTTTATTGTTTTGCATTTAAAATATCATAAGATATATTTTATTAATTTTTATTTTACATAATTATAGACTTTTGTGTGATATTTCAGATACAAAACAATAGAAAATAGTAAATTTTGAAGATAAAATCATATAGAAATACTTTGAGACTGTATAAAAGTTTTTCTTTATTCATAAATATAAAGTACCCCTTATAAGAAAACACAATCTACTCTTATTATTATGTCTTAGTTTTTTAAGGCTTTCTTCCTTTACTATATTTGGTTATTAGAGTGTATTTACTGCTTAACTAGTGTCAGTATTATAACTATGACATCAAGTCATAAATTGTACTTCTTTAGCTCTTAGTTATTC